TGTCCCATTCTGATGAAACTTAACAAGTATGAAATGAAATGAATTGAGTTGAGGTTTAACGTCCTACTGTTCTGCTCCGAACTGGGCTAATTATTATTTGATAGATAAGGGACACAAGGATAGAGTTTTTCTCAGAACTCTATTTCGTCGGGGGTTTTTTTTGGTGGGGGGGGGATACTTACCTAATCTGTCATAGATACAGCGGAAGTGAGATGGGGTTGAAATAAGGATTGACTGTTCAGTTAGCAGGAAAACACATTTGTTGCGGTTAAAATTTCAACTTTTTCTCGGGGAGCGCGAGGCCCCCTTGTAAGATCTGTAACACTATCGTTAGTGATAACAGTAGACCAGTTTAGTAAATACAGCATTTATTTACAACGGGAACAGTGTATCACACATCTACATAAATACATCAACACTACAAAAACTAGACTATACTGGAACTATTAATACGACAGGAATACATCTAACCATATTGGATCTACCATTCTGCCCCTCTGCCAAGGCAGCGGCTGAACTCGGGTGAGTCCATACACTCGTCCGACCCTTTCTTCTCCTCCCGGCTCCTCTCTCCTAACTGTCAGTGAACTCCTCAATATATACCCTTGCACACATGGTCATACATGCAATTGTCTCTTTTATCTCGTCACGGCATGACTACTGACCAATGCATATTCCTTTGAAGTAAAGCGGAGCGTGTGTAAAGACCATACGTAGTTTGTAAAGAACATACTGAATCAATTACATGTTTAATAAGCTCGTGCTTAACAGAAGTTTATATAGAGGTGAAATTCAAAAATCATATATTGTTAAAACTAGCAGAGTTCATTAAGTTCTATGTACCTAAATGATACTGTTCAATTTGGTGAGAAATATAAATCACTTTGTCACACCCTTTCCCTCGACGATTGTTTGGTTGTTTGGGATTTAGGTAAGTCACCTAAGGTAGGCTATATTGAACCACATTGAAGTATCCGTATTCACGGACCGAATGTCATCTAGCTCGTAAGCCTGTGCATCACGGCACCTTTCTATGTATAGATTTTTCTGACGTATATATTTTCACTCATCGTCTTCTTTATATTGTATATTATTATTGGCATACTTATTCAACAAGGACGTTACTCTTATATATGTTTTATTATTAAATATAGGGGCATAAACGATCTGACGATTAATTTTATTTGCGCAAACCAGTCAGGTGTTACATAGAAATAGAAGATGCTAATACAACTGTCTTAATCCAATATCCCACTACCACCATTCCCGCAAGGAAAACATGTCTGCGACCGTCAAATGTTCCAAATTATTTTAAGGGGAGTGGGGTTGGGGCTACACGGTAAGCTCTGTCCCCTCGCCTGCCGCAGACTACTGGCACCACCAACTGTAACCCGAAATTAATTCGGGGGGGTGGGGGCATTTCAGGTTGTGCCTACTAACATTTATCGAGCCCGTACGCCTTTGCTCGCAACTGGAGGTCTCTCAATCCAGAGGTGGGATGGGTGGCTGAATGGTTAGCACGTGCGCGCTGTACCATAAAGTCTGTCATTGAGTCAACTGGTGTGGTTTCGATTCTCCGGTTGTACGTGACAAGGAGCAGGGTCGTCTGTCCAACCTCGTGGGTTTTCTCCTGGTCCTCCGGTTTCCCCCCACTGCTAAAGACCTCTACACGGAAGCGAATTATTGAAATGAAATTAAACCATATGTTAGTACCGAAATGACCTAGTTTGTGTCGAGTGGACGTTAAACTCTCTCCCTCAACCCAAGGTTCAGTATAGAGCATAATAGAGTTTTGTTGCTAGTCTACGTTCTAGAAGTGTCACTTCTATACTAAAATCAGACTTCTTTGTATCTAACGGCATAATTACTTGTGTGCATTAACCCGGAGAAAAGAGTTCTTGCGGACAAATTATTGGGGGTGGGGGGCTAGGTTTGGCTGAAAAGTTACTTTTATTGTATGCATCTACATTCATTTCACTGAAAAATGCCACACATGTCACCCTACTTAAAGCGCCAACGTTGTCTCCGCTCTGTGATTTTATGATTTATGTTCTATTAATTAAAGATGGATGATGGAAGATTAGATAAAGAGCTGGCAGTTCAAATTATAATAGTTAAAAACTATAGATCATGTCAGTCGAGAAAATCTTATTTTAAAATCATTGTCATTGTTAGCGCTGTCACGATAGTTAAAAAGTCTCGATTATCCATTTTTGCGTTTAGTCATCCACGGACGTTCAACAGCAGACTGGATTCAAATCCAATGAAAATCGGACAGATAACATGGCGGATTTACCACTTGCATAATGCATGTTTAAAATAGACTTCTTTTTTTAACAAATAAAATAATAGTTACAGACATTAAAATTTGTTAAAGTTAGCCGCTTCAAGAAGGCATATTAATAACATATATTACAAATTAATTGTATATGTCCTCTTGAAGCAGCTAACGTCACGAACCTAACTCCTCTTGAAACGGTTAACTTCAGTTGAATCGGGTAGTGAAGGGGTGTGATACACGAACGACAGGGAACCCTCCATGCCACCTCTGGAAGGTGGAGGGCAAACTCCCTTAAATATTTCGTTTGTAAATAATTCAAGAGATACGGTTTGTGACATCAGCTTATGGTAAGTCTATAGTTATTGAGCTTGTAAAATGGCCAACTTGTAGGATAAAAATTCACAATACCAATATTGATAGTCAATATTAATTTTCTATGTTTTATATTTAATCAATACTTGTGATTTTTATACGCCCACATTTTAATGTGGACGTATATTGTCGTCGCCCCTGTCCGTCCGTCCGTCCGTCGGTCCGTCCGTCCACAATTGTTTGTGAACAGTCTACAGGTCACAATTTTTATCCGATTCCAACGAAACTTGAAATATAGGTTTATCATTACTAGAAGGTTTTATTACTCAACAAATACCTTCTCGAAGTATGTAATAAAATCTAATCGGGTGCCTTTCGATATTCGTGCATATCGGAACGTAACTTCCTGAATTATTGCCCCTGATTGTACGAAAAATCACGTTTTTAGCTTGTGGACCCTATAAAGGTCATAATTTTTATCCGATTTGAAAAACCGTATTATTATATCACCGTTACACCCTAAGGACGGCTGAGTTCGAATTTCGTGAAATTCGGCCCAAAACTGACAGACAAAATGGCCGCCCTTCGTTCTCAAATAGCGTAAAAAAATGGTATATCAAGATTGTGGACCCTATAGAGGTCACAATTTTTATCCGATTTTGTTGAAACTTGAAATGTAAGTTTATAACCCAAAGATCTCGGTTCTTTTCGATATTCGCGCATATCGGACCGTAACTTCCTGAATTATGGCCCCTGATTGTACGAAAAATCGCGTTTTTTGGCTTGTGGACCCTATAGAGGTCATAATTGTTATCCGATTTAAAAACCGTGTTAATATATCACCGTTACACCCTAAGGACGGCTGAGTTCGAATTTCGTGAAAATCGGTCCAAAACTAACAGACAAAATGGCCACCCTTCGTTCTCAAATAGCGTAAAATATAGGAATATCAAGGTTGTGGAGCCTATAGAGGTCACAATTTTTATCCGAGTTTGTTGAAACTTGAAATGTAAGTTTATAACCCAAACCTCGGTTCCTTTCGATATTCGCGCATATCGGACCGTAACTTCATGAATTATGGCCCCTTACTGTACGAAAAATCGCGTTTTTTGGCTTGTGGACCCTATAGAGGTCATAATTGTTATCCGATTTAAAAACCGTGTTAATATATCACCGTTACACCCTAAGGACGGCTGAGTTCGAATTTCGTGAAAATCGGTCCAAAACTAACAGACAAAATGGCCGCCCTTCGTTCTCAAATAACGTAAAAAAATATGGTATATCAAGGTTGTGGAGCCTATAGAGGTCACAATTTTTATCCGATTTTATTGAAACTTGAAATGTAAGTTCATAACCCAAAGATCCCGGTTCCTTTCGATATTCGCGCATATCGGACCGTAACTTCATGAATTATGGCCCCTTACTCTACGAAAAATCGCGTTTTTAGCTTGTGGACCCTATAGAGGTCATAATTTTTATCCGATTGAAAAAAACCGTTTTATTATATCACCATTAAACCATAAGGACGGCTGAGTTCGAATTTCGTGAAAATCGGCCCCAAACTGACAGACAAAATGGCCACCGTTCGTTCTCAAATAGCGTAAAAATATGGTATATCAAGGTTGTGCACCCTATAGAGGTCACAATTTTTATCCGATTTTGTTGAAACTTGAAATGTAAGTTTATAACGCAAAGATCTCGGTTCCTTTCGATATTCGCGCATATCGGACCGTACCTTCCTGAATTATGACCCCTGATTATAAGAAAAATCGCGTTTTTAGCTTGTGGACCCTATAGAGGTCATAATTTTTATCCGATTTAAAAAACCGTATTATCATATCACCGTTACACCCCAAGGACGGCTGAGTTCGAATTTCGTGAAAATCGGTCCAAAACTGACAGACAAAATGGCTGCCCTCGTTCTCAAATTGCGTAAAAATATGGTATGGTATATCAAGGTTGTGGACCCTATAGAGGTGACAATTTTTATCCGATTTTGTTGAAACTTGAAATGTAAGTTTATAACCCATAGATCTTGGTTCCTTTCGATATTTGCGCATATCGAATTGTAATTTCCGAATTATGGCCCTTGATTGTAGGAAAAATCACTTTCGTTTTAGCTTGTTTTCTATCCATCTCTCGAAAATGTGGGCGTATCCTGCCTGGCAGCCGCTGGTTTCCTATGAATTTGATATAAATATGGGATGTAACTTCCATCTAAAGATTTTCCTACGCCAGGTCCCATCATAGCTGTACTGGCCCAATGAGAGTTAGGAGGGAGCGGGCAGAAATAACATGCCCGAAAAGATTTCCGCACTGCCACAAACGCGATTTCATACTATTCGAGGCCGTGAGTACAACACCAGAAATTTGACTTTCCGAAAAACACTATTTATAGAACCCGGTTTATTTCACTGGAGAAATGACGAAGTTTTATGAAAATATAATTTTTTTTATATTGTACTATCCCTGCTTTAAGGGACCAATGTTATAAAAACAGTTTTGTAGATATACATGGTTATTATTGTAGTATATTTAATAAAATGAATTAAAATAATAATAATATGCAACAAATGTTAAACTGTTACTAATAATACTCTTTATACAATTGCTACAAGACTTTTAAATTGAATAAATATTTTACCAAAAAGAGAAAAAAAAGAAGGGAGGCACTGCCTCAGACTAGATGACCTATCTATATAAATCCACCAATAATTGTAAGCTCTAGGGTAATTACAAGGTGACTACAATATATTAATAAATCAAATATTGAGCGTATTAACTATTACAACATATTTTGGTACACTTTAAATTAAGAATCAAATTTGAACATAATTTAAACGCAATATACTTTTGGCCCGTTATATTTTAGCACCAGTTTTAAATACCCTGTTCCCAAATTCTTTCAACCAGGTTCTCTTCGAATGGTTACGGCCCTGGAATTTGAAAGACGGGATATCACATAAGACCGGGGATACTTGACTACTGTTGACAACCAATGGAATAATAACCGGTTGATCTTGAGGAAGGGTGTTAATCGGGTAATCTTCCACTAAATTCGTGTTATTATTTTTAAAAATACACAATACCACGATATTGTGAAACGACATGGCCGTCAACAGGGCCTGCGTTTTGTCTTTGAACTGAATAATATCCTCTTGATTCTTCGTTACCTTTAACCCTACTTCTACCAGCAACTCCTTAATCAAATCGGCCTCTACCTTACAAGTTGTGATGTCATAGATAACGCGGACATGTGAATCGACATCGTTAACATTGTAAGAAATCAGCATCGCTCGTTCGAAGCAGGTTTTTACTAGGTCTGTTTTGTCTATCTGATCAGCCGTTTGTTCAACAATGTCCATCATCACCTCTACGGCTACCTTCTCTATATCTGGTATATCTGTTACCACCAGTATAGTCGCTAAATCCAAACAGTCATAATAGCTCTTTAAGTCTAAAAAATTGTATAGCAATTTTTTGAAAGCGTCATTAATATCCCTTCCCCTGTAAGCCTGGTTGATACTACTCATAAATCCGAGAGACCGTTTATAAAATTTCAGGAGTCGTTTAACCTGATCTAAGGTCGAACTACGGTCATCAGTGTACTCAATAGAATCACAGAACAAATCCTTCACAGAAACCTTTTCTATCTCCGAGGCTTTGCCATTTCTAAGATGAAGCTTAACAGCACTAACAATGCATTCTCTTCTGCAGCGATTGCATTCCTGGTACCATTTTTCTTTTTGTGGGGAATTGCCCTGGCCTCTCGCCAGTAATTTATAACAATTGGATGATCTTTCGTTGCCCTGTCTTTGCCAATAATAGTCATTTTCGTCAGCTAGTTTCCTGAAATATTGGAGAGCTTTGTCGTAATCAGGCTCACCGGACTTCATATGAGCGATACCTAATTCCTCCATCGCGGGTTGGTTGAGTCCTTCACTTAATTCTACGGCTTGTGTCAAGTAGTCGACCACTAATGGAGTATACCCATCAATATCTCTGATTGTTAAAGCAAGATGGTGACAACATATAGTGGTTGGTTGTATTTCCATCGCCTTTTCCAATACCTCCCTTGCAGGTTGTAACTGTTTTAATTTTCTCCTTAAGCGACCAGTTTCTGTCAACACCTTTTGATCATCACCAGCGAGTTGTTCAGCCTTGTTTAAATATCCAATTGCCTTTGCTTCAACAGCTTCTTCTGTTTTAAGTTCCATGTCGCTCAAAGTAATTTTCTCAGCACAATATCCATAATGTAAATAGGCTAGACCAATAAAAGACAAGGCTTTTAAAACCTTATCATCACCATTCTCGATTATATCTTCAAAAATCTGTTTAGCTTTGTGGAAGTTTTCTACGGGGTCACTTGCCGGTAATAAGCCCAAAACGCCTGGATGTTGGCGTCTACGTATAGTTAGTGCCATGCGATATTTCCAGGCATATTGTTCTGGATATTTTTGAATAACGTCGTCAAATAATTCTGTGGCTTTCTTATAATATTCTGGACCCATTCTCGAGTACGCATAAGCATTTTCCGCTTTAGCCTCGGTCATCAAATAATCGTCTTCGCTTAATTCTTTCAGTTTTGTAAATTCATTTTGTGCCGCGGAAGGCCTGTCCATTTGACAATAGAGGACAGCCTTCATGACATTTCCTTGGATGTTCCGCGGATTCTTCTCTAAAACGCACAAGTTTTTAGTTTCACAGGCACCAAAGTCTTTGTAAAGAAAACTCAGAAATGATGCCAGATTATTGTTTACCGTTTCAGTGAATTTATTTTGTTCCTGTTCATCCATTTTAACTTTCATAGTTTGTAGTTTACTAGTTTGAAGGCTGGACGTGTCCAGTGTGAAGAAACTTGGGATAAATGTCAGCTGTTCAATAAATTCATCAAGACCCATTTTACTTCCTTTAAGGACCTGAAAGAAAAATTTAACCCAATCTCATTAAAATACTGATCTATGGCCTCTACTACATGAAGATCTGACCAGTTGTAGTGGAAGGTCGCGTCAGGCGTCATACGAGCGGCTTTTGACCTATGACGTCAGACATTTGATTAACCAATCAGCGTTGACGTTTCTAATAGGAAACCCACAGAATGCGGGTTATATAACAAGTCTTCCAGATCCTAGTGTAGTAAAGACAAGTAAAACGAAATTTTGAACTATAAAAAACGAAACGAAATAGGATCTGTGTTTTAATCAGATTCCTTGAGCCAGTAATGATTCAAATAATGTACACCTTTGGGGTGTGACATCAATCTTGGATGTAATAGGCCGCAGGGTGGTTCAAAGGTCAATAGCCTCGGTAAAGGTCGATGATATAGCCTTTTAAAATTATTTCGGGGTGAAGATCGTAAGTCAAAGTCAAATATCCAAAAAACAAATTATCTTTTCTGAAAGGCATCGTCTCTGTTTTCACCCTGGACATTAACCTCAATAATAGCCTACAGCAAAACAAAAAAATGGGGCATAGCACACATGAGGGCAAAGGCACCGAGCTCGATGGGAAATTTGAATTCAAGGTCAAGGTCACGGCGATATTCACATGTAAAGGCCAATCCAACTGCCAAAAAGTAGTTTATAAAAAAAATGGTGTCTTAGCGCAAAAATTAAAATATACGAAAATTATTAATGTTATGAACTGCAGCGTTAGGCAGGAATAGAAGCACAGTGTGTCAAAATCCATCTTAGTGTCTTGATATTCGAGTCTAAATAGTTAACAAACAACACGGCCTCTATCGGATCGACACAAGATAAAAGATCAGTAAAATGAAAAGTTATTGATCGATTCGGCTGAGGTTATGGCTAGTTCCCTTTAACATCTACGGGGACTGGTAGAGGTACGAAAGTTCAATAGCTCCAAATGTTGTGCATATACGAAGTATTTTTTATCCGATTTTAGATAGCAAAGCAACTTATTTTTGTCTACAAGTCACGATAATCTAGAAAACCAACTAGTATTATATAATTATAGTGGCCATGTTAAATCTCGCCCTTTTCATAACGCGACAACACGACATCACGACAGTATTGACGCAATCATACGACACTTTATTCTGTCGTATCATCGTGTTATTTTTATCGTAAAGTCGAGATGTCGACTTATTGGCATAGTCTCTTTCTACAAGTCACAAAAATACAGCTGTACTCTTTACATCAGATTAGATACATATAAATAAGACTCGTCAAAAGAGATAATAGGAAAACGTTGATTAATTATTCGTTTTCTAAAAAAATGAAACATTTTGCGCCCAAATTGAATTATATTTGGTATTATATTCAAAAAATCTAGAATTATAATAGCAGGACAAAAGTGAGTCAGCTATGTTAATTCCTTGAATAAGAAGTGGTGTCGGTAGGTATCGAACAAGCATGCCGTGCCTCGTGTACGACACCCACCAATACTTATAGATTACTGAAGCGATAGTTTAGAAGCGATTTCAGAAGATTTCCAATTTATTTTATTAGAGTGGGAAGGGGATTATATAAAACCTCAAATCAGACCACATAAAATCACCGCATTGGTGTTCCACGCCATCCCAATAAGTTCAGGGGAGGTTTTTTATGAGGTAAAGAAAGCGATTTGCAGCTGTTATTGACCTTATCGCATATCCATCCGTTTGGCATCACTAATGGGATCGGGGCCTAGATGATTAAAAATAGGCCCAGTATTGCCTTCAGCTATGAACAGACTCCGAAAGTCCCCTACGCACCCCCCCCCCTCTTATTTTGTTTAACAAATAATTTCGGAATCAATAAAATGGTAGGTCCCTATCAATGATGTTTGATACGACTGGAAATTAATGTGTCTAAAATTGATTAAACATCATAGGGTAGTAAATATTACATTTTGAATCCGTATCAAAATATTTACTCAAAATGTTCCTTCATTTAACTTGAAAACAAGGGAAGCAGCCGATCGAAGCAAACTGTCGTAAGATCGTCTGATTTTGTCGTATCATCGACCTTATTTTGTCGTGCTGTCGTATCATCGACTTATCACCACGACAAGTCGATGATACGACGGTACGACAAAACACTAAACTGTCGTATCATCGACTTGTCGTCTCGGAAGTTTAAAACTGCACATGCGCTATAGTCTTTATCTACAAGACCCTTCTATAAATATTCGCTAAAACACTTAGCACATGTGAAAACAATATAATTTCAAAATTAAAAGACTTTAAGAAAATATATTTTTATAGGTCTGGGGGTTTGTTTTTTTTTGTTTTTTTTTTTACATTTGATCTGTCAACACTACCTACAGGCCGCGAATCTAGATGGAATTTGTTCAAATTTGGCACAATCATTACTTTCAAATAAAGGATGGCACTCTCGGAGGTAAATGCATGACCGAAGCACTACTGTCACATTGAAACCTGTTTTTTTTTTAAAAAAAAAAAATCTGTTTTCTTCAATCGACTGTTTCCCTTGTTTCAAGTTAAATGATGATCTATTGGAAAGAACATATTGAGTAAATGTACGTTATCACTAATACGGATTCAATATGTAATATTTCTCATTACTACCTATGTTGTTTAATCAATGTTATACATGTTATTTTCCAGTCGTATCAAACATCATTGATACCATTTTATTGTGTCTGAAATTATTTGTAAAACAAAATAAGAGACGTGGGGGAGGGGGGGGCGTATGAGGCTTTCATAGTGTGTAATCATGTAGGCCTCGATCCATTGTTTTAGGTGCTTGATATTTTGCGGGGGATTCACAGTGGCTAGGCAGGTAAGACGTTGGTTCGGTAACCCGAAAGCTGGGTGTTCGATCCCTTCATTGGACGAGAAAGTTCATCCAGATTTTCCGACGTGGTCTTGTCAGTTGTGCTGGACAGAGGGCCTGGCACGTAAAATATCCCTTGGTAGTTGGAATTCGATATAATGGTAGGCCATAGTGCGCTGTCCTGGCAAAATTTCGCTCATAGTATGGCATATGCCCGTCTTACAGTAGTGGTTCGGTCATGTATTTACACCCGAGAGTATCATCCTTTCAGGGGATCGCGTGGCTACGTGGGCAAGACGCTGGCTCGCTAGCCTGGAGGTCGGGTGTTCGATCCCACACTGATCAGAAGTGAATATTCGCTAGGCTGCTACAGTCGCTGATAAGGATGACATCGATGCGACTTAATGAGTCCCCAATATTAACTTTATTCCTCCGACAAATTTAATTCTAAAACATTTTTTTTTATGTATTAGAAAAATAAATAAAGACATTTGAAGTATTTGTAGGTAAAAAATATTTCCTATGTAGCGTAAATGGGTATTAAAATGAGTAAAAGGCATCATTCTACCCGAAGCAGTCACGTCTTATATAAACAATGCACGCGCCATTGGTCCAATGATTGACACCGCGTGATGTGATTGCATGTGTTGAAAACAGTAATCTTTTACAGAGATATTAGAAGACTTTTTTCACAGATTGGTTCGATCCCTGCATTAGCCGACAAAATTCATCAAGATTTACCGGCGTGGTTCCATCTTGTCAGTGATGCAGGACGGAGGGCCTGACAATGACAGCTGTTTAGTCGTTCGGATGGGACGAAACACCGAGGTCCCGTGTACACATTGGCATGCACGTAAAAGGTCCCTTGGCAGTTGGATTCCGATATAAGAGCGGGCCGTAGCGCCGCTGCTCGGGCAAAATTCCCTCATAGCACACTGTATGGAGTATGCCCGTCGTCTTTAGCCCAGCTTAGGAGAGAACAGTAGGACGTTAAACCCCATTTCATTTCATTTCATGTCATCCTTTCTTTGAAAGTAATGATTATGCCAAATTTGAACATCTAGTTCCGTAGTCTGTAGTTATACCAGAGGGTTGACAGATAACACCTTAAAAAAACAGATCTATGAAAATATATTTTCTAAACCTTTTTTAATTTTGAAATTATATTGTTTTCACGTTTGATAAGTGTTTTAGCGAATAGTTGTAGAAAGGGTCTTGTAGATTAAGACTATGGCGCATATGCAGTTGTAAACTTTTAGAGTGTGTTCATAGTTGAAGATGTTACTGGGCCTATTTTTACTCAACTAGGCCTCAGTCCCATTAGTGATGTCAAACGGATGCAAGCCTATATGCGATAAGGTCAATAACCGCTGCGAATCGTTTTCTCCACCTCATAAAAAAAACTCCTGCATCTATTGGGGTGACGTGGGGGGGGGGGGGTGTTGTATGAGGGTTTTAGAGAGTGTTCATAGTTGAAGATATTACTGGGCCTATTTTTACTCATCTAGGCATCAATCCCATTTTAGATGATGTCAAATGGGGGTGGGGGGAGAGAGAGAAATGGGGTTTAACGTTCACTCGACTCAAATTAGGCCATTTCGGGACTAACATATGGTTTAATTTTATTTCAATAAATCGTTTGCGCGTAGGGGTCTTTAGCAGTGGGAGGAAACCGGAGGACCCGGAGAAAACCCACGAGGTTGGACAGGCGACCCTACTCCTTGTCACGTACAACCGGGGATTCGAAACCACGCCAGTTGACTCAATGACAGGCTGCGAATCGTTTTCTCCACCTCATTCAAAAAAACTCCTGCAACTATTGGGATGAGTGCTGCACAAGGATAATGCTGTGATTTTAAAGAATGTGGCCCGATTTGGTTTTTCTACAATCCCCATCCCACCCTGTCTTCTGAAATCACTTTTAAACTATCGCCCCAGTCATCTATAAATATTGGTGGGTGTCGTACACATGGCAATGAATGCTTACTTGTTCGATACCTCCTGACACCACTTTTTCTTCAAGGAATTAACTTAGCTAACTCACTTTGGTCCTGCTATTGTAATTCTAGATTTTTTAAATATAATACCAAATATAATTCACTTGTGGGCACAAAATGTTTCATTATTTTGAGAAAACAAATAATTAATCAACGTTTTCCTACTATCTCTTTTATATTTATCAAATCTGCTACTTAGGCCTATATATGATGTAATGAGTACAGCTGTATTTTTGTGACTTGTAGAAAGAGACTAGGACAATAAGTCGACGATAAAAATAACACGATGATACGACAGAATAAAGGTGTCGTATTATTGCGTCAATACTGTCGTGAAGTCGTGTTGTGGCGTTATGAAAAGGGCGAGATTTAACATGGCCACTATCAGCCACCATTACATTCATACGCCATATTACATTCAGACAGTGGAGCCCTATAAATCATTTCATTATACCCTGACAAATTCAATTTTCTGTAGGCCTACGGTATTCTGTTTTTGAAGACACTGCCCCAAAATAAACAAGAGAAGTTGTATCAGTTGATTGTACCCAAAAGTTCCGTATTCGTATTAGGAATGTCCATAATATGTATATTTTAACGTGAAAGTCAAAATAAAATGAACTAACGTCGGGTCTTGAGGGGGGCGCCATCTTGGAAATCGAATCGTCAATCCGGCAGGTGGGTAAGTTGGAAGATTTGCATAATCGATTTGGCAAATTGTCGTGGCAAATACAGCTGTTACGTGAAGCCGATAAGGCAAATTTTGACGTATCGTGATTTAATGGGATTCTCGTAAAATGCCTCTGGTTATCACTATGAACGACCAGAGAGCCAAATAACATGATCCTTACCTTAATTACGATGTGTTTATCCTCCCCATTTGTAACAACTGTGTAAGCTGAATAATAAACAGAAAGTGAAAGTACGTTGTTTTCCTGGAAATAATACCCGAAAGTAGAAGTATTGTGTTTAACAGGAAGTAGGGGGCCTAATCTTATGGACACAGATCACTAAAGATTTCCCCATTGACTCCAATGTTAATTCTCGTATCTTAGACCGGCTCTAACTTTTTCCCAAATTTTCGTTGGGTAGAACGCTTTCTACCACAGATGGAGCAACATGTGGCAACCACTTGCCCAAAAGCACGTATGAGGTTCTTCATGAAAAACTTGAGATACACAAGCTGGAAGTAGAGACAAGTAAACATGCAATTTCAGGCCCTACATTTCAACGTAACCAACCTCTCAACTCTTGTATCCTTCCGCATCAAAATTATGAATATTCACCAAAACCTGGCAGAAAATGTATTTTCAAACCCTTTTCCTCAATTCTACACCAAAAAGTCAACAAAAATCGCCACGCAAAAGGGGGAAAAAGGAAAAGGGAGAGGAAGACTAAAAATAGCTTTGGCCCTTGTTTCGTGGGTGACGGCGTAGGAATATTTGGTGATCTGTGTCCTATATAGGGGTGAAACTTCAGGTATCACCAAAAGGCCTTTTTTATTTCCTTCCCATGTGTTCTGGCAACATGCCGGTGAAAGAAAATCAAAATCAAAGAATAACTGTAAAAATGATGGCCCTTTAAGTACACATGCTGCTTTATGTACACTGGTGCATCTCAGGTCCATAGGCCTTTTGTGCTAAAATTTAAAAATCTTTCTTATTAAAGGCAGTATCTGAGTTCTGTGAAAAAATTAGACAAGTTACAAAGAAACTACATAGAAAACACTCATAATTTGGAATTTTTTTCAAAAATATAATTTTTTACTGCCATGTGATGAAAAATGTACAAAATTTACATGTAGCATCTCTCAAAATACCAATAATTTTCCACTTTTTTAAATATCCGGACGGACAAGAAATATATTTTTAGAATCTGTGGACAATATGCAAACAGAAAAAATGCAAACCAGTTGCAATGATTGTAATATTAGAGATCTATACTGAAACATGTATGCCTACCCCCTGAACATGCCACTGATTGAATTAATCTAATCTATGGTTGCAGAACTTACATTACCAAAGGAATCTGTCTAACAGCTATGTTTTACCATCCCTGGCTAACATATGCACATATAAACTAAAATAGGTGCAATAAATATGAATTATGGTTAAAAATAGGCCTTGATGAATGAAAAAAATGCCATATTTGGTCTATGATCACCCCTCTCTAACAGAAGGGTCACAGAATACACACTTTTCACAAATTTGGGAATATTTCAATGTTTCCAACATCTCAAACCTCAGAGGCATGATACAAATTTGTATTGCAATCCTTGTGCTGAAGCAAGATGTCTGGAACTTTACATTAATTTCCTGAAAAAATGAAGTCAAAAAAGTAGTCATGACGGACTTGACAACATAAAAAGAGGCCTGAAAAGGAGAAAAATTAACATTTTATTGTTTTATAGGCAACATAAATGCAGCAAACACCACAAATGCTGGATTTTGATAAGAAAATATTGAACATTAAACTGACATTTACACATCTACACCAGTTTTATATCTGGGTCTGGTCTCATTGGCCTGAAATGCCTCAGGGTTCTACGTTTGACTCTGAACAAATAAGGGTTAGAAATCCTTGAAATGCACAAAAAAAATATTTTTGGGTGAAAAATAACATTCTTAGCTGTAATTCAACCACAAATTCCAATTAAGATCATTTTCATGTCAATACAGGTGCATTTAAATCCCTCAAAACACATTAATAGAAAAGGGTGGGGTGGGGCATTTATTGCCTCTCTAAACAGAATGATGGAGTAAAAAATGTCTAGAAAGGCTGGGATATTGCTTCCTACATGAAGGAAATGCAAGAATTTAATGTTTCAAAGGAGAAAAAAATGCTTATTCTGGGTAAAATAGTGGCAAAATTGAGCCAACCCCTGTTTTGAACATTTTGTACAAACCCATCTGCTGTACATTATTAACTCAGTGTTACCAATTTTAAATTTTCTGTAGGAAAGCTGGAGCTATTTCTAAACCTGACAAACATGTAGATCCCATCTAAGTTATATTAGCAAAGAAAATGTGGACATTTTTAGACATTTTGACTCATTTTAGTAGTCATGAAAATATTAATTTCTACATCCAAATGGGGGGAATCTCAAGATTTTTTGTGAATATTCCTGATTTTTAGACAAAATTTGGTGAAATTTCAATACTGTTCACTTTATCTGTGCTTTCTGAGACTGAATAAGCCAACATTGGGCATTAGAATATTTTACTTACTGTTAAAAATTCAATAAAAATTGAAAATTGAGAAATTTGCAGTAAAATTACAATTTTTCTTCAAAACTTTTATTTTTTTTTTTTTTTTCATTAACTTTTTTTAGTTTTTCTGTAGCCAAACTATTTTATTCATATTTTCTGAGAATTTAATCTTCATATTTTCAAAACTAAGGCATATCAGTGACAGCCTTATCACACACAGACAGGACACAGATCACTAAAGATTTCCCCATTGACTCCAATGTTAATTCTCGTATCTTAGACCGGCTCTAACTTTTTCCCAAATTTTCGTTGGGTAGAACGCTTTCTACCACAGATGGAGCAACATGTGGCAACCACTTTCCCAAAAGCACGTATGAGGTTCTTCATGAAAAACTTGAGATACACAAGCTGGAAGTAGAGACAAGTAAACATGCAATTTCAGGCCCTACATTTCAACGTAACCAACCTCTCAACTCTTGTATCCTTCCGCATCAAAATTATGAATATTCACCAAAACCTGGCAGAAAATGTATTTTCAAACCCTTTTCCTCAATTCTACACCAAAAAGTCAACAAAAATCGCCACGCAAAAGGGGGAAAAAGGAAAAGGGAGAGGAAGACTAAAAATAGCTTTGGCCCTTGTTTCGTGGGTGACGGCGTAGGAATATTTGGTGATCTGTGTCCTTATTGCAATAAGGCCTACTACGTAAATCGGTTTCGTTTATTTTTCCATTTTTTACTCCGAATTAAAATATTATAACTTTGAATCTGATACCACAGGAAGTAAACTGGTGACATTGGTCGTCAAGATTTTTTGTTACAAATCATGTTGATATTTTGAAGGAATATTATTATGTTTGTAAGTGACTTAATATTAGCAGGCGTATTTGTGGTTCATAATGCTGGCAAGAAATGGTTTGGGGACTGTTTGGAGTTAAACACATATTTCATGGAAATGATGGCACCCAATAGCTTATTGGATGTTTACAAAAAATCCATACTATTCATATTTTAATACCCACTGATCTCATATAGTAGAAAAGTGTTTATATTCAATTATTTACGGCAGATCTTTCAACCAAGTTTAAAGTACATTAATTATTTGATAAATAAAATACACCAAAGTATCAGGTTCAAAATGCGATCTAGAAAACCAAAGTAAAAGGGGAAACTTGTATCTAAAAAAGGATATTTTATTTTCGTGTAGGAATCATATACACGCAAACGGAAAAAGAAACTGCACCTTTTAAACTTTGAATCGTCAGAATTATACATTCATTGATCGATTTTCTTTTGAATTTCGACTTTATACTTCAGACTTCCTACTAACGATTTTCTACCCCATATTTTTATCCAATAGAATTTATATAATTTCCTTCGCCAACTGATATTTGACGGAAATAAATTAGATCACGTGACATTCGATGTGGGTATAAGCTTTTTGCGATAGCATTGATTTGATTTTCCTGCTGTTATCCATACAATACCTAGAATCAGGACTTATTCGAAAACTGTATTCTTCTTGAAGATCATCGGTGTTATGGTTTAAAAAGCTAATGGTGATTACTGATCTGCAGTAGACTATCAGAAACCTAAATAACATCACAGACATTCTTCCCGATTGTGTTAGTGGATTTTGGCAGATAAAAGATGGGCCGGTCGGTCGGTCATAGAGTTTAACGGCCACTTCCAACCAAGAGTGATATGGTAGTCACGGATATGGGCGAGCAGTCAAAACACAACTTCATAAGAAATAACATTTGGTATAAAGAACGCTTTTGTGAGTATCCGTAGTTGTCATTTGGACTAAAGAACGCTTCTGTGAGTTTCCAGGTGATAATCTCTGGCATTCTGCAAGAAATGAATTGACACGAGCTCTTATCTTGGTCCATTTAGACGATAACATTATATTTTCTGAGAATTTCGACCAACATCTAGAATTTTCGCGCGATGTCCTGAACAAAGATTCTGCCGCAGACATTATCTTAAAACCATTCCCATTCCAAAATCATTGGTTCTTTTTCGGGTTTGTGTAATTTGCACCGTAAATGTCACTGGTCTGATGAATGTCAATCTGCATTTGAAGAAATCAAATGTAACTTAATTTCAGTCCCTATACTTCTCTATCTAGACGATGCTTCTGGCTATATCATGCGATTTATTCTTGGCCAGATAGGCAATGGACAAGGATTGCGGTCATCAGAAATGTCAATGTTTATCTTTCAAATTGAGGGGGGGTGGCTGAATGGTTAGCACGTGCGCGCAATATCATAAGGTCTGTCATTGAGTCAACTGGCATGGTTTCGAATTCCCGGTTGTACGTAACAAGGAGTAGGGTCGCCTGTCCAACCTCGTGTGTTTTCTCCGGGTCCTCTGGTTTCCTCCCACTGCTAAAGACCCCTACGCGCAAGCGAATTATTGAAATAAACAAGAATTAAACAATATGTTAGTCCCGAAATGACCATGTTTTTGTCGAGTGGACGTTAATCTCTCTCTCTCTCTCTCTCTCTCTCTCTCTCATCAGAGTATGTTCAAATTCCCCCAAGTTCAACGTTCGGCGGTTACCACAAAACACATAAACAATAGTTTTGAACTATGTATCACCCACAAAGACAAACCACGTTCATCCTTTCTATGCCGAATACCAACCTTCCAAAAATTGACATAGCTGCCAAGCAACGGGAATGTCCTGGTTTCATATCGATATCTAAAAACCAGTTTGGTATTTAAGGCTGAACAATATGATCTTAACCCCCTTTATCATTTCGATCAGCCGTAACGGAGGAGGCCAAAACCCGACGAAACCTCAATTAGTTTATCAAGAATCTTCCGTACACAAGCACTGCACTTTCATCACGATTCCTTGGCAGACGATTGTCGTAAAGACAGAGAGGCTACACGAGCTGCTCTTATTCAAAAATATTATTGGCCTAGAATGGACTAAAGAAGTAGCGATTATTATGCTAAATGCGAAACCTGTCATCACCATAAAGTTCCTCTGAACCTTATGCTGGTCAAAGTGACATTCTGGCGCCTTTGCGTAAACTTTCGGGGTCCATTCCCAGTAATAATCGAATGTTTCAAAAGGATTCTCTAGATGTCGATTCCTGCACAGTTTGAGCAATGTGTTTTCCCACTAAATGCTGATCCAAACACATTAGTTACTATCAGACAGGGACACCAATGCATGGAGTAAACATAAAGCAGTGAAGGAAAACTCAGACATAGCCTGCTAGAATTTCAGAACGATTAGAAACAATTTTTTTAATTTTATCAGAAAATGTAAACGCGAATATTTTGAACAAATTGATGACAAATGTAAAGATGAGGAAAGCTTTCGTAATCAAAACGGGTGGCAACTTATCAATTCATTTATGAAAAAGACACAACACCAGACATAATAGTACATTATCTCCCCTTACACTTGCACGGCAGCACATTAGGCGCAATGAAAATTCATTATGTGAAATGAAATAAAATGGGGTTTAACGTCCTACTGTTCTGATCCTAACCTGGGCTAATGAAGACGGCATTATGTATCATGAAGCTAAATCCCCAGGAAGTTAAAGACATGCTCGGAACAACTGATTCCTAACAAATGATGCTTCTGAATCTAGTAACGAAATGAGTGGAAAATTGTTCAAATCTTTATCTGAAGAAATATCTAAACCATTAGGCAATAAATCCAATCTATCCTTAAAATATAAAAAAGAAGATGATATCTAGAAATTTGCAATTATCACTGCCGTCCTAGGAGAGAGCGAAGTGGGGTTTAACGTCCACTCGACACAGACTAGGTAATTTCAGGAATAACATTAATTCAATTTTATTTCAATAATTCGCTTACGGGTAGGGGTCTTTAGCAATTTGAGGATACCGGAGGACCCGGAGAAAACCCACGAGATTGGCTACCCTTCTCATTGTCACGTACAAGCTGAAAATCGAAACAACGTGCACGCGTAACCATTCTGCCACCCACCCCCATGTTATAGTGAGCCCAAGAACGTCTTCATGTTAGGTGACTATACTATACAAAATTTCCCCCGTACCACATTGTGTGGCGTATATCTGTCTTCAATAGTTCGCCTGGTAATGGAATATAGATGTTATATATTATTGTAGTCCCTACTAGAAGCCGTGATTGCTGAAAAAAAGACACATCTTTGTGATGGCTGAAAATGTCCAGTTAGAGTGTTTCAAGATGTAACGTAAGGTCGCCTTAAGCCAGCGTAACAAAAAGGCGACGATCGCCGACCTATTCGTCGAACTACCTTGTCGCCGACCCGCTGCTATCAAAACAAGGAAGTCGAGTAAGTCAGTAAGATGAAAAAAAAAAAAATATATATTTTCCTTTCATCTATTTTTTATTTGAAGTTATACAGTTATCACAAATTATTATAAAATTGAGGATGTAGAGAAGTTTATAACACTTTAAAAGTGATTATATCAAATTATTATACAATCGAGGATGTTTAGACGTTTATAAGGCTTTAAAAGTGATTATATCAAATATATAGAGATGACACCGGTCATTATTTTAAAATAGAGATGACATTGGTCATTATTTTAAAATAGAGATGACACTGGTCATTATTTTAACAAAGTTGGATCCCATATACATATAACTTGAAATTAAATCTTTCAAAATCAATTGTTACAAAATTAAATAGAAAGAGTAAAGCGACATGAAAATTACGTGAAAGTGAGCGATGAGATTCAGTATGCTAACTGTTGTTATTCACTTCTATACCAGGTAAATTCTGGTGAAATAATTAGTTGAGCAGGTTCAGGTGTATGACAGGTGCCCGCCCGACTCTCTGTGATCAGTCCTTTCAATTCACAGTAAATGAACAATTTCTTCAAAATAAATTGGAATTCATTGGTAAATTATACACATGGAGCCGCCATGGGTACGCCCTTCAATGTGACATATCCTAACATTTTTCTCGGGTCTGAAGCAATCTAAAGCTTCAATTTGCAGTAAATGGACACACTTTAATGACTTGAGGTGCAACAAGCGTCATTCTGGACTACAATTTATCACTGGCGCGGTACTTCTTTTGGCATGAGAGGTCCTTCTACAATTAAATCAGTGCTGAGATTACATAAACAACCAGTCGCCAGGATCCGAATGATGTAAGTGGTAGTAAGAGAACGATTTTATATTAAAGTCAATTTTATACATCAGAAAGGAGTTTCTTTATCGCCCAATTGTCTTTCTTTTGGTTTTACTTGTATTTCTGCATTTGTTCCTTCAGTTATTTCTCCTTCTTTTCCCCCACCTATGTCGTCTTCTTCTTCCGGTTCTCTTTCTTCATCAGGAACAAAACCATCGTTAGAGTCACCGCAGTCTATGTCGTCATGAGTGACGTCATCATCAAATACTAAATCAACTTCAGCTTGCGGTAAATTCACATTACAATTTGTCGTAAATTCTAATTCTGCGTCAACAACTGGCCATCTCATCATAAATTTCAGAACTTTGTCTCGGAAAATATTCTGAAATCTGACGTTAGAGGAATCCAGTGAAGGAATTGGCGGTTTTGTGAAAAAGAAAGAACGGAGAAGAAGTGGAATGAGACCCGTTGCAATGGTAGCAAATAATTTACTAGTGGGTGATACGTATAGTGTGTCTCCATACGCCAATAGTAGAATAAATAGAAAAAATAAAAATAGCACAATCCTTCCTAAATCCTTTAGGGCATCGATTATAGAAGATCTTATAGTTCCGGGACATCCGGGGCAATTTACTTTCGTCATTTCACGAAAGAACGCGTGTGGTATATACGGTATATCATTTCTATCTAAAAATAATACAATTCCCTTTATGCACATGCGTAGATAACCATTTTTAACATCCCATATTGCTTGGGGACTTTCATCAACGAGTCCGTTCTCTATGGAATTGTCGTCAACAAAATCTGCGGCTGTATGCTGAAACGCCATGTTAGTTTGGTCTTCATATCTTTTTCTTGACTCTGCTAACACGGATTCCTTTTTAACAGCGGTGACAGCCGGCAACAGAGACTTGTGATAAGTATCATACTTTCCAGTTAGGCTGTTAGAAGTGTCCCGGACATAAATCCCAATGAGTATACATAACGACACAATGCTCATTGCATCACTTAAGTTAATCAAGATATTGATGATACCCATACACACAGCATGTAGTAGAAAGTTAAATCCTATTGTTAAAATAACAAACACTGATAATAAAGTCAGACATAAAAACAACGATAATTTTGGTCCACAAGTAATCGGATTGGAGTAAAATTTAAAACCTTCCGAACAACATAGTTTCTTACATCGGCGAATCAGCATCCGCATAACAGGGGACGCAAAAATGGCGAAAACCAGGAGAATTAAAGGGCTGAGGAGGAGCCCTATTATAAAGAAAGGGACGAAAAATGTACCACATTTAGTGAAAGGTTTCCTCAAAAGTTCCAAAACTCTCATAGAAAGTGGTTTGTGTTTTTTATGTGATGAATTAATGGAGTCAGTCATGAGGTCTGCCATTTCTTCGTGAATACTGTTGGACATTATAGCTATAAGTACATACACTGCATACAACAAGCATAAAATGGCTGTTATGACTTTACCTGCCTCGGTTCCTATATAAAAACTAGATGTCTGACGTAGACCACAGGATTCTATTTGTTGTCCTAAGTCTTGATATTCCAGGCCGTCCGCTGACATCAAGTAGAAGAATGGGATGGCTGGAAGAGCGAGCACAGTATAGATGAATGTAGTGTTAAGTATATTCACACAGGACATGAGACGAATTGGTTTACTTGATTTCGTCAAACAGCCACAAATTGGGGTATCCAGACATTGCTTGATAGGTTTAACTCGGCGGATTTTACATCGAATAATCATATCATATAATAGTTTTGTCAGACTAATAGCCTGATCACTTTCTGATAAAATATCTACTCGATGAATTAATAGATCTATAGCTTTTATCTTGACTTCATAAATAGTATCTCTTACTATAGCTGCATTCTTCATACTTCTGGTTAGATCCCTCATTTGATCAAAAATGACGGATGGGACGCGGGTACCTTTTATGTTATATTTATCAGGGGTTTTCGTTTTAACAATTTTCAGAATCATCGGTGGAATGAGGTTAAACCTGAATATGGGACGTGCATATTTTTGAGGTAGGAATTTGGGAAAATAAAGAAAGAGAAATATTGTGACCAGGAGGAAAAAGAGTCGCAAGATCCAAACCGCCGCATCTTCCACTATATCAACACAATTTTCATTCAGTTTACAACAGTGATAAACTAATATTCCAAAACCTAGTTCGTTTTTAATAAACATTGAACACACCTCATTGAAATCTGTCCCTACAACTGATTGTAATAAACATTGTTCTGTATCAGAATGTGTCTTATTTCCGATGGTTATGGTTTTGTTTTTTGTTAATGGGATAAACGATTCAAAGAAGTTATAGTAATAATATATCAACAGAAGCAAACGATTTGATCTGTCGCCACGGACCAGAAACCATCTCGTAGGTTTAAATAATGGACAATCACTTCTGGTGTCGGTTGAATTCTGTAGATCCAGTTGGATTATTCTTTTATTGTCCACCAGTGCTGCATCTATGATGGAATTCAGATCAGCTGTACAGTTATCTCCCTTTACTATTGGCAGGAGCACACATATGCCGAATATGAATACAGCTTTCCAAAACATATCAACCATTTTAATTTCACAGTCGTCCGTTCCGTGATTAGTAACCAACAATGGAACAGCTTATATGGCGGCTGACTCTTCAGTGCTGGATGGTGTCGATGAGAAAGCTGAAAGATAATAAACATTATGTATTTATAATGAAGCACGCATTAGTCAGATCATAAAATAATTGATAATTTAAATCCTAACCCTGGAACTTCATTGTTACACAACAGGGGGTTACAGGTGACAGCTACCTTGATGTTACTAAATTGGGTTGTTCTTTCACAATTCTAACAATTTCTGAGAATGGGTCACTCACAGTTCAAGCCTTCGGTTATTTCTGAGAATGAGTCACTCACAATTCAAGCCTTCAGCTATTTCTGAAAATGAGTCACTCACAGTTCAAGCCTTCAGCTATTTCTCAGAATGGGTCACTCACAGTTCAAGCCTTCAGCTATTTCTCAGAATGAGTCACTCACATTTCAAACCCTCAGGTTTTTCTGAGAATGAGTCACTCACAGTTCAAGCCTTCAGCTATTTCTGAGAATGGGTCACTTACTTTATTTGACAGGCAACGAAACATACACCCACAGCAGCTAAGTCGCCCTGGAGTCAACAAGGGTTGTCGCATATTTTCTCTTTTGTCAGTAATGAGAACATTTACAACACATGAAAATCTGATTACGAGTAATATCCCATGAGGTAATTATCAAAAAAAACCCATTAGAATTAATTTCGATGGTTTGTCTCATGACCTTAAGCAATTTATATTAACTTTAGCCCCTAGGGCGTCCACAAGATTTTTTAAAGTTATCAAGGGCCATAACACTGGCATCGGAAGTCGTTGAAAAGGACTCTTTGTCTCGTGACCTTAAGCACTGTGTATAAGTATAAAGTCAATCAGATATGAACTTTAGCCTCAAGAGCTTCTACAAGATTTTTCAAAGAGATCAAGGGCTATAACTCCAGCACTAATTATTGAAAATAGTTGTCAATCAAAAGGCTTCTTTGTCTCATGACCTTAAACATTGCGTATAAATTTAAAGTCAATCGGATAATAACTTTAGGCTCTAGAGTGTCCAAAAGATATTTCAACGCGATCAAGGGCCATAACTCTGACAGTAATTATCGGAAATCTTTTAAATTCAATAGGATTCTGAGTCTCATAACCTAAAACACTGTGTATAAATTTAAAGTCAATCGTAGCCATAAGATATTTCAATGAGATCAAGGGCCACAACTCTGGCATTAACTATCGGAAATCGCTGAATATCTATAGACTTCTTCGACAATATATGACCACATTTCAACGTGGGAGTGTAAAAACAAGGTTGAAACAACCGCTTACAAATATGATAATAGTTCGCCCAAAATGCTTACGTATCTAAACTTTTTATATAAATTATATAATTTAGACCAGCGCGTTTCCTCGGCAGACGGTTGGGCGATAATAGCCTGGATAGACTTATGACGGTTTTAAATGTAGTTAACCCTAGTTACTATTATGTTTATTATGCAAATTAGTATTTTATAATCATAGTTTTACTGGTACTTTTCATATTCTTAGACGACGAGGGGTGCAGCTGTGACAACAGGTAGTGTCACATCCCTCGATTTGAAGTGCGTGTCGCGGGATAGTCGTAGAGGGCTTCCTACAAGTGACACACTGTAACCGATAGGGGCTTTAGAGGGTATTTCACTCCAACATAATCACTACGACTACCCAAACATTTCAACTCAAAAAGAACTGTAATCTAAAACATATAAGTGCAAATTACGACTCAAACATAACACTATTACAACAAATTAGTGCAAATAGTACATTATACAGAAATGTCTTGGATCAAGAGTGTTCTTTCGGTTGCCCCTCCCCACCATAAAGCAAATAACCTGTTTAGCGTGACGAAGAGAGAAGGGAAGGGAACATGAAGAAACAGCTAGGCGTCTGACACTCAAATGGCTATATTTATATATAATATACTGAATATCTAAGATTTATATACGTCCTTTAAATTTTATATAGGTGTTAGGTCATGCATGACATACTGCTCAACATATACGATAAAACGTAACCTAGATACAATCTACTACACGACTTGATTTAAATACTAGGCAGAACATATTCATGATTAAACTTAGTCAAGGTTTTCATGTACTGACACTATCCTGTCCCAAAACATCGACCAATGAAATTGGTTGTCTCTTCTTAGCCAGAATATGTTTACCTTTCAAAATGAACTGCGTATATGACAATTATTAAACAGCAAGATCTAGTAGATATTAGACTGTCCACCTGAATTAAAAAACATATCGCTGTTTTTGACAAAAATGTTAAAATTATTTCGAAATCTTAGTTAAAACTGTCAAAAGGTACCTTCATGCATTTAGAACACGGTCAGTAGGTGACACCTCACGACTATGTTTAAAATTAAATTTATCCAAACATTAATGTAAATATAATAGGAATACCAACCTGTCATACACCTGGAACACGTTTTACCGTTTTATGTTCCCAATGGCCTTTGCTGTCAAAATTGCAAATAATAGGGCGTGGCTATATTTGTTTTAAGTACGGGGTGTCGATTCTTGCTGTATAATGGCTATTGTGTTGGTTGTTGACCAGGAGAGAACCAGTTTTCTGATTTATACCAGTTTTCACCAAATGTTAAAAGATCCACTTTTGTTTGAGAATTTTTCGTGGGATTCCGAGCCTCACAGTTTTACAAGCTAAATAGTTGATGTTTCTAAAGACTAGGATTTATCTATCAAAGTCGTGCACAACTACGGATCGATAAATTTCTAAATTTCAAACTTTCCACCTATTAGACCTAATGGTGCAAACACAGACAAGCCGCAGGAAGATTTAGGATATATATATTTTAAAAAATAATTAGATCAATGCTAGGTGTATGATACATTCTAAAAAAAGTTCCGACTCTCCGCTGCATCAACCCTGTAAATAACCATTAAAAAGTATAGTGAGCAAGTCCGACATTTTGGAGTAGTCATAATGTCAATAACATGGATACAGATGACAGTAATGACAACAATACCACCTAAAATATCGCACAGCCAATTGTCCGATGTCCTGTTTTTCTATCCAATCGCAATTCATTCTAAAGGTATTAATTTTGTATATAATAATAAATAGTAAAAGTCTATCTATCTATATATATACATTTATATAATATTTACCTGTAACAAGAGTGTTGATGTTGATTATTAAATATTGATTGATTCTCCATGGTTACATCCCATCTCGGCTATCGACTTTTCTACTAACATGTTTTGAAACAATATGTCTATTTTAAGCAAAGCCGACGCATATCCTTGCCTTTGATTTATAAAATTCTGTTGTATGATTGGCTCACTGAGGTTGTTAGCTTGTATTTCAAGCGGCTATAGCCTTTTTTTCTAATAGATAATATAATCAACTATAGAAAACAGCCTTATACGATTCTTTAGGTAATTTATTCAGTCGTGTATAATATATACATAACTAGAAAGACATTTCTAAAGGCGTTTATTATCTCCATTTATTTGTCATACACGTATACGCCATGGGTTAGAGATTATGAAGTTATGAAGCGACATCTTCAACAATTTAAAGGCAATGGAAACTACATCAGTCACATTACTCGTATGGTCTGCAATAAAATAGTTTAGTCATTTGCTTTTTTTAAAAATGATAAAATTGTTTTTATTAATCTCTACTTCCGAATCTACAAGTTTAATGAATGAATGAATGAATGAATTGAATGTTGTGCACGAGGGGGTTTGCCAGGATCCTGTTAAGAAAATTTGACAGTTGACAATGCATGATGCCATCGTCGTCTCGAAATTACGTAGGCATACATACACATCGAACTCTTTAAAGAGAGAAATCCAACATCCTGTTTGATGTCAATTTTTATAATGAATTAATAGGATCACATTGTGATTCAATTTCATTGATGCAAAGCATTGCTTGTGATATCACATATTATGTCGTTATCATTATCTCGCCCTTTGAATGCCCAGCCCAGCCCAGCCCAGCCCAGCCCAACATCTGATGATAAAAGATAAATCACACAACCGTACCACTTTTCTCATAAAAGAGTTATTTTACAATATTTTTATGTAACTGAGTGGGGGAGGGAGGACTCCAGCTGGATCTATCCCTGAGAGCGTATCGACCTATTGTTTTGCAGCACAATGCTTTTATGAAAAGTAAGAAAATACACGCCAACAATTAGGCTGATGTTCGCCGCTTTTATCCCAAAATAAATAGATGTACACATATTTTAATATAAACTAAATGCACATTCACCTTTTTGTAAAGCATCGAGCAATCAAACTGCGTATCTATATTTCGCCTAGGGAGGAAATGCTCCGGATCGCAAATCGTTAAGGCTTTGGTGTAATGAAACTATATATCAAGTTGCACCCCCACCCCTCCTCCATTAGAAGCAAATGCTTCATGTGCCGAGAAAGTTTTGCTTCGTTTCATTGCTTATGTCTGCTTATCGGAAAATGTTAATAATTGTAGAAATTAGTCGTCAAGGTATTGATGTTTTACCACTCTCACCCTTCGTGTCCCACAGCATTCGTCTACAGCCTTGGTACAATAAACAGTTTAGGCGTATAGACTAGCAGAAATAGAAACAGTTCTAGATTTATATGTTCAAACATCATGTTGGACCAGATAAAGAGAACTTCTCCTCCCCATCTAATCATTATATTCAGTGTTTAACTTTCCAACAAATGGTTGATAGACTGATTAACAGACAGAGGTGTCCATAATATACCGCCATATTTTAATCTAACGGTTTACAAACACTGAAACATACATTATGTGAAACATGTGAAAATAAAAATGAGACAGTCAAAAATTTAGAATCTGGAGCCGCCATGGGTCCACCCCGCACTGTGACGTGATGAAACCATTACCTAATAAACCAGATATTTTAACCACCGTCTCTCCCACTAGAAGAATATATTAATTTCGTTTTGAGATCAAATTCTATTTATTGGAAGCTATTGATCTGGAAATATAGCAATACAATGTTTTATAAACATCAATTATAATAAAATATATACATATACAATAACTGAGACATTTTTAATATTAAAAGATAAAAATTGATTATATTCAAATTATATATACGAATTAAGATAAAAAAAAAAATCTGTTTTACTTCTGATAACCATAATCTCTTCAGATTATGATTGGCTATCCCTTTGAACCTGGCACCCCTCTATACAATGACAGTGTATCCGATTCTAATGTGTGTGTATGTGCTGGGGGGGGGGGGTGAGGATGGGTATGCTAATATTTTGTTATTCTATACTTTGCCAGGTCTGACGCAATGTAAAACTTCAATACACAGAAAATGGGGACACGTTTATGACTGTTTTTCTCGTGGCGGAATCGTCAATCAGTCGCCAGGATACGAGTGATGTTAGTGGTAGTTTGGAATGTGTTACCAAGAGAGCGATTTTATATTAAAGTCAATTTTATACATCAGAAAGGGGTTTCTTTATCGCCCAATTGTCTTTCTTTGGGTTTTACTGGTAGTTCTGCATTTGTTCCTTCAATGATTTCTCCTTTTTCTCCACCTACTTCGTCTTCTTCCAGTTCTCCATCTTCATCAGGAACAAAACCATCGTTAGAGTCACCACAGTCTATGTCGTCATGAGTGACGTCATCATCAAATATTAAATCAACTTCAGCTTGCGGTAAATTCACATTACAATTTGTTGTGAATTCTAATTCTACGTCAACAACTGGCCATCTCATCATAAATTTCAGAACTTTGTCTCGGAAAATATTCTGAAATCTGACATTAGAGGCATCCAGTGAAGGAATTGGCGGTTTTTTGAAAAAGAAAGAACGGAGAAGAAGTGGAATGAGACCCGTTGCAATGGTAGCAAATAATTTACTAGTGGGTGATACGTATAGTGTGTCTCCATACGCCAATAGTAGAATAAATAGAAAAAATAAAAATAGCACAATCCTTCCTAAATCCTTCAGGGCTTCAATTATAGAAGATCTTATAGTTCCGGGACATCCGGGGCAATTTATTTTCGTCATTTCACGAAAGAACGCGTGTGGTATATACGGTATATCATTTCTATCTAAAAATAATACAATTCCCTTTATGCACATGCGTAGATAACCATTTTTAACATCCCATATCGCTGGAGGACTTTCATCAACAAGTCCGTTCTCTATGGAATTGTCGTCAACAAAATCTGCGGCTGTATGCTGAAACGCCATGTTAGTTTGGTCTTCATATCTTTTTCTTGACTCTGCTAACACGGATTCCTTTTTAACAGCGGTGACATCCAGCAATAGAGACTTGTGATATGCATCATACTTTCCAGTTAGGCTGTTAGAAGTGTCCCGGACATAAATCCCAATGAGTATACATAACGACACAATGCTCATTGCATCACTTAAGTTAATCAAGATATTGATGATACCCATACACACAGCATGTAATAAAAAGTTAAATCCTATTGTTAAAATAACAAACACTGATAATAAGGTCAGACATAAAAACGATGATAATTTTGGTCCACAAGTAATCGGATTGGAGTAAAATTTGAAACCTTCAGAGCAACATAGTTTCTTACATGGGCGAATCAGCATCCGCATAACAGGAGACGCAAAAATGGCGAAAACCAGGAGGATTAAAGGACTGAGGAGGAGCCCTATTATAAAAAAAGGGACGAAAAATGTACCACATTTAGTAAAAGGTTTCGTCAAAAGTTCCAAAACACGCATAGAAAGTGGTTTGTGTTTTTTGTGTGATGAATTAATTGAGTCAGTCATGAGGTCTGCCATTTCTTCTTGAATACTGTTGGACATTATAGCTATAAGTACATACACTGCATACAACAAGCATAAAATGGCTGTTATGACTTTACCTGCCTCGGTTCCTATATAAAAACTAGATGTCTGACGTAGACCACAGGATTCTATTTGTTGTCCTAAGTCTTGATATTCCAGGCCGTCCGCTGACATCAAGTAAAAGAATGGGATGGCTGGAAGAGCGAGCACAGTATAGATGAATGTAGTGTTAAGTATATTCAAACAGGACATGAGACGAATTGGTTTACTTGATTTCGTCAAACAGCCACAAATTGGGGTATCCAGACATTGCTTGATAGGTTTAACTCGGCGGATTTTACATCGAATAATCATATCATATAATAGTTTTGTCAGACTAATAGCCTGATCACTTTCTGATAAAATATCTACTCGATGAATTAATAGATCTACAGCTTTTATCTTGACTTCATAAATAGTATCTCTTACTATAGCTGCATTCTTCATACTTCTGGTTAGATCCCTCATTTGATCAAAAATGACGGATGGGACGCGGGTACCTTTTATGTTATATTTATCAGGGGTTTTCGTTTTAACAATTTTCAGAATCATCGGTGGAATGAGGTTAAACCTGAATATGGGACGTGCATATTTTTGAGGTAGGAATTTGGGGAAATAAAGAAAGAGAAATATTGTGACCAGGAGGAAAAAGAGTCGCAAGATCCAAACCGCCGCATCTTCCACTATATCAACACAATTTTCATTCAGTTTACAACAGTGATAAACTAATATTCCAAAACCTAATTGGTTTTTAATAAACATTGAACACACCTCATTGAAATCTGTCCCTACAACTGATTGTAATAAACATTGTTCTGTATCAGAATGTGTCTTATTTCCGATGGTTATGGTTTTGTTTTTTGTTAATGGGATAAACGATTCAAAGAAGTTATAGTAATAATATATCAACAGAAGCAAACGATTTGATCTGTCGCCACGGACCAGAAACCATCTCGTAGGTTTAAATAATGGACAATCACTTCTGGTGTCGGTTGAATTCTGTAGATCCAGTTGGATTATTCTTTTATTGTCAACAAGTGCTGCATCTATGATGGAGTTCAGATCCGCTGTACAGTTATACCCCTTTACTATTGGCAGGAGCACACATATGCCGAATATGAATCCAGCTTTCCAAAACATATCAACCATTTTAATTTCACAGTCGTCCTTTCCGTGATTAGTAACCAACAATAGAACAGCTTATGTGGCGGCTGACTCTTCAGTGCTTGATGTTGTCGGTGAGAAAGCTGAAAGATAATAAACATTATTGTTAGCGCACAACTTCGATGACAAGGTACGGTGCACAATTTGATACTTATATACAATAAACTGAAATACAAATAAGACATGCACGAAAATAAACATTAAGGAGCTCAGACAAGTAGAGGGGGCGTGGGGTGGGGGAAGTTGTTTATGCATTTTTTATGTAAGAACTTAACTCAAATTGAAATAGGGACAGTTTATTAGTCAGTGTGTAATTAACCTAGCAACAGTTTATTAATCAGTGAGTTATTCACCTAGCAACAGTGTATTAATCAGTGTGTAATTAACCTAGTAACAGTTTATTAATTAGTGAGTTATTAACCTAGCAACAGTTTATTAATTAGTTATTCACTTAGCAACAGTTTATTAATTAGTCCCTAGTCAGTTATGCACCTAGCAACAGTTTATTAATTAGTGAGTTATTAACCTAGCAGCAGTTTATTAATTAGTGAGTTATTAACCTAGCAACAGTTTATTAATTAGTTATTCACTTAGCAACAGTTTATTAATTAGTCCCTAGTCAGTTATGCACCTAGCAACAGTTTATTAATTAGTGAGTTATTAACCTAGCAGCAGTTTATTAATTAGTGAGTTATTAACCTAGCAGCAGTTTATTAAAGATACATTATGGGAGATAAGATAAAGAGATGGCAGTTCGCGCTATAATAGTTAAAAACTAGATAGTATAAAGGTAATTTGCTGAAAATTTCAGTCAAATTGATCCACTATGAGCCGAGAAAGAAGCGGGTGAAATTTTTGCATAGTCTCGGTCATCATTACTAAAATCATTAATATAAACAGCATAGTCTCGATTATCCACTTTTTTTTAATTAATTATCAATGGCCGTTAGCGGCATATAGGAATCTAATCCAGCCAACATCGAAGGCTAGCCTTGACATCGAGAGTTTATTATGGTCTGGATAAGTTAATTAATGCCTAATTGATAATTTAAATAACATTTCAGGCCGAAAGAAAGACTTGTAATAAGCAGATTTTGCTCTTGGATAATGCATGTTTAATTAGTGAGTTATTAACCTAGCAACGGTTTATTAATTAGTGAGTTGTTAACCTAGCAATAGTTTATTAATTAGTGAGTTATTAACCTAGCAGCAGTTTTTTAATTAGTGAGTTGTTAACCTAGCAATAGTTTATTAATTAGTGTGTGAAGAACACCAGAGAGGAAAGAATTGAAATTATCCAGCCATATGGATTGATTTCTGTTTTTGTTGCATGGTTTGTGATAATTTTTCTAATCTGACTAATTTTCCTTATAATATAGTAGTAATATACTATCTTCAGCCAGGAATATAGGTGTTTTATAATATAGTAGTAATATACTATCTGCGCTTCCATACACATCATTCTTGGCTGAAGAAGATGGGGTCACTGTCACCAAAAGAAATCAACTTATTGCATGCCCCACTTTGTGTAGCGGTTGTTTAAACAGTAAACACATATTCTGTTTTCTCAGAATTTAACCTAGATGTAACAGTAATATAATAAAACAGTACATAACACAGAAATATGTCCATAAGAGATTTGTTCGGGTTGCTTCACCCACCACCAAAGCACACTTGAGGTTAAGAAAGGGAATAAGAACAGCCAGTTAGGCCTTTCACATTACATACTGAATAAGCTATATCTAAGATTTATACATTGTATATACTTCCTTTAAGTTTTATATTGGTCTTAGGTCATTTTAATATATTATATGACTATAATAAGTTTTAAATATGCCTTGGTTCATGCATCAGTAATTGCTGGAAATTGACACCCAAAATAACCTGGGTGTATGATAGATTGCATGTGAATATAAGTAAAACCAGTGGTTACTAGGCAGGATACGCCCACATTTTGCAAGAGATGGATAGAGAACAAGCTAAAAACAAACAGGATGTTTTGTACAATCAGGGGCAATAATCCAGAAAGTTATGGTCTGAAATGCGCAAATATCAAAAGGGACTGAGATCTTTGGGATATAAATAGAAAATCTCCTACGAGTCTTTTTTGATATAAAAAAATATCAACACAAGTTGATAAAGTAACAAAAAACGAGGCTCTGCAAAGGTTTTTTTACTTTATCAACGAGTGTTGATATTTTTTGATATAAAAAAAGACGAGTAGGAGATTTTATTTATCACCCAATCCTTTCTTACATGCGCAAATAAGTAAATATAATTCTTTGCTATAAGACTTCACTGTTACTGAACCTGATTACATTACGGCGTAGTGATACATCATTTTTTGACAGCAATTCAACCATTGCAAAGTCCTTTATATTGACCCAGTGTTTCCATCAAAGTCAATTAAATAAAACAAAAAACATTTTTAATAAAAAAAAAAATGAACTGTTCTTTGAAAATACAAAAAAGTAGTTCCTTTTGTACTGACCAATCAAATTCACATAAGCGATATCTACTGTAGAATGGATTATTGGGTGATAAAGATATGTTTTAAGTTTCATCAGAATCGGATAAAAATTGTGACCTCTAGAGAGTCCACAACCTTCGTTTTGCATACTTTTACACCATTTGCTTACAAAGAGCGGCCATTTTGAAAATGTGGGCATATAAAAACAAGTATTTGGTGAATGGCTGGTGTATAAATGGAGGGTGTAGAGCACAAGTGATCTAACTACCAACCATTTTAGTTGGTTGTTTGATTAATTGTGCTCTAGACCCTCCAAATATTTTGAACAATAATTCGACTAATGTCAGGTGTATAATATATTCTCAAAACTTCCGAATGAACTTTTGAAATTGACAGTGTCGGGTTGAAATGAAGAGAGATGCTGGGCTATTCCATTTATAAGGCCCCTACCAATACCCCAAAATCGCAAGTAAACACAATTGAGCTAAGTCGAGGATAAATCTTGAAACCCTCCCAGACTGCCACGCCTACAGATATATCTTTAAGGTCCTCCCAGACTGCCAAGCCTACAGGTACAGGGGCGGATCTAGGAATTTTGAAAAGGGGGGGGGGGCGCAAAATGAGGGCACTGACCGCGGAGACGGGGCACGCCGCTGAGAGGGGGGGGCAAGAAATTATCCGTCATTTCCTTGCACCTGTAGACTTTCCAAGAGCTATTTGGCTGATATTTTCGTCTAAGTAAATGTTCGGAAATCGTTGAAAAAGAGCCTTAAAATCGAGCAAAAAAGCCAGTTGAACATGCTACTCGAAAATTGTCAAGGCGAGCAGTTATTGTTAAAATGGTATATTTCACTCCTTAAATACGGAATAAATAAAGTTGGTACATGATGGGAAAAAAGACGATTCTATTCCCTAGCCACTTTACTACCTGTGTACTGTCCACACATGAAACAATGCTACATCAAGTTGCACTCATGCGCGTCGGTGATGGGCATGAGTGTATACGGCGCGAATTTCACAAGATGCTATCATTGATGTCTGTCTATAGTCACTCTATAGGATTAGGGCACCGTCAGCTAAACAACAAGAATTCCTTTGAAAGTGGAAGCATTAATTAGACCAGACTGGTGTGTTTAAGTCGATGGTTTGAGTCATTTGGGATCCCTGCAACGGGTTTAAACGGACATATTTGGGTCTGAGAAAATGCACTTTCAGCAGTAAAAAAGGGCACTGTCGAAAATAAGGGGGGGGGGCCTCTTAGGTAAATCCGGTACTGAAAACTGATAAACAGATCTTAAGGTTCTGACACTGCGCTGTCACCAACCTTAAAAGAACCATTAAAAACAGTAGTCATAATATGTTTTTAATTTTGACACAGACGGCAGTAGTGACAACGAAATTGTTTAAAATGGTCACATTAGCTAATTGTCCAATACTGTCTATCTAAAGTTTATTGTAAAGGTATACAATAATAAATAACAAAACTCTAATATTTACCTGTAACAAGAGTTGATGATTAAATATGGATTGATTCTCTATGTTAACATTCCACCTCCCCTTTCGATGTTTTGAAACGATCTAAATGTAGGTCTATTTTAAGAAAATCAGGCGCATATCTACGGTGGCTGGGACAGGACACTCCAAGACGCTATTTCTCCCAAAGTACCTCGTTCGATCGACTTTTTATCTCGATCAATCGACGTTCTACATCGATCGATCGACTTTTTTACCTAGATCGATCGACGACCTGTCTTGGCTTCGCCAAGCGTTTTTTAAAGTTTTTATTTACGTTGCGAAACAGAACTTGCCAAGAGTGGGTTTGTTCACCCACCAACAGGGAACGTGAGCTAGATTTAGACTTTCGTGAGACAGGTTAGTTTTACCTAACTGGCAGGGAATCATTCGAGCGGGTACGAACCGGTAGGACTGACTAGTACGAGAGGAACGTTGGTCCGGGATTGAAAGCGTTGGTGCTTGGTGGTTTATTGCCATTGTGGCTTTGCCTTTGCCTTTGTTATGGTTGAAAGCTTGCCTCTAAGCCGGAATCCGCGTCTGATAATATGATATTGACTTTTCAACTCTGTATAAAATTATGTTAAGGCACGGACTGGCGATGATCTAATTAAACATGTAATTAATCCCATATGTCATTTAAAAACTACATAGTACATATGATCTGTACACACGCTCCGCTTTACTTCAAAGGAATACGCACTGGTCAGTAAGCTGAACTAAACTGATCTCTATTATCACTAAGATAGTGTTACAGTAGCGCCGCTGTCCGTGCAAAATTTCCCTCGTAGCATACTGTATGGCATATGCCCGTGTTCATTATTCCAACCGGAGCAGAGAACAGTAGGACGTTAAACCCCATTTCGGCAGGGCGAGTTCCTGTCTCGACTCGGAGTTTGAGAGGCGGACGGGCAGGGATTCTTCAGACCAGCCAAGGGCGATGATATTTCGTCCTAGTAGCCAGTCTCGGAGTTTGAGAGAGACATACAGAGAAATGACTTCCGGTGCTACACGAGGCGATGGGCGTGTCTCGGAGTAGTCGTCGCGAGACCCGTCGTTGGCTAAATGACGGTGAATGCCAATGTTAGGTTTTTCCGCCTGGCTGATTGGTCTTTAGACAGTAATTGGATCGATCGAAATATTAAAATCGTTAAATGTCCTTTCTCAGCCACCGTACACACACTTGCCTTGAGTATTTCCTGGTATTGACAAGTTCAAGGATATCGGTTGTTAGGTTGAATTGAAGCGACCATAGCCTTTTATTTGGGTTATAAACATTTCCTGTTTACTGTGTAAATAGCTAATTTACTACACACCACATGCACATTTAAAGGAACTAAGTTTTTAACTCAATTAGAATTCAATATTGATCATTTTCTATCAATGTTGATGTTCTTATCATGTCGTAAAACTATAGCATCCTACTATCCAATATTTAAGACAAAATTAAAATTTTATAATCAGTACACGAGTCGTGTACTATATGGTTTCGGGTGCCATTTTGTAATGAACAAATAGAAACATAACCTACAACCAGGGGCGCCGGAATGGCGCGAGGGCCAGGGTACCAAAAGATAGGGGGGTGGGTCTAGAAAATTTTGAAATTTGTCAATTTCGAGAATGCTGTTTAGAGCGCCTCTAGCATTTCAAATTCCAACATAAAATCCTTTAAAATACATGACAATGAAAGAGACAAAAGTCTGATTATTCACAATTTTCGTATCATGAGCAATTCATCTCATAAAAAATTCTTTTTAATTTCACATCCAATACACCAATCTTCATCAAGAAAATAGAATACGCCTTTTGAACGAGACAGAGACACGATTCTTACATCTATTATTTAAAAATGAATAGACTAATAAAAAGGTTGAAAACTTTCATCATTAGGGCATGGGTATACATGAATACCCCAGAAAAGGGCAGGGTTCCATTTGTATACCCTGCCTACAACACAATGTGGAAGTAATTAGTAATGGCTGGTCCACAAACGACAAAATAATAATTTAAAAAACGTGTAAAATGTACTAAGCAGGCGTAAACACAGCCGTTCAGTTTAAACTGTTCACGTATTTCACCGAACATGGAAGATGGCAGTTCTTCATGTAGTGTAGGCCATCGAAAGTATAAAAAAAACGAAACGAATTATAGATCTGTATTTAATTAGATTGAGCCATACGCCCTTTAAGTAAACATATTAGCATACGGTTAACAGTTAGAATTAGGTCGTAAAGTCCGCTCTATAAACTTTAGCCCCTTGTAGATTTTTGTTTTACGTGTAGTGCGGTCCTCCTGCACTTACTATTAGAGTAGAGTTTTAACCCTTCGTACTGCAGAATGTTCTCGTTGTCGGGTTTTGCTCCTGTTTGCTCACTACACTTATAATTGTAGCATTTTCCGAGATTCTATCCGGATTATCGCCCTTATTGTTAAAATTGTTTGACGTTCTAACTCATGAGGTCAACTGGCAGACTATCGCTATTGAGGAGACGACCACTGTCAAGATCGGTCGCATTATTTCTGTTACGTCTTTTTTGTAATCCTGATTGTTTTCAAATTTGAGTGAAGTATGTGTCACTACAGACCCGGGACTGTACAGCGCAGTGGACGCTTACGGCTGGCCCCCGGATCCATTCACTTGATTTGATATTTGTTTATTTGGTGCAATGTCTATTTTCTGTCTTGTCCGCAGGTTTATCTTGTAGATTTTTGTTTTACGTGTAGTGCGGTCCTCCTGCACTTACTATTAAGCATTCACAAGAGTTTTCTAAGTGGTCAATATCCTATTGAATACTTGAGAGAAGGGTGTGCCTGGTTATCTTTCCTCATCTCATAAACACCGTGAATCGATGAGGTCATAACTTTAGCCTATAGTAGGACGTTAAACCCCGTTTCATTTATAGCCTTTCAGTGAGGCATATAACTCTAATAATAGTTCAAATCTTGATACAAGCACTTAAATTTGCATAGGTGTCCGTTCAGGGTCATTTATTAAGAAAATCATTTTGGACGTCATTTTACCCACTGGATCGATTAAAAGTATTTTTATACGCTCAGATTTCCATGTGTCACCATTATCCATCCGCCGTTCACAATTTTGATAAAACTTAACATATATGCTTATTTCATATAGGCATAACTGTAAAATATGTACAAAAATTGTGGACCGTCCTGGGATGACAGTTAAGGATCACAAGATCTTGGAGGGGTTCGATTTTGGTGCGCGTAAGGCCACAACTTCTTTCGTTATGGCCCTACAATTTATATTCCGATTCAGATGAAATTTAAAGAAGCTAAATCTCTATTCTTTGGTACCTAGAATGGACACAAATGGATTGTAATGTATATAAACTGATTTACATTCAATCGTTTCAGTTTTCACTCTAATTTCTAATCAGTTATGTTCGGCGAAATACGCGGGGAGTGCCAATTGAATGGCGGTCTTTGGCGTCTGGTAAGACCAGTCTACTCAGTCCTCCCTTGGGGGATATATTTAGCCTCGCCCATCCAGTCACTTCATTACAAATGACGCTCTTAAGCATTCTGAAACGCGATTCGTGTGCCAAGTTTAAAATTTACATTTTGTCTTAAATATTGGATATCAGAAGCCCATCTTTTTACGGTAATATAACAACATCGATGTTGATTTAAATAGTCATGTTTACAAATGTCAAAGACTGTGGGTGATACTGAGTTAGAGACTTAGCTACTTTAACATATGTTGAGTGATCTTGGAGGAATTTGACATTGGCAGTGGCTATTTGCCACATGTGGTAAGCAAGAATTTCAAAATAGCCTTACGACTACAGACCGCAATTGTTACCCGATTTTAATGAAACTTACAGATTATGATAACATTGATAACATCTCTGAGTAGCAAACCTTTCGTCCACTTTCGGTTGGCGGTTTCCGAGATATGGGGGTTACCACACATTTCATGTGGCACGGCTACAGACCGCAATTATGAACCGATACCCATGAAACTTACAGAATATGATAACATTAATAATATCTCAGAATAGCCTAAATTTCGACCACTTCCGATTAGCAGTTTCGGAGATTTCAGGTAACCACACATTTCATGTGGCACGGCTACAGACTGCAATTACCAACCGATTTCAATGAAACTTGCAGAATATAATTACATTAATAATATCTCAGAAGTTTCGGCCACTTCCGGTTAGCGGTTTCCGAGATATCAGGTTACCACACATTTCATGTGGCACGGTTGATAATTGCGGTACGGAGACTTGCCACATGTGGCAAATAGTCTCTGGATTGTCTTACCACATGTGGCAAATAGCCCCAGCCTTTGATATTTGTCTGGTTCGGACTTGGGTATGAACCTTCTCCCAGTGAATATAATATAAAATGTTGATAACATACACTAGATATATATCTATCATATATTTATTGTATTTACATACAATATTAAAGTATAAGTTGTGTCATTTTAATCAATTTATAATCTAATATAAATGATTCACTATTATTAACTTTCTAAACAATGTAAATGTCTGTATTAATCAATAAAACGGCAAAAAATATTTCCTTGTTAAAACAGGGCTCCCATTGAGTATGATATTTAATAGTTACATTATGGGAGATTATATCATTTCAGAGATTAATACGATTATATATAACTACCTGGGGTCAGGTCCTTATAAAATAAAACGAAACGTTATTTCCCAACAATTTGAAAAGGGGGGTTTAAATATGACAAACTTTAATGCATTGTTGAAAAGCCAAAGTGTCTTTTGGGTAAAGAAAATATACTCCGAACAAGAACAACCATGGAAAACTATTTACGAATATATTCTACAAAAACAGAATGATTATTTAACACCGTTATCTAATTTCAATATTAGGCACATTGTCTCCACGTCTTTTTATACAAATTTATTTCAAAACTGGTATAACATATACACATGCTATATTGATAGATTGGTTCCCTTCAAAAATCAATTGATTTGGAATAAACATAATTCAAGAAATACCATTAAGTCTTCAATCAAGAATATATTAATTAGCGATAATATTTTATTTGTTGGGGATATGGTAGACATCAGTCTTTCCAAATATGACAATGATCTTATCAAGTTAATGGAGATCAATCAAATTTTGGTTAACATTAAAAAGGTAAAGGAAACAATATCGGAAACGGAATATAGTTGGAACACTAAAATTTGTGAAAATAGATTAAAAGCAAATTTAGATAACTTTTAGAAATATTATATAACAAAAACATATCAAATATAACCTCAAAAGACATTTATAAAAAAAACTTATACAAAAGAACTTCACAAAACCGCCAGTTGTTGTCAAATGGGAAAAAAAATATTGTATTACCTTAGAAGAAGACCAAGTTAAACACATTTTTTCACAAATACGGAGAATAACTAAAGATTAAAAAATGGTAACATTTCATTTTAGATATATTCAACATATAATTTACCTAAACAATCGCTTATATAAAAAGGAATTATTTAACTCATTGAAAATATATTATTATTATTATTATCATTACAGCATATTTATAGTGCACCCTTTCATATAACATGTTCAGGGGCACTTTACAAAGTGACAATGTGAATCACACATAAACAACAAGATTATGGACATGTTAACGATTTTATACAGAGTCAGTTAAAAGCCTGATTAAATAAATGTGTTTTAAGTTGTTTTTTAAAAGAATATAGAGATGTACAACATCTTAAACTAAATGGTAGATTATTCCATAAAATACGTGCTTGATAACTAAAAGAGCGCTGACCATAAGAGACTAGTTGAACAGTTTTGGGCTTTAAAAGTAGTTAATCTGATGTACGTAATGTTCGGCCAGGTGTATAAAGTTCTAAAAGATCTGAGAGGTAAACAGGAGCTAAATTATTTAAACATTTAAAAGTAAGTAATAAAATCTTAAAATCAATTCGATATTTAACAGGTAACCAGTGTAAATTATATAAAACAGGAGTTATGTGGTCACATTTCTTAGTTAAAGTAACAAGTCTAGCCGCAGTATTCTGTACTTTTTGTAATTTATCTATAAGCTTTAAAGGTAAACCAACTAAAAGTGAATTAAAGTTATCTAATCGAGAAGTGACCAGAGAATTAACAAGTGACTTATTGGCCTCTACAGTTACACATTTACATATTTTACCTATATTTCTAATATTAAAATAGCACAATTTACAAATATCATTTACTTGAGCTCCCATAAGCATAAAACTATCAAAGATAGCGCCAATATTACGAGCAGAATAAGATGAAAATATATCACAATTACCAATTACAACAGGGGGGTTATCATGTTCAGATTTACTTAATTGATGCCTTGAGCCTAATAACAAATATTCGGTTTTATCATCATTCAATTTTAGAAAGTTCTTTGACATCCATTTTCTAATTTCACTAATACAGTTCTCAAGTTGCAATTTTGATAAATTGAAAGATGGACAATTAGGTGTAAATGAAATATATAATTGAGTATCATCGGTATACAAATGAAAGCTGAGACCATATTTCCTGACAATATCGCCTAATGGTGACGTATAGAGGGTAAATAAAATCGGACCAAGAACAGGACCTTGGGGAACCCCAGATGACAAAACAGATTCAGACGACGATTTGCAATTAACTAAAATACACTGTTTTCTACCCACAAGATAGCTTTCTAAAAGATTTAATGCAGAGCCACAAATACCGAATTTAAATTGAAGTCTACGTAGAAGAATGGAATGGTCCACCGTGTCGAAAGCAGCAGATAAATCTAATAAAATTAAAAAAGTACATTTTCTATTATCAATTTCCATTAAAATATCATTTGAAACCCGGGTTAAAGCTGTTTTTTCATTCAATGCGAGTATTGTAGAAACTACATGAAATATTAATCTATAATAATATATATATAAATCTCACTAGTATAATTAAACATTTAGGTATACTTATACATGATAATTTAAAAAATGAAAAAGAATTAAATATTGTTAATTTACTTATATTGTTATCAAAATACTATATCTACTCATTTGAAAAGATTTCAACAAAGATTATAGCCTCTGTCGCATTCATGTCGCATTCAGGTAATCACATCAAATATAAAATAACGTGAAGAATCAATTCTCGACTCTTCGTGTGATTACTTGCCGATTAAAGTACATTATTGATATATTTTTATTTTGCAAACAGTCTGTTACCCAAATCCTTTAAAAATGTTCCTTTTGGTTTGTTGTCGTGATTTAAATTAGGAAACTCCATTGGTTGAATATGACGTAACATCGGGCACACGTGACTGCTGTTTACAACCAATGGAATTACAACAGGTTGGTCTTGAGGAATGACATCAATGGGATAGTTGTCCAACAGGTGTTTGTCGTTATTTTTGAAAATACAAATTACAACAACATTACCAGACATTGCAGACAATAAGGATTCATTCCTGCTTTGATAGGAAAAGATGTCCTCGTCATTGTTGGCCACTTTCAGACCGATTTTTGATAAACAATTTTCAATGAAACCAGCCTCTTCATCTGAGGTTGTGGTATTATAAATAATTCGAACATGTGAATCGACTTCTTCTGTGTTGTAAGAATTGTCCAAGGCTCGCTTGAAGCAGGTTTTTACTAGGTCTGTTTGGTCTATCTGATCAGCCGTTTGTTGAACAATGTCCATCATCATCTCCACGGCTACCTTCTCTATATCTGGTATATCTGTTACCATCAGTATAGTCGCTAAATCCAAACAGTCATAATATCTCCTTGATTCCAGATAATTATAGACCAAAGCTCTAAAGGCACCATTCACGTCACAACTTGAACATGCTCTATCAATATCGTTTTTGAAACTCAGACCAGATTTGAAAAATCGGACGATGCGTTTAAACTGATCCAGACTAGAATAAATGTTATAGAAAGGACCTGTTCCAGATCTGTAATCGCGAAACAATTCTTTTAAAGGAATCTTTTGACGCTGTCCAGCACTCGATTCCGCCAGATATTCCATTGCAGCATTCACGATACTTTCTCGTTTACAATGTTTAGAGTCAGCAAAGTATCTTCTTTTTTCGACAGAAGATATCCCCGGTCTTAAGGCTAATCCTTTATAGCAATTAATGGCCCTTTCATTGCCATGTCTCCGCCACATATAGTTACAATCTTCAGTAAGAACTTTGAAACACTCAAGGGCTTGTTCGTAATTAGGGGGCGATAACTCCATGTACACCTTGCCTAGTTCTTCAATGGCTGGTAGGTTTGTTCCTTGACTAAGTCTAACAGATTGTTCTAGCATGTCTATGGCCAGTTGGTTGAAGTTTTCTACTTGTAGTTTTTGTAATACCAAAGCTAGATGATGACAATTTATACTGGTTGGTTTCATTGCTATAGCCGATTCTAAAACCTTTTTTGCTGACTTGAACTCCTTCATCACTCTCAGCATTCTACCAGTTTCAGATAATATTGTTGCGTTTTGTGGCGCCTCTTCATTCGCTTTATCTAAATATTCAATTGTTTTCTCCAAAAGGGCCTTTGGTTGAAGCCCAAGCCCTTTAAAGTTGACCTTCTTAGCACACGGTCCAGAATGTAAGTTGGCCAAACCGATATATGAGAAACCTCTTATTTCCGAGTCCTGGCTATTTTCAATGATGTCTTCGAACAGTTCTGTAGCTCGATGATAGTTTACTAAAGGGTCTTTTATGGACAAGAGGGCTATAATAGTTGGATGTTGACACCTACGTATAGTTAGGGCCATGCGATGTTTCCAGTCATATTGGTCTGGGTATCTTTTAGTTACCTCATCATACAGCTCAATGGCGGTATTATAATATAATGCTCCCATTTTAGAGTAAGCATAAGCTTTTTCTGCTTTAGCTTCGGTCATTAAATAATCGTCTTCACTTAGCTTTTTAAGTTCTCTAAATTTATCTTCTGCCTCGGTGATCCTATCCATTTGGTAATACAGAACAGCCTTCATGACATTGGCTTGGATGTTGCGTGGTTTGTTTTGTAAACCCAACGTATTTTTAGCTTCACATTCATCAAGGTCTTGAAACAAAAAAGCAAGAAATGATGCAAGATTGTTGTTTACCTTCATGTCGTATTCATCCTCATCTGAGTTTTCCAGTTTCGCTCTCATGCTTTTTAGTTTTGCAGTCGGTATGCTTACAATATTCAAAGTAAATAAACTCGGAATGAAATTTAAACGTTCCAAAAAGTCGCCACGATCCATTTTACTGCTTGAAAGACGACTGACAACCTGAAACAACAAAATAAAGAAATACAAATTTAAAAAATAATTATGTAAATAATGGAGAATGTGCCGACAAAAATAGCCAAGACATGTATTATCAAACAAGTCGGCTATTGATATAAATGTATATAAGCTATGTCACGTGCCCAAATACCATGCTATATAGACGGATGAGGGTTGGAAGGACCGTTTGATCAATTCACATTGAAAGATTTTAAACAGAAGAAAACATAAAGTTATTCAAATATCTTGTCAGTTTAAAAAAACTTTAGATTGTATCAGAATGCACTGGAATAGTACATAATTAAAAACAATTCCACGGGCTCCCGTAACCCTTAGTTTAATATACGATGTTGGCCACCTAGTTTTTATATTCAGTGAAGTGAGTGCATAATTCAATCTGATTAAAATACAGATCTATATTTCCTTTCGTTTTTTATACTTTCCATGAAAATCTGACCGTTTGTTATGGAAGGTCGCGTCAGGTGTCGTACGAGAGGCTTTTGACCTTATGACGCCAGACATTGATTAATCAATCAGCGTTGACGTTTCTAGTGGTTTACCCACAGTTCAGTGCATCGCACGCCAAGATGTCGTCGTAACAGATGGTTTCATTGGCTAATCCCTCACGCCATCCAAAACGCAGGTTATATAACAACTCTTCCAGATCCTAGTGCAGTACAGACAATTAAAACGAAATTTGAACAATAATAAACGAAACGAAATAGGGTCTGTGTTATAATCAGATTGGCGCATAATTATTCTTAACGATATAATTGAACAATGGAAAGAATTTCTTAAAAATAAGAGTACTACAAACGTTTGTTAGTTTTGTCAATAAGTCACCTGTTGATTTGAGTTATTGACATTGAAACTGACGTTTGTCTACGGATATTCAAGGAAGGGTTGATGAAAACTGCCTCCTGCTGGTTTATCCTATCCATGTTTGCTTTCTTATCGGTTCTTGCATAAGATTTACTGTTTAGCGTATCTTTGCTTTAGTGTGTTACTTTAATTTGCAATGAGACGCCTTCAACATGATGAACGTCTACGTGCTATCAAATGGGTTCTACACAGCGAGCAGTAGCCAACGTGCTTAATATGTCAACAGACTGTGGAACCGGTACCAACAAACACACAATGCTGATGATAGACCTCGTTCTGGTCGTCCTAGAGCCACTACACAAGACAAGGATCGATACATTTGTACACAGGTCCTGCGAAATCGAGGACAAACGGCCAATCAGCTTTCTGTTAACTTGTACCAAGTTACAGCACAAACCATTAGAAATCGGCTACATGCAGCCCATTTGCATGCGCGACGACCGCGTGGTGTGTCTCCATTAACTCGCCAGCACATGGCAAACGGACGTCAATGGTGTATGCCGCGTAGAAATTGGGGTAATCGTAGATAGGCGCGTGTAATGTTCTCAGATGAGTCCAGATTTACTCTGGATTTCACCGATAGGCGTGCTCGCGTTTGGAGGCTTTAACGTCAGACAGCATGACAGATTCGGGCGTGGGTCTGTTATGGTGTGGGGAGGAATCACCATGACTGACAGAACGGACTTGAATATTGTTCAAGGAAGATCCTGGCACCGATAATTCTGCCCTTTGCTCAACGTGCAGGTCGACGTTTCATCTTTCAAGATGATAATGCCCGTGCCCATTGCGCTCACGAGTGTCGTGAATGACTACCTCCAGCGTCACTATATTGTCCATGATCGGCAGACGTGTTCGTCGACGTGAACGTCAACCGACGACACTGCAAGAGGAGTGGGTCAGATTGCCTCAAATCGTGATTGGACGGTTGATTAGGAGCATGCCACGACGAATTGCTGAATGTCTGAGGATTGGTGGAGCAATAACTCATTATTAATATAAAAATCAAAAACATCAATTTTCACTTTTGACGGTGTATCTCTTTGCGAGTGAAATGAGACGGCAGATAATCCGCCCATATGAACTGTTTATGTTCATGTGCAGGGAATTGGCCTGTTATTAACATACAATGGCTACCTCTAATAAAAACAGCAGTGCATTTCCGCGGTTTGTATGGTTTCTGAATATCCCCTACTTCTTTTGAAGAGTATACATGTATATAGCAAACTACTTGTGTTGTAAGCAAACTAAAAGCAGTGAATAACCCATCATACTATTTACAACGAACGCATAATAGTCGCTCATACTAACCATTGAGTACCAATGTATCTGTTACTATATATAGCACAGCAATAAATTTTACTCTTATACAACCTGTCTGGTTTCATCATTCAGCGAGAAAACTTTGCAGAAATAAATCGCCAAACTAGCTATCCATAACATGGATCTTACACTTATTTCCCGCATTTTTACACTGAGAATCTCGGATTAAAATGATATCTTTAGTCTTAGTGAGATATATATAACGGTATCTACATTACGAAATGAATGTAGGTTAAGGAACGCTGATATTCATATAACAGGTATGATATAACGGTATTATCTCCCTGTCTTCATCTCTCTTACCTGTTTCAACTTGTAATTCAAGCACAAAATAATGGCTGCACTTTTCACTTCCAGAAAACCAGTCTCCCGAACAGAGAGACTTGTGAGGAGAATGTCAGGAGACGTGTAATTCTTCGAAATTGAAAGTGAAAGTAAAACAACTATTTGTGCTTTTCCCACTTTCAGTGGGTGGTCCTAGTCTCTAGACATTGATAAAGGTTGTCAACAGGGCAGTGTATATCCCATATGGACACAGATCACCAAATATTCCTGGGGTTTTAGTCTCTCTCTCCCTTTCCCTTTTTCATGGCGATTTTTGTTGACTTTTTGGTGTAGAATCGAAAAAAAGGGTTTGAAAATACATTTTCTGCCAGGTTTTGGTGAATATTCATGATTTTGAGGCGGAAGAATACAAGAGTTGTGAGGTTGGTTACGTTGAAATGTAGGGCCGGAAATTGCATGTTTTCTTGTCTCTACTTCCAGCTTGTGTATCTCAAGTTTTTCATGGTGAACCTCATACATGCTTTTGGGCAAGAATTTGCCACATGTTGCTCCATCTGTGGCAGAAAGCGTTCTACCCAACGAAAATTTGGGAAAAAGTTAGAGCCGGTCTAAGAGACGAGAATTAACATTGAAGTCAATGGGGAAATAATTAGTGATCTGTGGCCATATCATGGTGTTGCTGTTGTAATAACGTTAGTTTTATACGGACGTGTTGAATTATTATAAATTTGTGTCAGATGTGTCGAGAAATGATTCCTTTTGGCCGGTGCAAAGATTTACCCAAAACAACCTGTGGCTGTATTTCGAATAAAACAACGCTTTTTTTTCTTTCTTTTTATATCCATAGACTATTGCCTAAACTTTAATCTTTTTTTTTTAAAAAAAAATTCTAAAAAAAACCCCGGAAATAAATGGATGATTGAAGCAAGAAAGACAACTGTTATTGTCATCGTAAATTATATTGAGTTGTATTACATATTGTTTTTTTTTTCTAAACATATTGTTAAATAAACTGTTATACACGAAATTTTTTTACCATGCTTTCTTTTTATATGTATAGGTGATTAATATTCCCTAAATTTTGCTCTTTTTTAAAAAATAATTCTGAAATAATAACGGATATTAATGTATCCACTATGATAACAATAGTTGTATGATAATTTATTACATGCGTGTTCCTTTATTTATTACCAGGGTGGGTGGGTATAAACGCCGATGTGTGACAAAGTGATTTATATTTCTCACCAAATTGAACAGTATCATTTAGGTACATAGAACTTAATGAACTCTGCTAGTTTTAACAATATATGATTTTTGACTTTCACCTCTATATAAACTTCTGTTAAGCACGAGCTTATTAAACATCTAATTGATTCAGTATGTTCTTTACAAACTACGTGTGGTCTTTACACACGCTCCGCTTTACTTCAAAGGAATATGCATTGGTCAGTAGGCATGCCGTGACGAGATAAAAGAGACAATTGCATGTATGACCATGTGTGCAAGGGTATATATTGAGGAGTTCGCTGACAGTTAGGAGAGAGGAGCCGAGAGGAGAGGAAAGGGTTGGACGAGTGTATGGACTCACCCGAGTTCAGCCGCTGCCTTGGCAGAGGGGCGGAATGGTTGATTCAAGATTGTTAGATGTGTTCCTGTCGTAGACTAGTTCTTGTATAGTTTTAGGACCTGTATTGCTGTTGTAATTATGTAGATGTTTGATATTCTTTTCCCGTTGTAAATAAACCATATATTTACGAAACCGATCTTCTGTTATACACTAATAGTGTTACAGAGGTGAGATTGAATTTCAGTGTGACTGTCCTTGACCCAATTAAACCCGATAGCCATTCCAATAGCATGTTGTCTTGTGGCTTCTAATTAAATTATGTTCTAAAAATAGTACCACTTTCCCCGTATGAACAATGACCGGCTGATAAAATATGAGTTGGAAACTCTGGGCACAACTCATTGTGTGTATTTTCCTACCTCGCCAACAATTCCAATATTTATACTCATTGGGTGCAAACACACCTGAAAATACCTAGGAGCCTAAAACGAACAAATGGTGCCATCTAAAACATACAAAATCTTATTGAGTTTTTGCCTGAAAATTATCACCTTACTAGCAGTTGCTACTTTTGTGATTCAAATTTAATGAAGTCATTTCGCCATTTATTACAGCACAATATTATTTTGAATAAGTTATGAACTATGTTAGTATGTACAGGCATATATTAAGTTTGTAAAAACACTGTTCTTTCACGTTTTCTTGCTTTTGATCCATATATATGTTATGTAACCATAAAATGTAAGAAAATCTAAAAGTATAATTTTTCTATACTTCTGAAATTAAGATTTTATATGTATAAAATATAGTTGAATGTTTAATGAGTCAATTCATATGGTAAGTAAACAAAATAATTACATTTTATGGCAGCCTTTTGATCATTAACATATTGGAATCAGACATTGTAGGCGATATCACTTCAGTGGAAGCGGACATTAAATAAAGCTATTTCTCACACACATAGAGTCGGATAAAATTGTGGCTGAACTCCAGAACAAAGGGTCAGATATGCACCAAAATCAAGCTCATTCTACTAAACGAATCTATTTCGTTATGTGTTTGAATCATGCCTGTGGTAAAGGGAGATAATGTACCTAAAAGTTTGAGAATTTCAGACTAATCTAGCAACGGCTAGACGTTGTAAAACTTGCAAGTCGTTACTTCAGGAACATGAAACATGCAATCGCATTTACAAGGTTTTGGGAAAGTGGGGCATAACTCTGGTATAAAAGATGGAAGAACACAAATTATGGACAGGGTTCCATCCTTTCATGACCACAATGCTTTACAACAAATTTAAAACGAATCCTCCAGGATCGACCTACAGAGTGACACATAATATGCACATGCACACACTGAAATGTGGGCGTATAAAAATGGACAGAGTAAAATAAATAATGTGCTGATGTATAAAGATTTTATTGTGTTGATTTATATTTACAACCAATCAGATTTAATATACTACATACATAAACTTATATCATTCATGACAGCAAATCTCATCTGTACAAGTGTATTTCAATTGAACATTTTATCAGATATAAAATAATAAAATGGCATTTAATGGCACGGCAGCACCAACTAGACTATACTGTACTAAACTTATACAAAATAATTAGAAAATAAAAAGCCCTGCTCTTTTGTTTGATAAACTAGACACAGTGATAAAGGGCAGTTAGTTTATACATCCATCCAAGTCCAATGATGGTACGAGAGGAATGTTTATTGGACTAGGATCATCAGGATTTACACGCCTTATATATCTAACATCACAATAACCTCATTCACAAATACACAGCATGAAAATAATCACTCATTGGTGGAGAATTGTTTGTTTAACCAATCAGATATAACTTCCAGATTCTTTTAGGCCAATGAATCTAGTCTCATGTAACGCCTTGTTTATTGGTATATGTATGCTATTTTAAAGTAAAATTAAATAACTGATAAAACAGTTGACCATATACATAATTTTTACACAGCTACCTTCATGACTTTCATATGACTTATTGAGATGTTAATGTTAGTTTTTCAGATCATCAACTACAGGTAATATAGCGCAATGTGTCTATCAAGTTAAACAGCGACATATGATGAACTACAGGTAATATAGCGCAATGTGTCTATCAAGTTAAACAGCGACATATGATGAACTACAAGTAATATAGCGCAATGTGTCTATCAAGTTAAACAGCGACATATGATGAACTACAGGTAATATAGCGCAATGTGTCTATCAAGTTAAACAGCGACATATGATGAACTACAGGTAATATAGCGCAATGTGTCTATCAAGTTAAACAGCGACATATCTTTCCAAATAATTGTTTTTAGGTAAATATTTTTCTATCAAATGGCCTTCATTCTAAAAACACGATTAAGCAAAATAGTAAGTTATATTGCAGGATGAGATGAGAATTGACCGATCACACACTTGGGATAACTTTTTAATTTACAGGATAGATATAAAAATAGGTGTCATTTGAGGGTATTTTTTACGCCTTTGTTAAATAAAACTACTTTTTCAAAAATATCAATAAAGGCACATATATTTCACATAGAATTTTGTGTAGACATCTAATAAATAGATTAAACTGCAACATTATAAATAACCTTGTTAATTTAAATATCTCAACTCATGTTCATTTCATGTATTATTAAAATTTTTAAATGGTTATTATTTAATTTCATACTATAATAAGTTGGTTCCCTTGCAGTAATTTCATGATTGACTTTTTCTTATCACCAAATATACAAAATGATCTCATATTTTTTACTTTCCTAATTATCTTATTACCAAATATACAAAATGATTGCTTGCATGTTGTACAAATCACAACCTCATTACATAATTTAATTCTGTAAAAATACAAATAGAAAAAGATTTTAATGAAACTTAATAAAGCAGTCTTTGGATTTGAAAACAAATGTTAAAATTGTAAGAAAATTAAAATATAACATTTATAAGAATATTTTGAGACAAGTCCATTTTAATATTATTTTTTTCCAGGAAAATGCCACTGATTTTAAAGTGCATGAAGTAATAATAGGCCTTTAAGATTTATTCTAGTAATATTTAATCTTGTGTCGGGACTGGTTATATTGATTTTACCTCTAATTAATCACTATTTTAACAACAACCAAGTCATAAATATTAACAACCAACTATTTCTTATAAGTAACTATAATTTAAACCAAGAATATTAACCAACTATTTTTTGTAATTAATTATAATTTATAATTACAAACAGTGAGTAATAAATAGCTCAATATTTTTATAGAGAAAAAAACAAGTCTATTTTTACTGGCAAATATTATGAAGTTTTAATAAAGAGCAAGAATGATTTCTATATACAAATATTTTATATACAAATGAAACAAGTGAAAAAATAAACTTTACTTCTAGCATTATCTACTATTTGATCTCAACAGAAAAGTACAATAGAAGAGATTTCTTCTTGAAATAAACCGAACGTCAGCTTGAAAGATTGTTTGATTCAAACATCTGTCCAACCAAGAAAATGTAACACTAATTAAAGGATAATTAACACTTTTTTTTATATATTTCTTGTCACTATTACCAATTATAAGTACCTTAGAAAATGCAAAAACTGGAAGATCTTTGACTGCCGTATATTGTACACTACCGATAGATATATTAAGTTTTTGAAGTGCATTTACATTTAAAGAATCATTTGACTATCACAGAACATACCTTACAAAAACATTTTAATCTTGTTAATTTTAAATTTTACACCTTTTTTGATTTATTATAAAATATCGAGATAAATACTTTTGTCTATAGAGTTGATTTATTACATGTCTACTGAATGAATCTAAGAGAAATTACAAAAAAAACCCAGCGGCTGCCAGGCAGGATACGCCCACATTTTTGAGAGATGGATAGAGAACAAGCTAAAAAGAAAGTGATTTTTCCTACAATCAAGGGCCATAATTCATGAAGTTACAATTCGATATGTGCAAATATTGAAAGGAACCAAGATCTTTGGGTTATAAACATACATTTCAAGTTTCATCAAAATCGGATTAAAATTGTAACCTCTACAGGGTCCACAACCTTGATATACCATATTTTTACACCTTTCGCATACAAGCGGCAGCCACTTTGTCCGGCAGTTTTGGTTTGATTTTCAGGAAATTTGAACTCAACCTTTATTATGGTGTTACGGTGATATATTCAAACGATTTTCAAAATCAGATAATAAGTGTGACCTTCAGTGGGACCACAAGCTAAAAGAGGCGATTTTTCGTATAATCAGGGGCCATAATTCATGAAGTTACGATCCGATATGCGACAATATCGAAAGGAACCAAGATCTTTAGGTTATAAACATGCATTTCAAGTTTCATCAAAATCAAATTAAAATTGCGACCTCTACAGGGTCCACAACCTTGACATATACCATATTTTTACACTATTCGCATACAAGCGGCGGCCATTTTGTCCGGCAATTTTGGTCCTATTTTCACGAAATTTGAACTCAACCTTCATTACGGTGTAACAGTGATATAATCAAAGGTTTTTTTAAATCGGATAATAATTGTGACCTCCAGAGGGACCACAAGCTAAAAAAGGCGATTTTGCGTACAATCAGGGGCCATAATTCAGGAAGTTACGATCCGATATGCGACAATATCGAAAGGAACCAAGATCTTTAGGTTATAAACATGCTTTTCAAGTTTCATCAAAATCAAATTAAAATTGTGACCCATACAGGGTCCACAACCTTGATTTACCCTATTTTTACACTATTCGCGTACTAACGGCGGCCATTTTGTCCGACAATTTTGGTCCGATTTTCCCCAAATTCGAACTCAACCTTCCTTAGGGTGTAACGGTGATATAATAATACGTTTTTTAAATCAGATAAAAATCATAACCTATAAAGGGTCCACAAGCCAAAAAAAAACAATTTTTCGTATAATCGAGGGCCATAATTCAGGAAGTTACAATCCGATATGCGACAATATCGAAAGGAACCAAGATCTTTAGGTTACAAACATGCATTTCAAGTTTCATCAAAATCGAATTAAAATTGTGACCCATACAGGGTCCACAACCTTGATTTACCCTATTTTTACACTATTCGTGTACAAACGGCGGCCATTTTGTCCGGCAATTTTGGTCCGATTTTCCCCAAATTTGAACTCAACCTTCCTTAGGGTGCAACGGTGATATAATAATACGTTTTTTAAATCAGATAAAAATTATGACCTCTATAGGGTCCACAAGCTAAAAACGCGATTTTTCGTACATTCAGGGGCCATAATTCAGGAAGTTACGGTCCAGTATGCACGAATATCGAAAGGAACTGAGATCTTTGGGTTATAAACTTACATGTCAAGTTTCAACAAAATCGGATAAAAATTGTGACCCCTATGGGGTCCACAAGTTAAAAACGTGATTTTAACGTACAAACAGGGGCTATAATCAATGAAGTTTCGATCCGATACATGCCAATATCGTAAGCAGCTGAGATCTTTTGGAGATAAACCTATATTTCAAGTTACGTCAAAATCGGACAAGAATTGTGACCTGTAGAGAGTCCACAAACAAATCGTGGACGGACGGACGGACAGGGGCGACGACAATATACGTCCACATGAAAATGTGGGCGTATAAAAACCATATCATAACAAAACTTTCATATTTCAATCCAAATTAAATAAGGTTACGTTCTGTAAGATAGTTGTTTAATGTTGTGAATTCTGACAGAATATTGTGAAATATCAAGCAATAACAATGTCAAAAAAAACCCAAACAGGTACAAAAAAATAATACCCTTAATTAAACATGTTGGATTAAGATCAAGATGTAATATTGGCTAATCTCTTTGATCTGCGTGTCACTTGAGCTACATCAGGATTCGTGTGGTTTGGGGCATGGCCATTAATTTCCTCCTCTCCTTCACTTGTTTCGATACTCTCTGAATCACTTCGGGAATCTCTCTGAAGCTACAATCAAAGACAAAACATTTCCGTAAAAATATGAACTACGAAAGTGATTAATTAATTATATTGAGTGCTTACCTTTAATAGATAGTTCAATAGTGATCTTATTACCTGCAACTATAATGTCTACCTTCTTTCACCAAATATCTATACAACTTTTGTATTTATTTACAATCCAGGTACAAACTTTAGAAGTAATTTTAAGAGAAACTTTCGACATGTTTGAGAAGACAGGTCACAGATATTAATAATTGTTTAATATGGTAATAAAGAACAGTTACTTCCTTTGAAAAAGACCTATGGTCCTGTCAGTCCCGAGGTGGTGGGAGTCATGATGTAATTAAAATCAACCAATATGTTTCAGCTATAGGTTGAGATATTTTCTTATGCACATGGCACATGACACATGTCACATGGCACATGTCACATGCATTGTAGCCCAGATCCCGGAGAGAATTCAATTTTGAAATGTTCGATCGAGTATTCCCCAACAGGTTTTTGATAATACCCTCATCACGTGACAGGAAATGAATTGTATTTTTCTATTATTAACTATTGGCAAGTTACTGTAACCTACCAAGTATTAAAACTATTTGATCACATACCTGTCCACTGTTCATCTTCTGAACACAAACACGAAGAATAAAAAACGTCCACATAACATGTAGAATTTGTAGTAATACCAGCAAACATAAAAACACTCTATGCATCATGAAAGGTTTAATATAAATATTTAACTCAAACATAGAACTGGCTAATGGACTGAAAAATAAGAAAACAGATATCAGAGACTATTCCTGTATCAATAGTTTATACTACTTATTGACAATCCTAGAGATACGAGGACATGATTGTTAGTCAAAATAAAATATACAGTTTCCTCTTTTTATATTGAGTAGTGCTTGTAAATGTAAGTATGCATTGCAGATAAAGCAAACAAAACAAAGCGAGAGTTGTATATCCAAATAGCCACTTGGAACAGCGACGCTGAATGATTAACCAAATAAATAATGTCATACGGTCAAACTGTATGGCACTTTTTAGACTTTTTTTTCAAAAATTTTTGTTACTTTTCCCTCTTCACACACTCTTGGTTCCAGCACTCTTCGTCATAGTTCTCATTTCTGTTTCCTTAGAGATTATTTTTAAATGTTTTATTTATTACCTTGAAGAAGAAGAGGGTATTAGTGTTTCTTTTGTTTATCTAATTTAATGTATAGAATATGAAGACAGAGATTGCTATAAATAACTTACATATATGGATATATACCAGTTCTAGTAATTATCCACACTACAGCAAACATAGTAAAGGCACCTTCACAGACAGTTTGATGATTACTGTATTTAGCCAATTTAGCCAGCTACAAGAAAAATAACTTTACATAAACTAGGTGACTAGAAACACATTGATAAAATTAGGCCATGTCATTTCTCAAGTTAGTAGACTATAAATGGTAGAGTATACTTACAGCCAACCACCAATCAGCTGCATCATGTAGAACTAAAATATACGATCCAACACGTGAAAAACATAAAACCCATGATAAATATGTCAATGTCAAAGTAGCAAAATGATGTATCACCATTTCATAAAAATCCTGAAAAATATAAGAAAAGTATAATGTAGTTGGTTATAATACTAGTTCTATGTTTGCTGTTGGTTATAATACTAGTTCTATGTTTGCTGTTGGTTATAATACAAGTTCTATGTTTGCTGTTGGTTATAATACTAGTTCTATGTTTGCTGTCTTGGTTATAATACTAGTTCTATGTTTGCTGTCTTGGTTATAATACTAGTTCTATGTTTGCTGTCTATACATATATTTGGTTAAGATATTTCATGTTGGCGCCAGTGTTTAATATAATAAAATTAACCATTTATTTTCGATTTAGTGTCTTACATAAAATCACAAAACGCTACACACAACATAAGTAGAATTAGGTATAAATCAATGGCACTAATAAAAATTTTAAAAAATTACAATGGTGCTCATTTTTAATGTTCAGTTCTAATTTTGAATTTGCAAACCAAAATCAACAATTGTTGTGTAAATTCTATGTTTTAATTTTTTTTTAAAAAATGCTACTAAATTTCTTGAAAATAGACATAGAAATAAGAAGAAGAAATGGGGTTTAACGTTCACTCAACACAAACTAGGTCATTTCGGAACTAACACATGGTTCTATTTTATTTTAATAATTCGCTTGTGCATAGGGATCTTTAGCAGTGGGAGGAAACTGGAGGACCCAGAAAAAACCCACGAGGTTGGACAGGCGACTCAACTCCTTATCACATACAACTGGGGAGTCAAAACCACGCCAGTTGACTCAATGACAGACCTTATGATACAGCGTGTATGTGCTAACCATTCAGCCATCCAACCCCCTACATAGAAATAAGCATAAACATTTCTCTAAAGACAAATTGATACCTAAATAAATTTCGTGATTGTAAAATATTTTAAAAATTACCTTTCTTTTAACATCGGTAAATAATGTAAATACCAAGGACCAATAGAATCCCATCTCTATCAAATAATACCAATAAACATCATTAGTTACTGGCTGAAATAAACATAATCATTTCTATCACTGTTCATTGTATCCATGGGTTAGTACATCTGTCTTCTATTTCATTATTAAGGTTTCCACAGTAGTCCTTACCCTGTACATCAATTTTATAAACTCATCTATACTCTTCAAAAAGATAGGTTGCCAGGCAACGAAACATACGCCCACAGCAGCTAAATCGTCCGGGCAGTCAACAAGTGTTGTTGCATATTTGTACTTTTTTCGGTAATGAAATATTTATAATACAATAAAATCTGATTAAGAGTAACAACTTATGAAGTAATTATCAGAAAACTATTAGAATATGTTTGTTTTTTACAAAGTTCTGCACCATGCTAACGTTTAGTATACAAAACTTTTAATATGGATTTAGCTGTTCAAGTCATAAAAATTCATTGAAAATCAATATACTTGTTCGTCTCAAGATCTTAAACTCTGTGTATCAATCTGAAGTCAATCGGATGATAACTTGAGCCTCTAGAGCGTCACAAGATTTTTCAAAGTGATCAAGGGCCATAACTTTGGCAGTAATTATCGGAAATCGTTGAAAATCAATAGGAAATCGCTGAAAATGAATAGACTTCTTCGTCTCATGACCTTAAACACTGTGTATAAATTTAAAGTCAATTGGATATTAACTTTGGCCTCTACAAGAGCGTCCACGAGATTTTTTGAAGTGATCAAGGGCCATAACTCTGGCAGCAAGTATCAGAAATCGCTGAAAATCAATAGGCTTCTTCGTCTCATGGCCTTAAACACTGTGTATAAATTTGAAGTCAATCGGATATTAACTTTAGCCTCTAGAGTGTCCACAAGCAATTGTGGACGCCGGACCGACGGACGAACCGACAGGGGCGACGACAATATACGACCACATTTCACTGTGGGCATATAAAAAGTAGGGGATATTGAAATGCAAATATCTATGCAGGTTGTGACATTTCACTGTGGGCATATAAAAAGTAGGGGATATTGAAATGCAAATATCTATGCAGGTTGTGATATGATAAATAGTCATGGACACTTGACATGCTTTGAGAGTATGTTCACAGATGAAGAACTTATTGCCCCAACAGAACCACTGAGCTGCTCGTGTGACACGCAATAGCGCCATACATGTGGGAGGGGTTCATTGTCAAATTTGACACTGCAAGGAAGGGTTGATGAAAACTGCCGCGGGTTGGTTTATCCTATCCATGTTTGCTTTCCTATCGGTTCTTGCATAAGATTTACTGTTTAGTATATCTTTGCTTTAGTGTGTTACATTTAATTTGTAATGAGACGTCTTCAACATGATGAAGGTCTACGTGCTATTGGCATGCTTCAAATGGGTTCTACACAGCGTGCAGTGGCCAACATGCTTAATGTGTCACAGTCTGTGATCAGCAGACTGGAACCAGTACCAACAAACACATAATGTTGATCATAGACATCGTTCAGGTCGTCCTAGAGCCACTACACAAGCCCAGGATCGATACATTCGTACACAGATCCTGCGAAATCGAGGACAAACACCAATCAGCTTTCTGTAAACTTGTACCAAGTTACTGGAATTCGAGTTACACCCCAAACGATTAGAAATCTGCTACATGCAGCCCATTTGCAGGCGTCAATGGTGTAGGCAACGTAGAAATTGGGGTAATCGTTGATTGATGAGTCCAGATTTACTCTGGATTTCACCGATAGGCGTACTAGTGCTTGAAGGTGTGTAAATGAGCGAGATTCGGGCGTCTGTCTGTTATGATGTGGGGAGGAATCACCATGACTGGCAGAACGGACTTGCATTTTGTTCAAGGTAGGGACACTGGTGTGTACTACCATGACCACATCTTGGCACCGATAGTTCTGCCCTTAGCTCAACGTTTCATCTTTCAAGATGATAATGCCCGTGCCCACTGCGCTCGTGTCGTGAATGACTACCTCTAGCGTCACCATATTGTCCATATGCCTTGGCCAGCCATGAGTCCTGACCTTTCCCCTATAGAGCATGTCTGGGACATGATCAGGAGACGTGTTCGTCGACATCAACGTCAACCAACAACACTGCAAGAATTGGCCGTGGCACTGCAAGAGGAGTGGGTCAGATTGCCCCAAATCGTGATTGGACGGTTGATTAGGAGCATGCCACGACGAATTACTGAATGTCTGAGGATTGATTCTAGCAATTACTCATCATTAAGACAAAAATCAAAAACGTCCATTTTCACTCTTAACAATGTATCTCTTTGCGATTGAAATGGGGCCGTCAGATAAGCCGCCCATATGAACTGTTTATGTTCATGTGTAGGCAATTGGCCTGTTATTAACATACACTGGTTACCTCTTATAAAAACAGCAGTGCATTTCCGCAGTTTTGTATTGTTTCTGAATATCCCCTACTTTTTTTGAAGAGTATATATTCATCTAGTTTATATACCAATTAAAGATACATTATGTAAGATTTAGATAAAGAGCTGGCCATTCTTGCTTAAATAGTTAACAAATAGATAATACAAAATTAATCATTAGGCAAGAGGTAAATCTGCCTATTGCAGGTCTTTATTTAGGCCTGAAATGTTATCTAAATTATCAATTAGACATTAATTAACTTATCCCGACCATAATCAACTCTCGATGGCATCGTTAGTCTGAGACGTTTACTGGATTTGAATACATTTTGTGATGGATGATTTAACGTCAAAATGGATTATCAAGACTTTTTTTTATATTATACCGACTTTATTAATGATGATCGAGGCTAGGCCTAAAATTCAATCGCTAATGAGCAATTTGACTGAAATTTTCAACATATTCTCTTTACATTATCTATTTTGTAACTATTATAGTGAGAACTGTCAGCTCTTTATCTAAATCTCCCATAATGTATCTTGAATAATATTAGATAATAACTTGTAAAAAGTCTTAAAGCATGAAACAAACCTGAGGCCAATTTTTCCAAAACAGTTTTGAATCCCACATCCATTCTTTCTGTAAAAAATAAAAAGTTTTCAAAAATGTAATCATTAAAACATATTGATTGTTTAAACAGCATTTAGTAACAGAATGAGAAGAACACATGACACAATTATATGGAATACAAGTTACTTGAGAGATTTATTTCTACAAATTGCAAGAAAATGTGACCTAGTCTTGCATCCGATCAATATAAAAACAAGAAGCATGCCTCAGTAAAAAATATACTTACATTGTATAGAATAACACAACCATATATAAATATTGTTAAATAAAATAAAAAATGCCAACTGAAAATAGAAAGAAATAACAGTGAGAATTATTCACAAGAAAACAAATAATTAGATTTCTGAAAATAAAAAGTTTGTGTAACTAGGCAAATTAAATGTCAAAATGTGACGAAACAGTCTATCTATCTTGTAGAAAGGTTTCCACCCAAAACAATTTATTTAAATAAGACTTTTAGAGTACACAGCCCATATTCAAAGGGTTTTTTTTTAAGTTAAGTGAAAATATTAAATTTTTCACTTAGCTAATTGTAAAACATTAAAATGGTATTCAAAGGCTATATTTCAATGAGTCCTTGGTTGAGCGAAAAACTGCACAATTAACTTATGGAATAACCTCCGCTGTCAAAAAATCCTGAATTTCCAACTTTGAAGGTAGTTATGTCCCCTTAAGAGCACAACTATACTCTATTAAAATCTTAGTTGTCATTACTAGAAAAATGTTTGTCGAAATATTTAAGTGTCGGTCCGCGAGAAAACCATGCAGAAAGTGATAAGGTGGGGGTCGGCCAAATTCATTCTTACTCAGGTCATAAAGTCACCCCATCCCAACATGCAAAAAGCCAAAATGGCCGACCCCAAATATTAACCCCCTCTTAGATATGGCCCTATGTCGATTTTTAGCCATTTTTGGCGAATTTTCGGTGAAAATTTGTCATTTTTCAGCTATCAAATTCTACTAAAAGTATCAGGTTAGTGATTATGTCCGATTGTGGATGGATAGTGGGGGTCGGCCCCTAAAAACCCAACATGAAAGACCGACCCAATATCACAGTCTTTAGCCGCTGGGGGGCGTTTTCTGGATACCACTTTTCGCATAGTGAAATGTACCCAATCGTTGAAGGGCTATATCTCGTCTGCAGCAGGGGGTGGGTCGAAATCGGGGGTATGTATTTTGAGGCGAGTATATGTCCTAACACGTCATAGGTGCGCTCATGTAGCTTGCGACTAGGGACAACTAGTTGTCTCCAGTCGTAGAGTAGAACATGTGCGACTTACACCAGTCATAAGAGCGCTCAGATCGTCCTCATAGTCACGACTGATCAGTTCCACTTGATCGTAAACTAGTCGCCGATTTCGAGTCTCCGTCAGTTTTATCGCATCATAGGGCGACATAAGCTAGGCTTTAGATTCTTAGAAGCACTGATCAGACCAATGCACATAACCTTTGATCGCTACAGCTTGCTACAGTGTTGTACTAAGTAATAACAACTCTAAATAAAATTAATTGAAACTGTTGAAATTCAATTTCATCACACTGCCCACATTGTACAAATTAACTTTTGATGGAAATTGAATAAGAGCAATAAGCCTGAACACATTATCCAAAAGCGCTGAAATATGTATGAGTACATTAAAGTTAGATTTCTATGGGAAATTTCATCGGATAGCCTTTACTAAACTTTGTTTCAAGCACTAACGTGTGAGTTATGGAGAGAGGGTTCACTAATCATAAATTACTCTCACACACACAGCAATCAAATATCTACCTGCATTCACACACACAGCAATCAAATATCTACCTGCATTCACACACACAGCAATCAAATATCTACCTGTATTCACATACAGAGCAATCAAATTTCTACCTGCATTCACATACAGAGCAATCAAATATCTACCTGCATTCACACACACAGCAATCAAATATCTACCTGCATTCACAAAATTTATCCATAGCTGTTGGATTATTTTGTCTTCTGCGAATCATCATCCATTTCTGTATGTCTTGTTCTCTCATATCTGTCTGTTTGGATAATCCCTGAAATAAAGAATAAAGTATAATGTAGTACATGAGCTTCGTGAATATATTACTATCTTTTTCATCTAATCTGTCCAGGTATATATCTATATATATATATACTAACCTTCAGTACAGATTCAGGTAACTTTATATTATATTTAAGAAAAGCAGATTCTAAAGCAGAGTTTGGTTTCACTCTTCGTTTTCTTTCTTTTATTCCAATCCATCTTGCAATCGGTGTTACAAAAACTCTAAAGATGAAAAATAATGAACTAGTTATACAAACAAAAAAAGATTAATTACCTCATCTAAATATTTTCCCCCCAGTTACACCAATTTTTGTTACCCAGCACATTTCATTTGAAAATTGCTACCAATAATTTGCATACGACTGCATAATTGTGTTACTATGTTACAATGAAGTCTCGGCAATACAGACAATAAATCGTGTAAAGTAGCACTCTCTGCCTTATCAATCTAAAGAATCAGTCTCCTTATTTACCAATTCTCTCACACTGTAAAAACTGGGGGGATTTTTCAGGAAAGCAATTTTTGACTTTTGCAAATTAAAGAGATGTCTTTTCAGTTCACCAGTCAAATATAAAAACCCCAAAGAAGAACATTATACATTAAAACAGTGAGATAGGACTCTATACGTTTATATTCTACTGAACTTGTGGCATGGGATACAGTCAACTCACTGTGTCACCATCACATCATTTCATCAGGCTTAGAAATAACAATTTTAGATTTACCTGATATCTGGCTTAGAAATAACAATTTTAGATTTACCAGATATGTATGTACGGTATGTCAGTACAATCTATGTATGTCATTAAAATCTTGTAAATTAATTCAACAATAATTTATAATTAGAGAGAGAAAAAATTAAAGATTAAATACAGTAGACCTACATACATGTGGGTTTTAAAGAGGTTGTACATGTACGTACATGTATTTAACGTCCACTTCCACCTGGGGTGATATCGCTGACAAGTGTATCCAAAGAAACTTGTTAGAAGAAGCCAGCAAAAATAGGCTTGATCCAGCTTTTGAGTAAGACAAAATGTCTTTGCAGGAAAGCACCCAAGGTGTGTTGGTGCTAAATAAATCCATCTATATATCTTACTGACATATAAATTGAATCTGCGTTGGTGTCTTGGTCTGAGTGGTCTTTGGTCCGAGTTGTCATGGATTCCAGCCAAGGGTCCCATACAAGTTTAATCTGCCACTGGCGGTAAGAGAAAAATTTAAATAGTAATAGTCAATTACGTTTATTCAGATGTCTTTGCTGTTGGTGGGCATGTGTTTTGTTGCCAGGCTACCTTTGTTTATGTTGAGCGCAGACTGCCCTTCGCGGACAGATTACCCCCACGCATGCACGAATCTCCGTCTAATTTTTGTTGATTAACTTGCACGCGTGGAGTGAACTCTGTGCAGGGTATATCTAATGGATTACCGCACTGATAATCTACCCCCGTCATTAAATGTTTCATTTGTTCTGTACATATATTTAAATATTTCACTAATACGTTCAATTTTTCGCTAATCACCTTGTAATCACCTCAGGTGGAAAAGGATGATAAATAAAGCTACTTCACACACTAATAATCTGCCTAATCCTACTCGATTTTCACCATAGATCAGTTTACAGGTATAAATATGATCAAGGTGATGCAAAAAGAAAAGTATGATCGCATAGTTGATTATCTTAAAGGAAGAAGATTCTATTATTTTATTGCTAGCATGCCACTGCCTGAAACCATCGATTTCATCAAAATCTTCAAAGGGTATATTTATCTGGAGTTGTATACAATAATATATTTATCTGGAGTTGTATACAATAATATATTTATCTGGAGTTGTATACAATAATATATTTTAATGGGAACTGACCAACTTTTTTGCGGCGTCACAGCCCAACAATCCTTTGAAAAAATTGGGCCCACCTGAGGATGTATGTCCATGCAGCCAGAATTCAGAAACACGTAGATTGCACTTGATATAATATTTAAAAATCTGTCCACTGTTTGTTATTAAAATGTGTTCATTTCAACTATACTTAACTAACATTGAAGTTTACGGTAATGAAAGCAAATATTTTTGGACATCCAGCCACGTACGATCAGTTGACGTATCGCGAAATTAATTTGCGGACTCAAACTTAAATCTTATTCATAGCAGACACGCTAATTATGCAGTGATATTGAAAATTATTTAAAAAATCATTATGTAACAGTACAAAGTCGATAGTGGACAGATCCTCCATGGGGCATACTCTGATCCTTAAAAACATCGAGGAGTACGGTAATCAGCACAAAGTTGGCAATCCGTGCACTAGCTTGATACGCGCAGAATACAATCGGCGTGTGCGGCGTCCATTCTGCGCGGATATCCTGAAGATTGTAATCTGCCTGAGGTGAGGGGTGAAGAATATAGGCCTACTCATATCATATTCGATATTTATTGGGCTAAACATGCATTTGGGACTGTTTTCAGACTGTCCACCATTTTTCTTTCTAATCCTCGAAGCTCGATACAGTTCTGAATTCTAACCTCTGTGTAGTTGTTTTTGGATAGTCTAGGACTAAAACTAAATTTGTCTTTAAAAACAAAGATTGAAACGTGTTCATTTCTATTCAACTAACTAAAGTTAACGTTAATCGGTATGTCAGAGACGTCAGAGACTCCTCCTCAGGCTCCTGTCAGGGAGGAAGATTAGAAGATAAAAAAAAAACACTCACTTTTCATAGAGATAACGTATTACGAGAAAACACAATCCCACCACAACACACCAATGGATATCTTTTGCCCGTCCGTAGTAAATATTTGGATCTTTGCTTTCTAAATCTCTCCATGACATTCCTTCAGGCAACCAAAAATATGAATCCCAAACATAATTGTAAATTCTTAGCAGAAAATCCTCCATGTTGTACCCAAAACAAGAATGCACTTGATTGACAACCGGTGAATAAAGCGAAAAACGAAATTCCAAAGGATAAAATTAAAAAAAAATTTTTTAAAAGGAAATATATCTTAATTTTATAATAATTCTAATGTATCTGTTTTTATACAAATTTTCTGACCAGAATTGAAACTTTTCATCACTATATTTTAGTGGCAAAATATTGGAATACATTGACCAATTCTTTTGGGCAAACTCTTCTCTCTATCAAACTGGTCCGCAGTGGATCTTACATTATCACTAAGACCTGTGTCTAGATCTGTTAGAAAGGGGTATGCTGATAGGGCAACCACCCGTCCCGCATCTGGCGGGACAGTCCCCCAAAACGCTTCCAAGTCTCGCGTCCTGAAAAACAGACAAAAAAAAGAAAAAAAATGTCCCGCAATTCCTCACATGCAAGATTTCTATACAGTATAATGCGTGAATTTCGCGATGATAGTCTTGAGTATTACCTTTTTTAAAGATTCGTAAGAATATTTTTAGATCTAAACTTAATCTACAACTTATAATTTTGTTTCTCAAACATTCTGCACATGAAACACGATTCGTAAGTTTACGTGTGTGTCATAGCACTCGTAAGTTTTATGTGTATAAAGTAGACTACCAAAGGATATTACGTTTAATTTAGAGAAACAGATTTGATTTACGAATGACATTGATTTTGAACTCTTAAACGTGGGCGAGAAATGGATGAAAACATGTAGCTTTATAATAAAAGGTCCATGAGGAAAGTGATTAATTCTTTAATTAATGGTCGTCCGCTAAAACCAGCAAATTTAATCAAATTATACTTCCCTTTGTTCTTTCCATGCCAGTTTGCAATGCTTATGTTGAACGCATAATTTTCACCGATGAAAAATTAATGGAGAGATGAGAGAAACCAGGCATGTAAAACTTTAGATATGTGAAATTCAAATTAAATTAAACTTTGAATATTCGTGTCAGGAGTTTCACAAGTATATATTAAGAGTATTCTAGTGTCATATTTTGTGTCTCAGGTTGCTAGGAATGGCGTTTCCGAGCTTCTAGTTATCAAACATATTCGGGTGGTGGGCTCCTCACCCCCCACTCCATCGCGGTCTCTCGCTTGGTATCCGGGGTGAGCACCTCCGCCGCACACGGTTCCGCAGAAAATAAGAGGGATTTTGAGCAACATATATTTTACTGAAATGCCCCACAATATGATCAAACAGACAAGCAAAATTGGTCACCTTATATACGCAATTCGTGGCTGACTCATCCACTGGAAGGTGTCGGGTTCGATCCCGGTGTTGGTCGGGAAAGTTCCTCGGGATTTTTAAGAGTGAATTTCCTCTTGTGTCAGTGATGCAGGGCGGAGGGCTTTAACAAGGAACAATGCCCAGTCATTCGGATAGTACGAAAACCCGAGGTCACATGTACACGTTGAGACGTAAAAGAACCACCGCGTTGGTATTCTTCGAGGAGTAGGTGGAAACACCGGCGTCCAGGTACAGCAGACTATATGGCGGAAACACCGACGTCCGGGTACAGCATACTATATGGCGAAAATACCGACGTCCGGGTACAGCACATTGCGGAAACACCGATATGTGGGCACATCACCCTACATGGCGGAAACACCGATGTCCGGACACAGCACACTACATGGGCAAAATTTCCCTCATTGCATACTGTATGGCGATTTCATTAGCCGGGTTGGTGCAGAACAGCTGCAGAACGTAAAACCCAATTTCATTTGTTATGTAATTCCCTTTATTGGTATCCAATATGAGAGAAAATATTTGAGTTGGGGTGCGGGTGCGGGGTGTAGGGGGTGGTGAGGATTGAGGGGCAATATATGTGATATAGATGATCCAGTGACATCATGACTCACGTTCATTTAAATCTGTAGATTGAGTCAGGTGATTCTATAGGAAGGGGTTTTTGTGATAATGTGACATTACTTCGGCCATATTTGCATAAAGACTGGTAATACTACAGTGAGACGTGAGGCAAGGATTTTCCAATGTTGACTTTATTCCATTTAAACAAAGAGTGTCAATATTAACACAAAACGTTCTAGAAATTAGTTTCTTCCCAGCAGTAAGACGTGACTCGCGGGTCCACGTGGTAAAATACGATGACGTGGTTAATATGGCTTCACAATGTTTTGTTTTTGTTGTTCATTTACAACCCAATATTTAAGATGTTATTGCTTGTAGAATAAAAGGCCATATTGGGGCCATTAATAGCGTATCTTACATATATTATAGAAATGTGTTTAATCGTCGCAGGTGTTGATCGGGTCATTAAACATTACCATTGTATAAGCGCCTACAAATATTTTCTCTTTTAATAGGAAAAGTCTAAGAAGGCGGAAATCGTAAATATGAAGAATAGTTCTCTTCTGGAGTTATAAAATTCGAACGTAATAATAGAAGATTAGTCAATTGTTCGGAATTCCGTTAACAAGGGACTCGTAGAAAGAGGTTAGATATATTCCACAAGTCATGTCAAACGGTGACGTCGTATTCTTATCTGGAGAGCATGCGGAATAAATACTATCGGTATAGAGTGGAATAACCAGACGCTCTAGATTGCCATTGGATTGAGACCTCTGGCGTATTTCGCCGAATATAACTGATCAGAAATTGCAGTAAAAACAGAAACGATTGAATGTAAATCAGTTTATATACATTCACATTACATTATTATAGTGGTTGCGACCCATTTGTGTCAATTTCTAGATCCAAAATATTAGCGATTTAGCTCCTTTAAGGCTCTCTCTGTCACGCTTAAATTACTGTTGAAAGGGAAGGAGCATCATCCCCTAAAGTGGAGACCGTGTCTGTCTGCATGTATCTGTGTTAGGATTGGTCCTTTCAGTTGCAGGTATTAGATGAATGTCCTATTTGATGAAGTTTTCTCCATTTCTTGTGATTCCAGTGGTAAGTTTACAAGATGGTCTAGTACTAAGACAATAATAACATTACAGTTGTTATGTCTATGATTCATTCAATGATTGTACTTGCCGGTGGCAAGAGTTTGTTTCAATCCAACTGATCGTTCCTTTCAGGCTTAGAACATTTCATCCAGGCCTCGTAACCCTTACCGTACCCAAAATACCCGCAGCCAAAACACATAACTCGGGATGGCGTATTTCGGGTACTCGTATAATGTACAAATAGAAACAATTTTTTATGAATTGAATTAAGGCTATACAGTAATTAGTGGCTAGACAGGGACACGTTATGTCTAATAATAGTGTGGGAAAATCATAGTCGACACCGTGTTTTCATTGTTTCTACAGTAGAACTCTCCATTAAACGGTTCGAGATTATTATCAACTTCTTTCAGATTACGTGTCACACGCAAAGCTGACAGTCGTGGCGCTTCAAGTCTTTGCAGCTGGAATGACTATATTTATACATGTCGTGCCCCAAACCCATGCGTTGCTGATATTGAAATACATTCTGCTTACAACACTTCTACTTGTAACACACGTTTCAAACATCATACAAATGTATCCGCGTGGGGAAAAGAAAATATAAACCTTCTACTAATACAACATCTAATAGTAAATGTGAAATTTTTAATCAATTTAATTGTTTCGCTTGAGATCAACTTTTATTTTGATTGGTTGAGTTATAGTAGAATAGGTCGGTAATCAAGCTTGATATCAAAACCATAAAAACTTATTTAAAGGAAAATAATCTTGTACAAAAAATATCCGATGTGCTTACCGTAAACGTTTGTGCTTGTGGAAACATCGTGCTATATATATTATGTACAAACACGTGATTGTTTTCTACCGTAAACTTCATTCCATAAAAACTGTCTATAGTTCAAACTGATATCCTGACGTCATACATCCATAGTCAAAACTGTACAGTATACAGTATATTATTATGTATTGCTGTTGGCACTGTTATAATACGCTTCAGGTGGTCGTCTGATTTTTCTGTTAATAATAACGCATCAAGGGTTTTACTTTCTGGTCTAACAAGTACGGTTAACCCCTTCTTGCATTGGGCTGTCCGAGTGTAAGGGTGTTTTATTCGGCGTTCTGCAAGGCAGTGTCTTGGGTTCAATTTTATTTATACACCGATGGCCTTGGCAAATAGCTATACAAAATATGGCCTATAACACACTACAATACATAATATCAGTACATGTATATAAAAGAATTACAATGATTACAAGAGGTATTTTAGAGTACAAGCTACCAAACTATTACAATGATTACAAGAGGTATTTTAGACCACAAGCTCCCAAACTATGGAATCATCTTCTTTATAATTTAGCCAACAGAAAATCTTTACATTATCTTAACCAATAAAATGGAATTGAAAACTCTTCCAATTGATATTCATTTCATATTCTACCCCTATATATGCATTGTTGATCACGAGTCACAAAATGAGCGGCGCAATGTTTACTGACGACGGGCATACAATGTGCTCAAAGAGAAATTCAGTAATTTCACATATATATATACATTTATATCAGCTTTACATTCGCCTATGTGGATTACGGTGCTTTAACAAACTCTTAGATACCTGTTAAATAAGAGTGGTTGTGTATTATTGATGTGGGGTGGGGTGTATGTGGTGTGTGTGTGCGGGGGGGGGGGGGGTAAAGTAAGACTCTCCAGGTGGTACTTCTGCCTACTATTCAAGGGTTCTTTATACGTGAACGCCATCGTGTACATGGGACCTCGTCCTTTTTTTTCACTCCTATCCTAATGCTTTGAACCTTTTTTGCATGGTATCGAACACGTGACGTCCTGTTTAGTGTGAAAGGGGCTATTCACTGAGCGACCAAGGTCTCATGAAGAAAACTCTGGCAATGCAAAGACAATTTTAATCGTCCCTTTCAGGTGAGAATTTGATGGCCATGGGAATTATTTAGTTAAACCTCACCCACACTTTCCACTTACCCCCCCCCCCCCCCCCCCAACAGGTTCCGCGTGTGTTCAAAACACCTGTTACTAACTCTATATAAAATCTATAGGAAAATACTGACTTACGGCAGTAAATTGTTTATTATGGTTATATTATCTAGTCATGTGTTAGGATGTTACTAGATCCACATGTTACCTTGGTCGTTCCACTTACTCTTAGATCCACATGTTACCTTGGTTGTTCCTCTTACACATAGATCAACATTTTACCTTGGTTGTTCCTCTTACACATAGATCTACATGTTACCTTGGTTGTTCCTCTTACACATAGATCTACATGTTACCTTGGTTGTTCCTCTTACACATAGGCTAGATCTATATGTTACTTTGGTTGTTCGAGATACTACATATAATATGTTGAGAGAAATGTAATATTTACAAGAGGTACAACTTTGTTTATAAATTCTACAGACCAGCAAGACGTTAAACATCATTTTATTTTATTTTATAAATTCAACAATTATTTACGCACAGATACAATGTAATATGTCCAAAAAATATTAAAATAAAAGTTATATTACTTCTGTTATTAAACTTCATTAAGGCCTACAACTATGTAAGATGTGAATTTAGCCATTAAATTGAATGTATGTAATATTCTCTACCACCGGGAAGATTTATGACTACCTGGCCAGCAAGCTAGGGATATTATAGGTGGTTTACCTACCTGGCCAGCGTACCTGTCTATATACCTGTCTTTCAAGACTTCACATATACAATGACTAAACGGTTTTGAATTATAAAGAATATATTTGCATAAATATCGATCGAATGTTTTGAAGAAAAAAGGGTTGTTGTTGTTTACATTAAAACAAATCAGAAAGCTGGAGCCATATATATATACCTATACTGTCATTATATTTTACTACGATTTACATCATAGAAACATTTTATCGATTTTAAATCATTATGGTACCGAGATCTCATTAAACTCGTGCCTTTAAGGTGATAAAAGCTATAATTAATTACAGGTGAAAGGCATTTTGATCTTCAGGGAAGTGCTCATCATTTATGTTATGGTTTCTGATTCAAAAGAGTCAATTTATGTTATATAATAATGACTTAAAAATATAAATCTTAAATAGACCCCTGTCTTCTGCTAATATAATTCTCCTTGCGGCCAAATACCACGTGTACGAATGCACGTGGTCGGGGGCTATTATTAGATTTCCGCCAACCAATCAGAGGAAAGTATTTGAGCTACCGGTGTATATTTTGGCTGTCGAGTTCACAGTCCGCCACGTCGAAAATAAATAGAGGTGTTCTCGATAAATAACTTAAGACTAGATATCTGGTATACATCTACATAGTAACTTTCGTCTCTTACCACTAATAACACTTTCAATATGGCGTCGTTTAAACTCATAGGACTGCTTTTAGCGTGTGTGTGTCTGTCTTATGCTGAAGATGAACTGAAGATAGAAGTTGTTGAGAAACCGGAGGAATGTGAACGTCTCAGTAAAAAGTTCGATATGCTACAAATGCATTATACAGGTACACTAGAAAAAGATGGTTCTAAATTCGATTCTAGGTGAGTTTAATATTTATTCTTGATTATTAAACATATGGAGGGTTATTTTGCAGCAGAATGCAATTTCTTTACCATGTCTTCTTATCTTAACTCAAGGAAGAAGGAACTAACTGGGGTAGCACGATTTACCCAAATCTACCCAAATTCACCATTATTTCAAAGACAATAATTTATATCGATATTTGATAGTATGCTTTTCTTTATTCTAAATTGTCATTTTTAATTTACAATCAAAATGCCTCACAAAATGCGCTTTCCAGTTTATATCGATATTTGATAATATGCCGTTCTTTATGGTTTTGGTAAATTAAGTTGTTATTTTTGATTTTAAATCATTATTTGTGTCTAAACTCACTGCCAAAATGCGATTTTCAAGCAAGTTTGGAAGTTGTAACCAAGGGACATAACTTGTGTATTTCAAGAAATCGCTCTCTTGAAAATTACATTTTGAGGGACAATTTTGAAAAAAAACACGATTCTATTTATAAACTATAAATGCTGATTCTGCATAAAGAACAGTATATTATCAAATATAGATTGTTATATATAATGGTGGATATTGGGGGTTTGGGTAAATTGTGCTACTTGACTGACTGCATGAATCAGTTGGAATTGCTGGAATGTTATGTATGTTTCCAATGTTTTTTCCTTCAACTTTGTCATTGCAACAATAACAAGCTATATTCATAGTGGGGGTGGGTGGTGCTGTTGACCCGTATGGTGAGTTGTATGACCCACTATTTTTTTTAAGCTAAGAATATTTGCAAGTTATTTGTTGATTTGAAAGGTGTGGTGGTCTATCTAGTAATGAAACCCAATAAATAGGTGTTTAAACTACACCTTGTCCAATACAATGTTTAAATATTACTACAAGTGTATAAAATCATGACTTGGATTGTTCCATAAAGCTGGAGAGTAGTACTGGAAATGGTTCCACTACCACGTAAGCCTCATAAATCGGGTTCCAATTTAGTTTAAAAATTATCAAGCTCCCTGTCTATAGACAGTCACCACAATATGAATTTGATTTCAATAGCCCTGGGCAAGGCTTCCACTATCGGTCATATTTCATTCATATTAAATTTGATATTTCATGTTTTTTTATTTATGGCATATTTCTCACCTTCCTCGGTTTTAGACTATCTCTTACTGACGTAACGGCACTACAGGCTGCAGAATTGTGATGCAAATCCTTATACGGCATTTAGTAATTGAACATATAATATAAAAACACAAATTTATATGGAAAACAATCACTGATTTTATTACATTACTCACTTGAGAACGACAAGAGGAACTTGTTGAAAACCAGTGATTGTTTTCCATGTAAGTTTGTGTTTTTATACAATAATGAATAACTAATACCCAATATCCAACTACAATCTTATAATAGACTCTAGTCCTGAAATCACCTAGTTTGTGTCGAGTGGACATTAAACCCCATTTCTCTTTCTCTCTATAATAGCCTTACAATGTTTAAATTCTCAGATTTCACATGACATCATAACTAAAAGGTTTTAGTGAATCAATTCCACACTGATCAGCAGTGAATATTCGCTAGGCCGCTACAATCACTGATAAGGATGACATCAATGTGACTTAATGAGTCTCAAATATTAACTTTTTTCCACCAACAAATTAAATTCTAAAACATTTTTTTGATGTATTAGAAAAATAAATAAAGATGTTTGACGTATTTGTAGGTAAAAATTATTTCCTATTTAGTGTAAATGGGTATTAAAATGACTAAAAGGCGCATTCTGCCCAAAGCAGTAACGTCTTATGTAAACAATGCACGGGCCATTCATCCAATGATTGACGGCACGTGTTAAAGGCAGTCATCTTTTACAGAGATATTAGAGAAGACTCTGTGAAACAGATTGAATCAAGTCCCAAAATATGAGTACAGGAGTTTTTATGGGTTTCCTGTGTGATGTCATTTTCTGATATGCATCATGCCCAGAAGTTTACGCACCAAGTTGGCCATTGTTATTAAACTTTATTGCCTTGACAAATACAATACATGTACTTCATATCTTTTAAAATATCCTCTAAACAAAATGATTTTCAACATACATTTTTAATTAATAAGATATTTGTTTTTGTTTTTGTAGCAAAGATCACGGGCAGCCCTTTAGTTTTCAACTTGGTGTAGGTCAGGTTATTAAGGGTTGGGATCAGGGTTTAACAGACATGTGTGTTGGTGAAAAACGTAAATTAGTTATTCCATCACATCTAGGTTATGGTGAATCTGGAGCGGGTATGTTTTATTCTTCAACTTCTACATTAAACAACTTTTATATTAATCAACTTATTAAAGGCACAGTAAAGCAAGATTTAAATGTTAATTCATGTGGAAGGTTGGATGGCCGAATGATTAGTGGGTGCGCACTGTATCATACGGTCTGTCATTGAATCAACTGGCGTGGTTTCGATTCCCCTGTTGTAAGTGACAAGAAGTAGGGTCGCCTGTCCAACCTTGTGGGTTTTCTCTGGGTCCGACCTCCCACTGCTAAAGACCCATATGCACAAGCGAATTATTGAAATAAAATTGAACCATATGTTAGTCCCAATATGACCAATGAAGAAGTATAATTTATCAATATTTATTTTATTTCAGGTGAATCTATTCCTCCCAATGCTAATTTATTATTTGATGTTGAATTAGTTGATATCCAAGAAGGTCAGCCACCACCAAATGTTTTTAAAGAAATTGATACAGATGGTGATAAACTGTTATCTGTAGAGGAGGTAAGTCACTCATTTCTATAACAAGCTCCAATCTGATTAAAACACACATCCTATTTCGTTTCGTTTTTTATAGTTCAAAATTTCGTTTTACTTGTCTTTACTACACTAGGATCTGGAAGAGTTGTTATATTATTGGCGTTTTGGTTGAATTGACGGACAAGCCAATGCGACAGTCTGTTATGGTGACTTCTTGGCGTGCCATGCACAGAACTGTGGGTAAACCACTAGAAACACCAATGCTGATTGATTAATCAATGTCTGACGTCATAGGATCAAAAGCAGCTGGTACGACCCCTGATACAACCTTATAGTACAACTTGTCAGATCTTCATGTAGTGTAGGCCATCGAAAGTATAAAAAACGAAATGAAATATAGATCTGTATTTCAATTAGATTGAAGAAACTCACTCCGCTTGTCTGTTCAATATGGAACAGGTTTTTATATGCCCAACGGCCAACATTTCTCTTGTCTGTTCGGTCTGGAACAGGTTTTTATACGCCCAACATTTCTCTTGTCTGTTCAATATGGAACTGGTTTTTAATTTTTAAGATCTCTAAATTCTCATTTGGTGAAAGATGGAATCTGATTTTATGATTGACTAACAGTTTGTAAATAGGTCTATTTGTTTCTATTTTAATCAGATATCCAAGAACATAAACTGGATTTTAATTACCTGGCAAAGTGGGGTGGATGGTGGTAACTTCTTACCTTGATGGAAACATTCGTCATGAGGATAGACACATTTGAGGTTTATTAAAGTCAAACCTAATATTATAATTTATCTTGACTAAATATATGGTTGTATTTTTTCAGATTGCTACGTATTTAAAAGAACAAGCATCTAAACATAATGTTGGTGAAGAGAATGTTGAGGAACAACACAATAATATGATAAAAGAAATCATGGCTCATGAAGATAAAGATAAAGATGGTTTTATTTCTCATGAAGAATTTAGCGGCCCAAAACATGACGAATTATAAAAAAAACAACTTTGTTAATGTTTTAGGATTTTAATCATTAAGTCTGTGTGCAGGAATTAAATCACTTACAAATTTCATCAAATTAAAATAAATTTCATTTAATTTTGAAAGATAAAAACAAACTTATTTTTTGACTGTATATAGTTAAAAATAGAAGATAAATTGGACCAAATTTATACGAAGAAAAGCAACTTAAAAACCCATAAATAAATATAGATGAAATTGATTGAAATCTTGCACATAGATTTATATTGTTTTCATGCCAAGTCATATTTTTGTTATTGCATCATGTCATTCAATTATATAATGGAATCTTTTACTTTAATTAAAAACTTGAAAAAAATAGATAGCATTGTATTTTAAATAAGATTGTTTCTATTTACGTCTAAGAAAATACCAGTCAGGGTAAAAATCATGAAATAAATGTTGTTCAAAAATATGATTCGGTTCCAATTTAAAACACAACACACTTTAATCCAGAAATGCAAAATGAACAAAATTTTGAAGTTTAGCAATAAATATATGATTAGTATTTGTGAAATGTCTCATTCGTGTCTCTTATCACACAATGCCTTACTCTACATAAATTCATGCCTTAAAATATTTAATAAAGATCTGTCATTTTTAATCAATAATCCCAATTACTGGGGATAATTACTGTTATTGTAATTTGTAAGTTAAAGAAATGAACTGGGGATAATTACTGTTATTGTAATTTGTAAGTTAAAGAAATGAACTGGGGATAATTACTGTTATTGTAATTTGTAAGTTAAAGAAATGAACTGGGGATAATTACTGTTATTGTAATTTGTAAGTTAAAGAAATGAATTTACTTACATTTAATGTGAAATTTATTTTAATATATATACCAAAAGTAATTTATGAATAATTCTATGGTAATCTGTTAAGTATTGAAAGTCTTAGATGTAATTATTTTCTTCATAAAATTTTGTAAGTATCATTTTGATATCATGTGATATCTCACTCTATATTTATCTAGTCAACGTATATTACTTAAATCAAAGGTTTAGTTTATCAAAAGGTCAAACATAACATGAATTATATATTCTCATGATAACATCTGTCATGATGAAATCCCTATTCCATGACCAATTCCACTTACTGGTAAGATTGTTTTGTTTCTTAGCATCTTATAATAGACTGTACTGTAGTAGTAGTTAATATCTCTACATACTAGAGGAAAACTAAGACAAATAATGAATGCACAAATCGCAAGTAGAAATGGGTTGAAGCTTGTATTAAATGCTTTTTGTATTTTTTGATGAAAAAATATGCTTTTTTTATATATGTACACATACTTAAATTACTGGTTTACTCAATATTGGGTTATTTTGTTCCAGTAGGATAAAGTCTGTTTAGCCTAGTTTATCATGTCTTCCATTGTGCTTAGCTATCGTACATAAACAAGATTTATATATTTATGTTGATATTTAATTTCAATCGGTGTTTACAGAGGTTGTTCGTTACTATACATGCATGTCTACTACAAATCTGATGGTTTCATCTCAGGTACACAAAGGTTGTTTGAGTATGTATTGCTTCAGATTTAATCATGTTTTCTATTAAAATTAATTCTCTCAAATGTATGTCAAGAATTGTTCTAGCTGTTTGATCTTTCATTAATTGTAGATTCAAATACTAAATAAAAAATATTTATTTTATATTTTCTTAGTAAATGTTTTTTTCTTGTCCCCTGCCTCTCAGAGGAAGCAGTGGAATGTTAAAATGAATTTGTTCATCATACCTTTTGGAACATAACACGGTTTCTTACTGAGGTAGAATGTTCGAACTTGGGGTTGATGCTCATCTGGTGAAATCTTTACTGAGCTGAATGATGAAAATTTTCTGCTTTAGGCTAAGCTCAGGCTAAGTAGAGAAAAGCAATTTTAATGTATTGGTGTTTTTAGAACACAAGAGAAATTGATTGGCTGAGGTAACTTTAAATATTATTGAATAAGAATGGTGAAAGTGGAATTGTTTCGTTAATTCCTTGACTACCTGTCAGTGTGATGATGAAATTATTCTGTTTAAAAGTTCCGTGGATATTAGCAAACTTTTTACCAAGAACCGGTCTACAGGTGCTGATCATCTTCTTGGGGGCAACACTGTTTTCAAACAGCCTAAGGCTCTGCCAATTTATTCTAAACTGACAAGAAACTTGACATCCTTGAACATTTGTTCATCGATTGACATCATAGTCAGAACTGGGTTCACAGTAGGACATCAATCAGAACCAGGTTCACAGTCAGTACAGTCAGTACTAGTTAAATTATCCTTGAATGTAGAATACAGCAACACTTGACTGTGGAACACAGTAACTCTATGTCTGAGGTAGAATGTTCATATGAACGTATATTGTCGTCACCCCTGTACATGGGGACGTTTGTGGATACTCTATAATAGGATATTTGAATCATGTGATATTTGTCTGACTGTTATCAATTATTCCTTGAAACTTCCAACTGTCAACAGTTCTTTTACGTTCATCCCACACGGGACCACAGTTTTTTTTATCACATCCGAATGACTTGGGAGTCCAACCTGCACCACTGACAAGTCGAAACTACGCTCGAAAATCCCTTGGAGGTTTCTTGGACAAAATCAAGTCAAACTTCAGACCTCCTGGTTAGTGAGCCATTGCCTCACTCAGTCACCATGACTACCAAGTGAACCCGCGATCAGCCTTACTGAGTCACCATGACTACCAGGTGAACCTACAAGTAGCCTTACTCACTGAGTCACTGTGACTACCATGTGAACCTACGAATAGCCTGACTGAGTCACAGTGACTATCAAGTGAACTTATTGAGACAACATGGCTCCACTGACTTGAAGATGAAATAAATTAAGCACAGCTTCTACATAAATATACCTTTATTGCATAGTTGTACACAAGAATAATTACAAATACATCCAAGAAGATGAATTAAGCCGATGCATTAGGGCGTACAAAATAATATACATTTAACTATGTGCATTTGATTCATGGCCAATTCAACAATACAAATCATCCAGTCCTTTATTATAAGAGAATATCAGAAAGTCTGGATGATCAAAATCTATATAAACCAGCGGCTGCCAGGCAGGATACGCCCACATTTTCGAGAGATGGATAGAGAACAAGCTAAGAAGAAAGTGATTTTTCCTACAATCAAGGGCCATAATTCAGGAAATTACAATTCGATATGCGCAAATATCGAAAGGAACCGAGATCTTTGGGTTATAAACTTACATTTCAAGTTTCAACAAAATCGGATAAAAATTGTGACTTCTATAGGGTCCACAACTTTGATATACCCTATTTTTACGCTATTTGAGAACGAAGGGCGGCCATTTTATCTGTCAGTTTTGGGCCGATTTTCACGAAATTTGAACTCAGTCGTCTTTAGGGTGTAACGGTGATATAATAATACGGTTTTTTAAATCGGATAAAAATTATGACCTCTATAGGGTCCACAAGCTAAAAACGCGATTTTTCATACAATCAGGGGCCATGATTCAGGAAGTTAAGGTCCAATAGGCGCGAATATCGAAAGGAACCAAGATCTTTGGGTAATAAACTTATATTTCAAGTTTCAACAAAATCGGATTAAAATTGTGACCTCCATAGTGTCCACAACCTTGATATACCATATTTTTACGCTATTTGAGAACGAAGGGCGACCATTTAGTCTGTCAGTATTGGGCCGATTTTCAGGAAATTCGAACTCAGCCGTCCTTAGTGTGTAACGGTGATATAATAATACGTTTTTTTAAATCGGATAAAAATTATGACCTCTATAGGGTCCACAAGCTAAAAACGCGATTTTTCGTACAAACAGGGGCCATAATTCAGGAAGTTACGGTCTGTGTGCGCAAATATCGAAAGGAACCGAGATCTTTGGGTTATAAACTTACATTTCAAGTTTCAACAAAATCGGATAAAAATTGTGACCTGTATGGGGTCCACAACCTTGATATACCATATTTTTACGCTATTTGAGAACGAACGGCGGCCATTTTGTCTGTCAATTTTGGGCCGATTTTCAGGAAATTCGAACTCAGCCTTCCTTAGGGTGTAACGGTGATATAATAATAGGTTTTTTTAAATCGGATAAAAATTATGACCTCTATAGGGACCACAAGCTAAAAACGCGATTTTGCGTACAATCAGGGGCCATAATTCAGGAAGTTACGGTCTGATATGCGCGAATATCGAAAGGAACCGAGATCTTTGGGTTATAAACTTACATTTCAAGTTTCAACAAAATCAGATAAAAATTGTGACCTCTATAGGGTCCACAACCTTGATATACCATATTTTTACGCTATTTGAGAACGAACGGCGGCCATTTTGTCTGTCAATTTTGGGCCAATTTTCACGAAATTCAAACCTAGCCATCCTTAGGGTGTAACGGTGATATAATAATACGTTTTTTTAAATCAGATAAAAATTATGACCTCTATAGGGTCCACAAGCTAAAATTGCGATTTTTCGTACAATCAGGGGCCATAATTCAGAAAGTTACAGTCCGATATGCGCGAATATCGAAAGGACCTGAGATCTTTAGGTTATAAAGTTATATTTCAAGTTTCAAATAAATCTGATAAAAATTGTGACCTCTATAGGGTCCACAACCTTGATATACCATATTTTTACGCTATTTGAGACGAACGGCGGTCATTTTGTCTGTCAATTTTGGGCCGATTTTCACGAAATTCGAATTCAGCCATCCTTAGGGTGTAACGGTGATATAATAATACGTTTTTTTAAATCGGATAAAAATTATGACCTCTATTGGGTCCACAAGCTAAAAACGCTAATTTTTGTACAATCAGGGGCCATAATTCAGAAAGTTACGGTCCGATATGCGCGAATATCGAAAGGAACCGAGATCTTTAGGTTATAAACTTACATTTCAAGTTTCAAATAAATCGGATAAAAATTGTGACCTCTATAGGGTCCACAAGCTAAAAACGTAATTTTTCGTACAATCAGGGGCCATAATCCATGAAGTTTCGATCCGATACATGCCAATATAGAAAGCAGCCGAGATCTTTTGGGGATAAACCTATATTTCAAGTTTCGTCAAAATCGGATAAGACTTGTGACCTGTAGAGAGTCCACAAACAATTGTGGACGTCCGGACGGACAGGGGCGACGGCATAATACGTCCACATGAAAATGTGGGCGTATAAAAACCTTGAATGTCTGGAGTACAATAATGTCCTATTCTAGTCAATAGTAAATTTAGCTAGCTACAGTTTTCGTTGAAATCTTTTGATGAGCCTATTTTATATCTAATTGAATCCAAGTCCTTAGATTATTATTCTTAATTAAATGTTAACTAATCATTTTGAATGGGTACATGGATCAATCCATGGCATATTGGATATTTTTCAACAAATACAAATATAATTAAACATTGTAGACATTCATGACATGTGAACACTTAATAAAAAACAACCTCACAGACATACAAAATGAAATGAAATGGGGTTTAATGTCCTACTGTTCTGCTCTGACTGGGCTTATGAAGACATGCGTACACCCTACTCTTGGATCTTAGTCATGATCCAATATAAAGCCCATGCACGTTTATGTATCGGTAAATAAAAACACTGTATTCTTAAAATAATTTAGGTTTTTTTTTTGTGGGGGGTGGGGTGAGGGGATTAAAAATAAACTGGGCATATAAAAATGTATTTTCTGATGAGATATAGATTTATATCATGACTAATTTAGATCAAGTTTCATAGGGAAAAAAGGTCTGATGAGATCTCAATATAAGTGGTTTGACATATAGTGAAAATATATTATTACTTATTACATGTAATCTGCTGCCTTGTATACCTGTACATAATATACTTATATACACACTCAAAAATATCCAATTTAAACACACATTATGCAAGAGCTAAATTTGCCTATTGCAGGTCTTTCTTTAGGCCTAAAATGTTTTCTAAATTATTAATTAGACATTAATTAACTTATCCAGGCCATAATCAACTCACGGTGGCATTGGATTTCTCCGATATTAAATTAGATTAAAACAGTTCAGCCATATTTTGATTTAAGCTAAAAATGGAGGAGCGAGACTTAGCTTCGAACAACCAGTACGGTGGTTGAAATTATTGCACATTTCTTGTCAAACCTTCAAAGGCTAATATCTTCATTTTACATAATCTATTTTCGAACTATAATAGCAAGAATGGCTAGTTCTAAATCTTACATAATGTATCTTTAACTTGACAGCTAACATAAAACATAAAAATAAACACAATCATAAATAAGCCAACATCAAAACAAAAATTACTTGTGCTTTTAAACAAACATTTCATTGACTATCATACTGTTGAATGTCTGACATTATTACTAATAACAGAGGAATTGAGCAAAATGATGAAAAGAAGAAAGGTTGAAGATAAAAACAATTTGTACAAACTAATTGTTTATGTTCCATAGTATTTATATGTACAATATTAAAGGTTAATCAACATTAATATAGCAGACAGTTTTACTCGTCATACTGCAACTTTAAATATAGCAGATTAGTTTTACTTGTCATACTGCAACTTTAAATCAACTTCTACATGAACTAATATAGCAAATATATGATATTTCTATATCACCTTTCATTTAAATATTAACAATCTCTTAAAAATACAAATTTTATTTCATTAATTATAATTCAAATATTTATAATGAGTTTAATTAAACTTGTATGTTTAGCTGCTGAAAATGTATCGAGAATTTTGGGAAATACCAGTAGAACAGCAAAAACAAAATAAAAGTTCAATATATCGTGGACATCAAACAGTTAATGAAATAAAATTTAATATATCAATAAGGACTATAACATTCAAATTAATCATGTTCTTGTGTGATTTGAATCTTGTATTTACAATATTTACAGTGGGTGTGGTCAATTGTTTTATTAATTTGTGTGTAGTATAAGGCACATCTCTATTGGCAGTGAAAAGGAAAATCTTTGGAAAATTGGAAGAACGCAGATAAAAAAAACAACACATAAATACAAAGCAAATTTGATTTGTGATTTGTTACAACTGAAAACTGTAATTACTCTGACAAGTGACGTGAATAAACAGATTTGTTGACAGATGACTTCCTAATTATTCAAATCTAATTTTTAAATTCATACAATAAAATTATATTTTGATAAATCTGCATAAAAATCATACTCATGTATGATGCTACAGTCAGTAATGAATGGCAGAGTATGATGCTACTGTCAGTAATGGTCGGCAGAGTATGATGCTACTGTCAGTAATGGTCAGCAGAATATGATGCTACTGTCAGTAATGAATAGCAGAGTATGATGCTACTGTCAGTTATGGGTGTCAGAGTATAATACTACTGTCAGTAATGAATAGCAGAGTATGATGTTACTGTCGGTAATGAATGGCAGAGTATGATGCTACTGTCAGTAATGGTCGGCAGAGTATTATGCTACTGTCAGTAATGTAGCTTATTATGATTATAGTCATATAATGAATCTTTATCAACATATCTCAATGATCATCATCAACTCTCCAACATCATTTTATGGAAGACTATAAAACAAATAATCAGTTTAGTGTTAATAAACTAAATACCATCAATTCGTAATAAATGTACATTTTACCAGCTATTTAATCATATTCTAGAGTGTCCCATACACTCACAATTTGCACTATTAAAAGTTGAACTTACTTCTGCGAATGTTCAAGCTCAAATGCCGATTTTTAAGGTAATTAAAAAGAAGAGAGGCCAGATGCAGAACGTGTGTTTTATATCTGTTTGTTATAACTCTTCAAATACAATATCATCACTCTATTGAAGACTTGTTGTATCTGGAGATATTTATGGTGTTAAAATATAGGATTGTTTTAACGAGAATATTTTAAATACGTCCACAATATGTCGACCTTGAACTCCGTACTGACTGTATGTGACATCACACCATTGATCTTATATGTGGGAGGTAAGAATCATCCCTTACCCAAGTCAAGAACAACTACTGCAGATTGAATTACTCCCACAATCCACTATCAATGGACATATTATCATGCCATATGTGCTAGAGTAATGATAACGTCGTCGTGTATGAACTAAAATTGCTTTAGGAATATGAACTATCCATATTAGTTATATAGACTCTAATGTTCATGTGGCTGGATCTTTCTACAAACATATTTTATCAAAGTCACCTATATACATTGCACTGAGATTTCTTCTTCACCCAGTAACTTATTTTATACATTGCACTGAGATTTCTTCTTCACCCAGTAACTTATTTTATACATTGCACTGAGATTTCTTCTTCACCCAGTAACTTATTTTGATCTAAGAAGTAAATCTTTTACAAAATCCATCAATGAACCTTTTTCACTTTGATCAGTGGGTAACCTTGTTGAAAGAGATGCCTGAAAACAAGAACAAATCAAAGTTCATAGCACACAATACAACAAATTCAACTAAATCTTACACGGCAATATTCTAGTGATATATATCAATGCTCTGCAAGATGTTTTAATCTTTATCTGAGGGTACGAGATCTTATTTATAACCCAATAATATGGTACAAGATCTTATTTATAACCCAATTAACATTTGTATAATTCTATAAGAACATCCAATGAGACATATTTACCTGTATTTTATGTATATAAGTTTTTGTATCTCTCCATTCCTCTCCATAATCAACTATATCTAGACTACCTTTATAAAACTCTATCAACTTTTTCTGTAAAACAATCATTCAAACTGATGTAAAACGCACAATTGGTGGATACATACTATTTCACATACAATAGAAACATAATTTTATAATAGATTAATAGTTTATCTGATATTACTAATATATCATTTTAAATCCTGTTTATCCACTGATATAAAACTAATACACAGACATTGCTACAGAATAGCAGAGATATCCACTAAGAATCAGAATAGTTTCTATAATAGTAAGTGCAGGAAGACCGCACTACACACAAAAAATCTACAAGATTTTTGATTAGTACAGATTACACGATTTTGTTTAATACTGCTGTATGAAAAAGAAATATTTCTACCTTTTGGTAAAAACATTTTTGTCTCTTCCGACTAATAATTTTTAAAATAACACTATAAACTAATGAGAGTTGCCTGTCCAACAGTTTCCTCCCACTGCTAAAGACCCCTATACACTAGAAAATAATTGTAAATTAGTCTGGAAATGACCTAGCTTCTCTCTCTATAATCTATATGGTATTTATTATTTAAAAGAATTAACAAGAACTTACCATTTCAGATAGTAAATCTTCACTAATAGATTCATTCTGACTGATTGAATATTTCATTAACATTGGTATACCATAATCACTTGGTCGGTTCTAAATCAAACATATCATCATTATCTTTAACACAAATTAGTTTCTTTGTTTTTATTAGTCATTCATACAGTAGTAAACGTAAACATCCGTCTTTGTTTTTTTATCATACAAGATTAAACAAACAGTTTAAATGTTACTGGGTATATATGTTTCTCAGAAATTTATTTTTAGGACGAGTTCTTATGTTTTTAAAATGGTTATTTCAGTTACTTATATTAAAATGTCAATCTAATTGAAATACAGATCTATATTTCGTTTCATTTTTTATACTTTCGATTGCCTACAGTACATGAAGATCTGACCAGTTGTACTGGGCGGTCGAGTCAGGGGTCATACGAGTGGCTTTTGACCCTATGACGTGAGACATTGATTAATCAATCAGCGTTGACATTTCCAGGGGTTTACCCACAGTTCTGTGCAAAGCACGGCAAGAACTCACAGTCACAGACCGTTTCATTGGCTAATTCTTCACATCAACCAGAATGCCTATTATATAACAACTCTTCCAGATCCTAGTGTTGCAAAGACAAGTAAAACGAAATTTTGAACTATAAAAAGAAACGAAATAGGATCTGTGTTATAATCAGATTGATTAAATGAAAGAATCATCTTCAAAATTCTGTCCTTGACTTATCAGTGTGTAAATGGCTTAGCTCCAAAATTCTTATCCAACCTTATGCAAATACATGTTCCCTCACGTAACCTCCAATCAAACAGACTTCATCACTTGTGTTGCCCAAGATGGAAGCTAAAATCATTCGGATACAGATTGTTCTCAGTTAATGCACCTAAACAGTGGGACAATCTACCAGAAATCATTAAATCATCTCCAACTCTCTCTTGTTTTAAATCAAGACTTAAAACCCATCTTTTTGAGAATTGTTATCATGATTAATCAAATTAATTAACTGTATGCGCTGTGAGCATGCCTCTGTGCATGGAGTACTAGCGCTATATAAATGTACATATTATTATTATTTACCTCTGGTGGGGGCATCACCCAGTATGCCTGAACAGCTGAATTATCTTTGATCTTTTTTCTATCATACGGTGCTGATAAACATAGTGAATAGTAATTAATGTGAAATCAAATAGATCTATAGTAGGTTAATACATGATTCATGATGAGATTATTCAACCTATATTTACAGTATTATTATACATATCCTTAATGTAATTAACATATATTTACTATTATTTAATTACAGCCTTATTTACCATACAATTTATACCATAAACAACTTATAGACAACTTATAAACTGCCTGGTTGTAGAAATGTAACATATGACAATGTGAAGATGAGGGTCAGAGTTAACACAACCTTTGACACCACTGTTGCTTTCAAATATAAGAGCCTAATTGTCCTTACCAACAATAAAACCCAGACAAGGGTGATAACTGCTTCCACTTCCTTTCATCTTTAGTTGATACGACATCTGACAACCTATGTCTTTAAGGGAGGGATCAGCTTGACTGTGAGGATGACTATGATACCAACCAACCAATGATAAACCAGCATGTGACATTTGTCGACGGATCTAAATAAAATGATCAATTACAAAGTTAAATGATATACATATTGTTTTAGACGATCTAAAGTAATATCTTGGTATTAAGTATCAACCAACTAAAATCGGAATATAAATACACACCCCTTTCATTGGTGATTTTGAATCATCCTTTGATTTCATTTATAATCATAGAAAAAAATGTTCTTCATGTCCACACTTAGCATTATATCAATGGTTTTATTCATGTCCACACTTAGCATTATATCAATGGTTTTATTCATCATCTTTATACATTAGAGTAGATTGAGCACAAAGCTATTTAAATGGCATAGAACACTGAGGAGAATCTAATTTGCCAGATCAAGAATAAAATAAATGTATATGTACCTACCTCTTCCTCTATAAGAGGAGCTTTATCTTTATCTCCTAGACGACATCTACAAGGATATATCTGTCTAATACTCATATCTATAATGTCAATAATATATCCTGTAAGATTTATATCTTCTCACTAATACCAATAATAATCACAGTAGAAATCTACTACAAGTTTACTATCACCTGCCTATTAGCCAATCAGAGCATTATAACACCGGATTTTAAAAAAAAACTTACGTTGTGATTTAGAATCCCATTTACCACCTAGATAACCAACAACTTCCGAATGAGTCAAATGACAATGATAATCCTTAAATACAAATAGAAATAATGTTAAATACACACTAGATCTTCACTATAGAAATAATGTTAAATACACACTAGATCTTCACTATAAAGCTGAAAAACTCATCCAAACAGATACTCATATAGTTTGGCAAAGTTTCAAAAAGTATTCTCTCAACATCATCTTGACAACATTGAGAGAATACTCTTCCAAATATTAATTATCTAGCTAACGTTAAGAGAATACTCTTCCACTCTTCAAATATTAATTATCTAGCTAACGTTAAGAGAATACTCTTCCACTCTTCAAATATTAATTATCTAGCTAACGTTAAGAGAATACTCTTCCAAATATTATTTATCTAGCTAACGTTGAGAGAATACTCTTCCAAACGTCACCTAAAGAAATCAGTAATTGTTCTTCCATAAGTATGTGTTATAGTTTATTGCTCTATCCACTTACTAAATGCCTCTAAATGATCATCCAGTTACTAATTGCCTCTAAAAGATTATAAAAGTAATGTTCGGGTTCAAAGCCTTCAATATACAGATTACGGGTGACAATGCTTATATTAAATCTGCCATACAGTCAACGACACTATAGTTAAATATACATTATGGGAAATTAGATAAAGAGCTGGCAATTCGCACTATAATAGTTCAAAACTAGATAAAGTAAAGGCAATTTGCTGAAAATTTCAGTCAAATTGATCCACTCTGAACCGAGAATATAGCAATTGAAATTTAGGCCTAGCCTCGATCATCATTACAAAAGTCGGTACGATAAAAAACATTGTCTTGATTATCCATTTTTTGATTTAATCATGAATGAGCGTTGAGCAGCAGATCGGATTACAATCCAGTAAATATCGCAGGCTAGCGATGGCATCGAGAGTTGATTATGGTCTGGATAAGTTAATTAATGTTTAATTCACTAACACTATTTTATGGAATAACAATCACTGGTTTATTAACATGCAACGTTTCGACGATCATACTCTCGTCTTTATCAAGTAAATGATAAGATATATATAAAACATCAAGTATTTATATACAGTATAAGATATATGTAAAACATCAAGTATTTATATACAGTATAAATGATAAGATATATGTAAAACATCAAGTATTTATATACAGTATAAAAAGAAGCCATAAATATAGAGCTTATACATAACTAGATAACGTTATATAAACCAGTGATTGTATATATTATATAACTAGATAACCTTATATAAACCAGTGATTGTATATATTATAAATAGTGTTAGTGTTTTACTCTTCAATTACTAAATGACACTTAAAGAAGATATGTTTAATTGATAGTTTATATAACATTTCAGGCCTAAAGAAACACCTGCGACAGGCAGATTTAGTTCTTTCATAATGTATGTTTAAATCTCAGTATATTCACCAAATGATGAAAACTTATATACTGGGTATGACTTATCATCATACTATTATAGTGTATGACTAGAAACTTACCATGAGTAAAACAGCATTAGATGTTATGGTGATAGTAAATGGTTGTAGTTTACCATAGGAACGGAAGAATTCACATTCTACTAGTGTGTTCGGATCACTGAAATAAAGATAGGTTGCCAGGCTATGCAGCATATGCCGACAGCAGCTAAATCGTCCTAGTAGTCGACAAGGGTTGTTGCATATTTATTCTTTTGTATGTAATGTGAGCATTTAATTAAAAGACACTGATGTTAATTTTATATAGATTGAATGATAATTTTGTTGTTAGAGCTTTTACAAGGTTTAAAAGGGTGAAACAAGGTCCATAACTGTATAAGTTATTAACAGAAATTCAGTAGGCTTCTTCATTTTGCTAATCTGAATAATGCATATGAACTTAATACAGAGCAGTTGATAACTTTTGTCATTAGACCGTTCACAAGGGGTTCTACAAAGTGAAACAAGGGCCATAACTCTAAGGTAATTAACCAATTGCTGAAAATCAACAGGCTTCATCATTTTACTGATCTAAATAATGCATATAAATGTCATATAGATCAGATGAAAATTTTAGTCATTAGAGCATTCACGATTCTAAAAAGTGAGACAAGGCCATAACTCTAGATAAAATTGATGAAATTCAGTAAAATTCTTCGTCTTACTTATTTAAACAACATATATCAATTTCAAAACGATCAGATAATAAATGTAGTCTGTAGAGTGTTCACAAGAAATTGTGGATGACGGGCTGATGGACGGGCGGACAGATGGAAGGTGGCAACAGCAATATATGATCACATTTCCATGAGGGTGTATAAAAACAAATTTGTCAAATGACATTCAAACAAGCCAACAGTGAGGCTGATGTCCCCCACCGATATCCCAAAATAAATAGATGACACATATTAATTAATCGCACATTTATTTTTTTCAAAAGTATCGAGCAATCAAACCATACACTAAGTTTCATCACTCTCTATCAGATAGAATCAAGATTATCTTGTCCCAAACCATAGACAAATGAAATCAATTAGCTCTGCTTAGCATCAGCTTGAAATTTTAATCATTGAACTCTGTCAAGACATTCACCTAATAGACACCTACGCCAAGTTTGAACATTCTACCTCAATTAGAAGGAGAGTTATTGTGTTCCAAAGTCTCAACCAATCAAATTGCTTATCACTCTGCTTACCCTCAGCAAAAAATGTTCATTATCGAACTTAGTCAATGTATTGATGTAATAAAGCTATACACCAAGTGTTCTCACTCTCACTTAATTAGAACTAAAGTTATCGTGTTACAAAGCATCAACCAATCAAACTGCTTATCTCTGCTTACCCTAAGCAGAAAATTCTCATCTTCAAACTCCATCAAGGCATTCACCTAATAGACACCTATGCCAAATGTGAACATTCTGGTTCAATTAGCAGGAGAATTATGGTGTTCCAAAGTCTCGGCCAATCAAATTGCTTATCGCTCTGCTTACCCTGAGCAGAAAATGTTCATTATTGAACTTAGTCAAGGTATTGATGTAATGAAACTATACACCAAGTTTCATCACTCTCACTTAATTAGAACTAAAGTTATCGTATCCCAAAGCATCAACCAATCAAATTGCTTATCTCTGCTAACCCTAAGCAGAAAATGCTCATCTTTGAACTCCATCAAGGCATTGACTTAATCAACACCTACACCAAGTTTGAACATTCTGGCTTAATTCGAAGGAGAGTTATTGTGTTCCAAAGTCTCAGCAAACAAATTGCTTATCGCTCCGCTTACCCTGAGCAGAAAATGCTCATTATCGAACTTGGTCAAGGTATTGATGTAATGAAACTATACACAAAGTTTCATCACTCTCACTTAATTAGAACTAAAGTTATCGTGTTACAAAGCATCAACCAATCAAATTGCTTATCTCTGCTTACCCTAAGCAGAAAATGCTCATCTTCGAACTCCATCAAGGCATTGGCCTAATAAACACCTACACCAAGTTTGAACATTTTAGCTCAAATAGAAAGAGTTATTGTGTCCCAAAAAGTGTGACAGACAGACAGACAGACGAACCCATTTTAATAGTCCCCTGCCTCCTTCGAAAGACGGGGGACAATAAAATGTAATTTTCATCAGCACTGTATTTATGCCAAATGAAATTACTTCTTACCAAATCAGTTCAATCACCAACATGCCAAATGTTAAATATAGATTTTAAGACCAAACACAACCAATTTGGTAAAAAAATTATTTCAAATAGATCAATTCAACCTCAGTTGTGGACGTTCAAAGTTTACACTGGTTTTCATTGATTTCAGACCAGGGCTCACACTGTCGGTCGCCAAAGTCGCAATTTGCGATAAAAATATGAAAGTGGCAATAAAAAATTAATTTTGGCGATAATGTTTTTCGGTACTGGCGATTCTTTTTGAGAACTGGCGGAAAAAATAAAAAAATTCTAATCGTATTTATCCTGGATTAACCATTATTGAGTGTCAATCACATGGCGGGATACTATAAATTAATCAACTGGCCGAAAATCTGGATCGCGCCAATGAGTAATACTAATCAGTTGTCTTGGATTAATGATTAGTTGATTGATAATTGCCAATGATATATATAAAGCCTATTTCATTTCATTTCCTAATGATTAATTCAAGCTGTGATTATTTGATGTTTCGTTTCCTCTTAAAAAACAATAGTAATACATGTAATCAAAATGGCCGAAAGTTCATTGCGAAGAGAATTAAATATTTTGATAGCTGAATTCGTTTACAGTGGCTTCATATACGGTATGTAAAACTACAAGCATGTCTATTGGATATCATTATTTCAAATTATATTATCACCACTGGTCGAAAACGTAAGAATGAGTTGAATAGTGATAATTCCTGAGCGAGAAAAAAAGTTTGACATTTTTAACATATTACCGTTGACAAAATGCTCTAAAAGTTAATGACGGGTATATTTTAAGCATCTCTTAACAAATATAATTGAAATTTATTCCATCCTATCAAGGATTCAGATTCTGATACCTTTCCGGTACCTGAAAATAACAATAGGCCCATTGTGCAATGCAATACTGTAAATACTGAAAATAGGTAATCCTTGGATGAGATTTGACGTGTAAATACTGAAAATATATTATACAGTACGGTGTTCAAATAGACTAAATTCACCAAAAATAAAATCTGATCATATTAAATCATTTTTACCACACATTTTTGGCAGATAAAATATTCCAGTTGGCAGAAAAATATATGAACATTTTTTTATATAAAAATTATCATCTACTTTGGCGGAAAAAAATTGAAAGCCAGTGTGAGCCCTGTTTCAGACTGCCATCTATATATGTATCTGAGACAAATAATGTTATAATAATACAGTTATTTGTGTTGTATTAGCCACCTATTCCTAATGAAGGTTTTAAATAATGCATGAAAATAGTACAATTACCAATATCAACAATGTACTTACATGTCAAGACTTCTCTTTCCAATACTTTCATATTTCACTGACGGTTTCGCTCCATTTTTATCAAACGTAAAACATTTTCTTTCTGTTATAACATTCTTATTCTCATCAGACTCATGATGTAAAGATAAATTTAAAGCTGCAATTGTTATAAAGTTATAAATAAAATTTCCATAAAATGAATACAGTTTTGTGATCTAAGGGGAGATAATACGACTCCAGGGTCATTGGAGGGGTTCATTCTCACCCAGCTCAAAACTTAAATAATCATGTTAGCGTGACTAAGGTGTTAATTGGAATTTCTAAAGAAGGATTAGCTGTAGTCTGTTTCACATTGGGCACTGTTTATTTCATTAGGTTAAACCTAATAGTAAAACAAAATCACTTGATAATGTTTTATTCAACATTTATTATAGTAAAACATGTTTATTTTAACACTTTTAATGTAAATGGAAAAACTTAATATAAAAAATAAATAACTAAATAGCACTATGAAATGAGCATCAACATTAAATATATATTTCATATGGGCAAGTAAACATTTCATACTTTTTACTCTAAATGGACAAGATGAGATACCGCATCTACATAAAGCATGATGTCTCTTTGACCATTTCGGAACTGATCTTTCAATGCTTGAAGTCTCTCTTCTAGTTCACGGTAGGCTTTCTTCTTTGGCCTGGAAATGCCGTTAGCACTGAGCTGTACAATTCTTATTTCAGTCAGCGTTTGCTCTCTTTTCAGCACAGTAACAAGTTTATAGATATTCGGATGGGGATGGCCAACAAGCTTATTTAATTTGCTGTGCCAGCCCTTTACTTTGTAAAAAATCACTCATTAAACACAGTTCACATGACACTTATTAAACACAGTTCACATGACACTTATTAAACGGTTAATCCATATCTAATTAGGTGAACACATTTCAGCTACAGACCATAATGCCCCAGCCCTAAACCCTTAATCAATATTTTGAGCTGGATGAGAACACCCCTTTGGAGGTAGATCACAATTAAATTTCACCATATAAAAAACAGCTGGCATTATCTTGCAATAATTAATTTGTTTATTAGTCAATTAGGGCATATCGTTTGATTTTTCTGGTCATACCTTAAAATAAAACAAGCAAACAGTGAAGCTGATGTCCCCCGCCGAAATCCCAAAATAAATAGATGACACATATTAATTAATCGCACATTTATTTTTTTCAAAAGTATCGAGCAATCAAACTATACACTAAGTTTCATCTCTCTATATCAGACAGAATCAAGCTTATCTTGTCCCAAAGCATTGACCAATGAAACTGCTTAGCTCTGCTTAGCTTTAGCTCGAAATGTTAATCATTGAACTCAGTCAAGACATTCACCTAATGAACATCTACATCAAGTTTAAACATTCTAGTACATCTAGAGTTGTTATGTTCCAAAGTCTTGACCAATCAAATTGTGAGTCTCTCTTTAGCCTAAGCAGAAAATTCTCACCAATGAACTTAGCTATGGTAATGATATAATGAAACTATATTAAGAGTTTCATCACTCTCAATTCATTATAACCAAAGTTATCGTGTCCCAAAGAATCAACCAATCAGATTGCTTATCTCTGCTTACCCTAAGCAGAAAATGCTCATCTTCAAACTCCATCAAGGCATTGACCTAATGAAGGCCTACACCAAGTTTAAAAAATTTACCTCAATAAGTAGGAGAGTTATAGTGTTTCAAAGTCTCGGCCAATCAAATTGCTTATCGCTCTGCTTACCCTAAACACAAAATGCTCATCTTTGAACTCCATCAAGGCATTGACCTAATAAACACCTACACCACGTTTGAACATTCTAGCTCAATTAGAAAGAGAGTTATTGTGTCCCAAAAAGTGTGACGGACAGACAGACGGACGAACCCATTTTAATAGTCCCCTGCTTTCTTCGAAAGGCGGGGGACAATAAATTAGACAGTCATACAGTTGACCCAGTTATACTGAAGGGAATCTATTTTTAACCTACTTACCTTCCTCTTGAATTTCATCACAATAAAGATTAAAAAATGGCCTGCAAAATATAAAATAACACTTCTTTCAATTCAGTTCCATAATTTGGGCCGTATGTACATGAGCTGGTCCAAGCAGAATCAATCTATAAAAAAGAACTTTAAGGGCAAACCTTTCTTGTGTCCTCTAAATTGGTTGGTCCCCATCCCATACAAGAAATTCTGGATTCCATGCTTGAGGCACTTTAGCTTTTTGGATTTCATGATTACTTTAAGTATTAATATAAGTAAAATAGTATTGCTACTCTAAACCACCCTCAAATAGCTTCAGGTAAAGTGTTCTACCAAATAGCTTCAGGTAAAGTGTTCTACCAAATAGCTTCAGGTAAAGTGTTTTATCAAATAGTTTCAGGTAAAGTGTTCTATCAAATAGCTTCAGATAAAGTGTTCTATCAAATCCATTTATTGTTGGTAACCGGACATTATTTAGTGGTTATAACTTGTTTTAAAGTGCAAATATATGAGATGAAACCTACTTCTTTATTGCTGTATTGTTACCATTATAAGTAGTTAATGGTGAACTTGTTGATCGAGGTGAATCAATAAAACGTGAATCAGATCTGGAATCATCAAAACCTCTCGGTGTTGATACACGACTTCCATTCTCACCATGACCATTTTCACCTGATACTGATGCTGGTGACTATAATATCAATATTCAAAATAAACACTACCATCCACTTATCTCATAAAACTTTCTTCAACAAATACAAGTATTATCTGTTTGATTTTTAAAATTAAGAAAAAGGAATTAGTTAAAATGACAGAATGTAATACTACAGTTGAGTGACTACATGTATATGATGAATAGATGATTACCGATCGATTATTGCTATATGGACTGTGTGGTCTCTGTTTACGACACCAAATAGATTTCCATGTATCTAGTTTTTTACCACCATATTTTACCTAAAAGACATAAACAATTCAATGAGCATTTACAGTTTTAAAATTCAATAATAATAATTTAGACTAAAACTCTAAATCATCAGTTATAGTTATAATATATTTTTGTAGTTTTGCTGAAATCCAGCAACAGAGGGACCAGTACAGTGGTTTAATACAGCTATGTGAACTTATCAAACAATAATTAAACTTACTGAAGCCCAACCACAACCAGACTTTTTATCTGGGTTTACTATACGTTTACAATGTGTCGCCCAGGCACTTGGTGTATTATATAAATTATCATGGGTTTTTATTTTTCCATTATCTAAGAGGTCAGCTACAAACTGTCTTCCCTGAAGAGAAAGAAAATATATTTATGGCTGTTACGATTTTCTCAGATATCAAAAAGATACCGGAATAAATGTTCACGTATCTGTAGAAATTAATGACAAATGACAAATCCAGCATCAAAAATTTATTAGCTAGGTAAATTTCCTCAAATAAATGACATGCAAGAAGTATACTATGTCTCCTGCACAACACTTGTGACTATTAATTACAGACAAATGGTCGAATAGTTTAGAGTTGAAGATAAAATCATCATAAGAAACAAGGAGTTAGCCTCACATGTGAATTATGAACGACATTAAATATGGAAATCTAACTCTTTTATAGACTTTCTGTAAAAAAGATCTTTCAAAATCATGTTTTAGAGAGTAGTAATGAGGATGGGTGAGACATACCAAATAATCAATACTGAGAACTCTTTTCCCTGGTTTTATCATTCCATCTGACATCAACATTGATAACGTAACACCACGACTTTTATTCAGAGCATACCAACGTTTCTCGTGAGATGAAATTGATGACTCTTCATCCGAGGTTCCAGCATCATCTTCTTCATCATATTTCATGATGATATCTTGTGATATATTACTACTATCCTCTACAAGTTCTGCAGCTGAATAATAATTTATTGTGTGCTGTTTAGTATAATCTTTTATGATTTATTATTGTATCAAGGATATGGTATCAGATTTGAGGAGTCAGATCAAAGAACAGGCTGTGATATAGGCTACATACTTTAAATACATTATTAATGCTGATAAAAATAAATGTGTACCATGTCACGAAAAAATTGTCTTAGAATCATCTATTTTATAAAATCAACGAGCCCATGTTTGATTAAATTACATTAATCATTACATTAACTGCAGACAATGGAAAACTATTAAAACAATTAAAAGATACCCATAACAAAATGATCTCAAGCCAATCTTGACCGATCAAATTGCTTATCGCTCCTTAGCCTAAGCAGAAAATTCTCATCATCGAACTTAGTCAATGTACTGATATAAGAAATCTTTACTCAGAGTTTCATCGGTATCACCCAATTAGAACCAAAAATAACCATCATTAAACAAAACTAACAATCCCCTAATAACATAATCATCTGAACATATTTTCAACTAATCATCCTATCCAATTAAAATGTTCTTTGGTAATCTCTTTGAAGATGGCTACATAGGATAAGTGGTGATTAACTAGTAATGAATCTCTAATTAGGTACTTTACACCCCTCTAATCTGATTAGGCAAATCTGGGCTCGACATAAATCATTTGTATTTTTTTTTTTTTACCTAAGGTAAAATATATGGCGGTAAATACCCCATTTATACCAGGCAATGTCATGCACTCTCTTTGAGTCTATAAATAGCCATTGCACGTGAAATTCTCTATCAAATATTACAGCTGTAAAAAATCTATTGTTGACGATTCTGAATAGCAGTAATATTTAGCTTTTTGGTTATTACAGCAGCTTTAGAAATTCTGTTCGTTTTATTTTTTAAATTGTTTTATCATTAACTATACCGTTAGGAGCGGCATCTTTTCGTTTAGTACAATCTACACTGGATCCTAATGTTTTTAAAAATTACAGGCCAGTCTCTAACTTAAGTTTTATTTCTAAAATATTGGAGAAACGTATTGCTTCTCAGATAAAGGCCCATCTAGATGATAACTGTTTGTTTGAACCATTTCAAAGTGCTTATAAACAATTTCACAGTACCGAAACAGCTTTAACCCGGGTTTCAAATGATATTTTAATGGAAATTAATAATAGAAAATGTACATTTTTAATTTTATTAGATTTATCTGCTGCTTTCGACACGGTGGACCCTTCCATTCTTCTACGTAGACTTCAATTTAAATTCGGTATTTGTGGCTCTGCATTAAATCTTTTAGAGAGCTATCTTGTGGGTAGAAAACAGTGTATTTTAGTTAATTGCAAATCGTCGTCTGAATCTGTTTTGTCATCTGGGGTTCCCCAAGGTTCTGTTCTTGGTCCGATTTTATTTACCCTCTATACGTCACCATGAGGAGATATTGTCAGAAAATATGGTCTCAGCTTTCATTTGTATGCCGATGATACTCAATTATATATTTCATTTACACCTAATTGTCCATCTTCTTTCAATTTATCAAAATTGCAACTTGAGAACTGTATTAGTGAAATTAGAAAATGGATGTCAAAGAACTTTCTAAAATTGAATGATGATAAAACCGAATAGTTGTTATTAGGCTCAAGGCATCAATTAAGTAAATCTGCACAAGATAACCCCCCTGTTGTAATTGGTAATTGTGATATATTTTCATCTTATTCTGCTCGTAATATTGGCGCTATCTTTGATAGTTTTATGCTTATGGGAGCTAAAGTAAATAATATTTGTAAATTGTGCTATTTTAATATTAGAAATATAGGTAAAATACGTAAATGTGTAACTGTAGAGGCCACTAAGTCACTTGTTAATTCTCTGGTCACTTCTCGATTAGATAACTTTAATTCACTTTTAGTTGGTTTACCTTTAAAGCTTATAGATAAATTACAAAAAGTACAGAATACTGCGGCTAGACTTGTTACTTTAACTAAGAAATGTGACCACATAACTCCTGTTTTATATAATTTACACTGGTTACCTGTTAAATATCGAATTGATTTTAAGATTTTATTACTTACTTTTAAATGTTTAAATAATTTAGCTCCTGTTTACCTCTCAGATCTTTTAGAACTTTATACACCTGGCCGAACATTAAGTACATCAGATAAACTACTTTTAAAGCCCAAAACTGTTCAACTAGTCTCTTATGGTCAGCGCTCTTTTTATGGAATAATCTACCATTTAGTTTAAGATATTGTACATCTCTATATTCTTTTAAAAAACAACTTAAAACACATTTATTTAATCAGGCTTTTAACTGACTCTGTATACAATCGTTAACATGCCCATAATCTTGTTGTTTATGTGTGATTTACATTGTCACTTTGTAAAGTGCCCCTGAACATGTTATATGAAAGGGTGCACTATAAATATGCTGTAATAATAATAATAATAATAATGTGTCAGTCTATTATTTATCGATGGTTAAATGGTCATAACTTAGTACAACGAACAATCGAACATGGCCATTTATTTAGTGACTATAAATGTGCCAAACAGATTTAAGGATTGGTATATATATAAATATTGTAGTGTAATTGTTGAGCTATTTGAAGATATTTATTTATGGTGGGGTACCCTACTAATAGTCTCAGACCACGTATGGCAGAATTTTTTAAAATTTAATTTTGTTGTACTCCTCTCTCTAGTGACTAGTCTCCTCAACTCAAAAATTGAGGATTCTGACAACCTTGACAATAAAAAGGTGAACCTGTGTCCACAACTATAAATTCAAAATTTACATGCAATTGAAGCTCCTATCGAGATAACGTTATTTACCCATTTTATTTTGATTCAATATTTTTACAAGTTGTGCACTTTTTGACGTCTTTGTTTACATGTGCTTCCTGTAGGCGACAAATGTTTATATCGTGAATCGGACGATTCTATTGGTCAAATGTTTAGCGGATATCTATTTTATTTTATATATGTTTTGATTGATATTTAATGAGTTCATATTTTTGTTTCAATAGAAAGAAGTAACACAAATTTTGTAATTGAATTAAATGATCAATTTATTTTGTGCAGACCTGTAGTTTCGGAAGTAAGATGGCTGTACATGGAAGAAAAACGGATTTCCGCAGATTGGAAAGGGATTTAGAGGCACAAGAATTGGAGGTATTTTTTAAAACAATATTTTACCGTCTGTCGAAACCGAGAAAGGACATTTTGATTCATAATTTATAAAAATGAAGGGTAATTTTCGCTGAAAAATTTAAAATGTTATAGGCCTTTACATGTACTGGGCAGAACCACTGGCTAACTAACATTAACAACATCATAGATAGTTTCATAGTCATACCATACAGTTATTTTGTCATACAACATGAATCACTCAGTCAGTTACAGTGCTGAGTGCATGTTGATTCAACGCAATTCTGGTATCCAAGTTCGAGGGATAATTTGAATTGGCAAGGTAATACGTAACAGGCATTGCCCGAGTAGAGCGAAGCTGGTGTGATTGTTGTTAAATATATATTAACCTTCATAATTAAGTTTCTCAAGTGATATAAGTAATGTTAAATAATCTTGTTTTTCCAAATTGATTTTTATTTACATCTAAATTGTATGATTAATTTTGTTAAAAAAAAAAAAGTGTGAGATTTGGTTAAGTTGGCATGCGCATTGCTATTTTTGCCCAGTGTATCCGGTTCCGGTCTGAATTTTTTTTTTAATCAACAGTCTGTGGGGCAGATTTAGTTACGCTCCTGTGTTACCGGAAAAGAGCTTTGCTCAAGCACCGCGCCTCGCGCGATGTTTCAGAGCTTCACTCTATATTACATTTACATTCAATAGCATATTTGAAACATGTGACTTAAAAAAATGCAACTACCGTGGCGTATGACTTTTAAGAGCTATTCTCATGTTGCTAACATGTTATATGAAATGGGGTTTAATTCCTACTTTACTGCATAGCCTGGGCTAGTGAAGACACATACAGTAGGATCTGTATGAGCAGCCACTCCTATTCAGCGACATCTCCTTGTAAGCGGTCACGATAATTTCCCCCCGTAAAAATTCTATCGTTTCATCTCTTTATTCAACGGTCAATCCTCTAACGCGGCCAGCGGTCACTATTTTACTAATAAATTCAACAAAACATTGCTCATTCAACGGCCATTGTTGAACGAGATACCACCTTGTCGCTAATCCCTTGAGTAGTAGTTAATTAACTGGACCCCCACTGATCAGGTAAAAAGAAATGTAATTATAACAATCAACCGGGATTATCTGTTAATTAATCTTTTGTTTTATTAAATGACTAACCTGATCATTGTTTTCACGCGTAACGAAACATTATTTGATACTGATTGAATAAAACGAAAGTACCGAGTTTTGTCACGATCATCTAGTATCTCTTTTCCATTGCCACTTTGTTGTTAAACAGATGTTTTAGCGCCTCCTATAATATTACATGTACATTCAGAGTTACACCCCCTGCGAATCGGTGATAAAATCAGCGATGGGTTATTGTTCGTGTGCTTTTTTGATAAAATAAAATTAATTCATCGATTTTCTTCACAATAATGGATAAATATTATCGAATGCATCACAATGGTAGACAGTAGTATCGAAGGTTGGTACAAAATGACAAGTTTACAGAAGTTATGTCTGAGATTTGAGTAAAGAATTTTTGTTCAGCAGCAACATTTAGCGACGGTCAAATTTACCGATGCAGTATTGATGTTCAATATTTAATTTATGTCAGCACAAAAAGCACCAAGATTTTATTAAGAGGCCACTCCTGTTAGGCGGTCAGTCGTGAAAATATCCCTTGGGTGGCTGCTTAATGCAGATTCTACTGTATTTGTCATACAGTGTGCTATGAGGGACATTTGGTCCGGGCACTGGCACTACAGCCTAGTCTTGTTTCAAATTCCAACTGTCAAAGGTTCTTTTACGTGCACGCCAATGAGTAAGCTTACACAGGATCTGTTTTTTGTCCGATTCGAACGACTAGACACTTTTCTTGCCAGGCCCTCCTTCCTGCACCATTAACAAAGAACTGGAAAACGTGCAGGAAAATCTTGATTTACTTTCCCCAACATCATGTTATAATGATTTAGGACAAGAAAAATATTATAACTAGGGCTGTGTCGATACAGTTCATTTTCGATACGATACATATTGACATAACGGCAAACCGTTACGCGATACGTATCGCGATATGATGACATCACGAATTATGCCCAAAATAATCTCAAACTACATTCTGTTTCAAGATGTTTGAGATGGGTAAGCATCAGGGTTCTTAATCCATTTTGAAACGAACTGGCCGGAATTGGGTCAATTGAGGACCTGTAGGATATGGGTTAATTATAAGCTCCATTGCCTTTAATATAGCAAGACTTCAACAAAAATAATTCTTGGTAATTTGTTGTGGAGAATGTCGTATTTTAATGTACACTGTATGTGATTACTACAAAAATAACGACGGATACACCTTTTGAAAATGTTCCATATTTAATTCACATAAAATCTTGAAGTTCACGTCCGTAATATTCCAGAATAAATTAATTACTGTCTTCGTTTATTCGATGAAACGTTCACATTTCATAAGTTGATGATCTAAAATATTAGCATTTTTCATCTATTGCCAGTATCAGAAAATGCCGTAGCTAAAATAAGCTGATACGGCACCATGGCATTTCTTCATAACACAATCTGTAGTCTTTGTCTATCAGGTAACTATAGTCAAGTAACTTGGCAAAAGTTTTTATTCATTCGTCAATTGATAGACACACAGCACAATTGTCACGTGACAACATACTGAAATTGCTTTAAATGAAATAAAATGAAATGAAATGGGGTTTAACGTCCTACTCTTCTGCACCTAACCTGGGCTAATTGAAGACGGGCATACACCATACAGTGTTCTATGAGGGAAATTTTGCCTGGGCAGCGGCGCTACGGCCTACTCTTATATCGAATTCCAACTGCCAAGGGATCTTTTACGTGCACGCCAATGTGTACATGGGACCTCGGTTTTTCGTCCCATCCGAACGACTAGGCAGCTGTCCTTGTCAGGCCCTCCGTTCTGCATCACTGACAAGGGGAAACCACGCCGGAAAATCGAGATGAACTTTCTCGGCCAATGCAGGGATCGAACACCCGACCTCCAGGCTAGCGAGCCAGCACCTTACCCACTTGAAATTGCTTTAAAATCAAAATTCCGTACAATTATGATATGGCCTTCAATAAAAACAATATTTTTAAAATTAAGCCTTTTTCAGAATGAGTATAAAATAAAATAAAAATCATAACGGTAAGCGCTATTTAGAACTGGGTTATTGACCTAATTCCAAGCGATATGCCACGTGTCATTGGAATTCTATCAGGAAAATATATTATTAAATGACAGTTTCTCGGTGTATTCGGTGTTCTATCAGGGGATTATAACATTCTATGAAGATTTAAATTTACCTAACAACTGGTCAGTGAATCCATCAATGTATGATCCAGTTTTATTTTAATATGTACCTGTACCTGGAATTCACACGGAGCGTGGGAGACGCTCGATTGGCAAACCATGCCGAGATCGTCTTCTTTCGCCACGTGGGTTTCGTGGCCTTTCTTAACTGAAAATTTTTTTCAACGATACGGCGATACAGCTATATTATGTATTGGTATAAATATCGCTGTAACATATCAATAGATATCAGTGTATCGATATATCGACACAGCCCTAATTATAACCAGTTTACATACATGTTGAGAATACCGATAAATAATTGTAGATTTAATGCAAATTTCTAATCATCCAATTAATATTTGCTGATGTTAATTAACATGTACCAGTATCCCTGGTAATTATCAGGAACCCAAACCAAATTTACAGCTAAGTTTAAAATAAATTATCTCACATTGAAAAACGTTTGAACCTGTAACATATATTTATGTAATGAATTTAATCTACATGTAGCTATTGAAGTGGATCTAGAAGCTGTGAATAGTGGGTGGTCCAAATCTAGGACGCCATCCACAATCCCACCATACAATGAATGTCAACAAAATACTTACTATAACACTGTCTGTGGACCCTGTCTGTAAGAACATAGATCATATTGCCTATATATAGTTGTTTGCCAATCGTTATCTCCCCGAAAAGCTGTTTTATTCAAGTTAATGTAACGTTCATATAATATTATGATTGTTATTGGATTTTGTTAACCTTAGCCTGTTTGTAGAGTTAACAGAAAATTTGTACTGACTGTCACCTCAGGCTCTGGTGGTACTACTATCTGGGTGGTTCACTATAAGTATAACCATCAATATGATAGTTAATAGTATAAGACCGCAGAGGAGTGGGGGAAGAATGATGCTGTAATAGAAAAATTTTCAGCTAACAACGTATGTCATGTGATTAAGCTTTTAACTATTTGGGACTGAGCCTAAATTTCATGGTATTTGAGTTCACTGATGGGAGCAAATTCTTGTGAACGAGAGGATAAGAAATGGGACATAATCTCGAGGCCTGAAGGTTAATTCTGCCTGTTTTGTGAGTGTTGACAGAACATTTGTACAGTCTGTTGCCCCACGACCCACTCACTAGTATCTGCCTGTTTTGTGAGTGTTGACAGAACATTTGCACAGTCTGTTGCACCACGACCCACTCACTAGTATCTGCCTGTTTTGTGAGTGTTGACAGAACATTTGTACAGTCTGTTGCACCACGACCCACTCACTAGTTATTACTAACTGGGTGATTCACTGTAACCGTGAAGATGATAGTGATGAGGGATCAACACCACAGATCAGGATTGGAAGAGTGATGAAATAATGGAATTGAGCAATGTATAATACTTATGTAACTGAGCTTTTTGTGCCATGCATGTAGGCACAAAAATATTTGAGATAATATGTAATTTGTGACTTTGTCTGATGGGGGCACTTACTTGGTCTCCTGTAGTACATCTACTGTATGATATTTGATGGTCATAGAATACATGTAGTTTACGGATATGACACATGATTTCCAATGGATTTTGTAGTAGTTAAGAGATTTTTTTTAGAAAAAGCATCTTGGTACATTGTACATATATTCGAACTGACATTTTATTTTATTTTGCAGTCACCTGGTGGTATTGCTGGAAGTTATATATATAGTCAACTACTGTCCATTTATTTAGTACATAATGACACGTAAGTGTATACATCGGAACATGATGAGTGTAATTAGAGAATCATAGTGTGCTTGTATAAATTAAATCACAACCATTCACACATAACTTCTGTGTAAATCAAAATAAAACCGATATAAACTGATGTAGAGTAGAAAAAATGTAATTCTGATAATTTTCAAAATCAGTATGTTTGTACATGTATGTATTAATTGAAGTTATAAATTACTTATTGTTTTTTCAGATGTAATGCTAAATTTCTGTGGAAAAGAATACCACAAAATATAAAAACAGTAAGTCATGTTTAACCATGTAAATGTAACAATTCTCAAAACACTAAAGACATTCCAGTTCATAAATATTAAAAAATTTTAACAATACTTAGAATAAACTTTGTGTGTGCTTTGAGCAGACTTTATTGTCTGAAGTTTGGCACTATTTAAGAATCCTATATTATTATTATAGATGGTATAGAATTAAGGCAGTTATGTCCAATTCCTGATAATTATGTGAGATTTTCAATTTTGAAGTTTGTGAGATTATGATACTGTGTGATTGTAGCATATAAACAAACATAAACTAAGTCTGTCATACAATATATAGATATTAGTTCAGTCATCTGTCTTGTCATGTTCGATCCAATGAGGAGGGTCACGTACACATACTAACATTCCTCCTAATTCTATAATATTATTTATGTGTAGAAATTCCAATCACTTATTTTCAATTTTCCCAGAGTAATACAGAGTTAAATCAGATCTGGGCTGTAGGACAGAAAATGTGGCAGAGAGATTATCCTGGTGTATATGAAACATTAAAATATGATTGGTCTGATCGTATTAAACCTATTATGAATTCTTTAACAGGTAACATTTTAGTAAGCTTTCAACAGCTCACCTGTTATATTTATCATCCGTCATCATTAGTCTAGTCGATGCAGCCCATCATCATTAGTCTCATAGGCGTACGGGCTCGATGACAGTTAGGGGGGCAGGAACCCGAATTGCCCGAAAAAATTTCGGGTTTACAGACAGCGGCGCGGTCTTCCTCGAGAGACGAAGAATTGGAATATCTGACGGCTGCAAACACGTTTTCCTGCTATTTCAGCCCGTGAACAAAGCAACTTCAAAGTGGTCTAATATAGGCTAATTAAGATGGCTGGCTTGAATTCCAATCAAAAGATCAATCGTTTACAGGCCAAGGAGACGGGACCGTTGGGAGAAAATTTTGAAAATTAAAAATTTTTTTTCACTTTACCCGTCTGCCCGAAAAGTCAGCTTGCCCGAAAGTTAGGGGGGCAGCTGCCCCCCCCCCCCCCCCACCCCCTGGCTCGTACGCCTATGATTAGTCTAGTCGGTGCAGCCCGTCATCATTAGTCTAGTCGGTGCAGCCCGTCATCATTAGTCTAGTCGGTACAGCCCGTCATCATTAGTCTAGTTGGTACAGCCCGTCATCATTAGTCTAGTCGGTGCAGCCCGTCATCATTAGTCTAGTCGGTACAGCCCATCATCATTAGTCTAGTTGGTACAGTCTGTCATCATTAGTCTAATCGGTACAGCCCTTCATCATTAGTCTAGTCGGTACAGACAAGTGGGTGGTTAAACCCCATTTTATATTGTTCCCCTGATGATGATACATGCCACAATCCTAATGACTTTAATGATTTTTGTGCCACTTGAAATGAATGTAATGGTTTGTTTCTATGAAAGTGTTTCTATTTGGATATATGTTTGTATAATGTATTTGTTGTTTCTTTTGTAGAATCTATACGACAAGGAGCTTTCCGTTTAGTGTCTTTAGCTTACTCATCTATAAATAGCGAAGAATTTGCAAGTTTTGTGGGAATGCCTGTTAGCGAAGCTGTTCAAGGTAAAATAGTTTACAATAATAATTAAATTAAAGGGCAACTCCCAACATATCTGGTAGCTGTTGTATTTCTGATAGTCATCTTACCAATATCCTCAAAAATAACAGAGGCTAAACTATGTTAACCTATTTATCTGTACAAGATAGAAATTTGTTATAGTAGTAAATAATGTTATTTTATTATTTATTCATCATATTTCTTGTAGCTGCTGTTGCCAAAGGTTGGATAGAAGATGCTCAAAATAAAATATTAACACCTAAAAAAGCAGGTAATTATTACTATATGTTTGTAAAATTAATAAAAATAATTAGATTGGTAAATAAATGAAATGAAATGAATTGGGGCTTAACGTCCTACTGTTCTGCTCCGAACTGGGCTAATGAACATGGGCATACGCCATACAGTGTGCTATGAGGGAAATTTTCCACGGACAGCGGCTCCACGGCCTACTTTTATATCGAATTCCAACTGTCAAGGGATCTTTTACATGCACACCAATGTGTACATGGGACCTCGGTTTTTTGTCCCATCCGAATGACTAGACAGCTGTCCTTGTCAGGCCCTCCGCCCTGCTTCACTGACAAGGGGGAACCACGCCGGAAAATCTGGATGAACTTTCTCGGCCAATGCAGGGATCAAACACTAGATTGGTAAATAAACAAAACCAGCCAACAGACACATGTACATCACTACAACTTGTCTTAGTGGGAGTCTTGTGTTTAATGTTTAGTTTCAAAACATTGTTGGCAAATTGTTCAAATTCATGGAGAATCATTAAAAAAAATATTGGGTTCCTACTGTTCCTAAAATGGTAATCTAGATTAGATAATGAGTGTTGGTTTATAATTGCAGTATTGAGTAATTAACAGATTAATTAATAACTCAACACCCTAAAATCTACCCAAATTGATTATTTAACATGTCATTAAGAAAACAAAATCAAAATATCAAAGGCAGTTAATTTCCTGACTTGGATTTAATCGGAGGAGGCAGAATGATACTAAACTTCCTCAATATTATAGTTACCGGTAGTAAAGGATTCTAAATCCTTGAATTGATGTTTATTCCTTGTAATGTCTGTGTAGTTTGTCTCATTCACAGTTTTTTGTTATAAGTTTTGTTTTACGGTTCTCAACACTTACTATTTAAGTATGTTTTTGGAATGTATAATGTACTGTACCCTGATTATATTTAACATGTCCACCACCTTGGATCAATCTTTTGTTGATGGTCTAAAATAAAGTATTTCTCAGTATAATAAATTGTTAACATATAAATGTTTTTAAAATGTTGTAGAGAAAATAGTAGATCCACCTTTACCCAGTGAACGGCAGTTATCAGTATTAACTGATTATGTTTCTTTCCTAGAGAACTGATTTATACAGGTAACAAACCATTATTATACCTTGATAATTACTGATTTATACAGGTAACAAACCATTATTATAGCTTAAAAAATAAATACTTGACCGACTCATCAGTTGATGGATGTCATGTATTTGAAAGATGATATCATGTTTACTACCAATACAAGTATTATATACTTGGCTGTGTTTTCATATAATAAATTATAAAAATACAATTTTCTCTCATTTCAGACATTCAATGACTAGAAGTGCTACAGTGACAGTAAATCAGTGTGATTTTATATTCATAGATTAAGCTACCTAAACCTGATTTTGGTAAAAATAAAAATAAGTGTTGAATGTTAAATGTATATATGGTTAAAGATTAATTTGTTTATATCTCATATCAACAAATTAAATCAGCATTCGTACACAGATCATTTAAAAAACCTTTCAGCCCATATACGTTTATATATAAAATATTACTGTACCGATTCCATATATTTGAACAGATTCTTTCCCAATACTTATTATATTTGTATGTGTAAATGTAGAAAACTAGTATTGGCAGGAGAAGTAGTTATTATAATTACAACATTAGAAACAAACCTGGAAATTATTTATTATAGTCAGAAGGAAGACAGACGGTCTTAAAACCATCAACCTGCGAGATGGGTAAATGAGATGTTTTGTTGGGTTTTTTTTTAAAATAAGACCACACCCTTTTTTTTTTGAAAGCCTTTGGTAATGATTAAGTTAATGTATTAATAATATAAAGTAGGATTGACAATGGTATGAGAGTATGAACCTGTCCTGACATTATATATCACACTACTTGTTTATCACTATAAGCAAAGTAAGGCATTTAGCATAAAGTTTGTACCCCAATCTCTATTCTAAAATTTCATATTGTTTAATAACTTGTTTAACAACTTGTTATATAACCTGTTTAACAACTTGTTATATAACCTGTTTAATAACTTGTTATATAACCTGTTTAATAACTTGTTATATAACCTGTTTAATAACTTGTTATATAACCTATTATATTTATATGAATGATTAAAGGGATATTGTTAGCACTCTTTATGTTAGACTAGATACTCCAGTAACATGGCTGTATTCATGAATAATCTACATTATGTAGTGGAAATTTGATTTTTATAATTTCTCTATATTAAAATGCTGATAAAATATAGTGATTGTTGGTTATTATTGAGTAAAAAAAGATGGACTATCCCAGTCTAGCTAAAGCCATCAGTCCAAAATATAATGAATGAGTTGGTTTATTCTGGAAACATGGAATTCAAAATATAACCAACCAAACAACCGAGAGAGGAGTTTTAACTTTTATGCAATTTTAGTTGAGCAAAATGATTTTTATGACCAAGTACCTGAAATATTCACATATTGCCCAACTAACAGAGTCAAATCTCTACAGTGTCCCCAGCACCTAAATCTTGTCTTTTCTCTTTTTATCAGTAAATCATGAATTGTTATAATGCTCCATAGTTATGACAGAAATGGTTCCACTACTGATGTCTTCCGTCTTGCTCCAGCCATAGTAGTTGACCGTCCTAAGGCCTTCCTTTGAGCAAGTTTTGAAGTCATTTGACTACAAAACAGTTACTGGCCTATAACGCCCTTAATTTCCAATTACACTGACCCCAAACTCTACTGTACATAGCTTAACATATAATAAACCAGTTCCCATTGAAATAAAGGTGAAACCTTGCCCTATAATTATATGATTTGATTAAACCTAACTGCTATGCAAAATTTATGTTCATTTTAAAATGGCCGCCGAACCAGAATCACGTGGTTTCATCACTCGAAAATACAGAAAAACTATTCAGTAAGACAAGATTATGATTTCAGGGTTCCACTCTTCACTGTTTGTAACATAATTACTTATTTCCATGCAAACTGTGATGACGTGTTGAAAATTTTGCAATTGAACTCATTTTACTTGCTCAAAGCCTCGAATAGTGTATCAGTTGTAGCTGTGGATAAGAATTATCACGGCTACAAATGGCAGCTACAGTTATGATAGCTAACATCCGATGGCTAGAAAACCTCGTCTCTGTTGTTTTTCAACTGTTTGGGGCAATTACTGTCCGCCAAAGAGTACGATACCCCGTTTTTTCAACCCACCTATACAGTAGGCTACTGGTAAGGGTGAGGGAAACGGGAATTACCCAGAAACTATCTGTGCCAACACCGGGATTAATCCGGGACCTTTGGTTAGCAAGCTGTTAGAAAATTGTCTTGATTTGTGATTAAATTAATATGTTTTATATTTAAGGGCTGCCTGCCACCCAGTCGTCGTAATATGTTGTATTGTTTGACTTGGATGTTAGGTTGTGTTTTTATTCTTGCAAGACTGTGCCATAGAACATCTAACCGGGTCATAATAGCGATTTTGTTTTCCAGGCTTTCTTTCCTGTCCCTTACCAAACTTGGTCTTCAGTTTGATTGAACTTTGCTAGTAGGTTTCCTTGGAAACGCTGTATTACCCTATCTAGATGGAAGCATATAGGTGTGGGCTATATATGAGTGGTTGCCATACACAGATCTGCCACTGGTGTAGTACTACGGACTTCTTTAATTGTTGTGTTTCCTTATGGTCGTAAATAATACTACAGTAATAATGGTTTAACAGCTTTATTGGTAAACTGGAAATAACTTTGCAGGTTCCTCGTTCTCAAATATATAATGACTTCTTGGAATAATCTGGTGAGAGTCTCTAGTTAAAACTCACTTCAACCCTTCGATCAATTTATACCTATCTCATTTCGGCAGGTCATTAGTACTTTTCCATTGAAAATACGTAATAAACTTGTTTATTTCCCACCACTAACAATAGATATTACCTTATTTGGTCTATCAACCATAGGTCAATAAACAGCCAGAATTTGATGACTATTTTGACAATGATTATAATTTGACCAAAATATCACTGGTTTTTACGAATAACTATATCCACGTTTATTAAGTGCGTGTGATTTGACTTTATAGACAAAATTGAAGAGACAATTTTATAAAGACCCAAAATTGTTTCAAGGGCCAAAGTGCTACACTGGCTAACACAGAAAGTTGATTAGATTATAAAATAGCGTCAGTGTAAAATCTGAACAAGTTGTTATAAATAATTTTAAAGATACATTATTGTATATTTAGATAAAGAACTGGCCATTCTTGCTATAATAGTTCGAAAATAGATGTATATATTGACAATTTCATTCAAATTACTCTATTGCTAACGAAGATATTAGCCTCTGAAGGTTTGACAAGATGTGTGCATTAATTGATTAATTGCAATCAGCGTACTGGTTATTAAAAATTCGAAGCTAATCCTATTTAATTTCAATAATTTCTGTTAATTTCTTCTGGAGTTGTGGCCCCTGTTTCACTCTGTTGCACCTTGTGAACGCTCTAACGACAAAAGTTATCATCCGATCGGTATGAAATTTATATGCATTAGTTTAGATTAGTGAATCGAAGAATCCAATAGAATATTGTTTCTAGAGTTATGGCCCTTATATTACCTTTACTATGGCCCTTCACGCAAATTGTAATCTGATCTGTATGAAATTGCCTTTAAAATGCTCTCCATTACCTACAAAAGAATAAATATGCGACAAGACTTGTCGACGATTTAGCTGCAAGTGGGCGTATGTTTCGTTGTCTGACAACCTATCTTTAAATTAAATTAAATATGGCTGAACCGTTCTAATCTACTTAATATCGGAAATATCCGATGGCATCGAGAGTTGATTACGGTCTTGACATGTTAACAAATGTCTCATTAATAGTTTATACAGTGCTAGGACTATCTAGGAAAAAGTGCTAAATTTTTGATGTTTGGGTTTGGTCCGGTTCACTGATTTTAACTGCTTGGTATGCTGATCTAAACAACATGTCCGTCTTGAGTAGCATTGCCCTAATATAAATTACATAAGCGTTGACAACTATGAACCGGCCAGTGGGAGTATCAAATAACTAAACATTTTAATTTCTAAAATAAAAATCTCATTTTATATAAAGTCTTTGATATCAGTTGTTTAGTCTTCTAAAAACCAAGTTTTATCATGCTGAGCTATTTTTGTACGCCCACATTTTCAAGTGGACGTTTATTGAGTCGCCCCTGTCAGCCCACAATTTATTTGTGGACATGCGATTCCTTTCGATATTGGCATTTTATCCAATATTAAAAGCTGTTCTAACATATCACCATTCCACCCTTATGATGGTTGAGTTCGAATTTCATGAAAATCGGATTGAAACTGCCCGCTCCTCGTTCGCAAATAGTGTAAAAGTATATAATACCAAGATTGTGGACACTGTAGAAGTCACAATTTTTTTATCCGATTTTGATCAAACTTAAAATATATGTCTATATTCCACGGATTTTTGTTTCTTTCCATATTCGCACATATCGGTCCGTAACCTCCTAGATTATGGACCTTGGTTGTACCAAAAATTACAGTTTATGCCCGATTTTAAAAACCGTTTAAATATACACCGTTACACCCTGGTTTGAATTTCGTGATAATCGGATCGAAGGCTGTGGTCCCTTTAACGATTTGTATCCGGTTTGGAAAACAACTTAATATTATATGTTTATGTATCAAAGATCTCGGTTTGATGTTCTCGTATATCGGGCCTAACTTCTTGCCTTGTGGCCCCTAATGTACGAGAAATCGTGGGGTTTTTTTTAGCTTGTCGGATTATATGTTCATATCCCAAAGTTCTGAGTTCCTGTCGATACCTCAGACCGTGTCTGCCTGGATGATGACCTCATTTTTGAGCTTGTTCTCTGTCCAACTCTTGCGAGATGTGGGCGTCTCTTGCATGGCAACCGCTTTTTTCAAATATATTTCATATTGAAATTCACACTATATATCAAAGTAGCTAAGTCTTTAACTCAACATCATCCACAGTTTTCCGGCATTGAAAACACCAATTATTTGTCAATTTAAATGAAAGTTGATGTTGTGATTTTACCAGGAAAAGATAGGCCTATGCTTGTGATATCCAAATTGTATAGAAGCCTATAACTACCGTTCATAATCTCTACTTTTCGTCTCTTCAAAACACGAAAGTCAAAAAGTCGAAAAGTAGAAGTTACGACAAAATGAGAAGGGGTGATTCATCTTCTTAACAATGAAGGGTTTTCTCTGGATCCGCTCACTGGGTATGTTGGTCCAGAAATGACCCATTTTATTGGGTATAAAGTAAGAAATATGTCAGTAAATGAGGTCAGTGTTTAAGAGTATTTTGTTAATGATCTGTTAACTCACCTGACCGTTATAACATGGGATAACTTACAATAGAATGATAAACAGTATGATATATAGATTATAGCCCTCAACTTCTTCACTCCTGCCAACTTTTAACAGCAAAATCACTAAAACAAAAGTCTGCCATTGATAAACCGAACAGTCACGATCACGTACTTATCCCACACCGAACAAAGTTAAGGGCTTCGTCTGTACTTCCTTTTTTTTCCAGAACAGATCTAATAAACCATTTAAGATATGTTTATGAAACTTAATTGTTCCCATCATCCTATCATATAATTGTGCCATTTTTTCTATACGCCCACATTAAAATGTGGTCGTATATTGTTGTTAACTATTATAGTGAGAACTGCCATCTCTTTATCTAATCTCCCATAATGTATGTTTAATAGTGTTAAACAAAGAATATTGGAGACAGGTGATTAGGGAAATATGATATAGATATAAATGAGGGGTAATTAAGGTGGATTAAGATTTATTAAAATATAGCTGACTGAACTAAGTAACACTGCGGATTAGTACGACCTATTAAACATTTACTATTGGGCTGTAATTATCAATTGTAAGAATAATGCATATTTATAAACGAATTTCACCCTACGAGTTCTTGATGTGGAAATTTACACGGAAATATTTATTTATGGCTAGGGATATGATATCATATCTTTCTTATCTAAATTAGATCCTGCATATACATAAATAAATAAAAAAAATCAGTCCAGATAAAACATTCTCCACTTTACTTCATTCTGACATACATTAAATCATATAAGCTAGCTGTCTGCCTTCTATGGGCGTCTTCAGATATTAATAATGTATACAAAATATTACAAATACGATACATATATACATTCTTACAATAATAGATTTCCATGACAATGGATTGTAAATAATATTAGATAACGTACAACAAAAGGTTTAAAAGTATATAATACATAACATGACATAAATCTACATAGTCCTCCTGGTATAGTTTGACAATGGCCAATATAGGAATAATGAGATGAAATAAACGTTCATAGACAATTTATGTAATCTGGCTATAATAAAACATAACCTTTCATTAATTTACATAATCTTCCTGGTATAATTTGACAATAGAACCATACAGAAGTAAAGAGATTAATTAAATGTCAATAGATTATTATTATTATTATTGTTCGATTTATATAGCGCTTCATTACACGTGAAGTGTTTCTAAGCGCATATCACAAACATATACTTTAAACACACAGAAACAATCAAAATCAGGAGAACATAATTAAACACAGCTGCCTATTAGGCGCTATTATTCAAAGGTTTATATCCAACAAATCAACCGGCTAATCTCAATATTGAACTCAGTCGAGGTATTACCTGATGAACATCTACACCAAGTAGAGTTCAAAAATAAAAACGAAGTTTAAAAGAATCAACTTCATTAACAAAAATTAAACAATCAAAAACTAAACAGATAAATCAAATTCAAACGAAACAAATAAAACAAAGAAAATGAAAAGAGCAGTTCGTTACCATTCTACATTAACAAAATAAAGGAAATCAACTTGTGAAAATTTTTTCAAAAAATAAGAGCAAAGTAACACTAATGTTAATAATTATCAAAAGGAACCAAGATCTTAATGATAAAAACATATATTTAAAGTTTCATCCAAATTGGATAAAAACTGTGGTCTCTAGAGGGTCCACAACCTTGATATACCATATCTATCTATTTCTTAATTAATTACAGGTATGTAAATTATTGTACCGGTAACCTAAATTTTATGAATATTGTTGTGATGTTATGACGATGTGCAATGCATATTGATATTGTGTTTACCTGTTTAAGATGAGTCAATAAAAATCTTTTCTTAAATATTTAGCACCCATGCCATTTAATTGGACGTACGGTATCCGAGACTTTGTTTAATATTATCATAGCAATCCAATAGTACATGTACCTATGCCTATTTAAAGATACATTCCTGTGTACAAACTGGGTGATTTATGGTATTATAATAGGATTAAACACATATTCAAACTAATTAATTTGTCATAATTTTGCTTCAAATCCTTCTCAAAACATTGTAATTTAGGCTAAATAAATCTTGTCAAAACATTCAAACATACGGTAGGCCTATACTGAAATGAAATAAAATGGGGTTTAACGTCCTACTGCTCCGAACTGGGCTAATGAAAACGGGCATAGATCAATTAGGCTGTACATTTATTTATATCCATCTTATTCTCTAATAAACCGATTATAGAGAAATAAAGGTATACAGGGTTTTAAAATCCCCTTAAATAGTGTTGAAGTAAAAAGTTTAAAAACATATTTTAAGATTATATTAAAATATTATTAGAATATTAATAGGGTGGGAAGGGTGCAAATTAAGCATTTAAATCTGGTTTGAACCGGTCAATAAAGTAAGCTTCCATATTCCGCCTCTTGATAGTATTGTCAATATTGACTTATAAAAAGGAAAAATACTAAATTTAATATTTAAGTTCTTAGCACAAGTATTTAAAGGAGCTAAATCGCTAATATTTGGGACCTAGAAATTGACAAAAGTGGGTCGCAACGCATATAATAATGTAGTATGAATGTATATAAACTGATTTACATTCAATGGTTTCCGTTTTTACTCCAATTTCAAATCAGTTATGTTCGGCGAAATAAGCCAGCAGTCTCAAGCGAGTGCAAATTTCTAGCGTCTGGTTATTCCTGTCTACATACGCCGTTTGATTTGATGCAATGTGTCTAGCCTCGTCCCTCGAGTCTCTTGATACAACTGGGGCTGAAGCGCACTATGGTACACGATTCGTGTACCAATGGTAAAATGTTTATTCTGTCTTAAATATTGGATATCAATAGCCTATCTTTTTCCGGTAAGATCACAACATGAATGTTGATTTAATTTGACAAATAAATCGTGTTTTCAATGTTGAAGATTTTGGATGATATTGAGTTAGAGACTTAGCTACTTTAAATGTTTAGAGACTTTCAAAACAGGATTAATTTGTAAACTCTGTTGCCTATGAACTGGGATGCGTGCGCGTAATTCAGTCCCGCACTTCCCTATGTAATTCTTCATACAGTTATTGCAAACAAGAACATAAATTAAAATTATATATATATATCAACAATAAGCAGGATGTAATTTAGATAAGAAAGATATGATATCATATCCCTAGCCATAAATAAATATTTCCGTGTAAATTTCCACATCAAGAACTCTGTGGTGACAGAGTATATAAGTAATGTTGTTATTACATTATTGAAGGTGTACTGTTTTGTTGACATTGACAATAATTCGCGTTAACAAAAAAGTCTATAAAGTCTAGTATTGATGGCGATATTAGCGACCATTCATTTTGGCTTACTGTCGTACTGTTGTCTTTTCGCCTCGGAAGTTGATGTAGTCTCTACTTTCAAGGTCACTTTTCGACTTTCGTGTTTTGAAGGGGCGAAAAGTAGAAATTATGAATGGTAGTTATAGGCTTCCATAAAATTGTAAGACAAAATAAACATTTTACCATTGGTTCACGAATGCCTTTAGGTGCCATTTATAACAAGGGACTCGAAGGACGGGGCTAGATATATTCCACAAGACGGTTACGTCATATTCCTATCTGGAGAGCATGCGCAATAAATACTAAATCAGTTTATGTACATTCATATTACATTATTATTTGTGTTGCGAACCATTTGTGTCAATTTCTAGGTCCTAAATATTAGCGATTTAGCTCCTTTAAATAACAAATACATGTAGATTGCTTTGGGGTGACCTTTTCCGTAAATAATCAGTAAATGTTCATATTTTTGCACCAAAATAGATAATTTTGGATCAAATTTTCTTTTACTGATAATTGATAAGTTCGTAAATAGTATTGTACGATGGGTCAATAGGCCATTAATATTTCGATATTGATCCCTTTCTATAGAAATCAATATATAATTGGCAAGAGTTATACAATCGTAATGTCCTCAACAACCCTTGTTTTACTTATGAATATTAATCTCCACAAGAAAAAGTTCCAAAATCATTTAATTGGTTAACATCAAATTGGTCAATATCAAAGTATATGAGTAAAATAATGTAAGATATTTTATACCCTGGCTTAGACAAGCTGCTGTAGATATTACATCAAATTAATAAGCTTATTATTACATTATGTAATATTTGAATCAATTTTTTTTATTATATTAAATTGTTATTAAATTTGTTTATCTCTGTGTTTAATTTGATTAGTTTTTCTTATTCTCTTATTCAAATCTCATAGAATCTGATTCCAAACCCATCTAGCTTTCGTTTTACATTCTAAATATAGAGCAGTGTAATATGACACTTATACAATATACCATCTGAATAGATAATAATTGGGCTACAATTTATTGTCTTTGAGAGGTTGATGACAGGATTCTCTTCAACAAATCTTTGAGGTCACATTCCCAAACTTGAAGAAATCTGGCTGATTTCTAGTTGGTCTTAAGACCGTATTTATAACTTCAGCTTCTGTGAATGGCTGATTCCTCTTCCCTTGTGCTACTTTTGTATGTATTGTTTAATGGTCGAGAGCGAGACATTAAGTAATATATTGTAACAACATGAGGGCCGTAGGCCCGAATGTTTTTACAATATATTACGCAATGTCGTAAGCTCGAGACCATTAAACATCTTAAAATACTGACACTCAGCACGAGCTTTTACGTCACATTAGTCCAATATCTCACTGGTTTGAATAAAGTACTATTGGCAAGTTGCTCGTACGATTATTTGAAATAATGGTACGCCAACATCAAAGGATGACGTCACATCTGTATTTTAAAAACAAATAAGAAACGGCTTTAATATCACTGTTATAATAAACTTTAATAATAAATAGAACAACAAATAATTTATATAAACAAACATGTAAATACTGTTTATAGGAAATACGTCAAATTACACAGTGTGGGAACAACTAAGCAATGTACACGCACTTTCCTACTTTCTGTTTAAAACAAACATAAAACAAAACACCCAGTTGGTAATGAGGAGCCGGCGGGGGGGGGGGGGTGTGATATAAAAGGTTTTCCATTCAAAAGGGTTGGGAATTCATCGGAGAATTTAAACAATACTATTATCTAATGTCCCCAGGAATATAAGTCGATGAAATGACGATGTCAGCTGTGATATTTAATGTACAATGATACTGTTACATCAATGAAAGTATTGCCACATGTATAAATGCCTGTAACAAGTCCGTGGGGTGACTGTTCTATGTAAAATTTGGTCATGGAGCTGGGCAATAAATCCAGATATATCCTAGCGGCACGCTCTAGATACTATATCCATTAGAATTCTTGGCGAAGTTCAGGTGGAACATTTTTCATTCTATCTTTCAGGATCTTTTCAAAGAAAAACAAACCTCCATCATGATAGCGTGTTGAGGTATAACAATCGTGTAAATATGGCGGACAAGATATATATTGATGTACATATGCCATTTCTCCGGATAAAATGATTCTGAAAAATACAAGATAGATAATGTCCTGATATGTGAAGATATTCATGTTAAGATAGATGATGTCTTGTCTAAAGCAAGATACACTATAATAGAATGTAGACAATATGCAGCAGTTGCATCTTGGCGAGAGATAGAGAAATGGGTTTAACGTCCAATCGACACAAACTAGGTCATTTCGGGACTAACATATGGTTCAATTTTATTTCAATAATACGCTTAATTGCGCGTAGGAGTCTTTTGGGAGGAAATCGGAGGACCCGGAGAATACCTACGAAGTTGGACAGGCGACCCTACTCCTTTTCACGTACAACAGGGGAACCGAAACCACGCGAGTTGACTCAATGACAGACCTTATGATGCAGCGCACACGCGCTAACCATTCGCCCCCCCCCCCCACAACCAGGTTGCATATTGGAGTGGAGTGCATACACGAACCTGATAACTGACAACTTGTTTAAACGGAAAAATTCTAGCATACCATAGTGGGACAAAATGGTGTTCTGGGGTCTCCGGGTTCTGACGGCCCTTGTCCCTCTCAGCAATTTGAATGTTTATGTATATTAAGACTGTTGTACGTACCGTTGATAGTGATATTGTGGTATAACATGGGTGTTAGTTAATTCTGTGATTCTACCAGGTATATGAACCGATCTCGTATTAGTAGTATTTAATGGAGTTCTCTGTAGATATTGTAGATAGAAGAGCTGATTATCAGGATCCGATTTATTCCAATCAGTTATAAAAGTTTTTACTGGGAAACTGAAGCTAGATGCCTGCTGATATTCTACCCTAAGACGATGCTAAAACATAATAGAAAAATAAACCATCTATTATGAAAGTTGAGTGAAAGCAAACTTGGCTTATATTCTTTTAAGATGTTCTAAGTAAAAAAAGCAGAGTGACAATTCTAACTGAAGATTATTCTTGGAATTTCAAATTAATCAGGTTATTGAAATTGAGAACTAATAAGTACAAATCTGATTATATCACAGATCCTATTTCGTTTCGTTTTTTAGTTCAAAATATAAAAAAACGAAACGAAATATACATATGTATTTTAAACAGTTTTACCCCCGCCCCCGCCTCCCCAAACAAAACCCACCAGTTTAAATTAATAAAATAAATCTAAAATTCAAATAAATTTTCTTGTTCATCATTACTTTATAATGAATTAGGTGGCCTATTTAATACATACCTCTAATAAATCATACAGATTGGCTATTTTGCCTTTTGGTATAATAACTTCATGAAAACCTGTTACCATCATATATCTATAACCCTGTAGTCGTTCTTTACAATCAAATAACGACATCTGAATATCATTTAAATACTGAGGAGGCCATCTTTGGTTTAATTCAAAACCTCTGTCAGGTTTGGCTGAAAAAATGAAAACAATAATTTAACGTATCTATGAAGGTTAAATGTGAACGGATGGGCAAAAATCATAAATTGCGACAACGACCTCCATTCAGGCGCTGAACGACCAATTACACAAGAGAACGGAAGAGCAGGGGTGCTGACGTGTCCTAAATATTATTATTTATAATACAATTTTCATGGTCAGCTGTGTCGGTTTTTAACCAAATAATAACCACGTACCTTTCATCTGCACATGCGACAATAAAGGCATTGACAATTCGTTTCACTATTTTTTTTAATTCCTCAAAATATGTATTACAGCGTCATCACTTATTTAATAAAATTGACTTTATAGGCAATCTACCACGTCCTGGGTTGCATAAAATTTATTTAGAGGGTTCTACTCTATTTCCTAAATCGTTTAATATCCATATATTTCTCACCGTACAAAATTATATTAAAGAAATGAAAAGATTGATGTGTACTTTGTCGCTATTATTGTAATTCTCCAGTGGCTTATCACTACTGATATTCACTTCAGTGTGTAACGTCATGGACTTATTAAGGTAGCATGTATATATGTCACAGAGTAAAAATATGTATGAATGTATGTATGTACGTGTGTATGTATGTATATATGTATGTATGTATCATGTATGTATGTACATGTATGTATGTATGTATGTATGTATGTATGTACATGTATGTATGTATGTACATGTATGTATGTATGTATGTATGTATGTATGTATAGTATGTATGTACGTGTGTATGTATGTATGTATGAATGTATGTATGTACGTGTGTATGTATGTATATATGTATGTATGTATGTATGTATCATGTATGTACGTGTGTATGTATGTACATGTATGTATGTACCCCACCTAGTTGTATACCTACCTTTAATAATCAGTGGAATATTGTACGGAATTATCTGTAATATTCCGTCATTCTCATAATATTTCAACACTTTCATGGAATCTCTATCTAAATTGTATGTGAATGTCACAACCTTTTCCACTCCAAGAATCTTCTGAAGTTCAAACCATTCTGTTAGTCGTTCCGGCACCAATCTTCCATACGCTACTCCTGCGCAAACGGCTAATTGATCAACATCCTTTTCTGGGTAGGTTATCGGTGAATAATTTAAAGCTGTTTGGTCACAAGAATGGTCAGCCAAAGCTATATGTGTCGGCTTCAATCGTTCTGCATTTACGAGACAGTTAAACTGAGTCGCCCGAAACGGGCTCTCCACGGAATATCTATTGAAAACATATGGCATTACCTTTATAACGTCTCTATCTGCGCGTAAGCAACACACAAAATCGGGCGATGTATACGTCCCATCCCATGCGTTTACGACAACACTGATTACAGTAGATGCTGGTTCCTTGTAACTGGCTATAACTGACTGTATATAAATACACCTTTCTCCTACTTTAGTTAAAACACTCTCCTGAAATATAAATATTTCCCGTTTTTTACAGAACCATGTACAAACTATAATAAATCTGAGATATATACATCAATTTATTTTAATTCCAATCGTATACGATTTATTAAATTTCGAGATATATGCAACTATTCATACATTTATATCATTTGAATTTGAAAGTGTGCACAGTGAAACAGATCTCCTCTATAATGTAGGACTTTTGCTAGAATTTTTGATCTTGAAATTAATGATGGCATTATATTGTATTAATTAATGTCTTTGGCAAGTTGGGGGATTCAAACATATTGTCTAATATGTACTTAAATCAAATTAGTGAATGAATGATTGTTATATAAAACAATAGTTATAATTTGGTAAACATTAGCCGGTTCCGTGGGAATTAGAATATCGTGTGTAACACGTGATTGCAAATTTACTAATTGCATCATGTGGGTTGAGTAACCAATCGTTATAATTAATTACGTCATTATTTGACCAATTAGATAATTGAACGTCCAAATCCAAAGCTACAAGACTATCATATATTTGGGCATTTGTCAGACAGCAGCTGGATTCCAGAAGGGAAAAGATGAAGCCATTTCTATGAGCAAACTCGCCCCAGCGAGCCTGGCTGGATGGGGTTTGAGAGAACGACTTTAGTATTCTAATCTACTATGCTTGTATCTATGTATCCAGCTATGATATATAAAATGTAAAAACGAACTCTTGCATTGTTATTCTCGAGAAGACAAACGTCTTAACTAACTGAGAAAACAGTAAGGAATAAATACACAACGTGAAGTGGAAGCAAAGACAACCAGAGACAAATTCTAGACGATCACAAGGCTACTAAGATATGTAGAAAAGATGCATGGGTCAAACGTAGGATGTGGCTCTCCACGTCCGACTAAAGACCCATGGTCCTGCAATAAGTTGTAATAACCCACCTATTCCACGTAGATGAGCCAGATACACTAAAGTTGAAATAGATTGCACTCAACTCTGAAAACCATGGTTCAGATCAAATCCCGACCGAGAGCTTAATAAAGTGGAACCGGGTTATTAGAAATCCCATTCTGAAAGCAAATACGCAAGTGTCAACCACTGCCTTATATGTATTAGATGCCCCAAATGCTTAAATGCAAATGGCGCGAAAATAACAGTATTTCTAGACAGAAGAAATGATTAGTCATTTATTTTCATTCAATGAGAATAGTAGAAAGCTAATCAAAGGTAAGCAATCAACTTTTCTTCTCTATCGTAGATATGGAATCGGTTTTTGATAAAGTGAATAGAGTCTGTGTGGTATAAAGTGAATAGAGACTCTGTGTGGTATAAAGTGAATAGTGACTGTGTGTGGTATAAAGTGAATAGAGACTGTGTGGTTAATTGGCGAAAACACTCGATGCCTTCATCCTTGGCAAAGAACAGTGTATTGGTTACGCAGCGAAAGCTGTGATCTAATGATCGGAAAACTAAGATAACATCATGCACTCACACCAAGTAGCTGTCGATGATATCCCTTCTGGGACAGAATCTAAGTTATTGATTAAATACCAAATGTAATGTTTTAGAGACCGCCATAGTTGGGAGCGTTAAGTTGAATAATATGTTGTGTAAATATACACATCAACTTAAATAAACAAAAATCTAGCCATTAACCGTCAATCTCAAACCTAATGGCTCTTCAAGTAAGTTTCCTGGCAAACACTTGTCTGCGATATAACCCTAGATGAACGCGGATGCTACGTCTAACATCAATAACAGCCCTACAAACGTCACTAACTGTGACAAAGGTTTGTAGACCTATAGCATTGTACCGATCATTAAACTAAATCTCAATCTACGTCTAACATCAATAACATCCCTACAAACGTGACTAACTGTGACAAAGGTTTGTAGACTTATAGTATTGTACCGACCATTAAACTAAATCTCAATAGATATATTTGATTGATAAGTTGTATAGTATTTCAATATTTAGCTCAGTATTGGAGCATTGGCTTACTCCGGTAGATATTCAAATATAACTCACACTCAAAATGTGCTTTGAGCTCAATCGTGAACACCCCCCCCCCCCCCAAAAAAAAAAAAATACCTTTAGAAAATATAACATGTCTGAGGATTTTACAAGAATACAGTAAATTATTAGTTCACACAATACAGTTGTTATTGACAACCTGGTTTATTATTATTATTACAGTATATTTATAGTGCAACCTTTCATATAACATGTTAAAAGACACTTTACAGTTGTATATAGAGTCAGTTAAAAGTCTGATTAAATAAATGTGTTTTAAGGTGTATTTTAAAAGAATATAGAGATGTACAACATCATAAACTAAATGGTAGATTATTCCATAAAACAGGTGCTTGATAACTATAACACTAAATTATATTCTGTATGTTTCAAGGGAATCAATTCCGTTGTCGAACAGACATGATTCTAGATCGTTAAGGTGTATTGAGAAGAGGACAGGGGAAAGATTTTCTCCTTGTCTTACCCCTAACCTATGTAAGGCATGTTGATTATATATAGGTCACAAATTGAACAATAAATGCTGGTATTTGCACAAAGATATCAAATTATTATTATGTTTGAATGTGACTTGTGCCGCGTTGAATTCCTTTTTTTATACGAGCAGATACCTTAAGACAGTGTAGAAAAAAAATAGTAAAATGCTACTTTTCAGAACTCATGTTGCAACAAAATACACAACAGGCAGATATATTGAGTAGCTGCTACAATAGCCGACAAATTAGCGCCGTAAAACCATCGGATTAAAAAAATATTTCAGAATTCACGTGTAAATAATGGAGATTGTTTGACCTGCTTTGGACTATTTTGTTTAGTTTTCAATAGGCCAATCATAGTATGGATAAACAGTTAAATAAACAATTGAACATCGAGATGATAAGGAAGTGCAGAACGTCTTGCCGATAAAACGTCGGTGAACGATACCAAGATATCCATATACATGGACATCGCATTTCTTTGCCAACATATTGGCCAACTGGTTTTATTTTTAAAATATATACTTACCGAATCTGGTAAAAGGCATTCCCTGGCTTCACTGAAATTCTGGATTGGTTTTTGTTGAAACATCTGAAAGCTAGGTGGTATATGAACCAATGATGTAGAATTGAGTGTTATGACTGCTATGGTAGTTAATAGTAAGGCTGAAAAAAGTCCACCGATGGGTTTCCGACAGTTCTGATACTGTCTGGCCCTTTCTCTTCGATAAGCGGATAATAATGTTCCGCGGTTGCTCATTTTCCCTTAAATATTATAGTTTTTCTATAGTATTTATCCTCGTGCTTCCAAATCCTATAAAACTCCTTTAAATTATACCAGTTAACATTTTTCTTGGCTTAAAATTTAAGGTAAATGACACCCAAACCAATCATGAAACGTTTGATACGAACACCTTCACTCTTAATGCATATCTACCTACATATATAGCTACCCTTCGCTGTACACGATATTGACTAACTTGATATTATAAAATCCAAATTCGCGATCAACACAATCCATTATTCAACTCATAGGCCTTAACCTTATTTACACTTTGTAGGGACCACGTGTGAAATATTAGCCGTCAGTGTTGTTATCACTATAGCAACGAGAGAAGACAGGTAGATCTTAACAGGTGTGTTGATTTGAATGGTTAACTTGACATATAATATATAATTTGACTACAATATGTCCTGAAACGCACACTAAAATCACAAGACGTAACTTTAGTATAAATTTGAGTGTGCTGAATGATAAGACAATATAGATATAAATTCATAAGATTGTTATTTTAAATTAAATTTGAGTTGTGATTTGTGAGTGTTGTATAAACTATAGAATTAACTTTACACCAGATGATTAGTAGATTTTGTCAATTACTATTTTAAAACAAAATAGAAAAAACAAAGAGAAAATCTGCTGTATATAATTACTATATCTGAGAATGCAACTAACAAAATACAAATTGTTTTTTTGCGCTATTTTTCAAGTGTACCTCCAATAGAAATATTCAACAAAGATGTAGTCTTGTCAGATTCCAGCCTAATACGCCAACCAGATGCAAAGTTGACTGTGTTGTTTTTACCTTAATTTGCAATCTCACTAAGTTACAAAACATTTCCAACAGTTATCATGTGAAACAGTTGTCGTGTAAAACAGTTTTCGTGTAAAACAGTTTTCATGTAAAACAGTTATCACGCGAAACAGTTATCATGTAAAACAGTTATCATGTAAAACAGTTATCATGCGAAACAGCCTTCAGGTAAAACAGTTATCATGTCAAACAGTTATCATGTAAAACAGTTATCATGTCAAACAGTTATCATGTAAAACAGTTATCATGTAAGACAGTTATCACGTCAGAGAGAGAAAGAGAGAGAGAGAGAGCACAAACTATGTCATTTCGGGAGGTTGGACAGCCGACCCATTTCCTTGTCACGTGCAACCCGGGAATCGAAACCACGCCAGTTGACTGTATGACAGACCTTATGATACAACACGCACTCGCTAACCATATCGGACCGTAACTTCCTGGATTACGACCCCTGATTGTACGAAAAATCGCGTTTTAGCTTGCTGTCCTTATAGAGGCCACCATTTTTATTCGATGTTGATGAAACTTAAAATATATGTTTCCATCCCGAAGCATACGACATGATATTAGGCTATACCCATCTTCATTCCTTTTAATATAGAAGTGAAATCCGGGGACAGGCATATCTCTTGACTGAATTGTTCTTACTCTATGCACGGCCTCGACTTGATAGGTTATTGTTATGGTTAGTTAATTTAACAAAATGTTGATACGGGGTGTTCTCATCCAGCTCAAAATATTGATTAAGGGGATTAAGGGTTTAGGGCTGGGGGATTATGGTCTGTAGCTGAAATGTGTTCACCTAATTAGATATGGATTAACCGTTTAATAAGTGTCATGTGAACTGTGTTTAATAAGTGTCATGTGAACTGTGTTTAATGAGTGATTTTTTCAAAGTAATGAATCAATTTGGTGAACTAGAAGAGAGACTTCAAGCATTGAAAGATCAGTTCCGAAATGGTCAAAGAGACATCATGCTTTATGTAGATGCGGTATCTCATCTTGTCCATTTAGAGTAAAAAGTATGAAATGTTTACTTGCCCATATGAAATATATATTTTTAATGTTGATGCTCATTTCATAGTGCTATTTAGTTATTTATTTTTTATATTAAGTTTTTCCATGTTTTACTATAATAAATGTTGAATAAAACATTATCAAGTGATTTTGTTTTACTATTAGGTTTAACCTAATGAAATAAACAGTGCCCAATGTGAAACAGACTACAGCTAATCCTTCTTTAGAAATTCCAATTAACACCTTAGTCACGCTAACATGATAATGAACCGTTGATACCCTTCCTCTAGGTACACCTTTAGGTTCGCCGCCCCCTCTTCTGTGTGTCAAGTGTCAATGGAAGCTCCCACTAATTATCAAAAGACATTTAATTGGTGTTAAGTGTCCGACAATGAATCAACAGACGACACAAATTCATACTCATGCGATAAACTAAAGTTTAAATCTTTATCCGATTCTTTACGAAATAAGTAGTTTATAATTTATTTTATAGTAAGTTTATGTTTTACATTCAGGAATCTGACAGGATTTAGGACAGAATGCCTTGGCAGAAACTGGGTCATCACAGATACCTTCTGATTTCAGAAAGACACAGTCATAACGAGGAGGATCTACACAGGAAAAACTAGTAGTTGGTAATGGTGTCGTCGTCACGGGATAATCTAAAAAAAACATGCCATGATTATTTTTAATGTCATGTTTTTCTGAAAATATGAAAACATTACCAACCCATGTCTGTCTGTATCTCACAGCTATTGTCACTTGAAACGGAAAAAATGGGAAAAAAATGGGAGTTAACTGTAAGTATAACCAAACAGGCTGAAGAAGATTTGCTATGAGACGGCCTTATCGGGAGATGTTTAACGTGCTGTCATTGGTGTGCATGGGACCTAGGTTTATCGTCTCCCCCGAACGACTGTACGTTGTAGATTTTTTAGCCGTCCTGCACCACTGACATGAGGAAACTAAGCTGTAAAACCCGAAATGAACTTCCTCGACCAACACCGGGACCCAACTCGTGACCCGGTTAGTGTACCAGCTCTAGCTGCTTATAATGGACTAATGGGGGTACAGGGGAATATATGAAAGTGGTGGGGGGGGGGTACAGAGGAATATATTAAAAGGGGAGGGGGTTTGTGGGGGTACAGAGGAATATATGAAAGAGTTTATAACGCCCTACTGGGGAACTTGTAGTCGGGGTACAGAGGAATATATCAGAGGAGTTTATAACGCCCTATGAGGCTAATTAATCCAACATCTGACTATGGTTCTGTAGGAAAGTTTGAGTAGGGAGAATTTTTTTGAAGAAATGTTTAGTGGGTGCCGAAGTAAGTATTTTGAACTTGGGTGGACACTCACCACGTGGTAGGTTATTCTACAATGACGTCATCAAATATGGCCGAAGACATTATATCAGTTTTATCCTACCCGCTCTAGTTTTCCGTCAATTTCTATGAAATAAAGGTCAGAAAGAAGCTATTTATTTGAATTTATTTGAAGAATATATTTTTGGTAATTTTTTTTTATTAATTTTCAAGAAAACACATAACACATTTTTAAGCGAAAACGTTTAAAAAGTTAAAAAAAAATAAGAAAATTAACACATTTACAGTGCTACAACAATAAGAATACTTTAATAACACTCAAAAAAGAAGTTCTGTCTTTTTATATAAAGAACTATCTGTGCATACTAATTAATGATATCAAGCATAGTTACCGCAAGATGTGATCTTCCGACTGTGAAGAAATACACCGAGCGGAATCTCTCACACGAATTCAAAATGAAATTAGCAAACATATACCTAGCGTCAATAAAATATATCACGATAATAATTGTTACCTTTATAATAGAAGCATTTTAAGACATGTTATTACCGTAAACATACTAAAATATCGCAAACTGGGCACGCAGAATTCAAACAGTATTCAAACCAGCTGAATAAACTACTAGACTGCAAAATTTCATAAGCCGCCTATGTTGTATTGTATTCAGGACGTCTATTTCACACAAAATATTATGTTATATATAAACATCTATCTGCATAATAAGTTTATGGAAATATGCATTTAAACAACATTTAGATATTATCTACCACCTGTAGCACTTTCCCCTCAAACTAACAATAAATTGTTTATTGGAATTTTCATAGTTTTAAATTTACCTCCTCTGGGCTATTCATAATTAGTTTTGTGGATAGAAATTGACCTCTACACCCTTAAAACCCCTAGCCTATAGGCTATAAGACATATTGTACATTTCATATCTAACGGAAGTAAAAAAATTTAATGACGATTAATTAAAATTCCGACGTTTAGAATTTCATTTCTGTCATCATAGATTCTTGAATTTTATTTTTGAGATCAGAATTGAACAAAGCGACACCGAGAACCATATAAATGACATATCCAATAGGAAAAAATTTATCTTTAAATTCAGAGAGGTCGAAAACCTTATAGCTAAAAGTCATCTTACGAAATAGCTGTCATGAAAATACATTTTTTTGAGGGGGTTTCTTTTGGTTCAATTCGTTATTTCAGCACATTTCGCCTCTTAACACCTGTTTGAAGAATTTAAAAAAAAGAGTTATTCTCCCACCACTAAAACACACTGAACCTTATTGAAAACCACCATATTGAATTATGTTAATTACGTCATTTCGCCATGGCCGAATTTGAGTATTATGTTGTCTGATATATGTATCATTGAACCAAACTATTGGTTTCTTTTGCAATTCGTTTTGGGGCGAAACGCTATCCCTCCCATCCTACGCATACGCGACGTCATAGGTTGCACGCGATGGTGCCGCGTCAGCTAAGTCACGTGACACAAACTGACAAACATGACTTCTTTTAATACATTTTTTATTGCGTGGGGTATTTCCTCGCGAATACAATGTTTGAGACGGATTTGAAGAAAATTTTTGTTTGATTATGCTTTTAGTTCAAATATATCATCAGATCACCCAGTTTGTACCGTGGAAGGTATCTTTAATGTGTCTTAAAGGGTTATTTTCTAATATTAAGGTAACAATTACTATCCATTCGGCAAACCTCGACAAATTCTACGCATCTAATCTCGGCTGTATGACGAATTCCGCCATATTGGAACTATTTTAAACGTCCCGGATGAAAAATGGCTGTGCCCATGGAGATTTCTGTGGAGAGTGTATTATATCAACAAACGTCAAGTTTGGCATTGGGTTTAGGGAATTACCTGGGAATTATATCAAACCAGCAGCCTTGAGACAATATCTCTGCTCGTTTAGTTATATACACTCGACAAAAGACGCCATTTTGGGACTTTTTTTTGTAAAAGCGACACGTTTTCCTGTTAAAGTAAACCGGTAGCCGCATCGCAAATGTATGGGCGTAGGTACATATCAATTACTATCATACAGTCGAGGTTAAATGTAGGGTACCGGAATTTCCCGAGGTTTGCCGAGTGAATTACTATCGTGATAAATATAACACATGTAGATAGGTTTTTATTGCGCTAGGAATATGTTTGATAACTTCATTTCGAACCCGGGTGCTGGAATACCGGTGAGGGATACCGCTCGGTTGTTAAGATCATATTTTTATACTAACTACCTACATGTACATCATTGCAGGGGCGGATCCACGAATTTTTGCAGGAGGGGGTTTGCCAGGTTCCTGAGACAATATACCCCCCCTCCTCCCGCATGGTTTCTATCGTCATTTTGGCGTATATACATACATATTTAACTTTTTAAACAGAGAAATTCAACACCTCGTTTGACGTCAATTTTTATTATGAATTAATACAATGACATTTGTGATTCGATTTCATGGATGCAAAGCATTAATTGTGATATCACATAATGTCTATATCATTATCTCGTGCTTTGAGTGCCCATCCAGTCCCACATCTGACGATAAAGGATAAAGCACACGGCCGAGAAACTTTTCTCATAAAAAGTGTTGATTTACAAACCCCCCCCCCCTTCTGGATCCGCCCCTGCATTGTCTATATAATGTAAGCATTCATTTAGAACCATGTCAATTTCCAATCAGCGGCTGTCAGGCAGGATACGCCCACATTTTGCAAGAGATGGATAGAGAACAAGCTAAAAACAAACGGGATTTTTTGTACAATTAGGGGCAATAATCCAGAAAGTTATTTCAAAAGGGACTGGGATCTTTGGGATATAAAGATATGTTTTAAGTTTCATCAAAATGGGATAACAATTGTGACCTCTAGAGGGTCCACAACCTTTGTATTGCATATTTTAACACAATTTGCGTACAAAGAGCGGCCATTTTGTCGGGCAGTTTCATTTTGATTTTCCCGAAATTCGAATTCAACCTTCATTATGGTGGAATAGTGATATATTTAAACGGTTTTTAAAATCCAAACTCAATCAAAATTACGGTGTAACGGTGATATATTCGAGCGTTTTTTTAAATTGGATAATAATCACAAGCTAAAAACGCGATATTTCGTACAATCAGTGGCCATAATTCAGAAAGTTATGATCCGATACGCGTGAATATCCAAAGGAACCAATATCTTTCGATTATAAACATGCATTTCAAGTTTCATCAAAATCGGATCAAAATTGTGACCTCTAGAGGGTTCACAACTTTGATATACCAGATGTTATACACTATTTGCTTAAGAAAAGGCGGCCATTTTGTACGGCAGTTTTAGTCCGATTTTCGCGAAATTCTAACTCAGCCAATATTACGGTGTAACGGTGATATAATTGAACATTTTTTTTAAATCAGATAATAATTGTGACCTCTAGAGGGACCTGTAGCTAAAAGCACGATTTTTCGTATAATCAGGGTCCATAATTCAGGAAGTTACGATCCGATATGCGCGAATATCAACAGGAACCAAGATCTTTGGGCTATAAACTTATATTTCATGTTTCATCAAAATCAGAAGAAAATTGAGACATCTAGAGAGTTATATTTCGAGCTTGAGCTATTAAATTGGCAAATTTTATTGGAGAACTTTGTTGACATATTGATTGCACGATTATTCGTAGTCCGATTTGTAGACCGGGAGCGAAGGTGACAAGATTTTCACCCTGAGAATACGGCCTAAGTCCACAACCTTGATGTACCATATTTTTACGCCATTTGAGTACGAGGGGCGACCATTTTGTCTGTCAGTTTTGGTCTGATTTTTACGAAATTCGAACTCAACTATCCTTAGGGTGTAACGGTGTTATATTCAAATGTTTTTTTTTAAATCGGATAAAAAATTATGACCTCTATAGGGTCTACAAGCTAAAAACGCTATTTTTTTGTACAATCAAGGGCCGTAATTCAGGAAATTAAGGTCCGATGCATGCCAATATCGAAAGGAATCGAGATCTTAGGGATATAAACCTATAATATTTCAAGTTTCGTTTAAATCGGATAAAAATTGTGACCTGTAGAGTGTCCACAAATGGAACTTGTAAAAATCCCTGTTGAATGCTGTCAACGAATTTTTTATTGTTATACCATTGTAATTAATTTTGAAGTGTTATTTTTTTTTTACATTTTAGAGCTTTTTTCGTGTTGTCACTTTTTTCGTGAAAAATTAATAAAAGTTTAATAAATATATTTTCCACTTTAATTCACACAGCCAGCTTCATTCTGACTTTTATTTCATAAATATTGAAAGAAAACTATAGCAGGTAGGGTAAAATTGAAATAACGTCGGCGGCCATCTTTGATGACGTCATAGGGGAATAACCTACCACATGGTGAGTGTCCACCCAAGTCCAAAATACTGACTAAGCTACCTACTCAACATTTCTTCAAAGAAATTCTCCCTACTCAAACTTTCCTACAGAACCATAGTCAGATCCACGATTAAATGAAGAAGAGCATACAGTTAAAATTTCAACTGTCAAGGTTCTTTTAAGGGCACGTCTATACCGAGCCACATTTATTCGTCGTCCCATCCGAACGCTGTTTCTTCTCAAGCCCTGACAAGAGGGACACCAGGTTGGAAAAATCCCGGGTAACTTTCTTGGAAACAGAGGTGTCGAACTCTGGGCCTTCTGTTTAGTAAGCCAGTGCCTTACTCACTGAATGACCGTGACTCCCATGTAATGAGGGACTGGATACTAAAGTCTATATATATGTATAACCAGACTTACCACACAATCCACAGTAGTTCTTACAGTTTAATTTAGCCCAATGAGAATATGTTTTACATGTTTCTTGAGTATGTAGATGACAATTATCTTGTTTATCTAAACACCCTTCATCTGTAGAATAAAACATCTGACGTGTCATCAATCAATAACCAACATGTTTCACAATTAAACACTGGCAATATATAGTTATATACCCCGAACCAGGGGCGCGTGCAGAAAAATGATCAGTCGGGGTGGGGGTGGGGGCTGTTCCGGCATGGTTTAAAGCAGAGCTTCGATATTTCTGATCGACTTTTACTCTTTTAAATGTTAAATGTATAGTCTCTCTCTTGGATCTCCCCTGTATAGATCCCGTATAAGCAGGGTGGGGAGGGGGGGGGGTGCGTACTTGATCATTTTGTTTTCAAATTGTAACGATTCTGCTCGATTGTAATTATTGGAGATATCATCGTCGTAGTATATTATAATCTATACGGTAACCATTAAATATGACCATACTTTATTCATTTATTCATCATAATATCATTTACTTTTATAAAATTCGGGAAACAATGAATAAAGAAAAACTACCACAAAATCCACAAAACCTTCGACAATTATCTCTTGACCAATCAGGGTAATCGTTACAAAGATCTGGATTGGTTTCGTTGTATTGTTTACAGTCAAGTATATTATCAACACATATATGATGAGATAACTCTACAATAGAATATATGATGAGATAACTCTACAATAGAATATATGATGAGATAACTCTACAATAGAATATATGATGAGATAACTCTACAATAGAATATACAATTTGATCAGTCAACAATCTGATTAAAACACTAGGATCTGGAAGAGTTGTTATATAACCCGCGTTCTGAATGATGTGAGAGATTAGCCAATGAAACGGTCTGTTAAAGAAGAATATTATGAGTAAATTCATACCTTCCCTTCCACATATAACTAACTTCATTATTTGTTTATCATGTTCAATCCAACCAGTCTGACAAAAAAAATATATAGTTCTTCTAAAGTTGTAGGCTATACATTATTGGACATATTTATATGCAGTGGCGTAATAAAATGGGGTCTACGTCCCCCCCCCCCCCAAACCCCTAAACCCCTAAAAAGGTATGATCCAACCTCCACTCCCTTGAACCAATGTGATTAAAACACAGATCCTATTTCTTTTCTTTTATTTATGGTTCAAAATGTCGTTTAACTTGTTTTTACTACGCTGATGGCATTCTCCACACAAGTCTCGCTATCCAGCATTAGCGTGGACTGCAATTGAAGACAACTCTGTTTGGGAGAATGCGCTGATATGTTAATCAAATAGCTGACGTCATAGGGTCAAAAGTCGCTCGTATGACCCCTGACGCGACTCTCCACTGCAGCTGATCAGATCTTCATGTACTGCGGGCCATCGAAAGTATAAAAAAAACGAAAGGAAATATAGATGTCTATATTTTAATCAAATTGCCCTTGAACTAAATACAGCAAAGGTATCAAAATATAATGGAATAGGGAAACCATCTCATCACCACCCTAACGAGTAATCTAGAGCCCTCGTCAAGCCTTTCAATTTGGTCAAAATAAAGCCGTAATAACGTCGATTACCTAGCTATACATATCGATTTCTTTCTTCCAACAGAATCGAAGATCAGTTTTGGAGTGCTAATTTTTTTTTTATTTTTGCGAAACAGTTGCCACTTCTAACTTGATAATTTACAGTTTGTTGTACGTTTGTATTAGGTTTAAAAAGTAACCCATCCAAAGATTTGTTCTGAATCGCGTTCATGTAATGGGCGATTACAGAGAACCGCACAGATAGAAAATAATATGAAATTGATCAGAAAATTGTCTAAATATCTGTTGGATAACGAATTCAATCAGAAGTTATTGATGTTTGAAGTTGTACCTGTGACGTGTATTTAATATGATGCCAAACTTCACCTCGTAGACCTGAGACTTCATCAAATGATTGAACACATTTATTCATTGGCACAACGAATTCTCCATTATCTCCTTTTACACGTTCATCTTTACTAAAACATATACAATCTAAAACTGAAATTATAAAATTACATAATCTTTAGTTTGGGTTATTTTAACTGCGAGATCGTGGTGGGTTGTGGGAACACTTTGCGCGTAGCTAAAGCTTGCCCATAAACGTAGTAAGATCTTGAAATGGGAAATGAAATGGGGTTTAACGTCCTACTGTTCTGCTCCGAACTGGGCTAATGAAGACGGGTATACGCCATACAGCGTGCTATGAGGGGAAATTTGCCCAGTCAGCGGCCTTACGGCCTACTTTTATATCGAATTCCAACTGTCAAGGGATCTTTTACGTGCACGCCAATGTGTACATGGGACCTCGGTTTTTCGTCCCATCCGAACAACTAGACAGCTGTCTTAGTCTGGCCCTCCGTTCTGTATCATTGACAAAGGGGAAGCGCAAGGGAAAATCTGGATGAACTTTTTCGGCCAATGCAGCGAACCAGCGTCTTACCCACGTAGCCACCGTGATCCCTGAGTGCGCTGGGCGCAGTAAGCGCTTGGTGTGGTCGTGGCAGGAGCACGATGGGCGCGTGTCAATTTCTTGCCACGCATATGGCGCAAGCTCCACGCTGCCGTTGCACTCGCTTTGCCTCCATGCCAGAAGGCCGATTCGTTAGGCTTTTCTGTCCGCAAAATTTCGATATGAACTCAGTGGTCATCTTGGATGAAGGATTTGCATCGTTGGATAATATACCAAATGGATACGACACGGTGTCGGCTTTCAGGAATGTGCTACAAGCTAATAGCCTACGTAGCAGAATTGGACACAGAAACCTGTAAATAACAGCAAGTAAATAAATGATAATAATATGTTTAGAAAACGTTTCGCCATCTTGGAAAAAATGCTAAATTGGTGAACATACATGTACGATCATTTTATGCAGATGTATATGGCAGAAATCAAATCTGCGCCCCGAAACATATATATTGACACCAAAGACAACTTGAAAATCAGCACATCGTCCGATTTTCCCTCCACAAGTAGCAGCAATGTTAGAAATATGCTAAATATGTGAATATGTGAATATGTAATCATTATACAAGGTTACAAAGGCCAGAAATGGATTCTGCGACCCCGTAAACATATTTATTGACACCAAACACTATTGATTTTCCCGCAAAAAAAAAAATAAATGGTTGCCATCTTGGAGATATCTTCATGAAGTGATCGGAAAAATCTGAAATATAGTCATGACCTCAGTCAATACTAATACACTGCCAAATCACAGTTGATATGTCCATAAATTTATAAATAAGTTAGAAACAAAATATAAGTTGGAATATTTTCGCAAAATGACTACCTTTCAAATAATGGCGTCCCATACGATGAAGACCTACTCAGAAAAAATGTCAACATTGGTTTTTTGTCATCAAACATCCAAACCTTCAAAATAAAGCTTATTCCACGATTTCTACCCGAAAATATGGTGAATTTACATTAAGGATCGGACTACACTTTCTTCTGGAATTTAAATTTGTAATGATGAAACAATCAGCATCGTATTCTGGATTTCAGAATAGTCGAGTGACCATGTATTTAAAAGTTATTTAAATTGATTTTCTGGGATGAAAAGACTATTCCCATCTGTGTGTAAAATACCCCGGATTAAATAACTCAACATGTAGAATAATCCAAATACAAGAAACTTACGTCCTGCGCTGGAATCAAATCCACCATGTAAAAGAATTACGAGTAATGCCAACAAAATCATATTTAATGTCAATGGCGGAATCAGGTTGATTTGATAGATAAGAACTGATAAGATGGACACAGACAGAAACTAACTAAAGTTAACCAAATCTTATCTATTTTATTAGAGAATGTCCTAGAAAGATAAACAGTACTTTCTTTGTCGGCTTTAATAACATTTTTAATAAATAAAACACTGCAAAAATGGCGTTTTCGCATCAAGTCGAGCCTTTAAAACTTTCTAATGTTTTTTTGTTTTGATGTGAAATATATTATGAGCTTTAGTGCCGAACGGGGCTATGCGCAAAATATATTAAAGGCTCAATACCACTCTTGTTGTAACTGAATAATATGTCCCAATCTTTATTCTGGTCAACAAATTGTACTATTTTACAATATTCCAATTAATTGATGACACAAATTTCATCTTAACACACCTTATTTAAAAATTTTGAAAAATTCAACATAATGGTTTGAAACGTCTAACGTATACCTTTTCAAATGAAACTTCGACTTAAAAATATTTTCGAACCCTCTGGACAAGTAAAATAGGATGTAATGGATAATTTACACAACAGGTAGTACACTTAAACATGTAGTACTTAGATAGAGATATTATTTATTTTCTGGAGCTTTCAAGCTAGCAAGAGTGTTATTGTCCCTTTAAACTTTAAGAAGTATTTCCTTTTATCCCTGACATGTTGTGATACGAAGAGAAGTGGATCTCGAAATGTTATATTAATTTCGATAATGTTTGGAATTGTAAAAAAAAGTTGTACATACTTGTGTATTACTCGCTAAAGCAGTGTCGACCTGCCCCTCTTTCACGGATATAGTAGATGCACACCCCTATAGGCATAATCGAATTACTTGAGTAACCGATTCTTATCAGCTCGCATGTCATGTAGGCTAGAGCCGATAAGAATCTGTTACTAAATTTAAATTAACTTCTAATAACCATAAATCACGCCGGAAATTACAGGAATTTATGGAGGAATTGTCGCTTTGTGGACGTTTGAGACGATAAAATTTAGAAGAGTATAGTACCCCTTCATGAAAGGCTAAATTTCCGAATTACGATTACGCGATTAAAAATAAATCTGAAAACATCTTTTTTCGTGAACTTATAATTACGACCTGATATTCGGGTATGAAATGTAACAGTTATCTGCCCTTGTTTATTGTGACAAGTGTGTTAATATTTAGGAAATGATAATCTAAATTTTTATGTGTTCTTCTGACTTTGATTTGAATTTAGAATTATCTTTATTGTGGAGCTGAAACATACATCATATTTATTACTATTTGTTATTTCTTTACCATTACTATGAAAAGAACAGAGCTCTTTTGATCCGAGTAGATTTGAGACGCACTAACTTGACTAAGTGACTTGTTTTGTTTTGCTAAATATATAGTATAACGAAGTAGCAATGTTTTCAGCGACTGCTCATCAAGTAGCGACAGCACTTGGAAAAGACACGTTATTACCCGTACCAAGTATAAACACAGCAGATAATATTGATGTTCTTAGAGTAGTTATAAAGAAACGTAGAAAATGGTTATTTTTTTCCAGGAAACCACACTATGAAGCAACTGAATTTACACTCTCCGATTTGTTGGTTAAAGATAGCAGTGGCCTAGGAATCAAAGATGTTCCTACAGATACCCATGTCCTAACAACATATAACAGCAAGACAGATTTTTCTCTAAAGGGAAAATTTGGTGCCGATTTAACCAAAGAATTACTGGACGTGAAACTTGGGACGGCGGATGCTGTGAATGTCAGCAGTCAACTGGGAACACTGATTAAAACAGAGCTAACAACACCAAAACTTTTAGCTCTGCTTTGTCATAAGTAAATAAAATACTACTTACTCTTTCTGTATAGGAGTCTGATATAAACATTCCATTGTGGAATTTTGCTTCTGGGCGATCATGGGTTTTATTGCACGACTGAACTTAGTCCGAATCGACAGGGTCATGAAAGACTGGTGAATTGATGTTTAGAAACGTGTTTCTTTATTTTTATCATTGTATTAAAGATACATTATGGGAGTTTAGATAAAGAGCTGGCAGTTCTCACTATAATAGTTAAAAACTAGATAATGTAAAGGGAATTTGCTGAACATTTCAGTCAAATTGATGCACTCTGAACCGAGAATTTAGTGTAAAAAACATAGTCTCAATTATCCATTTTTTGATTTAATCAGAAGCAGGAAACCGGGTTCTAATACAGTAAATATCGCAGGCTAGCGATGCTATCGAGAGTTGATTATGGTCTGGATAAGTTAATTATGTCTAATTAATAATTTAGATACCATTTCAGGCCTAAAGAAAAACCTGCAATAGGCAGATTTAGCTCTTGCATCATGTATGTTTAATCCCCAAATTGTACGTAGTAGTCAATTTATGGGTTCAATTTGTAGAACTTGGATCCTACATGCATGCTTGCATTTTCAATATAATATGAGTACCCCTCCTACCTCCCTCCATTATTAATTATGATATGTGTGGCTATGGAATGTTGAACTAATATTTTTTTATTATAGAAAGATAAATATTGATCATCCTATTGTAAAAGTTGCGCGAGGAGACGGACGTAAATCATTATGTGTGATAACATCAGTCATACAGTTACAAGATGATGGAATAATATCCAGTCATGTCAATTTAGATGTTAGTGGTGAAATGGATTCCAAGGTATTTTACTTGTTTTGTATTTTTGAATGGTATTTGATTTTCCCTTTTGTATGGACCACTACTGTCTGCACCGTTGTAAATTCTGAACAGATTTTTTCGATTGTGAACAAACTACTTCATAATTGTTATTAAAAACTTGCCTATGTGTTTGAGATCACCTACCGTTAAATAAAATCCTTTGCACAATTAAATATCCCAACGAATAAAAAATATTATCTCTTGAAAAGTCGATGTATTTGCTTGTATTTTTGACAACACTGCTTTTGTCACGTAATGAGCTAAACCACCGTAATATGTTGAAGGGGGATTAACGTTGACAAATTTTGACAATCACATCAAAACAATGTGTGACCTATTCGATTGTTTGAGTTTGGGCAACAAAAATAGCAATTGAAGACAATAACATTAATTCGGAAACAATTGATTGTAAATGTGTGCAGGCTGTTTCGTAACTAGTTCATTCACACCTCAAATTATCGTCAATAATCCCAAACTCACTCATCGTCAGAATGGGTTCAATAATCAACACCAGATTAAATAGGAACAAAAGGCAAGTAGCAGTATTTGTTTTGTTTTTTTCAAATATCAGATGTCGTCAATAATCCCAACTTACTCATCAGTTGCAATATTGTAGCAGCATCATGTCTTATCACTCAGTTGCAAAAGTAATCTAGGTGACATGAAATCATGTGCGTGTTCTAATTCTAATTCAAATCATTTAATTATGCCGTAAGGTTTCACCTTTATTTCAATTTATTTCAACAACATATAGGAAAGGTATGAATCAATTTGAGGTATGAATGAACCAGGTATGAATGAACTAGGTACGAATGAACCAGGTACAAAACAACCAAGTTACGAAACAGCTCGCATTCCTCGTAAATATAATATTGCTTTTCACATTATTATCACCCCAGAATTGTAAATACCCTGTATATTATATATACCGGTATTTTTATAAATTATGTTACATCCTTGTCAATTATAGAGAACTTTGTGGCTTACATTTATAAAAAAAACAACTTTATTTCATAATTTTAATTGATCATATTTCACAACAGGGTCTAATCCCAACGCTCTGTGGTTATTAGTCCATTTTCAAAGTTTTATGATTACCACAAAAATATGAAAAAAGGTCACCGCTTCTCAATAATTTCCATATTTAGTTCACGTTCCGACTGTTCACGTCAATAATATTCCTGATTGAATTACGTTTTTTTTGTACGCCCACATTGATGATTGTGGACGCTCTACAGGCTAAAGTTAATATCCAATGACTTTAAATTTATGCACAGTGTTTAAGGTCATCAGACAAAGCAGCCTATTGATTGTCAACGATTTCTGATAATTAGCCCTCCAGCTTGTGGATGCTTTAATTTAGAGACCATAGTTATCATCTGATTGATTTTATATTTATACACCATGTTTACGCCTATATCATGATCGTTTCGATTGACTTTCAATTGATCCACAGAGTTTAAGGTCTTGAGACGAACAAGTATATTGATTTTCAATGATTTTTGATAACTTGAACAGCTAAATCCATGGTAGGGTGACCCAGCATAAATAAATATCTCCAAATATCTCGACAATTACGCCACAATATTTATATATATGCCAAGCCTCAAATCAGTTTCACACAATTATAGTCACTAAATAAACGATCATGTTGTACTTAATAAGCTATGACCATTAATCATCTATAAATAATAGACTGTAAACTGGTTCCAAGTGTCGTCCATAACATCCAGACACTTTTTAGTAAAAGATAGGTTACGTGCCCTTGTTTTGAAATTAGTCTCGCTTAACCAGTCTATCGACGATTCTACGTCTGATTGACAGGTCGGGATAATCAAGATTACTTTTTTACGAAACATAACAGAAAGCTAGAACAAGAAATTGAATTTAGAAATAAGCACTTTAGACAACTCAACAATTGTTTTAAGAAACTTGTAAAAGTAAAATGAAACTACTGCTAGTATCATGTTCTTGCCTAACCTGAGTGTTTCAGAGATATAATTTGTACTAAACCAAAAGATGCGGCTCTTAACGGTACAGTTAATGATAAAGCAATTTAAAAAATAAAACAAACGTAATTTCTAAAGCTGCTGTAATAAAAAAGAAGCTAAATTTTACTGCTATTCAAAATCGTCAACAATAGATTTTTTACGGCTGTAATAGTTGATATATTTGTAGAGAATTGCACGTGCCATGGCTATTTATCGACTCAAAGAGAGTGCGGGGTAGTCAGAAATCAGTTCGAGACACGCAACTGAAGCGTGCACATTTAGCCATGTCGAGACCAACTTTCTGTAGAGTGCACGGGTCACCCTATCCATGGTATTAATTGTTTTGTATACTAAACGTTAGCATGGGCCAAACAAATTCTAATGATTTTCTGATAATTACTTAATGAGTTGTTACTCTTAATCAGATTATAGTGTATTATAAATGTTTATATTACTGACAAAAGTAAAAATATGTGACAACCCTTGTTGACTGTCCGGATGATTTAGCTGCTGTGGTCTTATTCTTATGCTTCATTGCAGGGCCACGTATCTTTGTATTTCCCATGTCCAAGTTTGTGATGAGTTCAATTTTACAAGAGAGAATGTTTTTGTTAGTTGGGATATTTAGTTGTACAATGGATTTTATTTAACGGGAGGTGATTTCAAACACATAGCCATAATTAAGTAGTTTGGTCATAATCAAAGAAATCTGTTTAAATTTAGGACGGTTCAGACAGTATATGAAGTTATTTAAAAATTTGTAATTTCAACTGTTCGGTTTCCTGTTGCAAACAAACAAGCAAAGAAAGATTATAGAATACATAGGGATATAAACCCAGGTTAGATTATCAACTGTATTACCTGTAATCCTTATAAGACATATAGAAATAGATTTCACTAAAATCTATAGTGAAATTGGTTATCTATATATTGCACTACGTTTTTGTTAATTAATCATTATTTGCTTGATAACGATACCTGTATGAGTATTGAAACGTAGCATGTTAATAAAATTCAGAAGTAGTATATCCATATTAGTGTGTTTTTTTTTTTGTATTACCTGTTATTACCTGTTTAATGTTTATAGCTTGCAGATGTAGATACTGATATTAATGAAGACAAGTCGAAATCCATGACGATACCAAAAAATACAACAATGGCTTTCTCTATGATTGAATTATTAATCTCCTTAAAAGATGGTGCGTTTGAATTATTGCTATCACCTGATGATGATGGGGGTTTTACAGAACACGAAGTAGAGTCTATAGATGGAAATTTTAAAGGTACATTTACACAAAAATTCTGATTAAACATACTCAGTCATCTTTCGGTCCGGCATGCACACATGTCTTACACGAGTTGGTAAATGTCTGACCAGAAATATGTCAAATTGGACATCAAATTATGGTGAATCATATTCAAAATAATATTTACTGTTGTGAGGGTACATATAAAGTTGTTTATTACAGATTTCAATACAATAAACATGATATGGGTACCATTAACTAATACTAATCTTCATTATAGTTGATAATAGGTGGGGTTGATTATAGTTGATAATAGGTGGGGTTGATTATAGTTTATAATAGGTGGGGTTGATTATAGGTGGGATTGATTATGGTTGATAATAGGTGGGGTTGATTATAGTTGATAATAGGTGGGGTTGATTATAGTTGATAATAGGTGGGTTTGATTATAGGTGGGATTGATTATAGTTGATAATAGGTGGCGTTGATTATGGTTGATAATAGGTGGGGTTGATTATAGGTGGGATTGATGAAGTGCAATCTGATTAAAATACAGATCTATATTTCATTTCGTTTTTTTTTATACTTTCACTACATGAAGATCTGACAAGTTATAGCGATAGGTCACGTCAGGGGTCAAAAGACCGACTTATGACCCTATGATGTCAGACATTTGATTAACCAATCAGCATTGATGTTACTAGTGGATTACAGACCATTTCATTGGCTTATCCCTGACACCATTCAGAACATGAGTTAAACAACAACTCTTCCAGCTCCAAGTGTATAAAGACAAGTAAAACCAAATTTTGAACTATAAAAACGAAACGAAATAGGATCTGTGTTTTAACCAGATTGGATTAAGTGATCAACCCTCTTATAAGAGATTGACTACTTATTCTGCCTTGATTGACTACTTAATCTGCCTTGATTGACTTCCTTAATCTGCCTTGATTGACTTCCTTAATCTGCCTTGATTGACTTCCTTAATCTGCCTTGACCTCCTTTATATCCTAATCCTACAAAAACAATTTAATTCCTTTAATGTCAGATGATCCGCCCTCTCTTCTCATGACAGCGATTTTATAGGTGTGTTTTAATGTGACTTTTTGATATCCAAGGACTTTTTATACGCCCACATTTTCAGATCGAAACTTCATGGATTTTGGCCCCTGTTTGTATGAAAAATCACGTTTTTAGCTTGTGGACTCTATAGAGGTCCCAATTTTTATACGCCCACATTGAAATGTGGTCGTATATTGTTGTCGCTCTGTCTGTCGGTCAGTACACAGTGTTTAGGGTCATGAGACGAAGAAGCCTATTAATTTTCAGCGATTTTCGATAATTACTGTCAGAGTTATGGCCCTTGATCACTTCAAAAAATCTTGTGGACGCTCTTAGAGGTCAAAGTTAATATTTGATTAACTTTAAATTTATACACAGTGTTTAAGGTCATGAGACAAAGAAGCCTACTGATTTTCAACGATTTTCGATAATTACTGCCAGAGTTATGGCCCTTGATCACATCAAAAAATCTTGTGGACGCTCTAGAGGTCAAAGTTAATATCCGATTGACTTTAAATTTATACACAGTGTATAAGGTCATGAGACGAAGAAGCCGATTGATTTTCAGCGATTTCTGATAATTACTGCCAGAGTTATGGCCCTTGATCACTTTGATAAATCTTGTGGACGCTCTAGAGGCTAAAGTTAATATCTGATTGACTTTAAATGTATACACACGGTTTAAGGTCAGCGATTTCCGATAATTACTGCCAGAGTTATGGCCCTTGATCACTTTGAAAAATCTTGTCGACTCTCTAGAGGCTAAAGTTAATATCCGATTGGCTTTAAATTGATACACAGTGTTTAAGCTCATGAGACGAAGAAGCTTATTGATTTTCAGCGATTTCTGATAATTTTTGCCAGAGTTTTGGCCCTTGATCACTTGTGGACGCTCTAGAGGCTAAAGTTAATATCCGATTGACTTTAAATTTATATACAGTGTTGAAGACCATGAGACGAAGAAGCGATTTCTGATAATTTTTGCCAGAGTTATGTCCCTTGATCACTTTGAAAAATCTTGTGGACGCTCTAGAGGCTAAAGTTAATATTCGATTGACTTTAAATTTATACACAGTGTTTAAGATCTTGAGACGAACAAGTATATTGATTTTCAAGAATCTTTATGACTTGAACAGGTAAATCCATGATGTTAAAAGTTTTGTATACTAAACGTTAGCATGGGGCAGAACTTTGTAAAAACCAAACAAATTCTAATGGTTTTCTGATAATTACTTAATTAGTTGTTACTCTTTATCAGATTTTAATGTATTATAAATGTTTCATTACCGAAAAAAGTAAAAATATGTGACAACTCTTGTTGACTGCCCGGACGATATAGCTGCTGTGGGCGTATATGTTTCGTTGCCTGGCAACCTATCTTTATCCGATTTTGTTGAAACTTGAAATATAAGTTTATAACCCAAAGATCTCAGTTCCTTTCAATATTCGCGCATATCGGACCGTAACTTCCAGAATTATGGCCCCTGATTGTACGAAAAATCATGTTTTTAGCTTGTGGACCCTATAGAGGTCATAAATTTTATCCGATTTAAAAAACGTATTATTATATCACTGTTACACCCTAAGGACGGCAGTTCGACTGAGTTCGAATTTATTGAAAATCGGCCCAAAACTGACAGGCAAAATGGCTGCTCCTCGTTCTCAAATAGCGTAAAAATATGGTATATCAAGGTTGTGGACCCTATAGAGGTCACAATTTTTATCTGGTTTTGTTGAAACTTGAAATGTAAGTTTATAACCCAAAGATCTTGGTTCCTTTCGATATTTGCGCATATCGAATTGTAATTTCCTAATTATGGCCCTTGATTGTAGGAAAAATCACTTTCTTTTTAGCTTGTTCTCTATCCATCTCTCGAAAATGTTGGCATATCCTGCCTGGCAGCCGCTGGTTTATTTTGTGTTTTTACCAATTTTGCATTTTTTTTTTTTTGAATTGTTTGTTTATTTGTGTTTTTCTGAGTATGATGTCTTGTCCATGTATTTGTTTTTGTGTAAATTATGTGTGGTGCATTCCCCCTGCACTTACTATTTAGTATAAATAATTTAATTAAATCAACCTATCCATAATATATTTATTGTATTGGACGTTAAACCTGTTATAAACAACAACAAAGTTCAAACCATTTAAAGACATCTTACTTGTTGATTAGGAAATTAATCATTCAGATAACCATCAAATTGATTAGTACAAGCTCGATAATTATTCATAAAATGTCCAGTAAGTACTCACATTCCAAATTATTTTCTATAATCTCATAAATTAAATGTCACTGATGTCAATCGAAATCACACAAGCTATAATCCCGGAAATTAAATGTTGCTGATGTCGATCGGAATCACACAAGAAAATGGCACTTTCTCACTATTCTGTACCCAAATGTAGCAATCTGATTAAAACACAGATCCTATTTCATTTCGTTTTTATAGTTCAAAATTTCGATTTTACTTGTCTTTACTACACTTGGATCTGGAAGTGTTGTTATTTAACTCGTGTTCTGCTTGAAATGAGGGGTCAGCCAATCAAATGGTCTGTCGAATCGAGGGTTTGACCTTTTTTGCGCGGAACTGTGGGTAGACATTAGCGGCAATAGAAATCAAAACAAAGCAAAAGTAGATAAAAAATACATGGCGGTCGCTAATTGGTTAATCGAATGACTGACGTAATCTGGTCAAATGTCGCTTGCTTGGTACCTGACGTCATAGAACGTGAACTCCCACTATAACTTGTTAGATCTACATGTAGTGTAGGCCATCGAAAGTATAAAAAACGAAACGAAATATAGATCTTTATTTTAATTAGATTGCCAAACGTAGTTAAATGGCTTAATTTGGTGTGAAATACATCTCAGTTGTCACAGGCACGAGTAACAATACACAGAAGTCAACCATGTGTTTTTAAGAGTAATTAAGCTATCGATATAATTTTGAAATGCCCAGTTATAAATAAAACAAACAACGTTTCGCTTTCATTTTCTATCGTATTAACGAAGACACATAATTATTGAGGACTATTACTGCCAAGTTTGGTTATAAAATGGCTGTTTTTGCTACTTTGCCGCAGATGTTTTTCCAGGAAGCTTGTACATGAGATAAAGGAATATCTTGTCTCATTTTTAGAGATGTATTTAATTAAAGGATTATTATTATTATTATTATTACAGAACGTGGAACAAAAGATCTGTTTAATGTGATAAGGAGTACAGATAAAACAAAACAAGCTTTATTGGCCGTTCAACAATTATTAGAACAACCAAAATCTATAAAACCTCTTAATGAACTGGTAGGTATTAGAAATTCTTTCTACAAAAACTCTTAATTTCCATGTATCCGTACATTGACCTAGAACTGCAACATTTTTACTTATAAATACACCTACAGTGTACAGTCTTACTAATCACAGCCTCAGCCTTATTTTCTTTCCATCCTCAGTCCAACCGTTGCAGATTCCTTATAATTTGTCCATCATCAGGGTAATTGTCAGTCATTGTTTATAAACAGTGAATGCACTAAACAACGTTGGTAGATCACAGTTGATTAAAGATAAACACTCTGTGTTGAATATAGTTTAATACAAGATAATTAATAAAATAGAAAAGAAAACTTGCTGAACTTCTCCCTTTCCCCCAAAATACAACTTGTATTGTTTCATCAGTTTACCTTACTTACGATTTGTTTTGGGTTTTTTTATCTTCGCTTTACAGTATAATTACGAAGAGAAAACAAAATTCGTAAATTTGACTATACACCTTTATTTATTTCAGTTCCGTGAGGTTGAAGTGAGTCTTGATTTAGATATTCCACGAATGTACACCATGGAAGATCTTCAACAGGATTTTAATCTGGATCCAAATCACACTTGTCTCCCATTTCTCAATATTGCTGATTTTGTTGTCACTGTAAGTTTGTCATCTATTCTATAAATCCTGACATTATGGCACTAAATTTTCCCTGTTCCTACAAATGATGGGGATTTGACTAGAATGACTCGGGGTGGACCAAGAAGAACCTTGAGATTTTACAAGATCTGTTCTCACTTGGCAGTGTGTGTGTGGGGGGGTGCCTGCGGGGCTGACAGTGTGTGTGTGTGTGGGGGGGCCTGCAGGGCAGACAGTGTATGTGTGGGGGTGCCTGCGGGGCTGACAGTGTGGGGGGGGGGGGTGCCTGCGGGGCTGACAGTGTGTGTGTGTGTGGGGGCCTGCTGGGCTTACAGTGTGTGTGTGGGAGGTGGGAGCTGCGGGGCTGACAAAGAAACCGTGTGTGGTTATTCCCTTGGCAGTTGTAATTTGATGAAAAGTAGGTTGAATTGCCTGTATTTAAATTATTTCAGGATGAAAGTATAACTATACCAGATAGTTCATCAAGTGGTGTATTTGATGCATTTCATCTATTGTTAACATTATTAGATGAGTTAGATGATGGTGTTATTACACAGTTATCTCTAGCTTTAATGGTTACCGAAACAACGAGAAAAATATTACCTATTGTACGTATTACACCTTTATGACAATATCAACACAAATCTTTTTTTTGCTTAAATCATTTTTTTTGTATATTCCAATGGTGTCCTCCCCTTCTCTAATCAGATTAATATTGTATGTTTTCATATGCACCCACTGAAATGTAGTCGTATATTGCTGCCATCTGTAATTTATTGTGAACACCTACAGTCTTCTCAAGTTATCACCCTATATGCTTGAAAGTTATATGCATTGTTCACATTAGTGAAATGAAGAAGCCTATTGAATTCCAGTTAATTATTATTAGAGTTACGGCCCTTCTTTGAGTTGTAACATTTGTGAACATTCCATTCCGCTTGACATTTATATGCTTAATAAAATGTGCCTGTGCAACCTCGTGGGTTTTCTCCAGGTCCTCTCGCTGCTAAAAAACCCTAAGCACAAGCGAATTATTGAAATAAAATTAAACCATATGTTAGTCCCAAAATGACCTAGTCTATGTCGAGTGGACGTTAAACCCCATTTCTCTCTTTCTCTTAATAAAATGAAGAAGACTTGATTTTAAACAATTAAGATTAATTACTTGTCCCTCTTCACTACGTAATTAAAAATCTTATGAACACTCTAGTGACACAAGTTATCATCTTAGCTGCTTGAAAGTTATTGTTCCGTGTTTTTGAAAGCTTATTTAAATGGTTCTATCAGTACTACTAAGAAGGTAAAATATCTGTGAGGAGCATCCGGTAAATTAATACAATTGCTTTCCCTTGTCTGATTAACTTTGAGTGGTGAAATGGCACTTGATCAATCAAGTACAGTGATCTCTATCTCATAGTATAAAAATAATAACATGAAATTAATTATTATTTCATATTTTAGTTGAAGAAATTGGTTGACAGTAAAGAAACAGTGAAGTTGACAAAAGAAGAAGTCGAGAACATTACAGCCATACCAATAGATTCACTCTTGACAGCCCTCAACATTAAAATTCAAAATGATAGTCTGGATGTTCCTACTGATAGTAGACTAGATTTACATGCTACTTATCAAATTCTTGATGCTCTTCTGGGTTAAAGCCAAAAGCTTACAATGCTCATGCTTTGAAACTGAAATATGCAAGCATAGCGGTACACATGAGACTTATCATGTGTATATATTGTTACTAGGACTTGACCAAATCATCATCACTATCAATCTGTAGCAAATATTTATAGTTCATTTTTGAAAAATATTTGTTACATTTTGCGTACATTCTGCTCTTTGAAGCATTTCCTGTCTATTAATGACAATAGTATCAGGGGTTTTATTCTTTTTAATATTCAGAGGGTGTCAATTTCTTTGTGAGCTAAATAAATTTAAAAAGTTTCACAGTAGTGAATGCATACCAGTGTCAAATTAAAAAAAAAATAAATCCATTATTTTCACTGTAAAGAATATTCGTGTTTTAGGATAATGAAAACATTTGTTTGTCAGCGTTTATTTGACTATTTGTACTTAGATTATTTCCGATATATAAACTTTTGTTGGAGTATCTTTCCCGTAATCACGAAACGCTTGAAAAGTAATATGCATGTATTTGAAAAGTAATTTTATAATTATTTTTATGATTTAGTATTAATTCATATCTATGCATGTTATATTTATTTTCGTAGTTCTATTTATGGAAGATCACAAGAATAGCTTTTTTTTTAAAAAATTATTCCTTTACTTAAAGACATATTGTCAAATGTGGTGAATTTAAGATCTACTTAAAAGGGGCATTACTTCACGGCTAATTCCTGGCTTTACAATACAATGACAATAATAACTGTGGTTTTCAGGAAAAACCTGCAAATAACATGCTTAAAGATTGAGAGTTCACCATTGAGAGCTCACAACATCAAATAACATGTTTAAACATTGAGAACTCACAACATCAAATAACATGTTTAAACATTGGGAGCTTTTGTCAAATTGTATTGTTTAATACAACTGTAATATGTGACATGAATGTTTTTAAGATTTAGAAAGAAAGCATATGCATGTAGCTGCATTAAATGGCTGATCTTTACTAAGCCATTTCCATCTTTCTTTCAAGTTTACCAAATAGTTTTTTGGGTTTTTTCTAAGAGAATAATATTAATCCTGTATTTTTTTTTTATATGTTTTATGACCTGTAATCTCATTTCTGAAGTGAGTAATGCTGTTAAAGGTGAAATAACTCTTTCTAATTGTCCTTTGATCCATATTATCTCCCCTTAGACCACAGATATATATATATATATATATATTTTTAGAATTCAGTCAGTATTATGTGACACTGTATATGGAGTTTTTGTGAAGATATCTGTGTATATATGGTTGATTAAGAGTCAGTATGATCTAATAATGGCAGAACTGTACGTGATTTCCAGTATAATCAAACAACTTTTCTAATATTGTTAAAATTCATCTACTTAAATTATCCATTGTTTAACATTTAATTAAACAAACAAAATCAAAATTTCAATGGTGGATAATCTCGCGGCTTGGATTCAATCGCATTAAAGTGAGGCTCATCAAAATTTTTTAGCAAATATTATAGGTCGCTTTTGACCATATCGTATCAGCCTATAGAAAATTCCATAAAATATTTTTTAAGACTTTAAATATGAAGACAGTTGATTGGCTGTTTAACCTCAATCAGTATCATATAGCAGTCACCGGTCCATAACATGTCTTTAGAAGTCAATGGATTGACAAATAAATTGAACAAAAATAGCATTTAGTTTTAGTCAAATTGTTACCTAAATATTTCTCGTTACCGGTAGTGCTCATTTACAAACTTTTTACCTTATTTTTTTGGAGTTTCATTTACATTTATTTATTTATTGTTTTGAACATAAATTTTGAATTCCATGTAATTTTTGATTTTTACAAATTTGTATTGTATTGTATTTTACAAATTTGTATTGTATTGTATTTTACAAATTTGTATTATATTGTATGTAGTTTATTGAAATTTGTAATTTATAATCTGTATAATGTCTGTTTTCATTTTGAAAGAATGCCCAAATGATGATGAACAAAATTTAAAACAGGAAAGATCCGCTCCCATTTGCTAATTCTCAATATTAGAAATCTTATGGAGTAAATAGCTGACAGTCTTTGTTGTTAATTCACATTTTCTAAGGCTTGATTACACCAAAATACTATCCAACATTTCCTAAGGCTTGATTACACCAAAATACTATCCAACATTTCCTAAGTCTTGATTACACCAAAATACTATCCAATATAAACTGCATTGATATATACCTATATATCTTAATGAGATTATTAGAATTTTACAGGTGAATTTTAAATATTCAACAATTTTATTCATACAACAAACCGGTAGGATGTGAATAGCTTTAATTTATATGATTTTATGTTGGTGAAGGAGTGAATCTCTTACTCAACAACATAAGTTGATGTCATAAAATCTGAGCAATTTTACTTTCTAGATGACCTGATATATTCATCACTCAATATCATTTTAAAGTTAAAAAAAAAGAAATATAACTGGAAATGTTAGCCAAAATCAAGTTTACTGGATATCTTAGTAAAAAACAATTTGAATGAATATCATCTAGGAGATTATTACACTGAATATGATTGGGTAATGAATATCATCTAGGAGATTATTACACTGAATATGATTGGGTAATAAATATCATCTAGGAGATTATAACAATGAATATGATTGGGTGATAAATGTATAATACCTATGATTATATTTTAAAATCAATTTCCTTTTTTTTTATTTACAATTTTTTCTATTTTTTATCACTGGTTATTTTGCTTATTGCATTTTTACTTCACACTCTTAATTGTATTTGTTCAATATTTCAATTCTATTTGTTCCGATACTTCAGCACTAATTGTTCAATTTTTCAACGCTATTTGTTCTATATTTTAGTGCTATTTGTTCAATATTTCAACACTACATGATCAATATTTCAGTGCTAATTGATCAATATTTCAACACTACATGTTTATGATTGTTTGTAACCTCCAATAATAAGACTAGCGAAACTTGTGACATGGATAATGAAATGTTTATATTGTTTAAAGTTACATTAATATCACATCTTTCTCAGTTTTGTTTTGTTGCTAGAGAATTAGTTAATGTGAGCATGTTGCGATATTTAATATTTGGCTTTATATTTAGTTGTAGGATTACCTATACCGACAAGAGGCTTCTCATATTTTTTATATTTTCACTCAGCTATCAGGTCTCTTTTATAATAAAAATATTGCACCAGCAGAATTCATTGTTTCATTTGACTCTTTCAACTCCCTCTCTGTAGTTGAAATCAAAAAATACGAGGAATTCATTACAATGGTATCTAAACATTATTTATTGTACTTGAAATTTATTTTGGACACCACTGTTTTGTAGCGAGGAGATGAATAGCTTATATAGTGGCATACTGTGGCCTCCGTTGGATAGGTTAGTGTGTCTGAGATCCTTGTATAGCATTTTGACTCCTGGGATGATTTTTATAACCACATTGAATGTGGTTGTATATTGTCGTCTGTCCGTCCGGCATCCACAATTGCTTGTTAAGGCTCTAGAGACTAAAGTTTATATCCGATTGTCATTAAATTCATACACAGTTTTTTAGGTCATGAGGCGAAGAAGCCTATTGATTTTCAGCGATAATTACTGCAAGAGTTATGGCCCTTGATCACTTTGAAGTATCTTGTGGACGCTATTGAGGGAAAAGTTAATATCCGATTGACTTTAAATTTATGCACAGTGTTTAAGGTCATGGGACGAAGACGCCTATTGATATTTAACGATATCTGATAATTACAGCAAGAGTTATGGTCCTTGATCACTTTGAACTATCTTGTGGATACTCTGGAGATAAAGATAATATCCAATTGACTTTAAATATATACGCACTGTTTAAGGTCATGAGACGAAGAAGCCTATTGATTTTCAACTATTTCCGATAATTACTGCCAGAGTTATGGCCCTTGATAACTTGGAAAAATCTTGTGGGCCCTCTAGAGGTTAAAGTTAATATAAATTGCTTAGGGTCATGAGACAAATAATTGAAACAAATTCTCCTCTTATTTTCATGTATTGTAAATGTTGTCATTACTGACAAGAAAAATATCTACATCAACACGTGTTGACTACCCAGACGACTTAGCTGCTGTAGGCGTATTTTTGTTGCCTGGCAACCTATCTTGGGTTCTCTTATTGGATACAAAGATAGAATGCACCACCTGGTATCCAGTCAGATTGTCCAACCAATCACTGATGTGCAAATAGCCTATCACAGAACAGGTTTTCATTTGCAATTCTTATTCATAATCTTATCCTAATGCACACGTACCTTGTATCGCCAGCCTTTTTATACACCCGCATGTACCCTTTTGTTATATACCCTTTTGTTATATGTCTACATTGAAATGTGGTCATATATTGCTATCGGTCTTATTCAGTCCACAGTTTTACACAGTGTTTGCGGTCAGAAGCATATTGATTTTCAACAATTTCCGATTATTACTGTCAGAGTTATGGCCCTTGATCATTCTCAAAAATCTTGTGGCCGCTCTAGAGGCTGAGGTTAATATCCGATTGATTTCAAATTTATACACAGTGTTTACGGTTATGAGACGAAGAACTATTGATTTTCAACAATTTGCAATAATTACTGGCAGGGTTATGGCCCTTGATTATTTTGAAAATTCTTGTGGATGCTCTGGAGACTAAAGTTAATATTCGAATGATACAGATGGTACGAAAAACTGAGGTCCCGTGTACACATTGCCGTGCACATAAAAAGTCCCTTGTCCAGGCAAAATCCCCTCATAGCACACTGTATAGCGTATGCCCGTCTTCATTAGACCATTTCATGGCATACTAGTAGGACGTTCAACCCCATTTCATTTCATTTCATTTCTGTGCAAGAGTTACGGCCCTTGATCCCTTTAAAATACCTTGTTGACACTCTAGAGAATAAAGTTTATATCAGAATGACTTTATACACAGTGTTTCAGGTCAAGAAACGAGAAGCCTATTGATCCAACATGTTTATACTAAACTATTCCTCAGTTAAGTATCAAAATAACCAGCATACTTTCTATATTTTTGGTTATGAACTTAGAATCAATAATTTGCAAAGATAACAATATTGTTTAAGCCCAATCTGATTAAAATACAGATCTATATTTCGTTTCGTTTTTTTTTTATACTTTCTATGGCCTACACTACATGAAGATCTGACCGGTTGTCGCGATATAGGTCATGTCAAGAGGTCACACGAGCGGCCTTTGACATTATGACGTCAGACATTTGATTAACCAATCAGCATTGACGTTACTAGTGGATTACCCACAGTTCCGTGCAAAACACGCCTAAAGCTCACCTTAACAGACTGTTTCATTGGCTTATACCTCACACCATTCAGAACATGTCAATGATAACAGATCCTAGTGTAGTAAAGACAAGTAAAACGAAATTTTGAACTACAAAAGCGAAACGAAATAGGATCTGTGTTGTAACCAGATTGGTTTAAGCCATCATATTTCTCCATTCATTGTCTATGAATTTGAAAACAATGTGGCAAGGACAATACTGTTACAATTTACCAGTGGATGGAAACTCACAAGATAATCAGACCACCCTACCTCACTCATAATGCATTCAAGGTGCATGAATTAACACACTTTTCTAGCAACCCACCTAATTATAAAGGTGTGACTCAGCTATTAACCACCTCCTAATTATAAAGGTGTGACTCGACCATCCCCTACCTCTAATCATAAAGGTGTGTCTCAACCACCCCTAACTCTAATTATAAAGGTGTGACTCGACCATCCCCTACCTCTAATCATAAAGGTGTGTCTCAACCACCCCTAACTCTAATTATAAAGGTGTGACTCGACCATCCCCTGCCTCTAATCATAAAGGTGTGTCTCAACCACCACTAACTCTAATTATAAAGGTGTGACTCGGCCATCCCCTACCTCTAATCATAAAGGTGTGTCTCAACCACCCCCTACCTCTAATTATAAAGGTGTGACTCGACCACACCCTACCTCTAATCATAAAGGTGTGTCTTAACCACCCCCTACCTCTAATTATAAAGGTGTGACTCAACCACCCCTAACTCTAATTATAAAGTGTGACTCGACCACCCCTACCTCTAATCATAAAGGTGTGTCTCAACCACCCACCTGCCCCTAATCATAAAGGTGTGACTCGACCACCCACCGGCCCCTAATTATAAAGGTTTGACGCTGCCACCCACCGCCTCCCAGTTATAAAGGTGTGACTCTACCACCCACCTGCCCCTAATCATAAAGGTGTTACTCGACCACCCACTGGCCCCTAATTATAAAGATGTGACTTGGCCACCCACCGCCTCCTAATTATAATGACTCGGCCAATCACCTGCCCCAAATTGTACAGGATGAATTAACACAATCTTCTAGGCCACCATCCCAAACTTAGGCTGCCTATCTACAGCTAGCTCCGGCTGAGAATAGGCCCTAAGCTAATTACCTGACATTTTAATTCCTACATCGACGATTTAAGTCGAAAACACTGAGTATGCTTTTAGAAATTTTTAGAAGTATTTATTTCTCTTCTATTGTCATATTGAATGAAATTAAATATGTTTATTTAGCCGTCGTGTGTATGAAAGATGTCAAACTAATCACAAAAAAGTTCCCTAATTATTCAATATGGCGGCGCCTATGACAGATAATTTCACAGAGACGGTTTTGTTTGCGAAAACAAATTTAGGAGTATCTAACCTTGTTTTGAAAGATAAACAGATTGAAACTCTAAAGACAGTTTACAATGGTAAAGAATTTATTGCAATATTACCCATAGCACATATTATATATCGCTTTTACGCGAGTGTCAGCGGCATGGCGTGTTTACATAAAACACACGTGGGTGGGTTATTTTTACTCTGTTGTCTAAACAAAACGGTGTCTCGTCGATAAGTCCCGCCCCAAAATGATCACGTGTGCGTTTAAAATGGAGGCTAACAAGGGCAGTGTCACATTCTGGGAAGAATGACGTAGATGGGTCGCTGCGTGCAGTATGCTAGGCCACCTACCTAATTATAAAGGTTCAACTCGACCACCTGCCGCCTCCTAATTATAAAGGTGTGACTCTACCACCCACCTGCCTCTAATTATAAAGGCTCAACTCGGCCATCCAGCCCCTCTAATTATAAAGGGTGTGGCTCGACCATCCAGCGTCTCTAATTATAAAGGCTCAACTCAACCATCCAGCATCTCTAATTATAAAGGGTGTGGCTCGACCATCCAGCGTCTCTAATTATAAAGGGTGTGGCTCGACCATCCAGCGTCTCTAATTATAAAGGGTGTGGCTCGACCATCCAGCGTTTCTAATTATAAAGGGTGTGGCTAGACCATCCAGCACCTCTAATTATAAAAGGTGTGGATCGACCATCCAGCGTCTCTAATTATAAAGGGTGTGGGTCGACCATCCAGCGTCTCCTAATTATAAAGGGTGTGGGTCAACCATCCAGCATCTCCTAATTATAAAGGGTGTGGTGTGATGTATTAAATAAAGAAAGCAATTTAAATAGATAATATATTTATTTTTTTCACTAATTAGCACTTTGAATCATAATTTAAGTTTTTACAGAATCAGCACTTTGAATCATAAGTAGATATATTTATAGAACATCCCTTTTACCAACAAAATATACTTCCACTACCTTGGTCAAATAAACCATATATATAATAACTGTCAAATATAATTAACACATCTGTTTCTAATAATTAAACAATATGTACTCTTAAGCCAGAATAACCCTAAAACAAAGATTTCTGTAGCTTCCTTTCAGAATGTCTACATCTGGATACTATTTTTAATTCAAACATTAACATTAACAAAAATATTCATTTACAATTTCATCAATCTGGACATTGTGTTTACGATTTGCCATTTACTGAGCTCAATTCATATATACGACAGATTGAAAGAAAGAAACACATGTTGATAAGTTTCCTCATGTTTTTCAACCGGCACTATTTATTTGTGTTAATTGGTAAATTGAATACTTTATTACAAAGATATGTATTGATAATCTGTTAATATTTTTATTGATATAAATAAAATATTAGATTAAAAGAAATCGAATCATGATTTTGTTGACATAAAATTGACACATAACCCAAATTACAAATGTGTTTTATAATAATCAGATGAAACAAATATTGTGCATAATTTGTGATTCCCAATAATATAAATGATTTAAGCAAATCACACCCTTTCTATCTGGGTTGGTTAATATGCATATTGATTTGAGGATTGGGGGCTCGTCTTTCATGCGTTGGTTGCTTTGGTTCGTGAACATGTTTAATGTGTTCACCATGTTGAGGAGTATTATATCCCTGAAAGAAACGAAATATACATCAACAAAATGTAGTCTACTGTACCTATTGGCACCTGACCAGTGGTAAGTTGGTAATGGAGGCAGGAGCTCTAGCCTCTCAGGGAGCCACTGTGGGTAAGACGCTGTCTCTCTGCCTGAGTTTGATCCCTGCATTGGCCGAGAACATTCATCAGGCTTTTCCGACGTGGTTTCCCCTTGTCAGTGGTGCAGGACAGAGGGCCTGACAAGAACAGCTGTCTAATCGTTCGGATGGGATGGAAAACCAAGGTCCCGTGTTTACATTGGCGTGCACGTAAAAGATCCTTTGGCAGTTGGAATTCGATATAAAAGTAGGCCATAATTTAAGATACCTGAAAACGGTTTAATCCATTTTTGACTGATTTTCTACTGTTTAGAAATTGGCATGATGGTAAATTTGTGCAGAATTTCTTAAAAGATATTTGTTAATATAGATTTCTTGAAGATATGAGCTGAGGAAGATCATTGAACATAAAATGAACAAAAGTCAATGTAATAGTTTTATACATGATTTTTCGGCCTTGCTAAAATAGAGGGGGATTATTGTCCAATGAGAATCAAGGAAATTATTTAATTTGTGTTACAATCTTACTTACCTTGGTAACAACACCATCTAAATCTGTATTGGGTTGCGTACTGAAACATGAAAAATATACAAGTCAATAAACACAATCATTAACTCCCCAACATCCTAGAATAAAGGCAAACATATGACAACAGCAGGTAAATCTTCCAAGTGGTCAACAAGGCTTGTCGCATATCTATTCTTTGTAGATAATATTGGCATTTAAAAGACAATTTTATACAGATCAGCTTTTGATATTCATTGTTTGATGGTTAACAAGGTTCTACAAACTGAAACAAGGGCCTTAACTCTGGAAGTAATTTACAGAATTTGTTAATGTCAACAGACTTTTAAGTATTACTAATTCAAATAATGCATATATAAATTTTAAACAGACCGGATGATAACATTTGTTGTTCGAGTGTTCAACAAAGTAAACAAGGGCCATAACTCTTGAAGTAATTGACAGAAATTGCTGAAATTCAATCAGATTCTTCATTTCGCTAATTTAAATGATGCATTTAAGTTTCATACAGATCGGATAATAACTTTTGTCGTTCAAGCGTTCACAAGGTTCAACAAAGTGAAACAAGGGTCATAACATAAATTTCTGAAATTCAATAAGCTTCTTTGTTTCACTAATTTAAATGATGCATATAAATTTCATACAGATCGGATGATGACTTTTGTTGTTAAAGCATTTACAAAGTGAAACAAAGTGAAACAAGGGCCATAACTCTAAGACCTAATTTATAATTTTATGAAAGCTTCTAGTGAATTTTATGATTTTTATGATATTTTTCCATCAAATAGCGCTGGTACATGTAGTATTAATGGTCGCAGTCATCTCCTATATTCATATACCTACATAACATTGAATGGATAGAAAATGAAAGAAAGCAGCAAGCTGGGGGTTATAAAATGTCTGGATGATTTTCTTCTTTACATCCCGATTTATTAGTATAGAAATTCATTATTAGGAGTATTGATGAGAAATGGTGAAATTTTATATTTTTTATGACATTTTTTTCCATTTTATGATAATGTTATGAGAAATGATGAAAATATAAATGTTTTTATATTGTATGGTCCCTGTAAATGTAGTCTGTAGATTGTTCACAAGAAATTGTAGACGACGGACAGACGAGGGTGACGACAATATACAAACAACTTTTCATGTGGCCGTATAAAAACATTCTGGATCAACAGGCCAGAACAATTGTACAATGCACAGGTTTTCATCATAAACAGTTAAAAGTACTTTCATTAAAAAACATTTTGTCTGATTAAACAATTATTTTAATCAATCACTTCGATCAACAACCTTCCCTGATTTGTGAGATGTGATCAATCTGGTTTGTTGTGCCTTCTCATCCACCACAATTAGGTGATTATATTTTCATCATTCTGGTCAAGAATATTATTATAAATTGTTGCATAAAAAACTCACTTTAAAAAGCTAGTCGAATTTGGTTGAATAGATTTTTTTTCCGAGTCGTCATCTTGTGCTGCACCCTCATGGTGAGTTTTGGTTGTCTTAGCAACCCTCATTCCTCCCACTTTAACTGTCAAATATTCAAAACGTGTTTATTAATAATCTTGTTTAACATGTTATAAAGTGACAGTTACACATGATTATTCAATTTTTACAGTAATTCCTTTAAACAAATATTTTAGATAAGTCAACAGTAAAGCTGATGTCCTCCGATGAAATTCCAAAATAAATAGATGACACATATTAATTAATTGCACATTTATCTTTTTCAAAAGTATCGTGCAATCAAATTGATTATAAACTATACACTAAGTTTCATCACTCTCTATCAGATAGAATCAAAATCGAAGAAATTACTTAGCACTGCTTAGCTTTAGCGGGAAATGTTAATCATTGAACTCAGTCAAGACATTCACCTAATTAACATCTACATCAAGTTTAAACATTCTACCTCAATTAAAAGCAGAGTTGTTATGTTCCAAAGTCTTGACCTATCAAATTACTTATCGCTCCTTAGCCTAAGCAGAAAATTCTCATCATCGATTTTAGTCACTTAAATCATAACCAAAGTTATCGTGGCCAAAAGCTTCAACCAATCAAATTAATTATCTCTGCTTACCGTAAGCAGACAATGTTCATTATTGAACTCCATCAATGCAATCACCTAATGAACGCCTACACCAAGTTTGAACATTCTACCTCAATTGGAAGGTGAGCTATTGTGTTCCAAAGTCTCGACCAATCAAATTGCTTATCGTTCGGCTTACCCTCTGTAGAAAATGTTCATTGTCGAATGGATGTGATGAAACTATAGACAAACCCATTTTAATAGTCCCCTGTTTTCTTCGAAAGGTGGGGGGCAAAAATTTATAAAGTGACCCTGGGGTTAACTGACCAACAGTTTATGGTCGATAAATAACTGGAACATAAAACATACTTTCACATTCCTTTTTCACAATTTTACAAGTGTATTACTTGAGTTTGGAGCTCTAGACACGATCTGTAAATACAATGGATTTAGACCAGATCTTGCCGGTAAATATCCACTGTTGCACAAATCATAAACATGTACATGCCTTCTTGTAGCAAGGTTAATGTGACACTAAACAAAGCAATAAGTTTTGTTTTGTTTTGATTAACATGTCCACCCCCCCCCCCCCCCCACCCGATAAGAATATAGCCTACTACTATAATAATATTACAAGACTGTCTATATATATATCACTATAATATCAACAATTTTCAGGACAGGAAGTTGTTAAATTGTTTTAATGATAAACAGGTTTAATACGCTGAATTACACAAATATAACCCATTATATAGCCACATCCAACTAGTCTGTTGGCAATACAAATACATAAACAATGAGTCATCCGTCTAATTGTTCAAGGCTATATATACATATATAACCTACTATAAAACATGGCATATGGTATATCAATTCACATACTCCAACATAGTTACAATATTTGTTACTTATAGATCAGCATTTTAATATATTACCAGTTCTAGCTTTTATTGAAAACTTATCAATTTATTTATTAGTTAATTTCATGGTTACTTATAACACAGAATATACTAGAATATTCGACTGACCTAAATACAAATTATTTTGTCATGAGAGACTATATTAATATTGTGTCCAATTATGATGATTATGGGCAGCTCCAAGTTGGCGATCTGGTTAGATCAAAACAATACAAATAAATAAATAATCTAGCACACTCATCATTATATTTTATTTCCTAATGAATGTACTGATTAACGTGTCGTCTTTCTTCGTCTTATTAAAATATGTGCTGTCGTGGACCTCTTAAACCGATTCGCATTACAATACGTAGCTTTTACCTACGGCTCCAGTACTAAAAGGTGAACATTCTGATATGAACCGAGACAGTGTATGTTGTAACAAATTTATGCATTCAAATAAAAGCTTTTCAAATTAATACCTGCAGGCGGATGCCCAGCTTTTAATTCTGTTTCGTCTGTACTTGACATACTTGCAATTTTCTCAACTGGCTGATATTTTAACAAATCTACAGCGTGGTTTCTGTATGAAATTCACCATTCGAAGCTGTGGTCTACGTCATACAAACTGGGTTGTCACGTGTTTCTAGACAAGATACTACGGTAAATTTCCACCAATAATAAATAAACTGCGTATGCAGTAACCTTGTTTGTTTCACTTGCAGGAAAATTAATCAGTACCGTATGTATGTATATTGAAACGTTGTTTTTTTCCAGACAACTAGTATCATTATGTAGAGCATTCGTTGTAAAACTAATTCGGAGAGATTTTCATTTAACAATTTTTGCGTATTTTTGAAACAAGCTCCGAAGCGTTTTGGTTCTGTTATGCAAGATCATTTTCGACGTTCCAAAGTAAAAGTTTGGTGCTAAGACCAACTAGAGATAAATTTTAAATGTTCCTATTATTAATTAGAACAGGTTTCGCTTTAGTTTTTATATTTTACGCCGACATTTATTACTTTAAATCTTCCTAGTGCTAAAACGGAAAATGTGACCTTTTGACCTCTGGGGTCACAAAGAACAAAGGTGAATTTAGCAAGTTTACATTTTTATTGAAAGTGTGATTACTTTCGATCATTTTCAGCTTATTTTCATGATACAAGAATGATTGCGCATTCACTTGCAGTGCAAATGAAATTATTTGACCCCGAATATCTCGAAAACGCCCCAACGGCGGACTGATTACACTGATCTATATAATAACACTGATTACCACTCGGCATCATATTCTACGCAAAATTTTACTCTAGAAAAGTTGGGCCTGGTTTTGTGCCCATTTGATGGACACCCCCCGCGCTGAGCCTCCAGACTATTACCTTCTACCACGGTGTTTCCGTTCATGAGACGAAGAATCCTATTGATTTTAAATGATTTCAGATAGTTGTTGTCAGAGTAATGACCTTCGATTACTTTGAAATATCTGTGGACGCTCTCGAGGTTAAAGTTAATATCCGATTGAATTTAAAAATTTTCACAGTGCCAAATATCATGTGAAAAAATCCTATTGATTTTCAACGTTTTCCAATAACTATTAATAGACAAATCGCCCTTGATTACTTTGAAATCTCTTGTGGACGCGGTAGAAATATCCGATTGACTTTAGGTTTATACGCAGTGATTAAGGCCACGAGATCAATTTCTAGAGATTTTCAATGACGATTTTCAAAACATGATTTCCGATAAATCTGCCAGAATTATGACCCTGGATTACCTGAAAAATGTTGCAGGTGCTCTACGGACCAAAGTAATCATTCAGTAAGTGTTGACATGAGATTGATACTAGCGGTCTTGAGACAAACAAGTTATAATTCTGACAACTTGAACAGGTAAATCTTGGCTTTGTAAGCTAAACACCATGGGACAGAATTTTAATGATTGCCCATTTGTTACTTGATGGGTTGTTGCTCTTGTCAGATTTAAGTGTATTGCAAATGCTTCATTAGATTATACCGACAAATAGAGAAATATGCGACAACTCTTGTTGACTGCCCGGATGACATAGCTGCGGTATGTTTCGTTGCCTGACAATCTATCTTTATCATACGTAAACAGTCGCATGCTATATTGTTTTTTGTTTTAATTTTAATTATTAGCCTTTGTCATAAATGATGTTCATGCTTTTTTCTTTTTAAAATGTTTTGTTGATATTTGTATGCTGCCTCTTATGGGGGTGCTTAGATACAATAAAATCTATCTATGATAAGTATTTTTTTTTCTGAATTCATTTGTAGAATAATATGTAAGCATATTTGGTACTCTGTATAATATATTTATGGCCTACAAAGCTCAAACCTCAGAAATTTTTCTATGCGTCCTACAAGTACGGGCCCGACCGACCAAAAGCCGGAATACATCATATTTCACTTAATTTATAATCACCGGAATTGACTTGAAAACACCGGAATAATGACTATGGAAACACAAAATAACAATTAAAGTTGAAGACGCGTTTGCTTTGTGCCAAAGGGGGGGTGGGGGGTGGATGGCCCTCCGTCCTGCATCACTGACAAGGGGGGACCACGCCGGAGAATCCCAGTGAACTTTCTTGGCCAATGCAGCGATTGAACACCCAACCTCCAGACTAGCGAGCGCGTCTTACCCACTTAGCCACGTGATCCCCTATCCAGTTTCAAAGTAAATTCCGGTATTTTCAAGTTAATTCGAGTCCGGGAGCTCAGTGAGATTTAATCAAAATATTGAGTCCAAAAGGTTTGAGGTATACAACACATAATTCACCCCTCACCCCTAGATCATTTTGGAAAGGCAAGTCTTAAATTTTGTAACCTGTGCAAATACCTGGAAGCCCCCCTCCCCCCAAAAAAAATTAAAAAAAAATAAATGGGGGTTAAAATTCAATATTTTTCCACAATTATATACTTACAAACGTTTCATACTTAACACTAAGAAACAGAATGCAAAAAATGTTGTGCTAATGCTACTTTTAAAGAGCTTAATTTTAGCACTAATTGGTGACCGTAGCTAGCTAGCTAACCAAGCCAGAAAACCAAGCCAATATCACTAATAGCGAGAAAGGTTGAACAGACGTTGCTTAAGACTCGTTCAAAGGTGACAAAGGTCAAATTTTGGGTCACATAATGACGTTTGAGTGGATTATTTTTCTGGACAATTAAATAATAAATTAGTCAAGATAAAGATATATATGATTCCAAACATTTATGTTTTCTCCTGGGATATTTACAGGAATGTCTTCAAAAATCGATCGAAAATTATTCTGAGTGAAGACTAATATATGCCACCTTGGTGAAAACGGGTCGAAAGTTTTAACGTCCACTCGACACAAACTAGGTCATTTCGGGACTAAAATAATGGTTCAATTTTATTTCAATAATTCGCTCATGCACATGGCCGGGTCTTTAGCAGTGGGAGGAAACCGGAGGCGCCACAGAGAAAACCCACGAGGTTGACAGGCAACCCTACTCCTTGTCACGTACAACCGAGGAATGGAAACAAGACAATGACAGCCCCCCCCCCCTATATATTTAGACATAGTCGTATACATTTAATAATACATATAACATAGAAAACACATACATGTACACACAAGTAATACATTCACGTGATACTCTTGTTGGCTAATAGTCTTGTTTCATCAATTATCATTCTATTCCTAAATATTTCCAATTGTAAACTAGATTTACTGTGGACTGTGGAGTGAGGCACGGATTTTAGAACCATACTTTCAAATGATTAGGATTCTTAACAAACAATATTTATTATTCTTCGTTTATTATTTGTGTTCAAATTTAACAAACATTTAGCAGTAGGGAACATTTGACTTCCATAAGAATTAAAAAAAAAAAAACCAAAAAAACCAACGAAACAACCAAATATATATACTCTTCAAAAAAAAGTAGGGGATATTGAAATGCAAATACCTATGCAGGTTGTGATATGATAAATAGTCATGGACACTTGACATGCTTTGAGAGTATGTTCACAGATGAAGAACTCATCGCCCCGACAGAACCACTGAGCTGCACATGCGCCATACACGTGGGAGGGGTTCATTGTCAAATTTAACACTGCTGGTTTATCTATCCATGTTTGCTTTCCTATCGGTTCTTGCATAAGATTTACAGTTTAGCGTATCTTTGCTTTAGTGTGTTACGTTTAATTTGATCGAGAGACGTGTTCGTCGACGTCAACGTCAACCGACAACACTGCAAGAATTGACCCACACTGATCAGCAGTGAATATTCGCTAGGCCGCGACCATCACTGATAAGGATGACATCGATGCGACTTAATGAGCCACAAATATTAACTTTTTTCCTCCGACAAATTTAATTATAAGACATTTTTTGATGTATTAAAAAAAATAAATAAAGACGCTTGACGTACTTTTAGGTAAAAATTATTTCTTATTTATTGTAAATGGGTATTAAAATGAGTAAAAGGCTCCATTCCGCCCGAACCAGTAAGGTCTTATGTAAACAATGCACGCGACATTGAGCCAATGGTTGACGCCGCGTGATGAAAAGTCACGTGTTGAAGGTAGTCATCTTTTACAGAGATATTAGAAGACTTTCATATCCTCAGTGAAACAGATTGGAATTGACCGTGGCACTGCAAGAGGAGAGGGTCACATTGACCCAAATCGTGACTGGACGGTTGATTAGGAGCATGCCACGACGAATTGCTGAATGTCTGAGGATTGGTGGAGCAATTACTCATTATTAAGACAAAAATCAAAAACGTCCATTTTCACTTTTGACGGTGTTTCTCTTTGCGAGTGAAATGGGGCCGTCAGATAAGCCGCCCATATGAACTGTTTATGTTCATGTGTAGGCAATTGATCTGTTATTAACATACACTGGTTACCTCTAATAAAAACAGCAGTGCATTCCGCAGTTTTGTATTGTTTCTGAATATCCCCTACTTTTTTTGAAGAGTATATAATCAGTCATAATAAACGATTTCAACAAAAAATATAAACCGAAAATTGCAGCTTTTACTTGACAAGCTATAAAAGAAGATTGAAATAGGGTTACATCTAGAATACGCTTCTTAATTATATACTAATATTTCAATGACATCCAAAAACCAGACAGTTTTTATTACTGCCTTTGTCACAATTGGTGTAACACATTGTCTTCAAGTCCTCCACAGTTTTAAGGGACTCGGGGATAACAAGACAGTGTCGTTTGGTCTCTAGTTCTGCCACATGCTAATGTTTTAGTATATAAAACATTCAATATCGTGAATTTATCTGTGCACGTTATCGAAAATCGATGAAAATCAAAAGATTTTGTCGTCCAATTATCTTAAACACTGTGTATAAATTTGAAGTCGATCAGATATTAACTTTAGCCTCCAGGGGGTACACAAGATTTTTCAAAGAGATCAAGGGCCATAACGCGGGCAGTATTTATAAGAAATCATTGGTTGGAAATCAGTAGGATTCTTCATCTCATGACCTCTAATTAACACTGTGTATAAATTTAAAGTCAATTGGACATTAATCATTTTAAGAGGTAGGAGTTAGCCATTGTTTAACCATGCATTATGCAAGAGCTAAATCTGTCTATTGCATGTCTTTCTTTAGGCCTGAAATGTTATCCAAATTATTAATTAGACATTAATTAACCTATCCAGACCATAATCAACTCTAGATGGCATCGCTAGCCTGCGATCTTTAGTGGAATGTGAGCTGATTTACTGCAGAACTTTCCTTCACGATTTATCGTACTGACTTTAGTAACGATGATCAAATCGCTTTGTTCTCGGTTCATAGTGGATCAATTTGAAGGAAATTTTCAGCAAATTGCCTTTACATTATCTAGTTTTTAACTATTATAGTGAGAACTGCCAACTCGTTATCGAAACTCCCATAATGTATCTTTAACTTTAACCCTTAGGGCCCGATTGTGGTCGCTAACCGGAGTGGGGGGGGGGGGGGTCAATGACAATATATGACCACATTTCAATGTGGCCGTATAAAAACTATTTTTCGGACAATCAGGGGCGATAATCCAGAAAGTTACGGTCCGATACCCACAGAGATTGAAAGGAACACAGAAATTTGGGATATAAACATATGTAAAGTTGCATACTTTTACTCTATTTGCATACGTGCAACAATGATTTTGTCGGGCAGTTTCGGTACGAATTTCATGAACAGCTTTTAAAATTGACCTGTAGATGGACCACAAGCTAAAAACAAGTTTTTTCGTACAATCAGGCGCCATAATCAAGAAAGTTGCTGTCCGAATATCGAAAGGAAGCAAGATCTTTGGGTTATATTTAAAGTTTCAACAAAATCGGATAAAAAATGTGATCTCTAGAATGTCCACTGGTTAAAAATGTGATTTTTCGTACAATTTCATAATCCATTGTCGTCGCCCGTGCCCGCCTGGATGTCAACAATTTGTTAGTGGACACTCCACAGGTCACATTTTTGACGAAACTTGAAATATTGGTTTATCTCCCAAAGATCTCGATTCCTTTCTATATTGGCACATAGCGGTCCGTTACTACTTGGATTATAGCTCCTCACTGTACGAAAAATCATATTTTTAGATTGTGGACACTCTTGAGGTCCCAATTTTTATCAGATTTTAAAAACTGTTTAAATATATCACCGTTACACCATATAATGACGGTTGAGTTTGAACTTCATGAAAATTGGACAGAAACTGCCAGACAAAATCGCCGCTTCCCGTACACAAATAGTGTAAAAGTGTATACACGTAATAACAAAGTTGTGGACCCTCTATAGGTCACAATTTTTATCCGATTATGATTAACATACACTGGTTACCTCTAATAAAAACAGCAGTGCATTTCCGCAGTTTTGTATTGTTTCTAATATCCCCTACTTTTTTTGAAGAGTATATATAAATTTCAATCTGATCAGATAATAAATGTAGTCTGTAGAGTGTTCACAAGAAATTGTGGACCACGGATGGACAGACGGACAGAGGCAATATATGACCACATTTTCATGTGGGAAACTTCCAATCATTAGAAACAGGTAACACAAACCAATTACAGATGGTTTGATGGGATCAATTTTAACGAAGTCAAAATGATGCATTTGATATTCAGATAAGTTGATATACAATAATTAATAGAGTACAAAATAGGCGTATAAAAATCGAGTTTTTTTTTTAGCCTGTTCTCTGTCCATCTCTTGCAAAATGTGGTCATATCTTTCCTGGCAGGACATTTCCAACTTGTTACATTCTGTTATTTGATTCTCTAAAGAAAACATCATGGTATAAAATGGTTTATTTCATCCACAAAGTCACAGAAGAATGTTGTATTTAAACAGGAGAATACTAAAACGTACCTGTACTTCTACATTTTATGTCAAGTTTTCTTTTCCCTGGGATTACAGACTACAGTGCTTGTCATTAATCATGGTCAATTGTTACAGACAGCAATCAAAAGGTTATTGGGAAATAAACAGAGTGATTTTTATAACTGAGTTTAAACTACTAAATTAATATATTTATTCAGCAATTATAATAAAAGGCTTAAGCTTATTGCCACTTCAAGTCTTTCAATTATTTAAAAAATGCATTCCATTTTATTTCAAATGACAAACACTGTTAAACATAAATTATGAAAGAAGTAAATCTGCCTAATGCAGGTCTTTAATGTTATCTAAATTATTAGACATTTATTAACAAAACAAGACAATAATCAACTCTCAATGCCATCTTATCTGTCTGATTTTCATTGGATTTGAATCTGATCTGCTGTTCAACGTCTGTTGATGATGAAAGGCAAAAATGGATAATCAAGACTTTGTTAATTGTCGTGACAGTGGTAATAATGACAGTCAAGGCTACAAAGATTTTAAAATAAGGTGTTCTCACCTTATAGTGAATAAATTTTGACCGAAATTTTCAGCATATTCCCTTTACATTATCTAGTTTTTAACTATTATAGTGAGAATGGCCAGCTTTTTATCTATTCTTCCATAATGTATCTTTAATCATGTGGGTCATACCTTTACCTCCATAAATTATTTTAATGGCATTTAGTAATTGAAGTGGAAACCTACAGGTAACATGGAATACAATGACTGTTTACAACAAAGCAAGGTTTTGACTAGGATTCTCACTATCAAGCTCAGTAGCAAATAGTCCTCATATTCTATACAATTGGGATCTCTTTATCTTTCTTGTGAAAGTTAGGTCACATGGGATATTCCATATAATTCCTGTATTTAACATTTATAGGACACTAATAATACCATTACTATGGTGTAAGAAGACTAAGATATACATACTTTTCAAAGAGATAAAAAAAAAAATAAATAAATTGGTTGTTTTGCAGAATTTATTTGATCAAGGTACAAGATAAGGTAGCCAAATTGGTGTACAAATAGATAGAATAATTCACACCAGTATTGTAAATAATCTATAAGTTCATCATAACTTGTTATTTGATATGTACGTTTGTTTGCGATTTCTGAGTATTGTGTCTTGTTGTAGATTTGTTTTTGTGTAAATTATGTGTGGTAAAGCCCCCCTGCACTTACTATTTAACTCTGCTTTACATAAACTAATAAATAGTTCAAACACAACTTTACAAACTTTCCACATATTTTCACATTCTAACACACAAGAACATTCTAAACACAATACAATAAGTAGAAAAATAGCCATTTCTAAAGTAAGTGTGACTGACTGTCAAATAAGTGTGACTGACTGTCAAATAAGTGTGACTGACTATTCCAAGTAAGTGTGATTGACTATTCCAAGTATGTGTGACTGTGTTATATAAATGAAGTGGGGTTTAAATTCCTACTGTTCTGCTCCAAAAATATATTTTGTTATTTCAAAATAACCAGATAAAAAAAGCAGTATATTTAGTGAAAGATCCATAAAAGTAGAGTGTAGAACACGACAATCAACCTGGGCTATTCCAAACTCCTTTAGGCCCAGCATGTAGTCTACATCAAAAAAATCTGGTCCAGTAACAAGTTCAAAATATTTCATGAATATCAGCTTAAATGGTGAGTCGACTCAACAAGGTTTATTCTTATAACCCCTGGGTTCTCATGCACTTTTTGTGGGGTTGTGACAGACTACTCTGAAAGACAGAAGCAACCATCAAATTGAATAAAATTACCTAATCTGCGGTCAATATCTTGTCAATATCTTGTCAAATATGTAAACAATAATAAATGTGTCATTTTTTTTATAAAGGTTTCAAAATGTAAACAATAAGTTGTCAAATAAGTAAACCAATCGTAAATGTAATTGTTGTTGGAGGTGTCGCAATCAGATACTGGTTTCTGGAATGCGGTCATAATTAAGAAAAGGATGGGAACTATTGTAGTAACCCAATGAATATTCCCATTAAGTTGGAAAGGTAACCCTGCAAAATACACTCACAATTTGGTATAATAAAATTACGATTCCTGATAAATCTATTGGGATATTTTGGATGCCCTACCAAGTTGATTGTACAAATATTAGTAATTAAAAAGCTGCGGTAATAAATACAAGTTAAATGAATGTTGTAAAACAATACGTCATGCAGAGGTCTAGTAAACATCAACTTCTATAATTTGTTTGTATATTCTGTAATTTCACTAGTTTTAGAGTCTGTTACCGTTTCACTACTTGCATCTATGATTGTATTATCTTCAACTACATCGCTTTTATTTTGTATGTTATCTGTGGTAATTTTAATGTCTTCCGTTAATATTTTTGTATGCACAGTTTTCTCTAGTTGAGCTTCACTATGATGGACTGTACCATCAGTAGTTAAAACTGCTTCAGTTTTTATATTTTGTTCAGTTTCTGTCTGACTCACAGCCAATTCTTTCTCTAGTTTAATTTCAGTCTTGGATGTTGATGATTTCATGTTATCTACACTTATTTCAGTCTTCACACTGTCCGCATCTTCGTCCTCTGTTTTAACTTTTATTTTACTTCTTTCAGGGATTTTTTCTGAACGCATTTCACCCATTTCTAGATTCTGAATAAGAGATTCTTTTTTAAATGTGATAGAATCTCTCTTGCCAGCACCTGTTGCAGCAGTATCACTCTCACACACAGTTTTATCGGAACGGTCAACAACACTAGAAACAGTCTTTGTGACGTCACTGTCAGATGTATCAACACTTTGAAGATATGAATCAAGTTTTTGTTGCAAATCTCTTGTTTTCATATCCTCTTCTTTTTGTCGTATTTTTGTACTACCTGCTCGCAGTTCCCCTTCCAGATTTACTAAAGCGGATGTAATTTCTTTTAATTCTTGCCTTACGTCCTCTGTGTCATCACCATCTGCTGCTGAAGGATCATAGTTGCCTTCCTGTTGTATATACTCTTGATGTCCATCCTGTGGTTCATCAGATTCTAGTATCTCAGTTTGTCTTCTATTGCCCTGTTTTATCTCCTGAAGACATATACAATATTTGTACAAATTAGATATAAAAATACTTATGTTTTTATTATGCTTGAGGCCATACAACCTGATTAAAACACAGATCCCATTTCGTCGTTTCCTGTTCTATACTTATCTTTACTACACTAGGATCTGAAAGAGTTGTTATATAACCCGCGTTCTGGATGATGTGAGGGATTAGCCAATAAAGGGTCTATTACGGCGAGTTCTTGGTGTGAGGTGCACGGACCTGTGGGTAAACCACTAGAAACACCAACACTGATTGATTAAACAATGTCTGACGTCATAAGGTCAAAAGCCGCTCAAATGACACCTGACGTGACTTTCCACTAAAACTGGTCAGATCTTCATGTAGTGTAGGCCATCGAAAGTATAAAAAAAATAGACGAAATACAGATCTGTATTTTAATCACATCGGGGGCCAAAAAAAAAAGTTCTGTTTCCGGTAACCTGACTGACCCATCACAAAAACTGCTGACTCCAAGGTTGTTTTTTTAATGTCAAGTGAAATAAGAAACTTTCATTCACCTAGCGACTGTTGAGAATACCCTAAGCCTACAGAATTTGTGAGAATGTCTAGATTATTTGTTGTTATAAATATCTAATGATAGCAATATTATCAACATCCCATTGACACAAACTAGGTCATTTTGAGTACACGTCTATTTCAATAATCCAATAATGCGCAGGTACATGGGAGGAAACTAGAGCACCCAAGAGGTTATGTAGGTAATGCCAGGTCACATACAAGCCTGGGATTGAAACCACACAAGCCTGGGATTGAAACCACACAAGCCTGGGATTGAAACCACAGACGACTGGGATTAAAACCACACAAGCCTGGGATTGAAACCACACAAGACTGGGATTGAAACCACACAAGCCTGGGATTGAAACCACACAAGCCTGGGATTGAAACCACAGACGACTGGGATTAAAACCACACAAGCCTGGGATTGAAACCACACAAGACTGGGATTGAAACCACACAAGCCTGGGATTGAAACCACACAAGACTGGGATTAAAACCACACAAGACTGGGATTGAAACCACACAAGCCTGGGATTAAAACCACACAAGCCTGGGATTAAAACCACACAAGCCTGGGATTGAAACCACACAAGCCTGGGATTGAAACCACACAAGCCTGGGATTGAAACCACACAAGCCTGGGATTAAAACCACACAATTTGACTCCGTGACAGGCAGATCTTATGATCTAAATCTAAGACGTTAAGATCCCCAATTTTTACCTATATTCTATGAACTTTACCTGTGGGTTGACTATTGGTATTGCTGACTTCAATCTTCTCACAGGGGATCTGTGGGGATTCGCTGGTTGAAGTTCTGGAGGATAATAGATCGTTCCTCCTCGATAAACTTCGGGTTGTTGTGATGGTGGTGACTGGATCGGCTGCAATGATTAGTATATGAGGTGAAGATAATATATCATCAGGTATTGAAACTAAACATCTTGTATATTAAACACAACATCTTCAGTTTAACTGGATAACCTCATCTTCAATTTAACTTTCTAATTATATTGTAATTTTGAAGAAGTGACTTTACAATATTACCCAAAATATTTTTCAAGCCTAGATTTCGATATATTTCTATGCCAACAATTAGCTTTAGACTTTCTGATCACAAGCCAAAACTGTAGAATATTAAAATAAACTGCCATATTCAGAAAACACTGATTCTCATCAACATTGTGCATAACTCTTTCAAAATCTGTTTCAGGAATATGGTTTACTGATTCTGAAAACAAATCTGAATTATATCAAGTTACAGTACAGTTACAGTAATACAAATAGAAGTTACCTGAGGTGGGGTACCACCAGCAAAACCCATGGGTACAGAAAAAGGTGGGGCTGGGGTAATGCCAGGTGGTGCAGCCCCATATATAACTGTACCCTGACCCAGATATTGTGATGGTATTATCTGAGGATGGGGAGCTGGTGGTAAGTTAGAAGGTACAGAGCTTGCTATAGGTGCTGGGGAAGGTGGGTATAATCTTGGAGCTGTTGGCATGTTTGAAGAGGAAACTGAAAGCAGACAAAAGGTGAGATTGTCAATATATAATCATGTACAGCTAGGATATTTTAATTATTCTCCTACGTAAGTTAATAATAAAGAGGTAATTGTGCAATAGTTTATTAATTCAATCACTTAAATACAGACAATACGAATATGGTGAAGAAATAAATAAAAATTGCATCAATACAAACAGCAAGGTAGACATTAGTTTTCCTATAAACCGGTGAGAAGATAATAAATGTTTTATAATATGATGACAATGAGAGAGTACCTGGTAGGGGATATGTTATACCACTTGGTTGTAGAATTGGTTGAAATGTTGGACTATCTTGTGATGGTGATTGATCAGTTCCAGAATAAAACTGTGTATTAGGATAAGCTAGAAATATAATAATTATTTGTAATTAGTCTGATAATATTAGTTATTTATCACCCAATAATACATTCTACAGTAGATATCGCTTGTGTGATATATTTCATAATCTACTGCGATGTCTCCTAAAGATATCGCTTTACATGAATTTGATTGGTCAGTTGAAAAGGAACTACTTTTTTTTTATTTTCAAAGAACAGTTCATTTCTTATTTAAAGTAATTTTTTTTATTAAAAATGAACTATTGTTATTCAATTGACCTTGATGGAAACACTGGGTCAAAATAAAGGACTTTGCAATGGTTGAATTGCTGTCAAAAAATGATGTATCACTACGCCATAATGTTCAGTAAAAGTTAAATCTACAGCAAAGAATTATATTTATCTATTTGTGCATGTAAGAAGGGATTGGGTGATAAATAAAATCTCCTACTTGTCTTTTTTGATATCAAAAAATATCAACACTCGTTGATAAAGTAAAAAAAAAACTTGGCAGAGCCTTGTTTTTTGTTACTTTATCAACATGTGTTGATATTTTTTGATATCAAAAAAGACTGGTAGGAGATTCTCTATTTAATACATATTCTTGGGTTTTATAACAGATTGTAGTTTGAGGTACATTTAACCTCTTACAAACCACATTATGTAAGGAATGTCAGTTTAATAACAGTTCAATTCCATTCAGTATATATAAACAGTGATATATAGGAGCATACCTTGATTATAATAATTACTTCCCTCTATCTGTTTGTTATAACCAACATCTGGTCCTGGTCGTTGACGTTGAGATGAATATCGTTTAGGACGAGTTTGTAAGGAATTATCAGATTTAGTTATTCCTGTGGAAGAAGATGCTGGATTTTTACTAGGTTTTGTAGATGTTTCACTCGTTTCTGTAAGAAAAAAAAAGTGTAATCTGCTCAGTAACATTCCTGACCAAAATGATAATTCAGTTTTAAACACATCATAATTAATTTAGGATTTACTTCATAACTTAAAAGCTACATGTAGTTCATAACTTAACCCATGTGCGGACATGTTGACGAAAAACACTGTCGACAACAAGGGGTAATCTAAGACCTCAGACATAAATTGGTTTTTGGGTGCATAATTTTATTTAAATACGATCAAACTACAGCTTCATATGAAGACTGAATAATAATCAATCAGAGTAAATATATATATATATTTGAGGTATTAACAGTGACGATATGAATTATAAGGTATTTTTGAAACCATACAAATCTACAAATAACTTAATTATCATCCCCATGTAGAACCGTCTTTTGATGGGGTTGGTAGAGTGATCAACACAACATCATCAGTAAGAAAGATTCCAAATACAAAGCTAGCACTGAGCGCAGAACAGATTAGACACCAGCAAAAGAAAAGGGGAGGGTCCACAAGATCTCTTGTGTCCGATAATGTATTACTCATACTTTCTTGTCAAATGATGAATGTTGCCATTGCCTCATGTCCGTTCTATTTGCAGCATTATACCGGACATTAAGTAGCTGACAATGTATAAAATTGTCGCTATACAATTATGAACCAGTTCCTCACAGACGCTAAGGATATGGTTGTGGGGTTCCGAGGGTTAAGAGAGAGAGTAGTTTATCCATGATGTTTACCTGGTGTAGAAGATTGTGTAGGTTGTGTACCAGTATCAGGTACTTCAGACTTTACAGACCCAGTACCTTGACAAGCCACATAATTACTTGCTTCATCCTGTTGTCGTGGTCTTCCTCCTACATATTTCATTCTACGATCTTTACTGTACGATTTTTTCTCTGTTGTTGTATTTGTTATCGTTACACTAATTGTCTGAACATTTTCTTTATTGGATATAACAACATCTTCTTTAGTTTGCTGGATATCAGCAGGTTCATTATTTTCAAACCGAGTTTTGTCAGTTTTCTCTGGGGCTCGATAGTTAGAATTTGTAAATTGTCTAGGTGAATTATTTTGACTGCCTGGAGCAAAGTTACGACTTTCATTTTCGCCATCTTGATAGCGCTTTTGGCCTCGCCCTCTACCCCTCTGGGCCCTATTTTGACCACGATATTGATAGCTATCACTCTCATGATGCTCATCTTGAGCATGATAGCCCGTATTTTGTCGGTAATTGTCTGTAGAATATCCACGATTTGATGCATTATTTCTATAATCTGTTGTTGATTTGCTGTAGTCATTGTAGGATTTATTATCACGCGAACGATAATCTGACCTTTCACCTCGACTATGATTTTCAGATTGATAGTTACCTCCTTTAGAAAAATTGTCATATTGATAGTTATCTCCCTTAGCACGACTGTCATATTGATAGTTATCTTCTCTTTGTCTATTGTCTGTTTCAAATGATTTATTTTTAGATCGGTTGTTATACGGTTTATTTCGAGGTTTATAATCAGATTTTGAACGATTGTCATCGTTCCTGTAAGACGGAGGTGTTCGATATTCCATGGGTATGTATTCTGTTTCTTCTGAATGTGATCTACGGAACTGACTAGAAGTTTGTTTATCGTCTATTTTATCTGTTTGTATATAATCACCAAATCTGGTATTTTCTCCTGGTCTTCTGCCCCTGTAACACAGTAATATATCTATATTTAGGGTTAATAGGGTTAGTCTTATTAGACTGGAGGTTTCATCTATTAGTGATGGACCAAGCTCTATAAGATTACGTTTTTAATGTAAGATGGAATTTGATTAAAATATACTGAGCTCCATAGAAAACGCATCACTTTTTTTCCCAAATATTTTATTACTAGGTGGTTTTGTATGTATAATAGTATGCAATACTATAAACTATTGTTGCACACAATGCTCCCAAACGCAAAAAATATCGGCCCGTGTGCAAAAAAAAAATTGCACGAGATGCACATGAAAAACCCAATATTCACGTGCAGCATTGTGTGTGAGCCCTTTAAAAGCATGTTTTCAACTTAATGTGCAGTACATGAACTGTGAAACGTCAATCTGTCGTAATTTGTTGTTGGACGGGTGAAGGAATCGAGCTAGAGATGCCTAGACTTACTGAAAATCAACGGAATGAAGCCATGGGAATGTCCAGGACTGACATGTCTACACGTGCTATTGCCAGACACTTCAATTGTCATCAGTCCACTATTGTAAGGTTGGTGGAACGTGTTCGAGTTACTGGATCAACACGTGACCGTCAACGTCCTGGTCCACAACGCGTTACAACCCAGGCTCAAGACCGCTACATCCGGGTCACTCATCTGCGTGACAGATTCCGCCCAGCGACTCAAACAGGTGCAGGGTGTCGGAAGACAAGGACCAGTAAGTGCCAACACCGTAAGACGTCGTCTAAGAGAAGTAGGACTCAGTGCACGAGGACCTTATGTTAAAGCTATCCTCAGGGATCATCACCGTCAGCGGCGTTTGATATGGGCTTAAGGACACCAGACATGGAGAAGAGTAGACTGGCAAAGTGTGCTCTTCAGTGATGAGAGACGCTTTCATCTTTATCACGCTGATGGCCGTCAACGTGTGTGGAGACGTCTTGGGGGAACATCTTGCAGACTGCTGCGTCTTCGAAATGAATCGATGGGGTGGGGGAAGTGTAATGGTGTGGGGGGGTTTCACATTTCATCACCGGACCGCCCTACACATTTGCAGGGGTCGCGTTAATGCTGTAGCCTACTGTGATGATGGCCGATGGATGACACACGCGCTACTGACATCTGTGTCGTACTTTTGGTTTTGACCCCTCTGACTTTGTACCCTTGATTACAGATTAAACATCCATAAGTGTACAAATGTGTTGTTATTGATGTGTTCCCATTTGAATATTGTTCACAATAAGAAGCAAAATAAATAAGATATGTTTACAGGATCATTTTGTTATACGAAAAACTAAGTGATGCGTTTTACATGGCGCTCAGTATATGTTAAAGGATTGAACTCCTATGTTATGACATCATTGCCAAAATAACGTTTTTTTACGTCACGCCATTCAGTCAGCGGACGGCTGTCTTTCGAGACAGTCTACATTTCCTATTTGCTTCTTTGTATTCAGTTTTGTTTGTTTTTGTGACAGGTGGAACACGTGCCCTAAATGTATTCAATATAACTCAATTCCATTGAATACTGAAACGTTTCTTGATTGATTTAGAGCATTTAGTTTTAGACTGCTTTTTTATACATTTCACCGATGTGGTTACTTGTATAGTTGAATTTTACTACATATGCTTACATTCGTATATTTGTTGTAACATGAAGCAGATCATGACTCGTGCTGGCATTACACAATGGTTTCTTTGGCTGTATTCCTGATAGTTTTCAAATTTGAGTGAAGTCTGTGTCACTACAGGCCCGGGACTGTACAGCGCAGTGGACGCTTACGGCTAGCCCCCGGTTCCATTCACTTTTTTTGAATCGTTTGCTTAATTGTGGTTTCTGAGTATGATGTCTTGTCCATGTATTTGTTTTTGTGTAAATTATGTGTGGTGCAGTCCCCCCTACACTTACTATTAGTTTGAAAAGGCATAAGATTTGAACTATATTATATATGTACACGTCACTAACAAGTAATAGAGCAATACACAAGACTAACCTGCCACCACCTCTCCTGGGTCTAGGTCTATATTCAGGTGGTTGACTACCAGCTCTAACATCATACCCATAAATTGCTATTAATTCTTCCTGGGTTTTAGGTGCTTGTTGTGCTTCATTATATCCATCATGTAACCACTTACCATCATCTTTCCACAATCGTTTCTTACTATTAGCTCTAAAAATAAATAACTAATAAGATGGTGGATATATAGCAACAGAATACAGATAGATGGTGGATACGTAGCAACAGACAGATGGTGGATACATAGTAACAGACAGATGGTGGATACATAGTAACAGACAGATGGTGGATACATAGCAACAGGCAGATGGTGGATACACAGCAACAGACAAATGGTGGATACATAGCAACAGACAAATGGTGGATACATAGCAACAGACAGATGGTGGATACATAGTAACAGACAGATGGTGGATACATAGTAACAGACAGATGGTGAATACATAGCAACAGGCAGATGGTGGATACACAGCAACAGACAAATGGTGGATACATAGCAACAGACAAATGGTGGATACATAGCAACAGACAAATGGTGGGTTATTAACGAACAGATGAGTTTATTTTGTCGAAATATACATTCTAATACTCTTGGAAAATTCCATGGCTAGCAACAAAAATATATATATATATATATTTTACCTATCCCCCTCCTCTTCCTCTTTAGGTGGCTTTGAGTCTTTCTCTCTCGAATCATGTTCATAAAAGGCACCTTTTCTCGGAACAAAAGCTGGATTTTTTCTATCTTCATCATCATCAACATCTTTTGAGTCTGGCTGTTCCTAAAAAAGAGGAACAATTAAATGAAATATCAGTAATAGTTGAAGTAGACTTTCAATTAAAAAATTATAATAAATCTTCCGGTCTATTATGTGAGGGGAACTTTACCAGTTGATGATCAGTGAATGTTTAAAGTTACCTCTCCATCACCACTCTGTCTTTCTTCATCAACCCAATCATCATCATCACCTTCTATAACAACATTTATATCTTGACCATCATCATCATCATCTGTTTCATCATCATCATCTGTCTCATCATCATCATCATCATCATCATCACTATCTTCTTCTGATTCATCATCCTATAATGGTATAATATCTTATCAACAATAAAGCTTTCTTTGAGACACCGGTACTTCTTGATGTACAGGAAAAGGGGGGGGGACCTTGGTTGGTTTTTATAAAGTTCTGCCCCATGCTAACGTTTAGTATACAAAACATTTAATATCATGGATTTAGCTGTTCAAGTTATCAAAATTCATTGAAAATCAATATACTTGTTTGTCTCAAGACGTTCAACTCTGTGTATCAATCTGAAGTCAATCGGATGATAACACTAGCGTCCACAAGATTTTTAAAAAGTCATCAAGGGCCATAACTCTGGCAGTAACTATCGGAAATCACTGAAAATCAATAGGATTCTTCATCTCATGACCTCAAACACTGTGTATAAATTCAAAGTCAATTGGATATTAACTTTAGCTTCTAGAGCGTCCACAAGTAATTGTGTACGCTGGCCAGCCCGGGTGACAACAATATTCGACAAATTTCAATGTGGGTGTATAAAAACAGCAAATAGAACTGTATACTCATACAATACCTCATCATCTTTTTTTTCTTCATCAGCACTTTCATACTCGGATAGATCTACATCTACAAAACAGATAAAATCATGATCAAAATAAACAACCAAATGGTTAATCTTGTCAATTATTCAGCTTTTCTTTCTGTTTGATATTTAAACATACATGATTATGCAAGAGCTAAATCTGCCTATTGCAGGTCTTTCTTTAGGCCTGAAATGTTATCTAAATTATTAATTAGACATTGCCATAATCAACTCTTGATGGCATCGCTAGCCTGCAATGTTTATTGGATTAGGATCCAATCTGCTACTCTACGCTCATTCATGATTAAATCATGAAATGAATAATCGAGACTATGTTTTTTTTATCGTACCGACTTTAGTAATGATGATCGGGGCTAGGCTGTAAATTCAATAGCTAAATTCCCGGTTCAGAGTGGATCAATTTGATCAAAATTTTCAGCAAATTCCTTTTACATTATCAATTTTTTAACTATTATAGTGAGAACTGCCAGCTCTTTATCTAATCTCCCATAATGTATCTTTAAAGATACATTAATAAGATTTAGATAAAGAACTAGTCATTCTTGCTATAATAGTTCGAAAGTAGATGATGTAAAATGAATAATTTAAAAAATTTCATTCAAATTACTCTATTGCAAGCGAAAATATTAGCCTTTGAAGGTTTGACAGACGTGTGCAATAATTTCAACCACTATACTGGTTGATCGAAGCTAAGTCTCGGTCCTCCATATTTGATTAAATCAAAGTATCGCTGAACCATTCTAATCTATTTAATATCGGAGAAATCTGATGCCATTGAGAGTTGATTATGGTCTGGATAAGTTAATTAATGTCTAATTAATACTTTAGAAAACATTTCAGGCTTAAAGAAAGACCTGCAATAGGCAGATTTAGCTCTTGCATGTTTAAACAGAATATTTGAACAATATAAATACTGGAAATTCTTCAGTCCACAATTGCCATAGTAAGATTTCAAAAGATTAAAATCATAGAAAAAATTATTTTTAATTTAACGACAGGTTGACTGGCAACGAAACATACAGCCACAGCATCTAAGTCGTCTGGGGAGTCAACAAGGGTTGTTGCATTACGAGTAACAACCCATTTGGCTTCTAGTTCTGCCATATTCGAACATTAAGCATGCAAAACATTTAATATCAATAGCCATAATCATCGGAAATTGTTAAAAATTGATACACTGCGTGTATAAATATAAAGACTATTGGATATTAACTTTTATCTCTAAAGAATCCACAAGATTTTCCAAAGCGATCCATTTTAAAGGGAAATAACTACATTTTACTCATTATTATTGTTCTGGCCATAAGCAACAAAGATATGTCGAACGAAGTTGATTCGAAACCTTGGTTTTGGTATGGAATGTTATTATTTTATTTGTCAATTCAATGAAATAAATTCTACATGTATACATAACGATATTACAGGATAAACTCACATATAATACATTATTCATATACAAATTATGAAGGTTTTCAAAACAAATTTTAAGTAAAAATAATTTGCCCATATTATCGCTTACTGATCGACGAATGGTTGGCGATTATTGATACTACAAAGCAGTATCGATCGCCAGCCCTGTTACAAAATATAATTTTATAGAATAATTCACATCACATGTACTTACCTCCATCAGCATCTCCATGTTCACTTTCCTATAATAAAATAGTTTTAATATTACTAGTCTACATGTACAGAGAAATACAATCAACTTAGTATTTAATATAAGCCACTTTCTTCCAAATATAAATTCAAGTCCTCATCATACACCATTTTAAGCAATGGAAATCATATTCACAATATTTTGAAAGAAGAATCTGTAATGCGAATATCACTCCTTTCAGTATTTTCAAATATATGTGGAATTGAATCTACAGTATACTGCTAGAGAGTAGCGAAGAAACCTGTTGGACCTAGTTTAAATCAGACTGAATCCAATATGGGAGATTATCTAACGTTGGTATTTTCATTTTGTTTTCTTAATTAAATGTTAAAGTAGCTAAGTCTCTAACTCAATATCATCAAAAATTTTCGACATTGAAAACCCGAATTATTTGTCAATTCAAATCAACATTGGTCTTGTGATCTTATAGGGAAAAGATGGGCTTCTGATATCCAATATTCAAGACAAAATAAACATTTTACCATTGGTAGTGGTACATGAATCGTGTACCATAATGCGTTTCAGCACCATTTGAAACAAGGGACTCAAAGAACGCGGCTAGACATATTCCACAAGTCATGTCAAATGGTGACGCTATATTCTTATCTGGAGAGCACGCACAATAAATATCATCGGTGTAGACTGGAATAACCAGACGCTAAATATTGCCATTCAATTGAGACTTCTGGCGTATTTCGTCGAACATAACTGATTAGAAAGCTCCTAAATTTGTGCGTTACCTTTCAATGAAGTCCGCCAAGTCGGTTAGAAGATGGAGACATATTTTTTAACAGCGTTTTGTGTCGCTCATACTGGTTCTAGCGAGGTAAGCAAGGTCTTATTTTCTCACTAAGGTGTTCATTTATATTGTTCAGGCATTCATGGGGACCAACACGCAATCTTTTAGCAGTAAAAAGTTGCCCAGTAAGATTGACTGGGGCGGATCTCAGTTTCGACAAGGATTCAAGAAAAGAGTTCCTGAACGTACAGGCCGAGTGAAATGAGACCTACGTTCAGAGCTGAACTAGGTCTTTAGCAGTGGGAGGAAACCAGTGAGAGGACCCAAAGATAATCCAAGAGGTTGGACAGGTGACCCTACTCCTTGTCACGTACAACTTGGGAATCGAAACCCCGCCATTTGACTCAATGACAGACCGTATGATACAGCGCAGCGCGCACGTGCTAACCATTCGGCCACCCAACCCCCCAATGAAGAAAGAAAATCATATCCTACAATGTACAAGACAATGCAGAAGTAGCCTAATGGCCGATTCACAAATGACGAATTAATAATAAAACAAGCCAACAGTGAGGCTGATGTCCCCTGCCGAAATCCCCAAATAAATAGAAGACACATATTAATTAATCGCACATCTATTTTTTTCAAAAGTATCGAGCAATCAAACTGATTAACAACTATACACTAAGTTTCATCACTCTCTATCAGATAGAATTAAAGTTATCTTGTCCGAAAGCATCGGCCAAGGAAATTGCTAATCTCTGCTTAGCTTTAGCGCGATATGTTAATCATTGAACTCGGTCAAGACGAACATCAACATCAAGTTTAAACATTCTACCTAAATTAGAAGCAGAGTTGTTATGTTCCAAAGTCTTGACCAATCAAAATGCTTATTGCTCCTTAGCCTAAGCAGACAATTCTCATCATCGAACTTAGTCAAGGTATTGATGTAATGAAACTATACACCAAGTTTCATCACTCTCACTTAATTAGAACTAAAGTTATCATGTCCCAAAGCATCAACCAATCAAATTGCTTATCTCTACTTACCATAAGCAGAAAAGGCTCATCTTCGCACTCTATCAAGGCATTGACCTCATAAACACCTACACCAAATTTGAACATTTTACCTCAATTAGAAGGAGAGTTATTGTGTTCCAAAGTCTCGGCCAATCAAATTGCTTATCGCTCTGCTTACCCTGAGCAGAAAATGCTCATTATCGAACTTAGTCAAGGTATTGATGTAATGAAACTATACACCAAGTTTCATCACTCTCACTTAATTAGAACTAAAGTTATTGTGTCCCAAAGCATCAACCAATCTAATCGCTTATCTCTGCTTACCCTAAGCAGAAAATGCTCAACGTCGAACTCCATCAAGGCATTGACCTAATAAACACCTACACCAAGTTTGAACATTCTAGGTCAATTAGACGACGGAGAGTTATTGTGTCCCAAAAAGTGTGACGGACAGACGGACACACAGACAGAAGGACGGACAGACAGACGGACGAACCCATTTTAATAGTCCCCTGCTTTCTTCGAAAGGCGGGGGAGAAAAAAGTATGGATTGAAAAGGACTAAGTAGTTGTAAACGACTTGTATGTGTTTTTAAATCAATTTTTTTTATCTATTTTAATGTTCCAAAGAATCAGAATACATGTACATGTACTAGATAGAGCCATACACCCTTTAATGAAAAGAACATGTATTAGATAGAGCCATAGACCCTTTAAAAGAAGATGGGCCAGCAGTAGAAGTACTACTAAGCAGATTCCGAGTGCCTGACTCAAAATAAAACTTGAAAACAAAATGACAATTAATTATATAGTTCAGTAGACTAGTGTCAGTAGTGAGTCTAGAGAGTATCAGACTGGGTTCACAATTGAAGTAGTGTATTCTGTAGCTAGACACAAGATTTTATTCTATAATCAAGAAACGTAAATGATTTCATAATCACCAATGAAAAGAGTTATGGGCCTTTCTATCGGCGACTTCTCCAAAATAGGGGGGAATCCGAAAGCATGGCACAAATACTAACGTGACCAAATATAGACTAGAAGTAGAAGAGTAACATTATGTTTTTCACAGGACGCTTGCTTGTTTCTACACAAACATATAATTATAAGAACTGTCGCCTTACACATTCCGATTTTCTAATCGGTTGTTTGTCAGTCACAATTTTCTCTGCATCCTCTTCACTATCAACAGGTTCTCGCCTTCTACGCCTGTCGGCCATTTTAGTGAATTTGCAAGGTGAGTGTCACGTGATGTATAACGGGTATCTCGTCATGAACAAATCTCCCGTTTGTGAACTGTGTGTTTAAACCCAAGCTATTTTGTTCCGGCCCTAGAAATTTACACGTTTTTTAAACTTGCTAGGAAAATGAAAATATTATATTTTTACAAATTCATTCAAACATTATGATACTTGCACGAGTATGTATTAGTGCTTAGTCTTCGTGTATCGACCGAAACATTAAACATGCGAGTGTCATTATATTATAATAATAATAATAGGCTACACAATAATTTAGCTTTGTGGTTATTCAAATATTGAGTGATATTTTACAATCCAGCAGACCGATTAATAACTTGAGTTACATTTTGTTTTGCGGTATGCCTATTGTTGTTGTCTGTATCAATTTTTATCCTATTTTATTTATGGTCAGGGACTGCAACAGGCCCCCTCCAGACCCATTGCAGGGACAAGCAACTTGACGAGGAGGCCGGGCCGGATACCATGACGGGTACGTAACCTCAAACTCAACAAGGGCGGACCGGGGCTCTACGACGCGAAGGCCGGGCAGGTGGTTTATAAACTTTAATTCACCAATTTTTCCCCCCAAAAGTGGACTAATAGACTCCGATTCTAATTCTACCCACTCCACTGAGTACACAAATTCAGAAAAGTCACCGGTGTTCATCTACTTGATGATTTTAAGTAACAGTGCATTTTTTTTATCAATTATATATACCAAGAATTTTTTGCCAGTGGTGCAGGACGGAGAGCCTAAAAAAGGACAGCTGTCTAGTCGTCCGGATGCTCTTCATTAGCCCAGTATAGGAGCAGAACTGGACGTTGAACCCAATTTCATTTTATTTTCTTTCATTCGGTGATTGAGCAACTGGTCGGGATCATTATATTGATATGAACGACTCGTCTGTTTGAATATCAAACATGATAACGGGACTAACAGATGGTTCAATTTTCAATAATTCGCTTGGGTGTAGGGGTCTTTAGCAGATGTGGGGGGGGGGGGGAACAGGAGGACCCGGAGAAAACCACGAGGTTGGACAGGCGACCGCACTCCTTGTCACGTACAACCGAGAAATCGAAACCACGCCAGTTGACTCAATGACAACGCACTACCCCCCCCCCCCCACCACAAAGATTTTATTGTACAGTTACAAAAGAATTCAGAACCAATTTGTTTTGACAGTACTGTGATTCCTATAAGATTACAGTAGCTAGATTACAACTTTTTTTTACTTTACTCTTTTGTAGACTCACTTTTTGACTGGCCGTAAGACACGTGCCTTATTTGCCTAATGGTTAATCCGGCGATGTGCATGAGTATAATAGTGTTGATATTTACACGGAAATAATGATATAAATATATAATAGGAATGTAAGAAGCATCAAGTAATAAAATATAATAATACATGGAAATCTTGATAATAATTTTCATACAAGATTTATGCTCTTAGTCTTGGGTTCATTGCATGAAATACGAACGCACAAACCGATTTTGCAATCGTTGAATAGATTTTTTAGAGAATAAAGTAGATAATTATCTGTAAATGTTGATGGACGGTACGTAAATCATCATACAGTGGACATTCTAGTAAAACAAATGGGCTTCGTTTTCAACTCTTTGCATAGCGCATTGTACAGTTGGCATATTCTTAGGGGGACATTTTTTATCTGCCCGGCCATCCCCATTTGAGTGAGAAGTAACTCGGAGTGCTATTTTAGCGAGTTAGGGTTTCACACAGCGTAGTTTATGTGAAACACTATAATTGTTTTTGTGCGGATTATCCTTATTCATAGGCGCATAGGCTCGATAACTGTTCGGATTACAGACGTCTAGCCCCCCCCCCCCCACACACACACACAAACTTTTCACCCCCAAAGAAAATTTGGAAAAGTTGAACGCCGCAAACGCATTTTCTTGCTATTCCGGTCCCTGAATTCAGCAAGTGGACTAATATAGACTAACTTAGGTGGCTGACTCGAATTCCAATCAATCGTTTACAGTCCACGGAGAATACAGCAACTTGTATTTGGTTCAATATAGCCTGCTATGGGTGGCTTATCTGAATCCCAAACAGCCAATCCTCGCGCTCCCCGAGAAAATTTTGAAAATTTAACCGCCGCAAATGCAACTTCAAAGTTTCCAATCGGGTTGCAACTGAAATCCTACTCTATTATGCCGACCTGGATTCCAACCATCCAATCAGACTTTTGCAGCTGCATTCACAAATAATAATCGATGCCCGAAAAATGTCGCACAAAGTAGAGTTGCTCCAGAAAAAATGTTATAATCCATAGTCTGCAGTTGAGTACAAATTAAAAGAAAAGTAAACTTTATAGTGTGTTATTAGATTTCAAGCACTTTATTTTGCTAACATGATGAAAGTGCCAAGAAAAAATTGGCCTACTTTAATATTTATGGATAAGAAATGCGTGGAAGGATAAACTTTAAATCCAAATAGGAATAAGAAATGATAAAATAAAATATAGTGTTCATTTTTATAATAAGGGGAAGATTGGATAGCCTATATATATAATTATGTTTGTAAACCTGTTGAACGGTCGGAATATAAATATGTAAATATACTTTTCTATAAAATGTAGACGGAGATTGCAGTGAAAAAACATTGTCGAAAATGAGTTTCAGGGAATGAAAAAGGTGATACGTCACCCTCTCCACTTGCTGCAATCACCCACAGGTGATTTCTCTACAGCATTGAAATAGCATTTTTCATCCATTAAATTTAGTATTTCTTTTTTATATTCGCTCAGTGCTCATAATAAAAACCAATATAATTTAAAGAATTCCTGTTTCGCCATCTACTTATTAGGTTGTTTTCATCTATCAAGTAGATCTATACCCCCAAATGAACGTTTTACGATGACAAATATTCATCCCGGTATTACACAATTGAATCAACACGGCTCGTGACTCATCGGAAAACAAGCCGGGCAAAATTAGCTTGGTGAGACACCTTTGAGCACCTTAGACTGGAGGCTAACACCCACAACAGGAATAGTTCTAAGTTATCTTTTCAATTTAATAACTATGTAAATTTAAATTCTGTGCAGAAAGCATTATTGCAAAAGGGTTACGAAAATGAGGGGTGCAAGAGGGCCACGGTTGCCCAAGCTAAATGTGTCGCAGGGGCAGCCTCCAAGCCCTCAACCTCCGAGGCCCGATATGGACTCCAGAGCAACCTTGACAATTGGCGACCAAACGTTCGTGTGCGAAGCAAATGATTTGGTAAAAATCAGACTTTTAGGACGTGGAGCTTATGGCATTGTGGAAGAAATGCGACATACAATCAGTGGTATTGTAATTGCAGTGAAAAGAATCCAAGCTACAGTGAATAATCAAGAGCAAAAACGTTTATTAATGGACTTGGATGTTAATATGAGAAGTGGATCTTGTCCTTACACTGTGCATTTTTATGGAGCCTTATTTCGAGAGGGAGATGTATGGATATGTATGGAAGTTATGGAAACGTCTTTAGACAAGCTGTATAAAGCAATCATTAGTGATGGAAATAAAATTCCAGAAGCTGTCTTAAAAAATATAGCATTGTCCGTAGTTAAAGCTTTACATTACCTCCATTCGGAGTTACAAGTTATCCATAGAGATGTTAAACCTTCTAATATACTGATCAATCGCAAAGGAGAGGTGAAGATCTGTGATTTTGGTATCAGCGGTTACTTAGTAGACTCTATTGCCCGAACAAAAGATGCTGGCTGTCGACCATATATGGGACCAGAACGCATCAATCCTGAAAATGTTTCCGGGGGTTATGATATAAGATCAGATGTGTGGAGTTTGGGTATTACAATGATTGAGTTAGCCACAGGTGTCTTCCCATACTCCACCTGGAGTACTCCATTTGAGCAAATTCGGCAAGTAGTCATGGATGCTCCACCTAAATTACCTGCAAATGAATTCTCCCCAGATTTTGAAGATTTTATTACACAGTGTTTGCAGAAAGATTACAAAATGCGACCAAACTACACTCAATTAATGGAACATCCATTTTTTGTAATGAATGTTGACGCTCCTGAGGTGGACATGGCTGAATTTGTTAATGATGTTTTAACAAGACATGCTGACTTAAATAATGTGACATGATTAGATTCATAGTTAATGTTAATTAATTAATTACTAGAAATTTAATGAATTAATTGAATAATCAATTATCGTTATTATTAATATTATCGAGGCATTTCATTCCATTTTGTTAAAAAAAAATTCATGAAATTCAGGGTTAATTATAAACACTTAAGTATGAATTTTTTTCATGGATAAACATGAAATATGAAGGTCTTGTTATAGGTAATGAATTGGAAACTATGCTTTTATAATATATGATCAGGGTTCAACATTGTGAGTACTAAAATAAATGAAGACATATTAGAATTACCTAATGTAGATCTTAATACTTCACCATAATTTAAAGATATATTTTTTGACAGGCTATTAATTTCATACAGAGGCTCTTCCGGGTTACACAAACTTAAAAAACCTGAAGACCTTCATGTAGACCATTCAAAGAATAATTCCACAAACTAAATTAAAGATACTTTGTCCTGAATTTATCAGGTGTTTTTTTCCAATAAAAATATGGCAAATTTGGCAATCTTACTACTACTAGAAAAATACTGGTTTACCCAAAAAACACCCATGTGGCAAGCACTGGGCAAAAATGTCAAGATATCACTAACTGGCAACCGGAATGTTGTCTGCCAGCTTGTTGTGTGCTAGCTTGACTGAGGGAGCTGTTGTTATTTCTTGATCAAATGGTTAGACAGTTTTGGGAACACTGAAGGGTGTCAACGTACAAAAGACTCAACATTTAAACGATGGAAAAAATAGTTAACAGAAATAATTAAGAATTTACTTAGGCCTCAATATGTATGATAAATGGACATTAAGTAATGAAAAACACATTCTGAAAAATGGACCCTCCTTAACTGAATTGACATGACAGACATGATGTAAGCTTTGGGTATCCCCCCGCAAAAACAAAGTTTTGAGAGGGATTTGAAGCAAATTTTTGATAAGCTTGAATATGTTTTTAGTCCAAATATATCATGAAATCTTGTGTATTTATAATGACTGTTTAGCAATAAGAATTACAGGATGGGAGACGATTGTATAATTAGTCTAGTAATTCTCCGAGGAATATGTATTTAAATCAAATAACAAATGTTTGATAATACATTTTCTGAGAAACTTGCATATTGAATATTTGTCAGTGCAAGTTTAAAGGAGCAAATTATGAAACTGGGGTAAATATCCAAATCAAATGTAAAGAAATAGCCCAGTTACTTTGTCCGAACGTTTCAATTCTGAATGATAGCCAGATATTAATAAATCAGATTATTTGGCTACAAGTAAACAGGAGCATTGTATCCATGGTCGTCAGCACAGAATTACCAAAATACATTTTAATAATAAATCAAGTGATTATTATTAAAAACCCTTGTAGCCTACTAGTAGTATGTTAATCTATTTATATAACACGATATTCTCGTTAATCTATTTATATAGCACGATATCCATGCAGTCTAAGAACAATCACAACTGTCAGAAAGTAAATGCTTGAATATGTGGATTTGTTTTCTAAAAATAATTCCAATAATTGTGAACTGGTGCAAGGGATTTGGGTGAAATATTAAGGTCTGACATTGAGTCAAGTGGTGTGGTTTCCATTCCCCGCTTCTACGTGACAGGGAGTAGAGTCGTCTGTCCAACCTCATGGGTGTTCTCTGGTTTTCTTCCACTGCTAAAGACACCTACTCGCAAGCTAATTATTGAAATAAAATAGAACCATATGTTAGTCCTGAAATGACCTAGTTTGTGTGAGTGGGCATTAAACCCCCATTTTTCTGTCTGTCTCTCTCTCTCTCTGGTGTAATATGTCATTGACTTGACAATCTTAGTATAGTAAAGTGTATTCACCATTCAAAAATTAATATTCTTGTAAGAAATTGATTGAACTAGAAATTGTTACACCCTATAACTTATATAGTATACAAATGTATCCTGAGAATGATGAAGAATTGAATTCATAATATTATAAAATTGTTGATGTTTTATCAAATATTTCCACCTGTGTAGATAGAAGAAAAGTTTGTACATTACATATATTATAAGTTGAGCTGATGCCATCTACTTTATATACTGTAGATCTACATCATTGATTGATGTTCTGTTTTTATGTATGTATTGTTTACATGACAATGTTGATATATAAATAATTTTTAAAAGAAATTTTGGCCTAAGAAGTTTGTTAAACGATCAAATATTTTGACAAAGGTAGATCCATTTTTAATTTTATGTTTCATGACTAATTGCCTAGATTTGTTTGGGGTTGTCTGAATATTGACAAGAATGTTATAATTCATTCTACTGAAAACATGACAGTTTCCAGTGATTGGGGGGGGGGGGGGGAATTTAGCGATCATTTCCAAACAACTTGTAATTTCTTTAAGTGGACCACTAGGAGATTTTGCCAACTGATCATTTTGAATGACACATGCATGTACTCAGAAAATACGTGTGTGACTACTACAAGGGCGTAGCTGTTCGCCTGAACAAAACCAGCCATCATATTGTTACCCATAATCATAGTCGAAAGTGGTCCCCACCCCCATCCATCCATATGTCCATCTATCGACTAAAATTCATGGACTAGTGTCTTCATATCATAGAGGGCATACTCTATATAAATTACAAAAACCCATTCTTCATCTGTATAAAGACTTGATGCATTGATATTTTGAAACAAAATTATATAAGACAGATTTGTTTCATAACATCTTAAAGACCAAACCGTAAATTGCAGTTGTCTCCCTTATACTAGGATTACTCCATATCATAGAAATAAAAACTGAAAACTGTAGCCGTTTCACGAATCAACATTCGTGTAGCTAATAACTCCCTCTAAATAATGCAGATTTATTTTGCCGTGTAGACTGCAATAGGGTCAATTAAATATGTGTTGATGTTCGCTCTTAAGTAAAGGACCGACCAGCCAGATTGCAAATGAAATGGGACCGAACACAAATTGGCAACCTATTCGGCTAGCGAGCTATTCGACCGATCCAGCTGGCAACCTGTTCGTTGGCAACCTATTCAGAATTAAGACAACAGTCGCCCAAAATCATCTATTTTTACCAACCAATAAAATCCAACGTTACGTCTATCAAATGAAAGTAGAATAATATATTATTTTTTATCCATTCCTTTAGCTCAGAATAGAGGTGTAATTTCGCATTATCGTACAAAATTCTAGACATCCAACCAAATATATTCCGAAAGGTAATTAAATAGGCTTTCCAAATATTATCAGTAAAAGTTGGCACAGTCATATAAAAGGGGTGCACTCTCTTCCTAAACATGACTAATTTTTTTAAAAATTTTAAAGGGAAAAACTGTTAATAACCCGTGTCAAAATTCGGACCATCGTACAAAATTCTGATGATCCAACTAAATATATTCTAAAAGGTAATTGAATAAGCTTTCTAAATGTCATTAGTAAAAGTTGGCACAATCATATTAAAGGGGTGCGCTCTCATCCTAAACGTCGCCAATTTTCTATATGTAAAAATAGACCGGTATTTTTTTCGAAGTCCAAATTCGGACCATCGTACAAAATTCCGAGCAACCGGCTATATATATTCTGAAAGGTAAGTGAATAAGCTTTCTAAATGTTATTAGTAAAAGTTGGCACAATCATCTTAAAGGGATGCGCTCTCATCCTAAACGTCACCAATTTTTTAATATTTTAAAGTGAAAGAACGGTAATATTCCGAGTCAAAATTCGGACTATCGTACACAATTCTGAGCATCCAGCTATATAAATTTGGAAAGGTAATTGAATCAGCTTTCCAAATATTATTAGTAAAAGTTGGCACAATCATATTAAAGGGGCGCGCTCTCAACCTGAACATAGCCAATTTTTCAATATTTTAAAGTGAAAGAACGGTAATATTCCGAGTCAAAATTCGGACCATCGTACAAAATTGAATAAGCTTTCCAAATATAATTAGTAAAAGTTGGCACAATCATATTAAAGGGGCGCGCTCTCAACCTGAACATAGCCAATTTTTCAATATTTTAAAGTGAAAAAAAGGTAATATTCCGAGTCAAAATTCGGACCATCGTACAAAATTCTGAGCAACCAGCTATATATATTCTGAAAGGTAATTGAAAAAGCTTTCCAAATATTATTAGTAAAAGTTGGCACAATCATATTAAAGGGGCAAGCTCTCAACCTGAACATAGCCGATTTTTCAATATTTTAAAGTGAAAGAACAGTAATATTCCGAGTCGAAATTCGGACCATCGTACAACATTCTGAGCATCCAGCTATATATATTCTGAAATAAAATTGGATAAGCTTTCCAAACATTATTAGTAAAAGTTGGAACAATCATATTAAAGGGGCGCGCTCTCAACCTGAACATAGCCAAGTTTTCAATACATGTATTTTAAAGTGAAAGAAAGGTAATATTCCGAGTCAAAATTCGGACCATCGTACAAAATTCTGAGCATCCAGCTATATATATTCTGAAAGGTCATTAAATAAGCTTTTCAAATATTATTAGTAAAAGTTGGAACAATCATATTAAAGGGTCAAGCTCTCAACCTGAACATAGCCAATTTTTCAATATATTAAATTGAAAGAACGGTAATATTCCGAGTCAAAATTCGGACCATCGTACAAAATTCTGAGCAACCAGCTATATATATTCTGAAAGGTAATTGAATAAGCTTTCCAAATATTATTAGTAAAAGTTGGCACAATCATATTAAAGGGGTGCGCTCTCAACCTGAACATAGCCAATTTTTCAATATTCTATATGTAAAGATAGACCGGTATTTTTTTCGAAGTCCAAATTCGAACCATCGTACAAAATTCCGAGAAACCAGCTATATATATTCTGAAAGGTAATTGGATAAGCTTTTCAAATATTATTAGTAAAAGTTGGAACAATCATATTAAAGGGGCAAGCTCTCAACCTGAACATAGTCAATTTTTCAATATTTTAATGTGAAAGAACGGTAATATTCCGAGTCGAAATTCGGACCATCGTACAAAATTCTGAGCATCCAGCTATATATATTCTGAAAGGTAATTGGATAAGCTTTCCAAATATTAACAGTTTTTCCCTTTAAAATTTTTAAAAAAATTGGTCATGTTTAGGAAGAGAGTGCACCCCTTTAATATGACTGTGCCAACTTTTGCTGATAATATTTGGAAAGCCTATTTAATTACCTTTCGGAATATATTTAGTTGGATGTCTAGAATTTTGTACGATAATGCGAAATTACACCTCTATTCAATCTGAGATAAAGGAATGGATAAAAAATAATATATTATTCTACTTTCATTTGATAGACGTAACGTTGGATTTTATTGGTTGGTAAAAATAGATGAGTTTGGGCGACTGTTGTCTTAATTCTGAATAGGTTGCCAACGAACAGGTTGCCAGCTGGATCGGTCGAATAGCTCGCTAGCCGAATAGGTTGCCAATTTGTGTTCGGTCTATGACCGGTAGGTAGGGCGTCTGGGTTAGAACTATTTGATAAGGTCAACTTCAAGTTTGGCCAAGGGCCACGAGACGTAAACACTAAACAGCGCTAGCGCTAATCCCAACCGGGCCTAACCCTGGATCTAGCTCAAATGCTTACCCTAACACTAACCTACAATCTCGCCAACAATCACGTGCCCTAGCCTTATTTAAATCTGCAGCGACGTGACGAAAATTGAGCTGGCCTTAACAAATACATGTAGATCATTCTGCCCTGGGCGCCACGTGAAGGGACCGCCACTATGATGTACTGGCAGTAAGAATATTCTCCTGCGTAGGCTAAGCTAAGAAAGGTGCAATTATTAGAGACTTTTGGCAAGGGGAATTTTTCCAATCCGTATCACGTATCCGTATCGTCACGCGATACGTTGCGTTAATGTAGTTTTAGAGTTTTGGCAGATTTTCGCGTACGTATGAGACGCTGAGCTTAGTTCTATGACAGCATGATGGCAGTTATCTACCAAGATCAACATCAGTACTAGTCGTTATCTACCAAGATCAACATCAGTACTAGTCAAGTGTCTAGCCAATAAATTACGCCGAGTTATTAGAAAAAAAATAATGTCGCATCTTATAAAAAATCTTCGAAATCGACTCGACAGCAATGTTTGGCTTCACTAATGTATCATTTCAGAAAGTTTATACATTTTACCATAGAATCACATTATTTACAGATTTTTAAGGTCCCACCTTGCAGACAAACAGACAGGTAAAATATGAAAAATCCGAGAAAAAAATCATCAAAAATAATGATTAAATTACAGTCTTTATCATGGTTAAAATCACATCAAATGTACACCTTCGTGTTCTAGGATTCATAAAAAAATCTGTCACACAGCATTTCAGGGTCTAAAAGTAGTAAAAAGGACGTTAAAAGACGACGATGTTATACGGAACTTTTCCGTATGAAAGGTGTTCGATACTGCCGTATCCGTGTGCCGTATCACGTATGAGAAATACACACACATTGATGACGTCACATGCAAAGTCGATACGGATACGGATCAGGAATTTACGCTTGCCTAAAGTCTCCAATGTAGGCCTAGTGCCATAATTTGTAAGTTAAAATTAACATGACTGACTTGTATTTTTGAGCTGCTTTAATGGTATAGTTATCTAAAACAAAAATTATGGCATTCCCGTGCTTGCCATAGGCGCTATTTATCGCAGATACGTCACGACTGGAATGGAAGCCGCGGGATTTCCCGGGGCTATCGTTGCCCCGCCAATCAAATTGCAGTAAGCCAATTAAATATTGTATGACGTGTTGATTGTATTCATATTCGGCCTTATTCTTGGCCACCTGCGCTTTACAAAATAGAATACATATACAATAAAATAAAAATAATATTTTAAACCTTATAAAATTCAGATTTAAGGATTTCGGAAATGAACACATCAATTTTACTCCATCAAATGAAATGAAATGAAATGGGGTTTAACGTCCTACTGCTCTGCTCCAACCGGGCTATACGCCATACAGTGTGTTATGACGGAAATGTTGTCCGGCAGTGGCACTATGGCCTACTCTACTCTTATATCGAATTCCAACCGCCAAGGGATCTTTTACGTGCACGCCACGTAACGACTAAACAGCTGTGATTGACAGACCCTCCTTCCTGAACCACAGACAAGGAGAAACCACGTTGGAATACTCCATCAAATGATTATTTAACCTATAACGTCGCTTCTTGTAAATGAAACATTTGAACAAATACAGTGTGTGCTGCGTGATAGATTGTCACCAAGAAAACATCCTTGTAGCTGATAACAGTGTGTGCTGCGTGATAGATTGTCACCAAGAAAACATCCTTGCAGCTGATAACAGTGTGTGCTGCGTGATAGATTGTCACCAAGAAAACATCCTTGCAGCTGATAACAGTGAGTGCTGCGTGATAGATTGTCACCAAGAAAACATCCTTGTAGCTGATAACAGTGTGTGCTGCGTGATAGATTGTCACCAAGAAAACATCCTTGCAGCTGATAACAGTGTGTGCTGCGTGATAGATTGTCACCAAGACAACATCCTTGCAGCTGATAAAAATGACAACTAAATCTCATTAAAATACAGATCTATATTTCGTTTCGTTTGGGTTATTTTTGTGTGCTTTCGATGACCTTCACTACGTGATTGTTGGCGAGATTGTAGGTTAGGTTTAAGAATTTGGGGGAGAGGTTAAGTCTCCACATAAGCACTGACCTAGGATGATGAAAAGTTAGTTCGTGATATTTCCTAGTTTTATTAAAAATACATACAATACATTAGATTTATATACAAAAGCGATTTCACTGTTTTTTGATGTTGGTGGCGCTGATGGTCTTCCTTGAATGGTACTTCTGATATTCTGGTATTTTTGTTTCTGATGAGGAAAAAGAATAAATTTGAGGCTCTCGGGGGAGAGTCACATTAGTGTGTTTCCTACTACGGATTGGATTTTCTAAAAAATCGTGTTTGTTCTACATCACCGGGATAGGACTAGGGATTCTTATATCTAGTTGATTTTTATTTACTAACGATTAGGGATAGGATTTGATATATGGTTTGTTTTGGGTTAGGATGGAGACTGGTCTTATTTATTCTAATTAACTGTGCACTAGGATGTCGTTCAGATTTTTATTTTTAGAATATGCAATTATAAGTTTCTGTGTGAATATTTTCGGGCGATTTTCTTGGAGATCAGTATAGTGTTTTCTGATGATTTTGGATGCACTTGTTGCTGTTGCGCTAAATGGAACTACAAAAGGAGCCTACAAAAGGAGCTATTGCGCTAGCCGTATGAATATTCAAACCTAGGGGAGCTGTTGTTTTCAATTTGTCAATCCAGAATTTTTCTCTTGTTAGCCTAAACGTTTTAATTTCTTCTGTAGTTTCAAAGTCGCTCTTGGTCTTTTCTATTGGCGTGACAATGCGATCAGAAATGTCATGATTTGGTTGGTTGAAATGAATTGAGACCGGTTTGTCTTTTTTGGTGACTCTGTTTGATCGGTGACCGTTAATTCTTTCCCTAAGTGCATTTTGAGTCTCCCCTACGTATTGCTTGTCACATTGTCTGCATGAACTTAGATAAATTATGTTTGAACTACTGCATGAAAGTTGGTCTAATATTGGGAATTGTGTGCCAGATGTTTTGTTATGGAAATGGTCGGATATTTTAATATTTTGCATGTTTGACATCTTGGATGGCCACAAGTTTTGGTTTTAACTGCTGATTGCATATTATTTGTTTCTTTAGCGGCAAGTTCAGCTAGAGTGTTGTTTTTTATACGTCGCAGATAGCGTTTGGAGTATCCCCTTTCTCTTAGTTTGCTAAGTCGGTCTTCTGAGTACATATCCTATGAAAACGGAGAATCTGTGATTTTATGATGCCAGAGAAGGTATGTTTGGGGTGAAAGGAGCTCTTGAACAATAATTGATGTGTATCGGTTTCTTTGAAAAATACTTTAGTTTCCAGTTGGCCAGTGTTTTTGGTGTTGCTACTTTTAAAGACGGTGGTGTCAAGAAAATCAATGCTGTTATGACTTACATTTGACAGATGGATGATGATTGTTCAGAATGTTGAAAAACGTCCAAAATTCGTCGAGTGTATACGACCAGACTATGAAAACGTCATCTATAGAAAGCGTCCATAGTAATCTAGTTTTAAAGGGCAGAGCGGCAGAACTTCCCTTTCCCACTCCGCCATGAAGAGGTTTGCATAACTCGGAGCAAATCGTTTTCCCATGGCAGTTCCAGAAGACTGGAGGTATACCGGATAGATAATCATATTGTTTTGCTGTTATATATTCCTTGTCCTACATAGGCGTAGGGGCTCGATGACAGTTAGGGGGGCAGAACCCGAAATGCCCGAAAACATTTCGGGTTTACAGACAGCAGCGACCTTGTATACCCCCCCCCCCTCCCCCAAAGACAATTTTGGAATATTTGACGGCTGCAAACACGTTTTCCTGCTATTGCAGCCGTTGAACAAAGCAACTTAAAAGTGGTCTAATATAGCCTAATTAAGGTGGCTGACTCGGAATTCCAATCAATCGTTTACAGTCCTCGAAGACGGGACCGTTAGGAGTAAATTTTGAAAATTTAACTGCCGCAAACGCGTTTTCCCGATATTTCAGCCAGTGAACAAAGCAACTTCAAGCGGTCTAATATAGCCTAATTAAGCTGGCTGACTCGAATTCCAATCAGTCGTTTACAGTCCTCGAAGACGGGACCGTTAGGAGAAAATTTTGGAAATTTAACTGTCGCAAACGCGTTTTCCTGCTATTTCAGCCGGTGAACAAAGCAACTTCAAAGTGGTCGAATATATATTATAGCCTTATTAAGGTGGCTGACTCAAATTCCAATCAATCGTTTACAGTCAACGAAGACGGGACCGTTGGGAGAAAATTTTGAAAATGTAACTGCCGCAAACGCGTTTTTCTGTTATTCCAGTCTGTGAATACAGCAACTTCAATTTGGTCCAATATAGCCTACCTGGCTGACCCGAATTCCAAACAACCAATCAATCGTCGCGCGGTATATGGAGGCCTCACCCTTCCGGAGAAAAATTTGAAAATTTAATCACCGTAAATGCGTTTTCTGCTATTCTAGCCCGTGTAAGCAACTCCAAAAGTATCCAATGGTTTTGTAACTGAAATCCCACTCTGAATTCTAACCATCCAATCAGACTGTTGCATCTGCATTCACAAATAATAATCGATGCCTGAAAAATGTCGCACAAAGTAGAGTGGCTCCAGACAAAATGTTTTAATCCATAGTCAACTCAGTACAAATTCGTGATATTCAATTACAAGAAAAGTAAAATTAGTGTTTTATTAGGGATCGGTGACAGTTAGGGAAGCAAAACTAGAAATGCCAGAAAAATTTCGGATTTATAGACAGCGGCGCCGGTTTTCTTTGAGAGGCGAATGACCCGGCAAGAAAATGCGTAAATGCGTTTTCTGCTATTCTAGCCCGTGTAAGCAACTCCAAAAGTATCCAATGGTTTTGTAACTGAAATCCCACTCTGAATTCTAACCATCCAATCAGACTGTTGCATCTGCATTCACAAATAATAATCGATGCCTGAAAAATGTCGCACAAAGTAGAGTGGCTCCAGACAAAATCTGGATGAACTTATCTGGATGAACTTTCTCGGCCAATGCAGTGATCGAACACCCGACCTCCAGGCTAGCGAGCCAGCGTCTTACCCACTTAGCCACGTGATCCCCACAGTTCGGAGCAGAACGGTAGGACGTTAAACCCCATTTCATTTCATTTCATTTCATTTTTTGTTTGTTTTTTTTGTTTGAATGGAGTTAGCCCCACCTCACTATTATTAAAATGCTAAAAATAATCCTACAGCGTGATTGGTTGAGCCATGTATAAATTATTATGAACAGTGTAACGGGGTTTCCCCTAGGAAAACTATGAATGGAATGGCTATATGACGCGCGTTTCTAAGAAAGCGTTTTCTATTAATTTCTATTAATAAGCGTGTCACAACCATACCAGTATATAAGCTTATATGGATTATTAATAGTCATAATCAGGTGAGACAACATTGAGCAGTCTGGATGTTCGCTGCTTCATTATTTACCGTGATTCATGGGTAAATACGCCAAGTAAAAGCTCTATGATTACGACATTTGGTGTGGGTAATCGTTGATATTCGTTGCTAAATACACTAAGTAAAGGAGAATCTGTGAATATGCCACGGTCAAATGGATCGGGTAGACCCCGTTTATCTAAACTAGCTGTTTGTCGAGATGTACTGGAAATTCCTCAACTACCAAAGCCCAACATGTCCACCCTGACGATAGGGGGGCATACATACGAGTGCAATGCTCAATGTTTTAAAAGAATTCGTCTTCTTGGACGCGGGGCGTATGGTGTCGTGGAGGAAATGCGACATTTACCAAGTGGAGGTTTAATTGCAGTAAAACAAATTCAATTTACAGTGAATAATAAAGAACAAAAACGTTTATTAATGGACTTGGATATTAATATGAGAAGTGGGTCATGTCCTTACACGGTAGACTTTTATGGAGCCTTATTTCGCGAAGGTGATATGTGGATATGTATGGAAGTTATGGACGCCTCTTTGGAACAAATATATAAAGCTATTAATTGCAAAGGAAATAGAATTCCTGAGCCCGTTTTAAAAAATATAGCATTGTCCGTAGTTAAAGCTTTACATTACCTCCATTCGGAGTTACAAGTTATCCATAGAGATGTTAAACCTTCTAATATACTGATCAATCGCAAAGGAGAGGTGAAGATCTGTGATTTTGGTATTAGTGGACATCTAATCGATTCCCTGGTACATACCAAAGATGCTGGCTGTCGACCATATATGGGACCAGAACGCATCAATCCTGAAAATGTTTCCGGGGGTTATGATATAAGATCAGATGTGTGGAGTTTGGGTATTACAATGATTGAGTTAGCCACAGGTGTCTTCCCATACTCTACCTGGAGTACCCCATTTGAGCAAATTCGACAAGTAGTCATGGATGCTCCACCTAAATTACCTGCAAATGAATTCTCCCCAGAATTTGAAGATTTTGTTACACAGTGTTTGCAGAAAGATTACAAAATGCGACCAAACTACACTCAATTAATGAAACATCCATTTTTGGTTTCAAAATCTGACGTCTCGGAGGTGAATATGTCTGATTTTGTAGATGGGGTTTTAAAGACATGTGCCGATTGAAAAAATGAACGTTTGTCAGATGAAGAATGCGTTTGGTAGTAATTTCGGTTATTATCAGATTTGAACACACTGACATAGAATGAAAGTAGAACTCCATTTTAAACCAAACCTAGAGTGCATTAGGCAATCATAATAAATCTTGCGGTAAGATCAAAGATGGCTTGTAATACTTACAGAAAAATAACATAAAAGCTTCATACCATACTGTTATTGTTAATGATATTATCGATGAAGATTTTAAGAAAGTGCTTCAGTGATTATTCGTATTTTTGATATTATCCATATAAAACATTCAGCCTACCCGTAGTTCATTTCTTCCATATATCGGATTGTCTTTATCTCAGGAATTGATTTATCCGAACAATTTCACGGTCAAATTGCACCAGGAATTATTGTACATATGATTAGAAATTAACTTGTTATTAATGTGTATGAAAATATTTCAGTATAGGACTCAAAGTATTGTCTTATTGTATATTATATTATTGTATAGGTCAGATATTATAGTGTCCAAAATAATAATAATAAAAAAAACAAACAACAAACAATCCTTAAATTGTTTTTGAAATCGGAGAAGATTTTAAGATAAAGCTAACTATGAAAACTCATCAAGGCATAAAATTATCATCATTGGGCATGTGTATAGGCATAATGTTGAGTATATAAGGAACGTGCATTGCAGATAAAGAGTAAAAACCCACAAAACAACGGATGGTCACTGAATACGGGTCAGGAGTGGAGATAGGGTAGATACTGCTCTCGTAATCTCATGTCCACCAGCTATGTAGGGTGGAGATACTCCTATCGTAATCTCATATCCATCAGCTATGTAGGGTGGAGATACTCCTATCGTAATCTCATGTCCATGGGATGGAGATACTGCTCTCGTAATCTCATGTCCATGGGATGGAGATACTCTGCACTCGTAATCTCATGTCCACCAGCTAAGATGTGTTTGGCTCGATTTATCGATTATCTAATCAGTATAATACTGTAAGAGGAATGTTTTTTTTATTAGGTCATTACCTAGATAAGGTTGAACTTGGTATTGTCATTCTATACTGCTATAGAATAATGTAGTTGCTTAAAGACAATTGTCTTTAGGAATCTGTATAGATTGGAAATAAGAGTTTGACTTAATTAGGTGTCCTGACCGACAGCATCTGGTAATCCAGATTTGGTCATAATTTTTGGCACCTAATTTTCACTAAAGAGTACCCTCACCTCCGAGCTAATTATTAGAAAAATGGTTAACGAATGGTTAATGCGCTCGCGTTGGATCATAAGATCTGCCATTGAGTCGATAAGTGGCGTGGTTTTGATTCCCAGCTTGCACGTGACTACTATAGTAGGTCGCCTGTCCAACCTCGTTGGTTTTCTCCATCTCGGTACCCACAAATAATTATTGTAGTTCGTCTATTTATAGCAATTCTATCACAAACAGTGAAGACTGGACCACTAAAATAGTTACCGAACAGTTTTTATTTGGGGTAATAATGCGTTCTACATTTTCAGAGCGATGTTTCTTATAATATGAAGCCGCCGTGGCACCGGCCAGTTGAAATAAGTTCGGTAGTTGAGAAATTTCGCGTAGCAGTTGGGTTTCATATCATATAATTATGCGGTAAGGCTTCACCTTTATTTCAATAGGAATTGGTTTATTATATGTTAAGCTATGTGCAGTACAGTTTTGGGCCAGTTTATATGTAAATTAAGGGGGCTATAGGCCAGTAACCTTTTTGTAGTCATTTGACTAATAAACTTGCGCAAAGAAACTCCGTAACACGAGCCACTACTGTGGCTGGAGTAATTCGGAAGACATCAGTAGTGGAACCATTTCTAGTTTTTAGTACGCTTCTTCAAGTTTGTCTATCTTAAAATTTTGGAAGTCAACCTCATAAATTTTTTATTGCAAAGACATGACTATTTGTTTCTCTGTCTGTAATGAAAAGCATTCAGTCCAACAAAAATTAAGGGAAAAGTTGGAGTCGGGAAAAGAGGCCAGAATTAACATTGAAGGCAATGGGGAAATTAATGGTGGTTTGCTTCCAAACGTCTTTTTGAAAATAGAGTTCCTTCCCTTGGACCAACTTAACAAAACTTCGCATGCACTCGGTACGTTCAGGCGAGTACAAATTCCAAAACTTGATTTTTTTTCACGATTGAACATGTTTTTTCTAACGCAGTGTAATTTATTTAAGGATGAAAGAAATAAATGAAAATTTAAAAACTTTTATAAATTAACTATACACGTGATTAGGCGTTATATTAATAGTTTTACATTTACTAAGTGAAGAGTTTGCCATCATTCTATATGAGCAGTGCAAGGTTCTTCAAAAACGAAGTGGTCCGAACGAATTCATTGACGAAACAGTGTCAAAGCATCGCATGTGAAAATAATATACAAACTGGATTAAGTTATTAATCATAAAGGTAAAGTCATCAGTTCCCTGTGACACAAAAGTTTAATTACGGGCCTCACTAGCTATCAGAAGCGATGTGGTGCGATAGCAATGTGTTGAACGTAGGTCTGTAATGTCAATGAGAACTACGTTCAGAGCTGAACTACCGGTACCCAATCTCGGGGAGAAAGGAAATGAAATGAAATTAGCATTGCCAACGGGTTTTCAGATACAACCATTGACTCAAAAATGACAACGATACTGCAATTGTGAACTATCTAGAATGAATAATCTGAAAAAATTTCGAAAAAATATTGAAAATTAAAAAAGTTATAGCGTTTTAAAGAAGGCAAACCAGAGGCGCTAAAAAACGGCTTTTTTTAAAAACCGCAAAAAAGTGACCGAAGCCAATATCTCAGTAACTATACAAGATAGGTCTATGAAAATTGCACTAATTAAAGATCTAGATGTACTTGATAAAGCCAAATTGTCGCTATAATATTCTAGTATATACTTTTTATGTTACAGAGGTTCAAAGTTGGGATCCGTGCCGATTTCGCACAAATCACAGCAAAAAATTTTTCAAATTTGTGTGTACTTAAATTGTAGCGCTTTGACATTAATACAGAGGCTTATTTTTTAATGAATAAGCACACATAAAAGTGTTTTCAGTCTGTTCTGTTATTTATTTTTTTGCATGACAACACCTTAAATCACAATTTTTGACTGTATGATGTCAATGTCGAAGAGAAACAAGTTTATGTATGTAATTGGGCACCTACTGGTTCCGAGGCCATTGACCACTGGCCATTCACAGTCATACAACAATTATAAACCGGTTATACTAACGTATACTGTGGATATTTTTAAAAATCATGAAAGTGTGTGGCAAAATGAGAAATAAACCTGTAAGCTTTTGGCAGATTTGCCTCTTTTGCCACGCCAACTGCTTTAGTTGTTTAGAAGCTGCCATGTACATCAATTTGAAATTGTTTGTTTCAGGAATGAAAATTAACAATTAAACTATGATTTATATAACAGCTATATTTTTGTGATCAACATCACTACAATTTCAAATAAAAACAGACATAATTAATAGACATAATTAAAACATTTGAATATCTTAAAAGAGTCCAAATTAAAAGGTAAGCTTATAAAAAGTAAGATATAATCTACATGAAAGAGTATTAAAAAAATTAATTTGTGATACATGTGCATTACGATATACTATATTATAATATCAGTGGTAGAAGTCTAGCTTTCTTGTTGAGACATTATCCCATGAAAATAAAAACAATATAAACATTCAGATGGTGATACATCTTGCCGAGACATTATCTATGTCATAAAAATATAAAAATATTAAAAACAAAATCACAATAAGATCAAAATTCATATCTGTTACTTTTTAATATGAAATTAAAAATGTTCACCCACCGGTTTAAAATAAATGATAAAAAAAAAGAAACCATTATCACATTTATCAACAAATATAAGATTTCTAATACATGTATCTTACAAAAACAAACAATAATAACAATATAAAATAATCACATTATTCATATGCGATATTTTTCAAAATAAACAAAAACATTTGACGCATCAGGCCACTTCTTTCAGGTAGAAAATGTTAAAAATAAAATAAATATTATCACAAATATTGAAATAACAAAAATAAGATTACTAACACTGATTTCAAACAATAAATTAAACTAACTTCTATGATTCATACCAAATTTATAATAATTATGGACTTTCTTGAGAATGCTGAGAAACAGTCAGTTTCAAGCCCCCCCTTTTTATAGTCCTCATGCAAATTGTATGAGTAGGCCTATATATCATCATCATTTGTCTATTTTATGTTGTACCAAGTAATATCAGGGATCGCCTTTGGCTATGTTTGGATTTGGATGAGTATATATTATGTAGCTTACTTCTTCAGCTACAGTTCCTGAAAAAAAAATCCAAGGTGGTCAACAACATTCACAATTTTTATCCTTTGTTAGTGAAATGTCTGGCTAAAGTTTGGTTGGTAGCTTTAGTAACATTCAATATAATAAAAAAAACCTGTCCAAATCTAACATCATTTTTTTTTACACTGAAGTCTGTGGGGGGGGGGGGGTTAATTATGGTCTGAACCCTGATCAACCACGAGTTACCTCCCTTTAATTCCACATGGTTCAATTTCAGCCATTTTACGAATTCCTACGGGGGATACGGACTTAACAAATGGTCAAACTAAGTAGTTAATGAATTGGGCTTTCCAAATATACCAAAATCTTGAGCGTCGAGGGCCTTTTTTGAAAATTTCTCTCAACTTCAAATTTTCAATTCATGAAAAATATCAGAAAATCTTACCTCAGCTTCTCAAAATCCTACTCGACAGCAAGTTCATCTATTTTTCTCGATGGTAAACATCACGTGGTCAATGTTTGACACTTTGAATATTCATGACAAGGCGTAACACGACGTATACTTTTCTCGGTCAACTTTTTGTGATGTCTGTAAATAGTACAGCCAGCGCTCCTAGCGGCGTTTAGCATCGCTAATGAAATGGGGTTTAACGTTCTACTGTTCTGCTCCGACTGGGCTAACGAAGACGGGCATGCGCCATACTGTGAGCTATGAGGGAAATTTTGCCCGGGCAGAGGCACTATGATGGCCTATCCTTTTATATTTAGAATTCCAACTGCCAAGGGGTCTTTTACATGCACGCCTATATGTATACACCGGACCCCCGTTATTTCATCCTATTCGAATGACAAGACAGCTGTCCTTGTCAGGCCCTCTGTCCTGCACCACTGACAAGGGGAAACCATGGCAGAAAATCCCTATGACCTTTTTTGTCCAATACAGGGATTGAAAGTACGCCACCTCCAGGCTAGTGAGCCAGCATCTTACCCACTTAGCCACCGTGGCTCCCCTTGGAGAAAGGAGTGCCTTCTTAACCTTGTGGGTTTACTCCGGGTACCCCGGTTTCGTCCCATTAGAAGGACACCAACACATATGCTGAATATAATAAAATAAAACTTGTCTGCAATATCACTCTCGGTAGAAGCGGACATTAAACCCTATGAACAGCAACAATGGCCTAATAATAGTCAATATAACCAATGATACCTTATGTTCCTGAAGCAATGATTGCAAGTTGATAAGGTGTGTACAGGTGTGTAGGGGGTTAAAACGATGTGAAGCCTTATTGAAGATGGCGAGAGGATTCGTAAATTGTATAATTTGTTCTGAACCTGTTTGTATATACGCATACTTATATGTATGTATTTGCAATAAACTATATTATTTTAAAAACAAAAAAAGAAATAAATCTCAAGGGCTCTGCTGTGTATCTCAACCATTTAAGAAACGACTAAATAGTTCACTTTAGCTTGATTTCTCTTGTTTGATTTAGTTTTGAGATTATTTGCCTGTAATTGTCAATCTTTGATGAAATGTTGGTTTCTATTGCCCTAACCAATCACTCATGATGTAGGCTACAGAGGCAACAGCTATATATATGATCAAATTACAACACAGACATAAGAAAACCACACCACCTGCCACGATCTGGTTAAATTTCAACACACTACTAAGTTGAAATATCCACATACCGGTACTAAGTACAAATTTTTGGTAAAAAAAAAATAATTAACATGACCCTATTTAGTTTCTTTAGGCTAGCAAGGATTAGAGGGTATTTTTATAGAAACTGTATTTAAAGTCTATATCTAGATTATATTTTTATATTACAGATGTTACAGTTAAAATGTTGGACGTCTGCGTTTGGATCTGTTCGAAGAATGACAACCGCCATAGATAAATCTTTATTAAGTAAATTACGTAAAAAGACTGGCTTTTCATTCATCAACTGTAAGAATGCTTTACTTCAATTTGAAAACGATTTAGTCAAGGTACCTGATAAAAATATTTATTTCTATATATACTATTCAAAAAAAGTAGGGGATATTTGATTTTGGGGGCATAATACTAAAATATGCAAATGACTACGAAAAAAGTCACTATAGAACCTAACAGAAGAAACATTTCCAGTTACATGTGACGCCCAAACGCACCAATAGCTACCGAATGGAATGCAGGTGATGCTTGGGATCATCATGGGGGTCCAACCCAAGATTTGCACGACTCTGACTTTGAATGTTACAGTCATTGTGGCATTGAATTCCAGGGTGGAAACATCAGTTTAATTGTCTTAGTGACCAGAAAACAAATTTTGATATGCGTCGGCTTACCCAAAATGAAAGGTTACGTGCCCTTGGCATGCTACAGATCGGCACAACACAGGCGGTTGTGGCGCGGACGATGAATGTTTCTCAGTCTGTCATAAGCAGGCTATGGTCCTGATACCGTGATACACAATCTGTACAGGACAGACCACTCTCAGGTCGACCAAGGGCGACAACTCAAGCCCAGGATCGATTTATCCGTACCTTGGCCTTGAGAAATCGTGTCATCACAGCAAATCAGATCAGCGCTCGTCTTCAAACAGACACTGGTGTGAGAGTGAGTGGCCAGACGATTCGGAATCGACTGCATAGGGGTCACCTTTGCGCCCGACGTCCTCGCGTGATCCCTTGTTTGAGAGATCATCACATTCAGGCAAGACGTCGTTGGTGTAGGGATCGTCAACACTGGGATAATCGACGCTGGAGCGATGTGATGTTTTCAGATGAGTCAAGGTTCACTGTTGATTTTTTTGACAGACGTAGGAGGGTGTGGCGTCGTCGAAACGAGCGCTTCCAAGACGTTAACGTCATCAGACATGATCGATTTGGGGGTGGTTCTGTTATGGTGTGGGGAGGCATCACTGTTGCTGGAAGAACGGCTTTACATGTTGTTGCAGGGCGTGTTACAGGCCAGTACTACCGGGACAACATCTTGGCAGTCCATGTTGTGCCGTTCGCACGATGTCATGGCCGCCGTTTCATCTTCCAGGATGACAACGCAAGATGTCACAGGGCCAGGATCGTTACAGGTTACCTCCAACAACAGAACATCACCACATTACCTTGGCCAGCACTGAGTCCCGACCTCTCCCCCATCGAGCATGTCTGGGACATGCTTGGACAGAGGTTACGTCAACGTCAACAACGTCCTGCCAATGTCCAAGAACTTGCTGCTGCGTTGCAACAGGAATGGGACAATCTGGACCAAAATGACCTTAGACGTCTCATTAGGAGTATGCCACGTCGGATCAATGCTTGTTTGGCAAACAGAGGAGGATTTACCCGTTACTGACTTGGTTGTGATGCTGTGGTAACTTTGCTGTTTGACCCCAGGTATTATTTTACCCTTATAATGGTCAGTCTGTGCCTTACTTAGTCTAACGATCATTTGGAATAAATCGATGAATGTGAACTTCATTTCATTTTGTCATTTGTTTCTTCGTCAGTTTCATTAGGTGACTTTAATAACACTTAAAAATCAAATATCCCCTACTTTTTTTGAATAGTATATTTGATAGAGGCCTGCTCTCATCATTACTGACTGATCCTAAAGACAACTAATATAAAAATATGGCTTTTCCTCCACCTGGATTCTACATACTCCTTGCATTGACTCGTTTGATTATACCTAATCCAACTTAACACTGCTGTTATGGAAGCAAATTTCTGTTCCAAATTATGACTGGTCAATAGTCCGATTAACAACCAATAGCTAACTGCGTAACAATATCACTATGCTTTAAAGAGAGCCCCAAATTGGACCAAATATGTTTACATAACGTTACGTCACGACTCACGATTTTATTATGCCCAATTAACCAGGGCATAGCAGAATATTGCGGAAAAACAAATTGCGTGACAAACGAGGCTATCAACACAGATACAATGCAAACAATACTGTTTGGAAACAAACAATACTTTCACCATTTTTAATACCTTAAATTTAAATCACGGTCCAAAGTTTTAGGGAAGATCCCAGATTAAACGAAGGGCTGTCATGTTGCTGTACTTGGGATAGATTTGATTGAACAGGAAGAATAGACAAACTCCCTCAAAAGCTCAAGTATCAGAATCCAATCGAGCAATGGCTAGAGAGGGATTTCTCGGACCATTGCTTCAGGAATATGGGGTTCTAAGGCTATTTTGGAATCCTTACCGTCTATTTTTCACTGTGGTTCTTCATTGATTGCCAAAAGGGATCATTTCTTGCCACATCCGACACAAATTTATAATAATCCAACAATAGTCCAAGACTTGGATAGGCTTACATTGATGCAATTTGATGTGAGGTGAACAGGATATGTAGAGGGAAATAACTCTACGATGGCTATCTTCTAGAGATAAACCTGGTAAAACTGGTATGTATTGTGAATAATGTGAAGATCTGTTGTTAATTTAGGCTGAAGAATGGTTGAAAGAACAAGCCCAAAAAGAAGGTTGGGCAAAGGCTACTAAGTTACAGAGTCGTCCAATGTCACAAGGATTAGTTGGATTAAGAACAGATCCTGATAATACATCGGCTACATTAATAGAGGTAATCCACATAATATTTTAGTTAGGTTATCCCACTGTGATGAGTTGTGACAGGATTACATGACAGATGCAGCATTATCAGAATTAGCTTGTATTAACCTATAAATAATCATTGCGGGTGACGTTGTCTACAGAGCTCCAACCTCGTGGGTTTTCTCCGGGTCCTCCGGTTTCCTCCCACTGCTAAAGACCCCTACACGCAAGCGAATTATTGAAATAAAATTAAACCATGTTAGTCCCGAAATGACCTAGTCTGTGTCGCGTGGACATTAAACTCCATTTCTCTCTCTCTCTGTCTACAGTGCAGACTCGACGCATAGATCAAATAATAAAGTCCTCAAACAATCTAATGTTATTGATTCTTATTTACGTCAGTGACAAAAGGAAAATTGATTCATGGTGTCTACGAAGATAAATAACAGAAGTAGCTAACTTCAATTACTCGGTGAAAGTTCCGTATAATTGAATCAGGCCGAGCTATCTGTTTATAAATATTCGCACACAAAAACATAAATTGACTAAACTTGACCATCTATTATTCTGGGTGTTTGTGTTTTTTAGGTGAATTGTGAAACAGATTTTGTAGCCAGGAACAAGAAGTTTGTAAACCTAGTAACTACTTTAACAACAGTGTGTAATAATCATTTTACTTCATTCAATAATAAAAAGGTAAAACCATTTGAGAAAATTATCAGCTTTCACAGTTCAACAACAATAAAATGGAAAGCAAGATTTTATTGAGCTGGCAACATAATTTTAAATGTCTGTGTCTTTCATTTCCTGAAAAGCGCTGAATGCCAAAGATGAGACTTGATGATCAGGATTAACCAGATATAATTTATGCTATAGGTATAATCTGTCCAGGGTTTATTTATTTCAGATATTACTAGAGAAACAAGATGTAAATTCTATAGTAACATCAGATGGTAGAACAATAGGAGACCTGGTAGCATATGAAGTAGGTAATATCGGTGAAAATATGGCTTTACGTAGAGCAGTTCATATGATGACTTCACCTAATACTACAATAAGTACATATGTTCATGTTTCAGGTAAGATTATCTACCTGTTTATATTGGGTGACTGGTACCTTGTCAAGGTATATACAGTTGACTACCCACATAGAAAAATTGAAAAACATTGATAAGCTAAGATTGGTATGATTAAAAGCTAGATTTTTTAGATTTGATTCGTGTTAAGTGTTATGTTTTGAGTTAAATGTTTTTAAATTTTTGTCTCCTATAATAAAGTTTACCACTAATTTTAATATTATTCCCACATTACGACTTGACTATATACCTTAAAGGGTCAGATTTTCATATTTTTAGACTTTTTGAACATTTTCTTATCCGGTATGCTTAATTGATTTTAAACCATATTTGGTAGTTGAGTTTGTTGATTTGTTCGATGGTGCTTGAGTTGCGACAAGGTCACCTGAAAGTTTTACAGATCATCAACTTCTTGCCTAAAACCACTGATTGGATTCCAACCAAATCTGGTAGATAATGTAGCTTGGTTGATGATTATTCAGATTCATTTTTTGGTATGTTAAATAAAGTCAGTTGGCCCCAATAGTCCGGGAGCTAGGTGGGTTTTGTTCAACATGAAAGGTGCAGAAGGTTTGGGATGCTAGTGATGTATGGCTGGGTTAGGAGACCCCAGAAACCCATTCTTAAGTTGTGGCAGTGGTGGGTGTGGTAGGGGGAGCCACCCATAGTACCCCCCAAAATTGGTTTATTCAACATGGAAGGTGCAAGTTCCACTTCAGTGGCATTTGATAGAGGAATGTGCCCTGTATTAAGAAATATAACTTAAGAATGGGATTTGTGGTGGAAAGGCCACTTAAGAAGAGGTCAAAGGTCATCAATTAGCAATTTTTCGATTTTACACTGAACATTTTTCCCGTTATCTAGTGACCTATTCCAGGTATGTTACACAGAACTACATGGACATGTTTCATACTGCTAGGAGGACAAATATGAGATATAAAATTAATGACATAATCTCCAAATTAACGAGAATATCACTTGATCCCCCCCATCGATAATTAAAATTTCAATCAGGCTGACCTTAAAAATATCTTTGTTTCGCCTAACGCGACCGACTAACTAAAACCACCCCCGACTTAAATTATTTTATTGCACTTTTCCGCGATCTTTTTATTTTATTTTGTGTGTCAACCTGAAATATATCATGAGAGTTATTTCCCTTTACTATGGCTATGGTTTGATTCATTATTGAAACTGATTGATCAAGACGAAAGCGTCATAGGTGTCGCTTCTCAACAAAATGGTTGCAGACGAAAGCACGTCCATTCCCACGAAATGATTCTGCCTCTATGTCTGTGGGGCGTCATTTTAAACATGACAACGATATTTTCAATATCCGTTTTCGCGAAAATTGAAGGCACAACCCGCACGATCGTTAAAAACGTGTTGAGGGAGTTTCAAACGTGAGTTTGTCGCAATTTGTGTGCGAGTCTTGCATCAAGAAAAATCCCGATGTCATTGATTTGTTTGCCAATAAAATAAGACGAATGTTTGCACCCGGAAAATTATCAAGCTGTCAAATTAGCTCTTAAAAAAAAAAATCTGAAAAAAACCCGGCCTACCGACCCTTCTCCTCGATAGTGGGTCGGGTTTGGTGAAACAAAGATATTTTTAAGGTCAGCCTCAACATGAAAGGTGCGAGAATGAAACCAAGCCTAAATTGTGCGAAATAATATCAGAAATCATTATCATCAACTAAAGAATGAAATTCCTAGTGGTCGGTGTAATTATAAAGAGAACTAGAATTGCGCGCAATGCTGAAGGCTTTCACTGTCGCCAAGGCGTCACACGATCGCTAGATATATGACAAAATACTATCCCCACCACTCCCCCCACCCCCCAAAAAACCCACACTCTACCATAACTCAGATATTGACCCCTAAACATGCTCCAACTCGTAAAAATACGCTGTTTTCAATTTTCGATCTCTTTTTTTCGGCTACAGGGGACAATTAGAAAAATTGTACAAGGGTTTCACACAATACACTACCCAGTAGAATCTCGATTGAGCAAGTTTGAAAAAAATCATTGGCGGCTTTTCCGAGAAACATGGGTTTAAACGTGATCGAAATCGTAAATAACCTTACTTTTCAAAGTCCCATAAATTTTTTAGTTGGCAATAAAATCTTGTTGCTATACCACCATCTCGTAGATAATTCACGTGGCTATCATACGACATAATACTTTAAGTACTCGGTAGACAACCAATTGATACATCGCATTTGGCACACAGGCACCCATTTTTCAGAATTTTGTCAAATTTTGAATACCTTTCTTGACCACTTCCGGTGATTAGAGGATTTTCATTTATAGTTCATGGACTGGTTTGATCTGTCGAATTCATAGTCCCGACGTTTCGTACCTTTCTAACCAGGGTAATTATATAACTGTTAAATTAAACAATGGATAACTCCTACCTCTTAAATGATTTATATAATTAGTAAATAATTATTATTATCTAATGATTGTTGTTTTGCGACATTTTTAATGTAACCAATATATACATTGTACTTTTATAATCAATATGATACTGTGCATTAGTCGTGTTTATGTTCTTATGTTCGGGACTTCGGAATCGTGTTCGTGTCCGCTACTGAAATATGTAACTGGTTCAAAAATTAAATATCGACAATTTTCTGGTTTCGTGCATGTTAAAGATTTGACGTCACTAACATGTAAAAGTTTACTATTAAATACAGACAGAGTCCAGGATCAAACAACTGAAGCAGTCAAGAGCCAGGATGTTCGCGACTACTTTGTTTTTTTATATTTACTGATACTATCATATTTCATTATTTGTTAGCGTAGGACATTGTCATTTATATATATATTAAACATGTATTATATGTCTTATCATAGAAGTCTATAGTGTTATGTTCTTTCGTAATCATTTGTTTAAATACCTTAATTGTTCGTACCTTTCTAACCAGGGTAATTATATAACTGTTAAATTAAAGATACATTATGGGAGATAAGATAAAGAGATGGCAGTTCTCGCCATAATAGTTAAAAACTAGATAGTGTAAAGGTAATTTGCTGAAAATTTCAGTCAAATTGATCCACTATGAGTCGAAAAAGAAGCCGGTGAAATTTTTGCATAGTCTCAGTTATCATTACTAAAATCATTAATATAAACAGCATAGTCTCGATTATCCACTTTTTCTGATTTAATTATCTTTGGCCGTTAGCGGCATATAGGAATCTAATCCAGCCTACATCGAAGGCTAGCCTTGACATCAAGAGTTTATTATGGTCTGGATAATTATTATTATTATTATTATTATTATTACAGCATATTTATAGTGCACCCTTTCATATAACATGTTCAGGGGCACTTTACAAAGTGACAATGTAAATCACACATAAACAACAAGATTATGGGCATGTTAACGATTGTATACAGAGTCAGTTAAAAGCCTGATTAAATAAATGTGTTTTAAGTTGTTTTTTAAAAGAATACAGAGATGTACAACATCTTAAACTAAATGGTAGATTATTCCATAAAACAGGTGTTTGATAACTAAAAGAGCGCTGACCATAGGAGACTAGTTGAACAGTTTTGGGCTTTAAAAGTAGTTTATCTGATGTACGTAATGTTCGGCCAGGTGTATAAAGTTCTAAAAGATCTGAGAGGTAAACAGGAGCTAAATTATTTAAACATTTAATAGTAAGTAATAAAATCTTAAAATCAATTCGATATTTAACAGGTAACCAGTGTAAATTATATAAAACAGGAGTTATGTGGTCACATTTCTTAGTTAAAGTAACAAGTCTAGCCGCAGTATTCTGTACTTTTTGTAATTTATCTATAAGCTTTAAAGGTAAACCAACTAAAAGTGAATTAATGTCTAATTGATAATTTAGATAACATTTCAGGCCTAAAGAAAGACTTGTAATAAGCAGATTTTGCTCTTGCATAATGCATGGTTAAACAATGGCTAACTCCTACCTCTTAAAATGATTTATATAATTAGTAAATAATTATTATTATCTCATGATTGTTGTTTTGTGACATATATAGTATAACCAATATATACATTGTACTTTTATAATCAATATGATACTGTGTATTAGTCGTGTTTATGTTCTTATGAATTGAATTTCTTCATGCAATATTTGTAAATCGCCAGTAGGAATAAATGTCTCTTATATAGATACATTATGCTGGCTGGAATATTCAGGGTGCATTTGGACTGCGTTGTATCATACGGTCTGTCGAGTCAACTGGCGGGGTTTCGATTCCCGGTTGTACGTGACAAGGAATAGGGTCGCCTTTCCAACCTCGTGGGTTTTCTCCCGGTCCTCCCACTGCTAAAGACCCCTACGCGCAAGCAAATTATTGAAATAAAAAAAAATAAACCATATGTTAGTCCCGAAATGACCTAGTTTGTGTCAAGTGGACATTAAACCCCATTTCTCTCTCGCTCTCTCTTTTCATACACATATATATCAATTAATCTCTCTATAGAAGGACTTCCCCCAAAAATATTATATTGCCTTTTTGAGAAAAAGACCTCTAAACATGCTCGTACAGTGGCGCTAGTCTTCTTTTATATAGAATTCCAACCACCAAGGGATCTTTTACGGTCACACCAATGTGTACACGGGACTTCGGAATCGCGTTCATGTCAGCTACTCAAATATGTAACTGGTTCAAAAATTGGTTGAATATTCAATAAAATATCGCCAATTTTCTGGTTCCGTGCACGTAAAAGATTTGACGTCACTAATAAAAATGTAATATTAATTACAGATAAGAGTCCATTCTCAAACAACGTCATGCCTTTTATTACAGGTGCAATATTCGATACTATTGCACGATACTAATGCAACAGTTTACTAAATTGGACTTTCTTATAAACAGCGAGAGCCGTCGATTTCTGTCCAGATGATTACCGGTATAAGATAATTTTGACAAAGAAGCAACAATATTAATTCAAAGACTAATTATTACACACAGCAATCAACTATTTCTGTTACAGGGTCACTAAACCCAAATTTTGGATAGAAGAAAACACTAATAGTTGAAATAATTTCAGTTCAAATGTCATCACTGATAAAAGCACGCTTGAATAGACTCTATACATTGACAAAACGTACAGATTGTATCCCCCCTTATGTTTCGCTTAACAATGAAAGGTGCCGTGTTCCATTTTCGATCCCTTTGTTCTGCTACTCCTGAAATTTGGAACTGTTGTACAATGGTTTTATATATAACACTACTGATAGGCCTCTCTGTGGAAGAAGTTCCCAAAAAATATTATGTTGACTTTCGATCTCTTTTTTCGGCTACCCCTGACATTTCAAAAAATGATACAGTGGTTTCACACAACAGAGTATCCATTTATCTCTCGATTGAGACAGTTTTAAAAAAATCGTTGGGGGCGTTTCCGAGAAACATGCGTCTAAAGTTGCTCGAAATCGCAAAATACCTTACTTTTCAAAGTCAAATAACTTTTTTATTTTCTGATAGAAACTTGTCGCTGAAGTACCATCTGATAGACAAGTCAATTGGCTATTAAATGATATAAAACTTTAACTAAACGACAAGAACACAATTGATACATCGCATTTTCTGCACAGACACCCATTTTTCACAATTTTATCAAAGTTTGGATACCTTTCTTGACTACTTCCGGTGATTAGAGGATTTTCATTTATAGTTCATGGACTGGTTTGGTCTTTCGACTTCATATTCTTGAAGTTTCAGAAAAATCGTTGGAGCCGTTTTAAAAAAATAAGAACTCTACGATTTGACCAAAATGCGAAAAAAAGTGAAAAATCAAAGTTAAAATTTCAGAACAAAACTAATATTGTTGGAATCGGATTGATGTCAGCTATCCAAAAATATAACTGAAATTTCAAAATTCCCAAAAATAAAAATTTTAGAAAATTTTGAAAATTTTCCATTTTTCACCAAAAAAATGAGAGCGACAAAGTTTCTAAATTCCACAGTTTTGAACTGCTATCGGCTCAGAAATTAATGTATCACTATTATCATCAGAGATGAAGAGAAAACTTAACATTCCGGCCTATTTTACTGTTTGTCAATGATTTTTTATGGGCATTGATCACATCTGCTGTTCTTAAGTTCATTTACCACCAACATATTCATTCTTAAGATTGTGGTCGTGAATCCTATGATCATCCCCTACATGTTGCACCCTGTTCCAATGTCGCACCTTTCATGTTAATTGAATTTCTAAGGGGTCACTCGGTGCAAACCAGCATTATTCTCTTCTTAATTACACCGATCACTATGAATTTCATTCTTTAGTTGATGATAATGATTTCTGATATTATTCCGCACAATTTAGGCTTGGTTTCATACTCGCACCTTTCATATTGATTAACATTTTAATTATCGATGGGGGGGGGGGGGGAGGTGTCAAGTGATATTCTCGTTAATTTGGAGATTATGTCATTAATTTTATATCTCATATTTGTCCTCCTAGCAGTATGAAACATGTCCATGTAGTTCTGTGTAACATACCTGGAATAGGTCACCAGATAACGGGAAAAACGTTCAGAGTAAAATCGAAAAATTGCTAATTGATGACCTTTGACCTCTTCTTAAGTGGCCTTTCCACCACAAATCCCATTCTTAAGTTATATTTCTTAATTCTGGGCACATTCCTCTATCAAATGCCACTGAAGTGGAACTTGCACCTTCCATGTTGAATAAACCAATTTTGGGGTGGGTGCTATGGGTGGCTCCTCCTACCACACCCACCACTGGCGCAACTTAAGAATTGGGTTTCTGGGGTCTCCTAACCCAGCCATACATCACTAGCATCCCAAACCTTCTGCACCTTTCATGTTGAACAAAACCCACCTAGCTCCCGGACTACAAGTGATGGCCTACCTCCACCAGAAGTCAACATGGCCTCTAGTTGTAGCCAGTATAAGGCTAAAATAAATATCGCAAAATATCATCATATGTTAACTTTACATTATATAGCAATATAGATAATTATATGGTTTCTAGTATCCATGGTTACCTTGCTACCTATACATTGTAGTCAGGACATTTTCAACAGGGGAGGTAACTCTTCAGGTATAATTATGGGGGTACTCGATTAAACGTTCTGGAATTGAATTCTCGGAATCCCAAAAATAGTGACACTCGAGTGAAAGGGGGTATTTCGGGCTACAGCGCATGCTTCAACTGGATAAGTAAATATCTCAACCAACCATGCAGCTGAAACATATTCGTTGTGTTTAATTACGTCACAATTCTACTCACACCACCTCCATTGTCGGGACTGACAGAACTGTGACAGGAATGAATTTCGCATCACTCACTGCAATTCTATCAATTCTAGACGTTCTGGACTGTGAATCGAGCATCCCTTAATTGTTACACTTTGTAAAATAAATTACCAGTAACCATTTCTCTGTCTTTACAATCAGTCGGGTTCACAGTGAATATCAGAAAGCTCAAAGTTAATATTTCTGACCAATCCGCCATAAGATCAAGAAAATTAATAAAAGTAGATACATTTTATGTTGAATGTACCCAGACTGTTATTTATGGTGGTCAACATATAGTGATGGTCTAGGGGACAGAGGCTATAAATATGGTTTTATTAAAATATCACCCACCATTAGAAGTATGACATAGTATCTTTAACTATTCTAGTTTAATATTTATTTTTCTTGTAGGTGATGAAATAGAGGTCAGTGAAAACTGTCAACTGGGAAAATATGGAACCATTGTTGAATTTGAAAGAATAGAGAATAAAGATCAAACTTTGTATCTTGTAGCGGATCCTTTTCATGTTAAACAACAAATATGTCAGCATATTGTGGGAATGAATCCTAAAACGGTAGGAACACAAGATGATGAACCAGTATCTAATAAAGATGAGGAAACTATGTTATTATACCAGGAGTTTCTCACTGATCCAACCATCTTAGTTAAAGATGTTTTACAAGAGAACTGTTTAATAGTTAAAGATTTTATTCGGTTTGAATGTGGTGAAACATTACCAGGTGAAGAGTTATAGAACTTGGACAAATTTTATATTTATTGTATAGTCAGAATTTGAGTACAAGTCAAATAAATTAAATATTTGTCAAGTTGAATTATAAATATTAATGGATGTAAACAGTCTTCTTCTTAAAGAGTTGGATAGAAAGCTGGTGTCCTCTACAGCAGCAAAGTCTTCTCCTCAAATGGTCCTATTAATTAAGCTTTCATATTACATATGAAAGCTTATTGTTTCTGTTAAGATTATTATTGTTATTTTTTTTTTGTGTTTTGTCCACAAATCGGATTTCTCAGAATCTAACCATAGGATCGTTCTGAAACTTTTACCTATCCCCCCAAAAATGGGTGGTGGCTGTTGATTAAATATATTTTCAAAACGTTTTACGAATCCGAAATCACCGAATTTTACGAAGGAATGCATTTGACCTACAATGCTGTAACTTTGTGACTATTTGACCTATTTTACTAATTCTTTTTTCTTTGAGTATCTTGAAACATTTACTTCAAATCTGCAATTTCGGATTTTGGCATTTCGAAAATTCGTCGCTGTCATTTCGAACCGGAAGTTATTACCAATTTGACAACTTCTTTAATAGTTGTGCGATTTTCGTGAAATTTAGAATGTTAGTAGATCTTGCCAATGCGACTTCAATGATGTCCTTGGAAATTTTCTAAATTATCTCCCCTTGGTGAAATTAAGGATCAAAGTTTTCAAAAAAATCGTCGAAATATAGGTCAGAATGACCTAAAAAAAAAAAATTCGATACTAGACAAGTAATTACTGATTCGTACACAAAATATGGAGTTTGTCGATCGAACCGGAAGTGCCACCATCTTTAAACGTGAAAAATCAAAAAGGCTTTTTTGCTATTTTACTTACAGACTCGGGCGTCATATTTTCGGAATCCTGGAAGGAATGCCTAAAAATCTATCGGATCAGAATTTTGATTTCGGTCACGTGATGGTCACCATTTTGAATTGAAAATGAAAAATAGAAGCAATTTGAAGGGCCGGGACTTTGGAACACAAGAACTCTCCTTCTAATTAAGCTAGAATGTTCAAACTTGGTGTAGGCGTTCACTAGGTCAATGTCATGATTGAGTTCAAAGATGAGCATTTTTTGCCTAGGGTAAGCAGAGATAAGCAAGCTGATTTGTTGATTCTTTAGGGCACGATGACATTGGTTATAATGAATGGAGGGCGATGAAACTCTTGTCAATCGAGAGGCTAATAGCTGGCCTGTTGTGTGAAATCATTGTATCATTTTTTGAAAATGTCCAGGGTAGCCGAAAAAAGGAGATCGAAATCCAAAAAGTCGTATTTTTACGATTTGGGGCATTTTTAGAGGTCGTGTAAAGTAAAATAAAGCATGCATATACATATATTATTGATATTAAATATATCATATAAAAAACTAAACAATGAATCAGCTGTCATTGACAGATTTTATATTATAAGCATGGTCAGTGGAAGGTCAGCGTATTGTCTAACTTGAACTCACTGACTCCGTAACATTATTGTGGGTATGGTATAAGCTGAATTTGATGAGATGCACATATCTGGTATGACTATTTGGTACTTACAGTGTTAGACTTTGTCGTAACGTTACGGTCTCCATTCATCAAATCGTCGTTGGGGCTATAATACGATTTTGAATCAAGTTATTTATCACTGAGGGACTCAAAATTAGGTTTGATGTAGCTCTGCTCATTTTTCCTATTATTATTTTTTTTTTTGTGTCATTTCTACAAATCGGATTTCTCAGAATCTAACCATAGCATCAATCTGAAACTTTGACCTACCCCCCCAAAAATGGGGTGCGAATGTTGATTAAATATATTTCCAAATCGTTTTTCGAATCCGAAATTACCGAATTTTACGAACAAATTCATTTGACCTACATTACTGTAACTTTGTAACTATTTGACCTATTTTACTAATTCTTTTTTTGAGGGGTGCCTTGAAACATTTACTTAAAATCTGCAATTTCGAATATTCGAATTTCGAAAATTCGTAGCTGTGATTTTGAATTGGAATTTGAGATCAATTTGACAACTTCTTTAATAGTTGCACGATTTTCATGAAATTTAGAATGTAAGTAGATCTTATCAATGCGACTTCAAAAATATCATTAGAAATTTTCTAAATTATCTCCCCTTGATGAAATTAAGGATCAAAGTTTTCAAAAAATTCGACGAAATATAGGTCAGATTGCCTGATTCGTACACAAAAAATTGAGTTTGTAGCTCAAACCGGAAATGCCACCATCTTGAAATGTGAAAATTACATAAGGCTTTTTTGATATTTTACTTACAGACAAGGCAATTATATTTTCCGAATCCTTGAAGGAAAGCCGAAAAACGGTAGAGAACACAATTTTGATTTCCGGCAAATGATGGACGCCATTTTGAATTGAAAATGACAATTAGTGAAAAATCCACATTTATGGGCTTGAAAACATATACAATTGGTCGTGACCTAGAGAATATGTCTCCTATTACCGAAATTAATATATTTCAGGATAGCCTGGATCATGGTCGAACGTTGTTTGGTATTTGAATATTTCAAAAATTTGAATTTCTCCTTTGATGTTTTTCGTGCCGACAGGGTTGTTTTCGAGTTAATCTGGATTTGATTTCGCGCATGCGCTACGCTGGAACCAAAGGTACCATGAGTACTAAATTCCGGCGAGCAACTTTTCACGTTGGTACCTAGGTACCCTGAAAATTTCAAGGTGATACATGCATTCATTCAAGTCGTTTGTTCTTGTCACCTGCCTTTCGCCGTTAAATAAATATTGGTCACCGGGTGCAGCTGTACAACTTCAAGGACCCTGGCCTCAAGTCAATTTACGGCTTCCATGAGGGGAAAAAGTGGAATTTCGCCGTGACACCGGCACCGATTGTCCGAAAACCATGAAATTTGGACACAATACACCCATTACCACCCCGGACTCTGTGCCTTACCCCCATTTTGATCCCATTAAAAAAAAGAGTTTTAGCAAAAAAACGATTTTCATAATTTAATATTGGTTTTAACCCTGTACCCAGACAAGATATACATATTATTATAATCCCTATGAAATATTTTAATTATTTACTGCTATAATATGAATTATCACTTATTCCCCGTTAAATAAATATCGGTCACCGGGTGCAGCTGTACAACTTCAAGGACCCTGGCTTCAAGTCAATTTACGGCTTCCATGAGGGGAAAAAAGTGGAATTTCGCCGTGACACCGACACCGATTGTCCGAAAACCATGAAATTTGGACACAATACGCCCATTACCACCCCGGACTTTGTGCCTTACTCCCATTTTGATCCGATTAAAAAAAAAGAGTTTTAGCAAAAAAACGATTTTCGGAATTTAATATTGGTTTTAATTAATTTTGAAATTGCAAATGCAAAGAGATTTTATCGCCTCTTCTGTATGTGATAGGTATTGGTACTATACACATTATCCTTAAAAGACAATTTTTTAAAATGACCGTAACGATGTATCGACACTAGAAACCGAAATCGCCTATTTTGACCTTTTTTGACTGCTGAGGCATCCTTCCGGTGGTCCAAATCTCTGGAATTTCTAGCGGTTGGCTGCGCCGCGATGATATTTATCACATAGTAAATTGAGAAAATCCTCAGATATCAAGAACAATAAAAATTCGATAAAATACGGCAATTTTTTAAGCAAAAAACCTTTGATTGTTGGGGGTGGGTTTTGAATTTATTTTGAACGTTCTCGGAATCCAACACTCTTCTATTTTTAATATGTGATAGCTAGAATCCCAAGGTACATTCTGTGCAAATTTGAAGGCAATCGGAGCACAGGAACGTTGCCTGGGCAGAGCAAATCAAAGGTTTCTTCGTCTTATGACCTTAAACACTGCGTATAAATTTAAAGTCAATCGGATATTAACAGCAAAAGGGGGGCGACGACAATATACGACCACATTTCAATGTGGGCCTATAAAAAGTAAATCATTGCCAATAGAAAAGACCCACCTTTCCCCCAACAACAACCATGTAATGCAGTAGCTATAATGGGAATTTTTCTGGAACACAGCGAAATGGGTCTTTTAAAATGTTCACATGTGTATCACAAGGAGGGTTTGCTTCTTCTCTATGGGACACCCGATACCACTTCTCAACGAGGAATTCAGTCACACAGCCAACACCATTTTGTATGTTTGTGTAATCTTTATTCAGTATAAATCAAGTAATACAAATAAAAAAATACTTGGATTGATGAAAACATAATTTTTGAGAGTTATTCATACATGTAGCATAATTGTTCTCATTTAAAAAATGTACATGATTACATGTTTGTCATTAATAACATTAAATAAACAATCATGTTTTCCTTTTTTTTTATTTTTAGAAAGGCCACTTCCTTGGTTTAAAATATATCATAAATTGTAGTTATCTAACATATACTTCCATGTATGTTTATCTAACAGATTACCACGTCGTCTTATCTAACATACTCTGTATTTTTCCCCATCTTGTTCATAAGGTAAATGTTATTTTTCAGATACCTGATGACATTTATACTTATTGTTTCAATAGATTCTAATAACCCCCTTTGCAGTTAATATGAAAGCTTTCATATCTGCTATGCAGATCTAGTTAAGCTTTCATATTACATATGAAAGCTTATTGTTTCTGTTAAGATTATTATTGTTATTTTTTTTTTGTGTTTTGTCCACAAATCGGATTTCTCAGAATCTAACCATAGGATCGTTCTGAAACTTTTACCTATCCCCCCAAAAATTGGTGGTGGCTGTTGATTAAATATATTTTCAAAACGTTTTACGAATCCGAAATCACCGAATTTTACGAAGGAATGCATTTGACCTACAATGCTGTAACTCTGTGACTATTTGACCTATTTTACTAATTCTTTTTTCTTTGAGTATCTTGAAACATTTACTTCAAATCTGCAATTTCGGATTTTTTCATTTCGAAAATTCGTCGCTGTCATTTCGAACCGGAAGTTATTACCAATTTGACAACTTCTTTAATAGTTGTGCGATTTTCGTGAAATTTAGAATGTTAGTAGATCTTGCCAATGCGACTTCAATGATGTCCTTGGAAATTTTCTAAATTATCTCCCCTTGGTGAAATTAAGGATCAAAGTTTTCAAAAAAATCGTCGAAATATAGGTCAGAATGACCTAAAAAAAAAATTCGATACTAGACAAGTAATTACTGATTCGTACACAAAATATGGAGTTTGTCGATCGAACCGGAAGTGCCACCAACTTTAAACGTGAAAAATCAAAAAGGCTTTTTTGCTATTTTACTTACAGACTCGGGCGTCATATTTTCGGAATCCTGGAAGGAATACCTAAAAATCTATCGGATCAGAATTTTGATCTCGGTCACGTGATGGTCACCATTTTGAATTGAAAATGAAAAATAGAAGCAATTTGAAGGGCCGGGACTTTGGAACACAAGAACTCTCCTTCTAATTAAGCTAGAATGTTCAAACTTGGTGTAGGCGTTCACTAGGTCAATGTCATGATTGAGTTCAAAGATGAGCCTAGGGTAAGCAGAGATAAGCAAGCTGATTTGTTGATTCTTTAGGGCACGATGACATTGGTTATAATGAATGGAGGGCGATGAAACTCTTGTCAATCGAGAGGCTAATAGCTGGCCTGTTGTGTGAAATCATTGTATCATTTTTTATTCGAATTTCTCCTTTGATGTTTTCGGTGCCGACAAGGTTGTTTTCGAGTTTAGCTGGATTTGACTTCGCGCATGCGCTACGCTGGAACCAAAGGTACCATGAGTACTAAATTCCGGCGAGCAACTTTTCACGTTGGTACCTAGGTACCCTGAAAATTTCAAGGTGATACCTGCATTCGTTCAAGTCGTTTGTTCTTGTCACCTGCCTTTCGTCGTTTTTTTTCTAAGTCAATTTACGGCTTCCATGAGGGGAAAAAAGTGGAATTTCGCCGTGACACCGGCACCGATTGTCCGAAAACCATGAAATTTGGACACAATACGCCCATTACCACCCCGGACTCTGTGCCCTACACCCATTTTGATCCGATTAAAAAAAAAAAAGTTTTAGCAAAAAAACGATTTTCGGAATTTAATATTGGTTTTAATTAATTTTGAAATTGCAAATGCAAAGAGATTTTATCGCCTCTTCCGTATGTGATAGGTACTGGTACTATACACATTATCCTTAAAAGACAATTTTTTAAAATGACCGTAACGATGTATCGACACTAGAAACCGAAATCGCCTATTTTGACCTTTTTTGACTGCTGAGGCATCATTCCGGTGGTCCAAATCTCTGGAATTTCTAGCGGTTGGCTGCGCCGCGATGATATTTATCACATACTAAATTGAGAAAAATCCTCAGATATCAAGAACAATAAAAATTCGATAAAATACGGCAATTTTTTAAGCAAAAAACCTTTGATTGTTGGGGGCGGGTTTTGAATTTATTTTGAACGTTCTCGGAATCCAACACTCTTCTATTTTTAATATGTGATAGCTAGAATCCCAAGGTACATTCTGTGCATATTTGAAGGCAATCGGAGCACAGGAACGTTGCCTGGGCAGAGCAAATCAAAGGCTTCTTCGTCTTATGACCTTAAACACTGCGTATAAATTTAAAGTCAATCGGATATTAACAGTAAAAGGGAGGCGACGACAATATACGACCACATTTCAATGTGGGCCTATAAAAAGTAAATCATTGCCAATAGAAAAGACCCACCTTTCCCCCCAACAACAACCATGTAATGCACTAGCTATAATGGGGATTTTTCTGGAACACAGCGAAATGGGTCTTTTAAAATGTTCACAAGTGTATCACAAGGAGGGTTTGCTTCTTCTCTATGGGACACCCGATACCACTTCTCAACGAGGAATTCCGTCACACAGCCAACACCATTTTGTATGTTTGTGTAATCTTTATTCAGTATAAATCAAGTCATACAAATAAAAAAATACTTGGATTGATGAAAACATAATTTTTGAGAGTTTTTCATACATGTAGCATAATTGTTCTTATTTAAAAAATGTACATGATTACATGTTTGTCATAAACAACATTAAATAAACAATCATGTTTCTTCACGATAACAGTAACAGTATAACAATTGTATGAAATATATTTTCCTTTATTTTTTTTTATTTTTAGAAAGGCCACTTCCTTGGTTTAAAATATATCATAAATTGTAGTTATCTAACATATACTTCCATGTATGTTTATCTAACAGATTACCACGTCGCCTTATCTAACAGAGAGTAAATGGTATACAATATCAAATTATAATCTACCAGCATTACTTGTTTCAGTAATTTAATCGTGTGTTATTCTTGTATTTAAGTGAGAAGAGTGAATAAACTATCATGGGTTGAAACAAATATATTGGAGTAGAAATAAACATTGTATATTGGTTTGCAAATAAATAATTGGTACAGATAATGCAATGTCATACAACATACTTTTTGGATTCGGTACAAATACAACCTTTTTATCATCAATGAAAATAATGTGATTTCAAAGTAACGATGAATAAAAAAACATTGCTTATATAAAGTACATGTAATTGGGTTCATTTAATTCACTTTGTATCTATAATATACATGTAGTATTAAACAATAAATATATTGATTAATGCCAATTCTATACAAATCTCATAGTTGTATTCATGTTTTCTTTACCATAACAAGAAACAGTACAACAGATTTAGTAACAATATATTCCTTTCTACATCCGTCAGAGTGGTTGATGATTCATAGATTCTAATAACCCCTTTTGAAGTTTATATGAAAGCTTTGATATCTGCTATGCAGATCTAGTTATTTTTATGTCTGTTTTAACGCTTGTCATTGAGTCAACTGGCGTGGTTTCAACTCCCCACTTGTACAAGGGGTAGGGTCACCTGTCCAACCTTGTCGGTTTTCTCCGGGTATTCTAGTTTCCTCCTAGTGATTGAACCATATGTTAGTCCAAAAATGACCCAGTTTGTATTTAGTTGACGCTAAACCCCTCTCTCCCCCTGTCTGAAATTCTGTGGAACATGTGATGCAGCACCATCAGATGGTGCAAGGATGTAGGTTCAATTTCTCCAGATAATTGTAATGGACGCAATGCAACAAACAATTGAAACCCCAGGTTCGTAGGGAAGATGGGTCAAATTGGGAATAAAAACTTTTTATTGAAGGATACTACATGCACATATAACAATGATATTTAAAAAATAACGATAGGTTGCCAGACAACGAAACATATGCCTACAGCAGCCAAGTCGTCCATGCAGTCAACAAGGGTTGTCGCATATTTTTTCTTTTTGTCAGGAATAAGAGCATTTATAACACACGAAAATCTGATTATGAGTAATAACCCATTAAGTAATCATTAGAAATTATTTCAATTTTTTGTCTTATGACCTTAAACATTTTATATTTACTTTAGCCTCTAGAGCGTCCACATGTTTTTTCAAAGTGTTCAAGGGCCATAGCTCTGGCAGTAATTATTAGAAATGGTTGAAAATGAATAGGAGTCTTCTTCTCATGACCTTAAACAGTGTGTATAAGTCTGATATAAACTGCAGCCTCAAGAGATTCTCTAAAAATTTTCAAAGAGGTCAAGGGCCATAACTCTGACAGTAATTATCGGAAATAGTTGAAAATCAATAGGCTTCATCGTCTCCTGACTTTAAACCCTGTATATAAATTATAGGAAATCGCAGAAAAGCAATAGGTTTCTTCGTCTCTTGATCTTAAAAAGCAATTCACAATTATTATAATTAAATGTACCATTCACAAAGTGAAGATGAAACCACAGTGGCTCAGTGAGTAAGCCGCTGTCTCGTTATTCAGAAGGCAAGAGCTTTGATCCCTGTGCTGGCCGGGAAAGATTTTCCAGAGTGGCCTCTTCTTGTCTATTCGTTTTAATGGGACGAAATATCAATGTCGCAGCTACACTTTGATATAAAACAACCTTTTACACAATTGTCCTCACAGGGTACTGTATGGCCGTCTTCATTTTCTCAGTTGATAAGAAAAATAAAACGTTAAATACCATATCATTCATTCAAAAAATGAGGAGGAAATACAGCAGATTACAGCAACATAAAACCCTAGGACAAAAATTACCAGCAAAACACCATTTAATTAATATAAACCATCACCAAAACACCATCTAATTAATATAAACCATCACCAAAACACCATCTAATTAACATAAAAACCACCACCAAAACACCATTTAATTAACATAAACCACCACCAAAACACCATCTAATTAACAAAAAACCCTAGTACTAGAATAATGGCAAATCGCGTACTATGGGGGCAAAGAGCCTTTACAATTCCTTTGTCCATAGCTTCAATCCCAAATCACCCCTTGGCTAACTCATAATACAAATCTGACAGTCAGTTTTCTAGATGGGGAAGTCCAGGCGCCCCTGGAGGTTCCAAATGTTGACCTATTACCTTCTTGGCCCACCTATGATCAAAGTTAATGCGTCATCATTGGTAGTTGATACATAATCATGTATATAACTATCATTTGGTATAATAGGAACATTAGATTGGTCGGTTCCTCTCAAGAATTCACAACTAGAAAAATGTCTCCAGTGTTCAGCTACTGGACTTTCTGCTTCTTCCCAATCTCTTAAAATACCTCTACAGAAGGCACATTGTACTCGATCAGCGGAACCAAGATAGTAAAACCCTGCCCGTGCTAGTTCAGCAGGTCTAACAGCTAAATATCTTGGCCAGTTTCCAAATGTTCTAAGTCTTGCTTCTTCTGCTGTCATAGTTTGTCTGGTAGAGTCTGCTGTTAATACAACACTAGCTGAACTGAAATGGAAAAACAAATAGAAAATAAACTGGTTTTAGATCTTTCTAGAAGCATAGGTATCCATAGCTGGAGTAACTTATGGCCTATTTTTTGGCCCCTTGGGGGGTACTTTAAAGATGGGTTCCCGCGTACAAACTGGGTGATGTAATGGTATATATGAACTAAAAACATATTCAAACTAATTAATTTGTCATAATTATGCTTCAAATCCTTCTCAAACATTGTAATTGCGAAGGAATGCCCTGCTATTAAAATTCGATCAAACCAGGTCATGTTTACGTCACGCCTTGGAAGTCAGAGGAGAATTCATTGCATACATAAGACGATGTTGTCTTTAATCGCTTACTAATTATTACAAATATCGGATCGTAATTAAATTCTCGGATTATCCACTACCCGCGTCTTTTTCCGTCATTTTTATCTCAGAAAGTGTTGTACGTCTAACTTTTCATAAAGTTTATCAACTTGTACATCAAGCGCTCAATGTTCGCGTGTGACCTTTGAAATCAAGCGTGCAGAAATTCTTAATCGTCGGGCTGTTGATTAGGGGAACCCTTACATTTTTGTCCTGTATACGCTCCATGACTGTTTTTCGGGTAATCCAGTATTTTTCTAGTAAGATTGGATATCTCTACTTTCCATATATACCAAAATTGCCATACTTTTATTGGAAATAACCGCCCGATAAATACTTTTCTGGGAACCCATCTTTAAGGTGCTGATGTGGCTATATGCCCCAGCAGTACCACATCTGGCCAATTGATTTTTACTCGTATGGACACCCACTACAAATTTGGGTGGCAAACCTTTTGTAACTGATGACCATATTATTTTGCCATTATCTCCTGGACTATACGCTATAAATGGTGTTCTCATCCGATGACCAAGAGAGTTGATTATAGGCTTTGTCATGTTAGTAAAAGATTAAATAATAATTTATGTCACATTTGAGGCGAGAAAACGACGTACAATAGGCAGATTTAGCTCTTACATAATGTATGTTGAAATAACAGGATGTTATAAACATATATACATGTACATTTAATTTTCTGGGATGTGAAATAAAAACATTATTATAAAGGATGTTTATTACTCACCTTGTCGTAACCACTTTATTTGTCAAACTTTGTGACCAACTGATGTACACAGCGTCAGTCAATCGACACCCATGTTCCGGTATTTGATCTGTAGTCCAAACCGAGGATGAGAGGTCTGAACCTGAACTTGCATCCACCGGTTCACTGTCGTCCCTAGGTGATGAATCGTCACACACTACAGGCCCTTTATTTCTGGATCCGCAACAATAAGTGTCGTGCAAGGTTTTCAATATTTTATCATAAACAATCACCCCAGGAACTAGGATATCGACATTTTCAGATTCATTATTCATAAAATGACATCTTGGATTTAGATCTTTGTGGACTTGGAGTGGGTCTTCATATTTCAACCAGTTATTTTTAGTAACACCACAAGTAAAACACGTGACAGTATCATCTCCTTCTCTGGTACTAGTAAAAACAAATCCAGCTTTAGCTAATTTTATTGGTCTTCCTTCAGATTGTCTAGGAAATGATTTAAACGATCCTAGTCTCATCCATTCATATTTCATACAATCTGATGTAGATGAAAAATCCTCATAGACTCCATGTTCCCTGGACCAGGACTCCAGTTCATCCACGGTAATGGACTGGTAAATTGCTGTAGATGTTTTCTGAGACATGCGGAAATTGGTTTTAAATTACATTTGTGTTAAATATTGATGGGTGATCACCATCACAGTTTCCGATGATACCACTATTCGATAAACAAAGTAGAAAAAAACATACAAGTTGATGCAAGATGTTGCTGCTGTAGGGGGCTTCGGTGTAGCAATCACATTTATTGACAGGGTCTATTTCATCTAAAATGGCTTTATTCAGTTTTAGGAATACCTCACAGTTTTTGTTTATTTTATTTATATGATCATTGGCTGATTTATTAAACTCGAAATACAAATAATATCTTTGTTGAAGAATAGCAACTAGGAAATATATATCACAAATAAGGTACAAACGCATTCCGAACGATGGGGTTTCCACTACAGACGATATTTGATATAATCAACGCATATTTTGATTTTGTTTTTTTAATCGAATGTTAAATAATCAATTTAGGTCGATTTTAGCCTTGATTCACAAAAATAATAATGAAAACTATCTGGTTAAATTATGTCCCGTGCACAATATATAACACGAAAGAATCAAATGTTTAAAAACGAGATTATCAATTCTGCACAATAATGATGTAATAATGATGGATGGTTTTAATTAAAACTTGTTTTCAGATGTACAGTATCTCATCACTTTAATGATGTTTTAGCTGCTTATATTCTCTGAAATTAACATAAAATAACATTTAATTACATATATAGCCAATTTACTCTGTCTAGAACATTGGACACCATCTTGTGTATGTATACGGAGAACGACGCTTGACGGGGTGGGTGGGTGTGTGGACTGGGGTTAACTACAACAAACCGATACAAGTAAAAATACTAAAACACTGAAATCGTGTACTTACGCCCAGTCAGAGGATCCTATGCTTTCACTAATGATTTGTTTGTGTTTAAGTTTTGCGTGACGCAATATCACCCGATCTGGTGAGTCATTGGGATTACCCGGGTTTTATAACATAGGTGTTACTTACCTACCTACCAAATTTAGGTCATTTGGCAGGTAGAAATATCCCCATGTTTATTAAATTTATAACGTGACAACACGACCGCACCTCCTTCTCCCTCCCAGGTCACTCAGCCATCTAGCGAAATGAAATACCCACCAATGAATTAAATAAAATACCCATCAATGAATTAAATGACATTTTGAAGTATAAATCCTCTAAATTACGTATTATATGCAAAGCAGTACAGTAAAATTTACCTGTCAGCGTGACACCTCTCCTACAGGTTGTTGTTATTAACGCTATGTAATAGCGGATGTCGTCTTTGATTCAATAGCCATGTCAGTTATACGGAATGAACATAAATGCAAGGTCTGTTAATAGTTTGTTGGCGTAAAGCGTGAAATATTATGACTGCCCATAATTAAGCAATAATGTTGATGTAATCACGAATAAATTCAAGATAGTCATGACTACACGGCGGAGAAAGCGTGTGGCATTAGTCTGGATGTTAAACTCTAAATGCAACTAACCCATTTATTGTTGGCATTAATTCACGTTTCCTCGACACTAACTCCAAAGCTAGCATTTACCCTAGCATTAGGCCAACATTTAACCCTAGCACATTCTTAAATCTAATCCTAATTATAATGCCAAATCCCCTGACTAGCACAATTCCAATTATCAATTGCATTAAGCCAGTTAACCGCAGCATTAAGCCAGTTAACTGTAGCATTAAGCTTGTTTACGTGTAGCATTAAGCCAGTTAACCGTAGCATTAAGCCAGTTAACAATCGCTTAAATCATTTTAAAACTAACATTAATTAAGCTTTACGAGCATTAAATGCTGAAACCAACCCAACCCGTTAGTTCACTTATCTCAAGAATTAATCCAATTATCACTAGCATCAAACTCAGTATTTACTAGCATTAATCCAATTATCACTAGCATTAATCCAATTATCACTAGCATTAATCCAATTTACTAGCATTAATCAATAATCACTAGCATTAATCTGGGTATTTGAAATACTAGCATTAAAGATACATTATGGGAGATTCGATAACGAGTTGGCAGTTCTCATTATAATAGTTAAAACTAGATAACGTAAAGGCAGTTTGCAATTTCATTCAAATTGATCCACTATGAACCCAGAACTAAGCGAATGAAATTTCATTACCAAAGTCTGTACGATAAACAGCACAGTCTCGATTATCCATTTAACCGTTAAATCGTGAAGGAAAGTTATGCAGTAAATCGGCTCATAATCCACTTAAGATAGCAGGCTAGCCATGCCATTTAGAGTTGATTATGGTCTGGATAGGTTAATTAATAACTAATTAATAATTTAGATAACATTTCAGGCCTAAAGAAAGATCAGCAATAGACAGATTTAGTTCTTGCATAATGTATGTTTAATCCAATTATCCATAGCATTAATCCAATAGCTGATTAGAAATTACAGTAAAAACAGAAACGATTGAATGTAAATCAGTTTATATACTTTCATATTACATTATTATATGCGTTGCTTCCCATTTGTGTCAATTTCTAGGTCCCGAATAGTAGAGATTTAGTTCCTTTAAGAGTAGAGTCTTTGATTAACCAGTCCAATTAACCAATGCATAGCAGAATATTGCAGAAAAACTAATTGCATGACAAACGAAGCTATCAAAACGTTTACAATGTAAACAATACTGTTTGGAGACGAACAATACTTTCACCGTTTTTAATAGCTTAAACATGCATTATGCAAGAGCAAAATCTGCTTATTACAAGTCTTTGTTTAGGCCTGAAATGTTATCGAAATTATCAATTAGACATTAATTAACTTATCCAGACCATAATAAACTCTCGATGTCAAGGCTAGCCATCGATGTTGGCTGGATTAGATTCCTATACCCCGCTAACGGCCATTGATAATTAAATCAAAAAAGTGGATTATCGAGACTATGCTGTTTATATTAACGATTTTAGTAATGATGACAGAGACTATGCAAACATTTCACCCGCTTCATTCTCGGCTCATAGTGGATCCATTTGACTGAAATTTTCAGCAAATTACCTTTACACTATCTAGTTTTTAACTATTATAGCGAGAACTGCCATCTCTTTATCTTATCTCCCATAATGTATCTTTAAATCACTGCAAATTAAACGAGGGTCTGTCATGTTGCTGTACTTGGATAGATTTGACTGAACGGGAAGAATAGAAACACTCCCTCAACAGCTCATGTATCATAAGTCAATACAGCAATGGCCAGAGAGGGATTTCTCTGGGACGGACGACCCTTTTATCATCCCTTAAAAACACTCACACCCCATCCTGCAGTTAGAGATGAGTTAATTCGAATTCCGCGTACAACATTAATGTTTGAGGAAGACAAAACGACGGCGGGGGGGGGGGGGGCAAGGTGAAATGGCCCAAACTGAAGACTTCAGCCTACGAATATCATCCTTCCTGCCTATGTAAACTTTTACCTCAATTGACATCCAAAAACACATCTTATTGTATCCCCGACCCATCCTTCGTCCCTTAAGAATGTCTCCTTTACACCACCAGAGATGAGTTAATTCAACTTCAGCGTACAACATTAATTTTTGTCGTTAAACGATTCACTATTATTCGAAGGGTTAATACGGGTTTATATAGCCCAGCTCACCAGATATCAATATGGAAACACGATGAGGTACCTTTATGGTGATAAAATTACTTGAATTGGTTTAAGTTTGTACTATGCTCGATGAGTGGACAGGGGTGCCCGATACTCTGAATGTGGGTGCCTGCTTCTGTTTTAAATAACCTTCTAATTTGGTGGGAGATGTTGCCGCGGAATGGTATAAAGACTCGTATCAATGGGGTGTATCATTTTTTTTGGTTTATCAAGCATAGTAGACATTTTGTTCGCGATTTTCGCAGCAACCTAAACCTAGCTCCCTTGCTATTATTATTTTACAAATCCAAGTTTATATAAACAGATCGAGCTGTTAAAAGTCAATAATTTCAAAGAATTGTGTAAGCTTGATCTATTTTTATATTTATCGTTTACAAAAAGAGTCCAACATTTAATTTATTAACTAATTGGCTTTATTTAACATACATTGTTATTCTCTCTACATTGAATAAATCTAATAATCTTGTAAATAATCTTGTAAATTTTTGTATAATTTCTATCTGATGAGTCGTATGACTCAAAGAATTAAAAGTAATTGAACTTTATAAAACGATATTAAGGGTAAACGATTGTAAGCCACTAAAATGAAATGGAATGGGTTTAATGTCTCGCTCCTAGTTATTTTACTTGTTTAATTTAATACAATAAACAGTAAGAAATTTAACAAACTTACAAATCTATCCGTGACATGTGGACTGGTGAGTGCCATGTTCTCCTTAGAAGACCTTTTCATTTCTCAGTTTTGATCTCCAAATGATACGTAACATTACTTAAAGATACATTCTAACGTACAACTGTGTGATTTGATGATATATTTGGACTAACAACATATTCAAACTAATTAATTAATCTACCAAAAATTTGCTTCAAATCCTTCTCAACACTTTGTATTCTATTTTGAGAAGCCATGTATGTCACCTAACTTGATTGAAGGGGGGGGGGGCATTTTTCAGAATGTATTTGTCATTACTTACTCTCAATTTACCATAGATATTGAGGCCTAAGTAAATTCTTAAATTAGAGTCTGGTATACGTTTACGCTTCAATGTTCCCAAACCTATGGGTGGGGGTGTTGGATGGCCGAATGGTTAGCACGTGTGCGCTGTATCATAAGGTCTGTCATTGAGTCAACTGTCATGGTTTCGATTCCCCGGTTGTATGTGACAAGGAGTAGGGTCGCCTGTCCAACCTCGTGGGTTTTCTCCGGGTCCTCCAGTTTTCTCCCACTGCTAAAGACCCCTACGCGCAAGCGAATTACTGAAATAAAGTTGAACCATGTGTTAGTCCCGAAATGGCCTATGGAAGAAATACGTCGCCAATATTATTTCAGTGTTCACGGTGCATATGTCAGCAGTTTAAAATAGGTACTTTAGTTTTACAATTTGTAATTTCCATTGCTCCACAATATCAATGTCACAGTGATAAAATACAGAATATACTTTACAATAATACTAATAGAATAGTTTGTATTATAGACAAATGTCAATATGGGTGTTTTTCGGGTTATAAAATTCAATATATTTCTAGTACGATTGGGTGTCTGTACTTTCCATGTACACCAAATTTACCATACTTTTATTGAAAATAACTACCCGATAAATACTTTCAGGACAATGTGTCATTCAACCAATTCAAGAATCTTTACCACCATAAAAGGACCACATTGGGTTTCCATATATTTCTGGAATACCCGGTTTTATTCATTAAGTCGATAACTAGGTCACTGCGTATGAATATACTTTAAAGGACTTTATACATTTTAAAGTAAGTAGCACAGTGTTCAAGTCAAGGAAGATTCATAAAATATACACGTTGCTGTAATGTCAAATCATTTATACGTGACACGTAAGTAAAGTTAATATTTCTTATGACACAAAATCAAGTTATTATAACGAACATCTTGGTTGTAACAATTAAATCGTTGATGAGTTAATTTGTGTATCAAAGTAAGTATTTATTTTCTAACAGTTAGAATTATTACTGGTATATGTAAAACAATATGGAACAATACACAAGAGTCGCGTTACTTTGAAATGGTTATTCCTTAGTCTAGTGATTTAGACAAAAATGACCAATTTTTAATTATTATGTTTTAATATATGTTTTAAATCATTATATATTTTATGCCAACATGTCACGTAATATATTATAAACGCCTATAGGCTGGAATGTATAATATGATTAATAAGTACACTCCCCTTGATCCGTATACCAGTCACGATAGTAGTGTATAGATCTATAGTTACTGATCACGCCATATCACAATTTATAATTAAAATATGATAAGATAGAAGTAGACTGTTTAAACTGTATATTATACTGGTATTACTAACTGGTAAAATATTTAGCTAAACCCACAACTTATTGTATTAGTATTACATCAATTTTATTTGGACATCAAAGTAATCGTTTTTAATAATAAGAAATAAAGCGGAGAGGCGCCTTATTCTGAGCACTAATTATCGTCGCCATTAGGTTATCTGTGCAAGTTTGACTATAATAATTTATGATATTAATGATCTCTGTATAGTATAATAATTCTACAGAATAAACTAAAACATAGAAATATTCAAAAACTAAAAATGGAAATACCAGATATAAATACGTATCTATAAATTATGATATGACTTATTCCGCCAAGAACCACTCTGGAAGTTATGATTTGTTCAGTTAAGAGGAATACCCCTGGGGGTGTTTAAACTGTTAAACTTCTTTGGAGGAGAAAGTTTTCAGTAATTATGCGTTCAAATTTATGTAACATCTCATAAAAAAAACCCACTGAATGTTTCTTCATTAGACAATTCTAGACTCCAAGGACACGATTGCTACTAAAAACTTTTCATTCCATCATAAGGGAAGGAAATACACGATGTTGTCGTCAAGCCAATGAGGAAACGTGATAGAGGAAATAAAACAACACTTCCTTGATCACTCGGCAAATCTCGGCTGTATGACGGTAAGTTATATGTGAAAATGAAATGAAATGGGGTTTAACGTCCTACTGTTCTGCTCCTATACTGGGCTAATGAAGACGGGCATACGCCATACAGTGTGCTATGAGGGAAATTTTGCACGGGCAGCGGCACTATCGCCTACTCTTATATCGAATTCCAACTGCCAAGGGATCTTTTACGTGCATTCTAATGTATACTCGGGGCCTCGGTTTTTCAGATCAACCGAGGGACTAGACAGCTGTCCTTGTCAGACCCTCTGTTCTGCACCACTGACAAGGGGAAACCACGTCGGAAAATCCAGATGAACTTTCTCGGCCAATGCAGGGATCGAACACCCGACCTCCAGGCTAGCGAGCCAGCGTCTTAACCACCTAGCCACCGTGGCTCCCAAGTGATATGTACCTACGCCTATACAATTGCGATGCGGCAACGGTTTACTTATTAGGAAAACTTGCCGGTTTTAAAAAGAAGTTATTAAAATTGCGTGGTTCGATGCGCGTGTAGAATTTTCAGTGCAAAATTGTCCTTGTTTGAAGAAAATCGGATAAACTTGAAAGAAAAAAAAGTTTCAGGCTTTGAAATATTTGTCTGATAAAACATTATTCAAAGGCGTCGTCATGGGCAACGCCGTTGGTATTCCGGGAACTTGAAAGTAGTTCCAATGGTGGACTTCGTCATACAGCCGAAGCTAGATGTAGGGTACTGGAATCTGGTGAGGTTTGCCGAGTGTTCCTTGATGTTGGTATAAATTTAAACAGTAGCCAGTAGGCCGATTATTTATTGAATCTTTCTATATCCCACAATAACGACTGACTAGGATAATGTATCGTAAGGTATTGAATATACATGATGTGGAATACCATACATATTACAACAAATATATTTTCACTTTCATTATTGGTTATAAAGTATTGGTTCTCGGATATAGGGTAATAGAACTGTGTATAGCGGACATTAAATGGAACTTTTTTTTCTGTTTTGAATATCAAAATCATATAGGGATCGAATGATGTACGGCTTATTACCATACTCAATCATGAAGGGCAGGATGTTAGAAAGGCTATTGGGGAATCACGTTCCTAAGTGGGTAAAACGCTGGCTCGCTAGCCTGGAGGTCGGGTGTTCGATCCCTGCATTGGCCGTGAAAGTTCATCCAGATTTTCCAGCGTGGTTTCCCCCTTGTCAGTGATGCAGGATGCAGGGTCTGACAAGGACAGCTGTCTAGTCGTTCGGATGGGACGAAAAACCGAGGTCCCGTGTATACATTGGCGTGCACGTAAAAGATCCCTTGGCAGTTGGAATTCGATATAAGAGTAGGCCGTAGTGCCGCTGCCCGGGCAAAATTTTCCCCATAGCACACTGTATGGCGTATGCCCGTCTTCCTTAGCGCAGTTTAGGAGCAGAACAGTAGGACGTTAAACCACATTTCATTTCATTTCATTTAGAAAGGCTATTATAGCCTAATCTTCAACCATTCTTAAATAAAGTCATTATTATTATTATTATAAGACGAAACTCGTTTTCTAGGAATTTATTTTATAGTTGAATAGAAACGGGTTTCACCGTTTATTATGAAGCTATTCTTACAATAATACGAAAGTAAAAGAGAAATTTGTTAGAGCCTTGTCAAGAAATTTATTACATTCTGTTATCCTTTCATACGTTAAACTCTATGGTGGCTGACCGGTATTATATCGTGATAATTAGGGAAAATGGACAAGAGTGAATCATCATATTGTTTATTTATCAGAATATGGTATCTGTAACTACACTGCCTATTTCTTTTGAAGTCATGAAGTTCTGTCGAGTGTTATACACGGATCATGTGTAGCTTGTAAAGGACATATTGAATTAATTAGGTGTTTAATAAGTCCGTGCCATAACAGTAGTTTATACAGAGGTGAAACGTCAATATCATATATTTTCAAAACTAGCTAAGGTCAATAAGTTCACAGAATCTAAATAATAGTTCGTATTTTATAAAATAAAAAATAAGCACTTTGTCACACGCCTTCCAAACTTTCATTCATTATAGTAAAAAGAACCCACGTCGTGAAGTACAGAATAGTAAGAATATTGAACACTCATGATTGTATCCAACAGTAGTGATGACATCGGATTGTATCCGACACCAGTGACACACGATAGTGTCACATTCTTTATTACTAAGGAGGTGACCAGGGTAGTCTTAAAGTCCCTATTGCAGGACCGTGTGAGGCGTGTCACAAGATCGCGTGATATGTGTCGCAGGATAGTGTGAGACGTGTCGCAGGTTAGTGTGAAACGTGTTGCAGGATTGTATGAGACGTGTCGCTAGATCGCGTGAGACGTGTCGCTGGATCGTGTGAGGCGTGACACAGGATATTGTGAGTTGTGTTACAGGATCCTGTGAGACGTATCACAGGTTTATGTGGCCGCGGAATGTCACATAATTTGGTGTTGTGACACAGAACAGTAGTGTCACATACCTCATGTTTGAAGTCTGTGACCAGGACACAAGTGGCACGGTGACAAAGATGACATTGTAGTGTCACAGGTAAACTTTAAATACAATTTTCGATTGTCAGAATGTTTACTTCTGTAGAGATTGGCAAGAAATAAAACAAAATGTCGTCCATCATACGTTTCTCATACATGTATTATCATGGAGGAATTTCGGAATAGGCCAACATTATTTATTGTCTTAGGCATTCATTTTGTTATATATTATTTCATTACAGGTGAAAAATTACCAATACCATGAGCAGTTATTAAATTGAAGACAATGCTATGTTTGGATCATTTGTTTTTTGACGTAAAAATTATTGTGAAACGTTTGTTGAGGACTTTTTACATATATCCAAAACCTTTATCGTCTTCTCTTGAAATACCAACATTTCACACAGAAACACCTAAGGTGATTAAGAATCGACGATCTGCGCGTTCTAAAAAATTAAAACAAATAAAATCTATCAATAATAATAAACGGAATTTCCTGAATGACCCGGAATTAAATATATATATAGTGTGTCAACTTGTATTGACTCTATTTTTATTATTGTTAATAACATCGGATGTCATAGGAATAATTATATACATTCAACGAACCAGACTAATACATTACCAAAACCATGTGTGTTACAAGGGCATACCAATCCCTTTCCGTGGAAACGTTAAACCAAGCCTTACATAGAGATGTTCAACCAACATCAGATTGTATGAAATATGAATGGATGAGACTAGGATCGTTCAAATCATTTCCTAGACAATCTGAAGGAAGACCAATAAAATTAGCTAAAGCTGGATTTGTTTTTACTAGTACCAGAGAAGGAGATGATACTGTCACGTGTTTTACTTGTGGTGTTACTAAAAATAACTGGTTGAAATATGAAGACCCACTCCAAGTTCACAAAGATCTAAATCCAAGATGCCATTTTATAAATGATACATCTGAAAACTTCCCGATTTTAATACCTGGACCAATCGTATATGATAAAATATTGAAGACCTTGCACGACAGTTATATTGGCGGAAACACCGAGGCACGTGGAGTTAACTCTGGACATGACAGCAATACACTGAGACACAGCATCGTTGAACGAAATAGACAGCAGATAACACCAATCAATAACTCCGAGATTAACGACTACAGACGCGGGAATGAACACCAACATACCTTGTTGGTACAAATTCAACCTGAAGATAGGTTAGAATCAGATCTTAGAAGTAGAATGTTACCAAATGAATCCATGAGGTCAGTTCAATTTAATGGAACGAATACTAATTAAAGTAATCTATTTTTCACGCTTATATTTTTATGTTCAGTAGCATTCAAGTTACATATATAAACTGGGCCCTGTTTCTCGAAATCTTACCTAAAAATAAAATCCAAATTTTAGTAGATACTTCAATTTTGATTGGCTAAGCACTAAAACCAGTCTTATATTATCCAATCAAATTACTAAAATTTGGATTTTGTCTTACTTAAAATTTCGTGAAACAGGCCCCATAGTCTTAAATTTGAATGTCTTGGCAGTTGATTTATTCTTCTATAAATTCGGGTGTGTTCTTCTATCTTTTGTGGATTCATTTCATGTCTTTCCATTTCAGTTCTGCTAGTGTTGTATTAACAGGTGATTCTACCCGGCAAACTATGGTTGTAGAAGAAGCAAGACTTAGAACATTTGGAAACTGGCCAAGATATTTAGCTGTTAGACCTGCTGAACTAGCACGGGCGGGGTTTTACTATCTTGGTTCCGCTGATCGAGTACAATGTGCCTTCTGTAGAGGTATTTTAAGAGATTGGGAAGAAGCAGAAAATCCAGTAGCTGAACACTGGAGATATTTTTCTAGTTGTGAATTCTTGAGAGGAACGGACCGATCTAATGTTCCTATTATACCAAATGATAGTTATATACATGATTATGTATCAACTCATCCTCTGAGTTCTGCTGATGAAGATGTTAGAACGGCCACTATTTTGAAAACCTCCAATTTAAATTTGCTACCAAGCAATACTCCAGCTACAATAGAAGATCTAGGTATTATAACTGAGATGGCTTCATTTCCAAATCAGGCCATATTGGCTACTCGGGTAGCAACATTTGCTAATTGGCCTAGACGATCACCAATACCAAGCAAAGAGCAGATTGCTGAAGCAGGATTTTATTATCTTGGTAAGCATGAAAAAAAACAGGCATTGTACGTCATGTATTTCTGTAAATAACCATGATCTTATTTTTACCAACCAGTAGGGCTGTACGATATTCTCGATATAGTCATTTATCGCGATATGGTATTTTCAGACCCAACTACGATATCATGTGGCCAAAAATCGTCGATATAGTGGTTTATCGAATATCGCCAAAAACTTCAAATATCGAAAAAGCGAAAAAAATTATCATAAAAATATATAATAAATACACTATACAGCAGTGGAAATTAGCCGACGGCAATAAACTATAATAAAACTAATGTTTTGAGAATCGTTAAATTTTGAAAACACTTGCGCAGTGTCCGCAGCCGTTTTTCACTGCATCGTGGATGCGTTACTTTTACTTTGTTTTTAGTCGACAATAAATTGTCAGTTGTTACTACATGTAAACTTTAGGTCTACTAAACGCCTGAAATTTCCCACTACCGCGGCTAATTACCAGGCTATAAATAGATTGTCATATTTTTAAAAATCGAATATTTTTAGAAAACTCTACGAAACTTAATTTCTGAAAGCAAGAATAAAACGATCTATAAATAGATTACTGTCACTGTTAGGCCAGGAATACCGCAGCCAATCGAATGCTTGAATGGAAGATAGTCAGGATCATTTAGTATTTGTTAAACTGAACCAAGGAGTATCTATTTATACTCCTAGGTTTGAACATCGAACTAAATACAGTGTATTTAGTTATATGGTTTGAACTTACAATACAAGACTTGGAGACCGCATCTACTTACTTCCGCTGCACGTGATATTTGAGAATTTTTTTTACACAAGGTCACAAGCAGACGCTTTTTAAACATCAGCGGTTGTATTTAATTTAATTATATGTACAGGCATAAGTAATGTTTTTATCCAAAAAGGATGTTGTCTTGTTCATTTTAATAAATCTATATTATAAAAAAAGCAAAGTTTAAAGTGTATGAATAAAGCAATTCTTACCCACAATTCTTACTCACACTGTAATTAGCTTTAATGCATTTATATTTAATTTATTTAATAGCAAAGTGACATTATTATTAAATATCGCGACATTTAACTATATCGTTGAAAAAAATGCCAATATCGATATCGCCCCTTTTTGCAATATCGTACAGCCCTACCAACCAGTAGAATATTCTCATTACAATATTACAGATACTAGATGCAGCAATTATTATCTTCATCAGGAAATTGATTTTCAATAATGTCATGTTTATGAATTGACCTATTTGTCTAAATTATTTACTTCAAACTCTTCTGAACAACCCAATATAATCAAATTTATTTTCATGGATCAGGTAAGATCCCTCATTAATACACCTGGACAGCTAGAACCAGGTAAGATCCATCATTAATACACCTGGACAGCAAGAGCTAATGATTCACGTAGTTTGTTCATTTAATTTTTTAAGATTCTTTTAAAGTCTACTGTACCCGAACTTTAGCTAATCCAGTCAAAATATTGTGGATATGTCCTTACACACTAACATTGTGAAGGTCAGTCGTGGGTGCACATAATTTAATTACAGGCGCATGTTTGTGAAAGAAATATTTTGAAAAGTGCCCACATCGAAAATTAAACCAAATTGTTATATGTTCTGATTTGATTGGAAAAATTCAAGTGGTTAGTCTTCATGGAATCTCTGTTTCACAGTTGGGAAGACGTCCAATTTTTGCTGACTGCCCAAGCATCTATAGAACGAACTAGTAAAGTAAAGACGTCGTATATATCCTAGTTAAACGTTTTATTTTATTTATAAAAGCATTGTCGACAAAATTAAACCCAAAACCCATATGGGGCTAGTATGAACATTTTTTTCAGAAAACATAACTGGCAAAGAAAATACAAATCACCTGATTTGGTCCAAAACTTTTCAATCCTCCAATCCAACGTGAATTGTTTTGATCGTTATGTTATAGCTTGGTCGTTATGTTATAGTTTGATCGTTGTGTTATAGTTTGGTCGTTCTGTTATAGTTTGGTCGTTGTGTTATGTCTGGATCCGCGGTGTTTTTATCACCTTTAAAAAAGGTAAAAGTATACTATAACAATGTAGATAAAATTTTATCTAGGTTATTTATATTTGGATGTTCGTTTTAAATGTTATATATTTATTAATTAATGAACAGGTAGAGAAGATGCTGTACAATGTTTTTTCTGCGCTGGTGTTTTAAAATCCTGGAAAGATGACGACATCCCATGGAAAGAACATGCAAAATGGTTTCCTAAATGTCCATATTTACTGAGAATCAAAGGTGAAGATTTCGTTCATTCAATACGCAACCCGGATTCCGGTACAGCTCGGGTAAGACATGAAACAAATGTTGTTTTTTTAAAAAAAAAAAAAAAAAAAAAAGATACCCGTGCCTAAAAAAGTTTTCAACCAATATTTTAAAACTCAACTTCGAAGACGTCGAAGATAAATTTTAGTGCCCCCCCCCCTCCCCACACACACACACACCAAAAAAGCAAAAAACAAACCCAAAACATTTTCAATATTTTTTGTAACTGTCTAATTTTATATATTCCCTTGAATATTTATACATCATATTATTACATGATGTTTATACTGTCAGGATCATTCTACTTCTACAATAATTGTTATAACTAATTACAGTGTATACCTCTATCTATAACTAATTACAGTGTATACCTCTATCTATAACTAATTACAGTGTATACCTCTATCTATAACTAATTACAGTGTATACCTCTATCTACATTTGTTTTTATCTATAACTAATTACAGTGTATACCTCTATGTACATTTGTTTTTATCTATAACTAATTACAGTGTATACCTCTATGTACATTTGTTTTTATCTATAACTAATTACAGTGTATACCTCTATGTACATTTGTTTAATCTTTGCTGATCTGACATCCATCCCATTGGATATTTGACATCCTATTGGATTTATCTTGTCTAACAATATCACCTTGGTGACAGTGGACGTAAAACTCAATGAACAAACGATTGGATTTATCCTTTCATTTTATTTATGTTGATATATTATGCCTAGCTTAATAACGACTGTGAAATAATATAGGGTTGAGCTAGAGTCGCATTAACAATAATATTGGTAGTTATATTAACAACAGTATTTGTAGTTATATTAACAACAGTATTTGTAGTTATATTAACAACAGTATTTGTAGTTATATTAACAACAGTATTTTGTAGTTATATAAATATTGTTTGTTTGATAAGATGTATTATTTATATGTTTTAGATTGTTTTAAATAATGGTGCCACGGGTGAGTTATTTTATATGATATATTTAATGGATAAAGATGCCGAATGTTAAAGGAGGTGAACTCCTTAGTTTATGTGATAATAATTGGGTTGATTGGCGATGGAGCAAACTCCATTTGGTTTAAATTTTGTTTCAATGCTGTCAATATCTAATTGTGGTAGAAAGTGTGTCGTAACAGTACCGCAATAAATATAAAATATATAACGGTTCCTGAATAAATATAAAATATATAACGGTTCCTGAATAGATACAAAATATGTAACGGTAACGGAATAGATACAAAATATGTAACAGTAACGGAATAAATATAAAATATGTAGCCGTAACGGAATACACAAGCCAATAGTGAGGCTGATGCCCCCCGCAGAAATCCCGAACTAAATAGATGACACATACTAATTAATTGCACGTTTATCTTTTTCAAAATAATTAGCAATCAAACTGATGATCAATTATACACTAGGTTTCATCATTCTCTATCAGATAGAATCAAAGTCAAAGAAATTGTTTGGCTCTGCTTAGCTTTAGCGGGAAATGTTAGTCATTGAACACAGCCAAGACATTCACTTAATGAACATCAAAATCAAGTTTAAACATTTTACCTCAATTAAAAGCATAATTGTTATGTTCCAAAATCTTAATCAATCAAATTGCTTATTGCTCTTTAGCCTAAGCAGAAAATTATCATTAAACTTAGTCAAGGTAATGATATAATGAATCTATAGTGAGAGTTTCAGAGCTCTCATTTATAACCAAAGTTATCGTACCCAAAAGCATCAACCAATCAGATTGCTTATCTCTGCTTACCATAAGCAGACAATGTTCATCCTCGAATTCCATCACGGGATTCACTTAATGAACGCCAAACCAAGTTTGAAAATTACAATTACAAGGAGAGTTATTGTCTTTCAATGTCTCGACCAATCAAATTGCTTATCGCTCTGCTTACCCTCAGCAAAAAATGTTCATTATCGAACTTAGTCAAGGTATTGATGTGATGAGACTATACAGATGAGTTTCATCACTCTCACTTAATTAGAACTAAAGTTATCGTGTTCCAAAGCATCAACCAATCAAATTGCTTATCTCTGCTTACCCTAAGCAGAGAATTCTTATCTTCAAACTCCATCAAGACATCGACTTTATAAACACCCACACCAAGTTTGAACATTCTAGCTCAATTAGAAGGAGAGTTATTGTGTCCCAAAAAGTGTGACGGACAGGCAGACGGACGGACGGACGGACGGACAGAAAGGCGAGGGACAATATAAAATATGTAGCCGTAACGGAATAAATATAAACTAGTCGTAAGCAGACATTTTAATCTCTCGTCGATGGACTTACTTTCAATAAATAATAAAACTAAATTTGACAAAGTTTTCCTCTGTTTACAGATGTTTGGAAATTACAAGTTTTGTGGGAGTTTAGGTTTGATATTGTGAGTATCTGACCTTTGATTAAGGTGGACATAATTTCAGACCTCTCAATTCCAAATTTATGTAATTTTGGCAACAATTTTTATACAGATATTGACAAAAGCGTAAAACTAGAATGGACTGAATGGATGTATTGTGATTGTTATCGTGGTATATATTTTATTTCAAGGTAACGACGATGTTAGTTTGATGAGTATAGATGAGTTATTGAAGTTATCTATGGTGCAAGATGTATTAAAGTTGTCCATTGATAAAAACACCGTTATTAAAGTTTTAGAAAACAAGAAACAACAATTGGGTAATATTATATACACTAGAGATAATGAACAACTGGTATTTATATCTATATAAACTTCTTGACTAGAACCCAACAACATAGAACCAGACACTGACTGACAAAATACCTCTACAAGAAAGAGAATTGATAATGTTCGCGATATGATGATTTGTCCATTGGTTTCCGTCTTCTATAATGAATTGTTAACTTACAAAAATCTCTGTAATATTTTGTAAAAAAACCTGGTGACATTTTAAAATGTATGAAATTAATCGATCAATTTGTTAATCGCGTTTGTTAATACAACACTCACACGGGAGTACCATCATGTTGGATATATTATATTATTTTTAGGAGGATTTTTTAAATCAAGTGAGGAGATAGTGAATGCTGTCTTGGATTTAGACAATTCACGGAAAGGAGTAAAACCAGGGCGAATTGTTGGTGATGCAGACACTACTAATATTCCTCGTCAACAACATGTGAAATCTAACGTCAATAGAACGAACGATGAACCAGTTTATGCACCATCAACAGTAACAGGAACAACATCAGCAACAACAACAGAAACACCAGGAACAACATCAACACCAGCAACATCAGCAACAACAACAGCAACACCAGCAACAACATCAGCAACAGCAACAACAGCAACAGAAAAAGAAGGTAGAACTCTTTAAGAGTAAATTGTTTATTTAATGGAGTGGATATAGTGATAGGCTGTTTTTCCGTCCATTTTTATTTTGTTTAAAAGTATTTTGGTAAAAAATTAATTTAGAGAGTTATGGATTTACAATAATTATATATTTGTTTTATATTTATAGAATCCTCGAAGTTGTGGAGGGAAAATGAAGAATTAAAAGAGCGGCGAATATGTAAAATCTGTATGGATGCTGAATCTAATATTGTCCTCCTTCCATGTGGCCATCTTGTTGCGTGTGAGTTGTGTGCCCCTGTTTTAACAAAATGTCCCATGTGTCGGAAAAATGTTAAAGGAAGGGTTAAGACATATTTATCATAAAAATATAAGAATAAAATATTGATTATAAACATTATCTAAGTTGAAATAAAACCAAACCCGTATAATTATATTTAACAATATCTCAACTTCTGAACCATTTACAACAACATACAATCTGAGGGTCCAGAAATACAATGAAACCAAATAAACAAATCTTCTCATATAAGTTAATAATAATAATAATAATAATAGTTTATTCGTACTCATGGTACACATAGGTTATACATATATAATAATTAATCAATATACAAATAATTATATCACTTTGATTATGAAGTACACAGAAAGTTGATAATTTGATTCAGGGTTAGTGCTTCATTTGGATTAGAGTCCCTGAAAGAGATATATTCTCTAATTGTAAGCCCTGTTCTTACATCATCATCACTATAATAATTACGATCTAGGTCATTTAGTCTATTTAAAACAGAAGAAATTCCTACATTTAGGACATCATGTTTATTAAAGTTATACTTTTTACAAATAAAATTAATATTATTGCACATAGAAGACTGGTTTCCATTTAAAGCGATCTTGCTGCACATACTTAAACATTCATTGTTGCTTGACATTGTACTAAAATAAAACGTAGTAAATCTTTTATACAATTGGGTTTTTATGTTCAAATCGTCACAAATTATGCTTAATAAGTTGCTATGTGCGCGTGGTGATATACCAAGAAGCCTCCTAACACTTTTTCGCCAGACACAATAAAATCTATCAATATTTTTATGGTTCAAATCCCATAATTGGCAGCCATACAGAGGCATACAATAAGTCTTAAATAATTTATATTTTGTGCTAGATGATGCATATACAGAATTTTTAATAGTGACATTAACCTTCACGAGAAAACTATTAATACCATGAAATATGTTTTGTCTTTGTGAGGAGGAGTTAAGAGTGTTACCTAAATGTTTCTCTGATTCGACAACTTCTATCTTTTTATCATCAATACATATGTCTTTAAATTGATTAATAAATGTTCTGCTATGTGAAAAGAAAATAAGTTTAGTTTTCTCAGGATTGAACTTAAGATCATACTCTTCTGAATATCGTTTAGCAATATTAAGTAGGCCAATCAGAGCTTGTCTGCTGGATGTCACGAATGTGAGATCATCAGCGTAAGCCAATGCTCCTACATAAACGTGAGCAATATGGCAGCCAAGGCCACTGGTCCTACAGCGATTCAGCAGTTCGTCAAGATAAACTGTAAATAAGATTGGAGACAAAACCCCACCCTGCTTCACTCCATTACTGACATTAAAAGTTTCGGTTATAATGTTACCCCATTTTACTCTGATTTTCTGATTTAAATACATGTTAAGTAAAAAACGAGCTGTTAAAGGACACATACCCTTAGATAGTAGTAACTTAAATAATTGGACATAATTAACTCTGTCGAAAGCCTTGCTTGCGTCCAGGAGGGTTACAAAGACGTCAGAATTCCTATTATTATAATATTGTATAGTTTCATTTATTACAAATGAGCAATGGGTTGTTGAATGTTTCTCCTTGAATCCAAATTGTAGATCCGAACATTGGAAGATATCTCTGTTATGTTTCAAAATTATCCAGTCAAAGAATTTTCCAATAATACTACTGAGAGCAATACCACGATAATTACTGGAATCATTTAACGATTTTTTTCTGTTCTTTGGGATGGATATTATTGAGGAGAGAACAAAGTTACTGGGTGAGAAACCATGAGTAACCATAGAAGTTAACAGTAACGATAAATGAATGAAGAAAGAATGTGAAGCATAAATTACATGATCTGATGTTTGACCAATATTACCATCCTTTTTACCACGTTTCAAATGTTTCACTGCTCTTTCTACTTCATTTGTACAAACACTATGAACTCTATTACACTTATTACTCTTACACTTATCTAATTTAAACTCAATGTCATTCTGCAATGTAGACATATCCCCCTCATCAAAGGGGACACTATTGAACAATTGCTTATATTTATTACAAAACAGATTACCGATATTATTTGCACCTATTTGACCGTCAACCGTATTAGGAAGAGATTTACATGATCCGTTGATTTTCTTAATCTCTGACCAAAAGTTGTTACAATTATTTTCTAGTAAATAATCAGCTAGTTTGTTTGCACAAATCTCATCTTTATTTTTCTTAACAATTTTTAATACACGATGATATTTAGCCCGAGTGCCTCTCCTAATATTGGCCAGTATGCCTGTCATTGGACAGTTGTTCTCTTTCCAAAGTTGGTGCCAGAATATAGCCGTATCTCTCACGGTTTTGACTTGATCATTCCACCCAGGGATGATTTTTTTTCTACTTTTATTTGCGCTTTGGGGAATACATACTTTACCAGCCTTGAGAGTAACTTGAATTAAATTGTCAAAGTAATTTTCTAAATCTACATTATGTACTGTACATGAATAATCAGTACAATGTATGGCATCAATAGGGATATTAACATTTTTTAAGAGCTCATCCAAAGTATCTTTGTAATGCTTTATATGTTCGTCTGTTGCTTCATGCCATTTGGTTTGAGATTGCACATTGCTCATAGGTGAGTTGTCATAGTAGTCTACGGGAATGTTAATAGCCATACTGATTACGGCATGATCTGAGAAATTATCACAATCGTGTACAGACTGATAACGAATTATTTGATTCATCAGATTAGACGTAAGAAAGAAGTGATCTATTGTAGATCTATTATTGTTAATTTTACTCTCCTATGAATAAAGAACATTGCTACATGCATTAGTGTAACCACACCCTAAGGTATTCTCTAACAGGAATTGACCTAAATGATTTGTTTGTGGCGAGGTAGTGCGTAAAAAATCGGTATTAAAATCTCCTCCTACAAGTACATGGTCACATGGATTTTCATCTATTAACCTCTTTAGGTCATTAAGTGTATTGTCGAATTCATCCAAGTTGGTACTGTCGCATGGCATATATACATTAAATATTAACAAATTCAAGTCGCCACATTGAATTTTGACTGAACAAATACGTTTCGAGTCAAACAGTATTGGTTCCACATTGCACAATAGAGAACTGCGCCACAGAATCGCACACCCACCATAGGGCCGACCGTTGATAATGGAGTTACTCTCCATGCCTGAGTTGCCATGTACACAAATACCGGGAATTTTAATTTGGAATGATTGCAGCTGTTCAGTTAGAAGCCAGTGTTCTTGTATCAAGACAAAGTCATGGGAGTTACATAATTTGTCAATATATTGTATTCTACCTGTTCCCAGGCCATGAGAGTTATATGTTGCTAATGTTAACAAGGCCATTGGATGAAATATTCACTTAAATATCCACTCTTGGTGAGACATATTTCCGGATACTTACACCATTTGGCCACAGTTCCTTATCGAATAGTTTCGGAAATTCGGATTGGGGTACTGTTAACTTGAAAGACTTGAATTTTGATAATACGTTTGATATACATAACAGTTCGTGAACTGTAAACCCCTTATCTTTGAGATAGGATGAGATCTCGTTATCTGTGGTGTTTTTATCAACACGATATATAAATAAGTGTCTAGTTGGTTCTGGTGCACCTTTAAACGTAGCCTTAGGAGAGGACCTGCCAATTATACATCGTCTGCGCTTACTTTCCTGTCTATTCAATTTTTTTGTCACATGCGATGGAGCTCTAAAACCGTCATCTTGTTGACTATCTCTTGTTGCGTTGCTAATTCCTGACATAACACTTTCTCTATCAGTGTCTCTTAGGTTTCTGTTAAAGACATTTCGCCGTGGGTGTGTAATAGGCTTCTTACTAACGTTGGTATAATGGGGCTGCTCCCGTGGGTTAGGGATAGGCTCGTTCGCTGGGACCAGAGTCTTTGGCTCTGTAGTCATATCAGCATAAGAAGATCTGGTATTCGTGGTGGAACTTAATTTATCTATCTTCTCTTTGATACTCACATTCTCACATATCGTGTGTTCTATCTTCTCTTTGATACTCACATTCTCACATATCGTGTGTTCTAGTACTTTCTCCAGACATGAGATTTTATCTTCAAACGTATTCATTCTTTCTGCTAATGATATAGAGTTGATGTCTTCTGGGTATGATCTTGGCAGACGCCTAATATTCAGAGCGCTTAGAGTTACCACTGGCATTGTGCCTGATTTATCAAGTTTATCGATTGCAGCTACAATGTCTAATACGTGCGCTTCCTTCTCAGATCTCACAAGGGAGTCCTTCCGTCTCGCTCTCTCACCAATGATAGCATTATCACATTTATCCCACAATATTGTCTTACTTGTAATAATTTCTTCTAGTGTAAAATGTCCCAGAACAGCCAGTTTAATATGTTCACATGTACTATTCTGCAATGAGTGGACGATATAGCTGATTAAACAATCAACAATAAAAACCTGAATTGTGGTATCCGTTGAGTTGCCGGGTAACTCGAAATCATTCACAATACATTGAACATTGCTAATTGGTCGATTACTATTGGTATCAGTTGTTTTTCTATTGCCTGTCCCAAACCGGACATCAACACAACTCGAGCATAACATCAAGTCACCCTGTGACATTATGACATCACGACCTTTTCGCTTGAATGGACATGGTCCATCTGCTGGCCCTTCACACCTCATTGATCACTATTAAGAATTCAATATAGAATTGTTTCAACTGTTTAAAGTCAAGAAAACAATATTTCTGTTGAAATTTTCCATTCAGTACAGGCACACGGTCTTTATATTCATCTTTGTATCATTTTTAGTCTATTTATTCATTTAAATCATACCAAATATTCACAATTTAGACAGAGCAAATTTACTGCCCAATGTTCACCCCATTGATTATTTGATTAATATGTGTGGAAGTGGAAGTGCTGGTCATCAGCTCTGGATGTGTGGAAGTGGAAGGGCTGGTCATCAGCTCTGGATGTGTGGAAGTGGAAGGGCTGGTCATCAGCTCTGGATGTGTGGAAGTGGAAGGGCTGGTCATCAGCTCTGGATGTGTGGAAGTGGAAGGGCTGGTCATCAGCTCTGGATGTGTGGAAGTGGAAGGGCTGGTCATCAGCTCTGGATGTGTGGAAGTGGAAGGGCTGGTCATCAGCTCTGGATGTGTGGAAGTGGAAGGGCTGGTCATCAGCTCTGGAATACACTTTCAAAGAGATACTGATGTCCAGATAAGTGAAATAGGACATTTCTTCACATGGTATACTAAAATAAACTGTTTCATGGGTTTTGCCAACTGAAGAGGTAGGGAGTTGGGTAACTGTGTTGATTTAATTGTGCACTTTAATCAAGACCATACAGGCCGTGTGCTAAACACTAACGCTTTTAGAGGGCCCACAATTTGAGTACGAAAATCAAAGCCCTTTTTGAATTTTTAATCCTTAAAATATTGGCATAGGGTGGATGTGATTTGCGTCCTCCCTTTCGAAAAAGTGCCCTCAAATTTCAAAAGAGCTACCCCAAATACTCATGAAAATGCCCGCGTCAGTGACATCATATTCCCTCTGTCCCAGTGGCAATAGTGTACCCTCTTTTCCTGCTGCAACCCTCCGCCCCACCCACCTTGTTCCGACCAGATCCAGCAATACTAATAAAAATCTATCGCGTTCAGTGTACGTACATACACTATCGATGCACCAGGGAACCCGTCAACGCTGCTGGTGATCGACCGATTAGAGTCAGCCTCGGTATCCCCAGTCGTCTCATTCCGCTCTACTCCACTATACCCTGACCCCGAGTTCACAAAGCATTCTCAGACTTAAGTTAAAATTGTTCACCTTATTTTAACTAAGATATTGCCCTTTATATAGCCTTTGTTGTTTTAATTTATCAACTACATCAATAAGAAACTATGTGCAAAGTTTTATGTTTCTGGATCAAAGATATTTCTCATAAACAGTGATTGGAAGTTGAGCAAATTCTCAACTTAAGCCTGAGAATGCTTTGTTAACTCGGGGCCTGGGTTAGTCTATGGACTCAGACTAGCAATTTTTTGCCCATTGACTTCAATGTTAAATGGCTGTAACATCACAGGCTGTAGCTCTTTGCTCAACATTCCGTTGGTTCTAATCTTTATAGGCACAATGGGGACCACATTTGGCAATCTCCTCATCATAATTTTGTAGGGGGTTGACCGTTTAGATTTTTTGCTACACGGATTTGAAGTTGACTGGGGTGAAAATCTTACTTCCGACACAATGATTGCTCTGCAGAAAGACACTTTACACCCCCTATCCCTCCGCTCTAATATCATCAGTATTACCCAAAACTGCGATGAAATTGCAAATTTGATCCCTTTTCTCCAATTCTAGACCAAAAAGTCAACCAAAAAAAGCAGGAAGAGGGGAGAAAAAAATTAAGGGAAAAATTGTCTATTAATAACTCGCACTACATTCGTCCATCATGAAATAACGGGAAATGATTACTAGTCTTAGTCCCTATGGGGTATTCACGTATTCAAATTATCTACCCTTCATCGTAGCTTGAGTCTGCGAAGCAATCAATAAACAGTTTACAAACCGCATTGTTTACGTTCAATACAATATGCCGAGATCAACCTGGCACAATATAAAGTTATTCACAACACGAGAAGCAGAAATCAAGATCGCACGCTATCAGAAATTCGCTGGACGACCGTGACTGCAATGAAAATCACGTGATTGGTATAGCTAATCCGAACCTTCGACAAATAACATAAATTGAAAGTATAGTCTATTTTTAGCAATTAGGTTTCCTTGGCAGCGACCCATTTTGTTTTGTCACCAACCAGGATGTTTCTCTTCTAAAGTAGATATAAGTAATTTTGGATTTTTACCCCCCCCCCCCACTACACCCCAAATTCCTAGCACATTCATGATTGCGCACTTTTGAAGAGAAAAATCCTCTTAAGGGGATAATTCGACATGTGCTGACCTATAACTTTAAATATATAACAAATAGATAACGAATTTTGATTATTTCCGAATGATTTATGCACAGAACAAAACCCAATGAAAAAGGGTATAAGCGAAAACTTCAAGGCACGTGGAGTTGAGGGTTTGCCTCCAGTAATATTTACGAAGCGAGGGGAGCAAGATCATATGTTTTTCGAGGTGCTCAACCCCTATTAGTCTTTAAGCTTTAAACAAGTCTTTATTTAGGCTATATAAATTATTAATTAGACCTTTATTTACATGACAAGCTCAAAATCAACTATGTAGACCCACGGATGGCTTGGATACAGTTTGGATTTAAACAGTCGTACATTTAAAATCAAATCAATAAATGGCGGACCAAGCTTACGTTTACCGTTAGTCACTGACGTCACTATCGGAGACTGGTGATGAAAGGCCTGCCAAGCGAGGGTACCATAGCCATTGGAAATGTTACTCGATAATCGAGAATATGTGGGTGGGGTTATCGTCTGTGAATCAAACGATCGGCAATTCTCGTAGACGGTGGGGACACAGTTGATACCTATTTCTAGTCCAAACTTTCAACAGTGACAACTTCGTTCAGAATAAAGTAATTTGACTGAAATTTTCAATATAATATTCTTTTTTTATCCTTTATTTTTGAATTATTATAGCATGAATGGCAAACTCTTTATTAAACTCTTAACTAATGTGTCTTTAATATGATAAAAAAAACTTGCATGTAATACATAAATAGTCGAAATTTGTTTTACGATTTGAAATCTTATTAAACCAGTAAACGATTGGATCTATTATTCCGGTTGCTATATACATCTATTGTATAACCAAAGTACACCGAAACCAACCGGGGCTAGCAGAGAACACGATGTATCATTAAAACGGGGACGTAACTCTTCCACAACTTCCGTTAAGCCACTAAGATCTGAAAATAAACATATTGACCGCCCATTAACAGTTCCATTAGCATGACTGAAATATGCCTGCTTAAACATACATTATACAAGAGCTAAATCTGTCTATTGCAGGTCTTTCTTATCTAAATTATTAACTGGACATTAATTAACCTATCCAGACCATAATCAACTCTAGATGGCATGGCTAGCCTGCGATCTGTAGTGGATTATGAGCCGATTTACTGCATAACTTTCCTTCACGATTTAACGATTAAATGGATAATCTAGACTATGCTTTATATCGTACTGACTTTAGTAATGATGAACGAGGCTAGGCGGAAATTTCATTCGCTTAGTTCTGGGTTCATAGTGGATCAATTTGAATGAAATTTTCATTAAATTGCCTTTACGTTATCTAGTTTTTAACTATTATACCAACTCGTTATCGAATCTCCCATAATGTATCTGTAATAAAGATGTCCGAAAAAGCTATGTAAATGAGTAAGCTAATTATACGGATCAATGCCTTAAATATGTGTAGAAATGTTGTCAAAACATGTTGTGAAAGGGGAAACATTATAAATTGTTCGTCCCCTATACCATGTCGGTATTATTTAATATCAAGATTACCTGAAGGTTCAGGATTAATCACCTCAATTCTTTCTACTACTCCGTCCATGTCTGTTCTATTAGAATCAGGACCATCACCAAATACTTCTACTGCTCCTTCCATATCTGTTCTATTAGAACCAGGACGCTCACCAAATACTTCTACTGCTCCTTCCATATCTGTTCTACTAGAACCAGGGCCCTCACCAAATACTTCTACTGCTCCTTTCATATCTGTTCTATTAGAACCAGGACGCTCACCAAATACTTCTACTGCTCCTTCCATATCTGTTCTACTAGAACCAGGGCCCTCACCAAATACTTCTACTGCTCCTTCCATATCTGTTCTACTAGATCCAGGACCCTCACCAAATACTTCTACTGCTCCTTCCATATCTGTTCTACTAGAACCAGGACCCTCACCAAATACTTCTACTGCTCCTTCCATATCTGTTCTACTAGAACCAGGGCCCTCACCAAATACCGCTTGTCTTATGTTATCACCTACATGTAGATGTATGTTACGCCCATCATTACTGTAAAATGCTGGAGAAGTACTCGACATGTCTTCTGTAGGATTTAATAATGAATCTTAAAACCAGGTCATAGTTATCATTAAATGCATAAGTTGATTGTGATAGCAATGGTACTACATTGTTGTTGGTCATATAGGGAGGGATTTGGCGCAATGGTTAGAGAGTAGGATTTGTGACCGAATGGTTGCAGGTTCGAGCCCCGAATTGTGCGCCGAGTTCTTGTGTCCTTGAATAAGACACTTTATCCCTGTATTCCAGTCTACCCAGCTGTAAATGGGTACCGGGGCTCTTTCTAAGAGTTCAGGGGTAAAGGGAGGTAATCAGGCTTTACCTGTATCCTAGAGACCGGGATAATAATTGTGTAGCGCTTTGAGCATAAACTTGGTTTATGGATATAGCGCATTATAAATATACTCTATAAATAAGTAAGGACTATCGACTGAGACAAGTGGGTGAATTTAGATGAACACCCGCACCGAGACCGAGTGGTCAGAGCGCAAGCTCGGGTGTTAATCTAACTTGACCCCCAGGTCAGGTTAGTAAGAAGTTGACTAAGTGAATGAAAATGGACGGATGCAACACAGACGGCATTTTATCACAGCACTTTATCTGTATGAAGTAGACATCATGGTGACTCAGTGAGTAGGACGTTGGCTCGTAACTTGTTCGATCCCTGCGATTGCCGAGAAAGGTCATCAGGATTTTCCGGAATGCCCCCCCACCCCCAGTCAGTGGTGCAGGACAGAAATGAAAATGAAATGAAAATGAAAATGAAATGAAATGTGGTTAAACGTCCTACTGTTCGCCTCCGAACTGGGCTAATGAAGACGGGTTTTAAAATACAATTTTAAGAAATGTGGATTGGTATACGGATAGATGTATTTGAAGCCTATTTGCTGATTTCAAGCTTTCGACCCTTTTTTTTTTTAAAAAAAAAAACCCACATGTACAATAGGCCAATAGATATTGTAATATTAAGGATGTGAAAAAATAGCACGTGGGAATGGCATTAGTTAGAATAGACACCAAAGAGGAAAGATTAAAATTATTTTAAAAATGGCCAACCAGCAATTTTTCCCACTTCACTGGGTTTTGTGTATTTGTTCCTTACTACTGGACGAGTTCTTTCAAACTCTTTCTATCAAATCCTTGAAAAATATTTATTGTTAACTACATGTATTTATCTTTTTTAAATAAAACACGGTGTTTCTTGTTATTTCTAATACATGCTCCAAAACCTACTTTTCCTCAAATGATCACCTGTGCACTATAGTTTGGTCAGTAACTTGAACACCTGAGTCAGAACAACGGATTCAGTATGAAACATTTATATTGACCCACAGTTTAATACAGGATAAAATAAAACATTAGTTACCCCGGGAACCTGTGTTTATTTCAAGGTATTCTTTCTTGATATGTAGCTTCAAATGTAAACTGATTCTCTTATGAGTATTCACTAAACTTGGATCATAATCTGAAAAGATATATATATAAGAGGTTGACAGTTTGCTACACTCAAGTTTAAATTGACGCATTGAAACACTCGTAGACAGAAATGTTTTCGTATGATAAATAAGTAGAAAACTTTATACTGACAGTGAAACGTAGAATTGCTGATGCATCTTATCTGTTAGCAAAACTTTGATGTTGGGCAAATTTGACGACGCCTGAGGGAACAGTCGCAGAACGGTTAATATGAACTCAATGCTCCCACCGAAGTAATATCGCAGACAATTTGACGAGAAATCCGTTCATAGAAAACTGAAAATCGATATGTTCATCCTATTATGACCCAACGCTTACAACAAGTTTTGCAAAGTTTCTTAAAAAAAGGAAGTCCCTATCGCGTTCACAAGATTTCGGAAAAGGGAGGTAACTCCAGAAGGAAAGTCGCAGAATTCTGAATATCGATAGGGTGTATCCTCTAATGACCACAATGCTTCACATCAAATTTAAAAAGAATCTACGGAAAATGTAGCCTAATTGCGTTCACAATGTTTTCGGTAAAAGGGGTATAACTCTGGTACGAAAGGTCGAAGAACGTTGAATATAGATAGGGTTTGCCTCCTCATGACCAAAATGCTTCACACCAAATGCGTCAAAAACTGTAACGTGTAACGCATTCACAAGCCAATTGTTGTCGGACGGACCGACGGAAAGGGTGACTTCTTTAAAAACATAATTAGATAAAAGACTGGTCAATACAGTCTCCATAATGAATATATAACAGACGAAGACAGTCTCTGACCTCATAGATTGATTGAGTACCATTCTCCTCCTAACATCTGGTCCCGTTCTATCATCAGTTACTTGTACGGCCTGGTTTATATCTGATCTTTCTAACAGAATAGGTGGAATATCGTATGTTTGTCTCATTGTTGGATCTGTTATTCTAGAGTTGATACCTGTACAGAATGGTGATGAACTTCGTGTTTCCTGGTTTCCATCACAATATGTTTCATGTAGTGTCGTCCATATTTTATCATATACAATTGATTCAGGTACTATAATGGGAACATTATCATTTATAAAATGGCATCTTGGGTTCAGGTCTTTGTGGACTTGAAGGGGGTCTTCATATTTCCACCCGATCCGCCTATTATTAGCCTGCTAGTAGTAGAAAGATGTTAGTCGTTTTTAGATGCTCGTAGGACGTTAAACCCCATTTCATTTCATTTCATTTTTGCCTCTGCGCCTCTCGGGGAAGTTGTTAGCCGCTACAGTAACAACTAACAAGGGCAGCCTTTGTTATCTACTATTAGCAACCAACAAGGGCTGTAATAGTTAGTATCCGCTATTAGCTTATTTATAAATCATTATTTTCTCAATCGCCGATAAATGGGAATAAAAGATAGAATTTGTATAGACTGCCTTCTTATGACCACCCGAACAATCTTCCAAGTTAGAACAAATCTTTCAAAAAACTTTTGCCTAAAATATAGCCTACCGCCCGTCGATCCTCGCCACTGTATGTTACCGGGGGATCGAACCCGTATTGCTGAACCTGGGTGTAGATTAGTCTATAGCGTAAAAGACTATGGAGTGCAGTAATTAATAAATTGTTTTAATAGCATTCAGTAATTGAACTGGAATATACAGGTCACACTAAAAAATTCTATGCAATACAAATACCGTACTGCTTATTATTAGGCTGGAGGGGGTCTGAAGTTTGCTCCCGGTGTGAATCCGTTGTGATTTTTAGGCAAAGTTTACCCTTGTCAGTAGGACACGGCGGAGTGCCTCAGTGCATCACTGACAAGGGAGAACCACGCCGGAAAATCTGGATGAACTTTCTCGGCCAATGCAGGGATCGAACATCCGACCTCCAGGCTAGCGAGCTAGCGTCTTACCCACTTAGCCACGTGATCCCCGAATCGAAATAAGAGTACGCCGTACCCAGTACCGCCGAAGACCGGGACCCCCCCCCCCCTCACCCAATAGCATACTGCATGCTGCATTGGGTCTATATGATGTTATTGTTAAATCCCATTTCATTTCTCCATGAACGGGAATCGTCGTTCCCTGCATTGGCCAAGAATTTCATCGGGTTTTTCCGACATGGTTTCCCCTTAATTGTCAGTGGTGCAAGACGGAAGGCCTGACAAGAACAGTTGTCTAGTCGTTCGGATGCGACGAAAAAGAGGTCCCGTGTATACATTGGCATGCACGAAAGATCCCTTGGCAGTTGGAATTCGATATAAGAGTAGGCCTAGGCCATATGTCCACTGCCCGGGCAATATTTTCCTTCATAGCACACTGTATGGCGTATGCCCGTCTTCATTAGCCCAGTCGGGGCCGAACAGTAGGACATTAAACCCCAATCATTTCATTTCATGAACGGAAAACGTCTTCACGAATCACATTGTGAGTTACTAGGGTTACGCTATCTCTCGAACTACTTTCCTGCGCTCTTTTGGACAAGGTCCAAGTTCAACAAGGCGGGAAAGAGCGCCATATTAATACTTAAAACTTAGAAAATCCAAAATACGATGTATCATACTTATTTTTTTATAAAAGGGCAGACTTAAACAGAGGATAAAACCCATCCAAAGACTGGGCTTTAATAGTTAGAGAGACAGGGAGAGACTCGGACTCGGGAGTGAGAGATGCCAGATGGCAGATGGGGATTAAAATTAAAGTAGCTAAACTAAGTCTCTAAGTCTAACTCAATATCATCCACCAAAGTCTTACTCGTTGAAAACACGAATTATTTGTCAATTCAAATCAACATTGATGTTGTGATCTTACCGGGAAAAGGTAAGCTTCTGATATCCAATATTTAAAATAAAATAAATATTTTACCATTGCATTGGTACACGAATCGTGTACGGTACCATAGGCCATAGTGCGTTTCAGTGTCATTTGTAACAAAGGACCGAGGCTAGACATATTCCACAACTCAATACTCATGTCAAACGGTGACGCCATGAGAGCATGCGCAATAGACTGGAATAACCAGATGCTAGAAATAGCGTTTCGGTTAAGACTCATGCCATATTTCGCTGGAGATAACTGATTTGAAACAATTGAAACAATTGAATGTAAATCAGTTTATTTATATATAATCAGATTACATTATTATGTGTTGCGACCCATTTGGGTCAATTTCGAGGTCCCAAACATTAGCGATTTACTTGATTTAGCTCCTTTAAAGTTCACTCGTCTCGACCACTTGACACAAACCATTAAACTAGGCCTAAATCATTTCGGGACTAATAGGCCTATTGTTAAATTCACTTGACAATCGACCCATGTACGCCGTGTTAGGCTCAATGACAGATTTTGTGAGATAGTGCTAAACAATATTCCTACTGCCATCAAGCACTATTAGTATTTGGCCGAACTAGGTTTGAAGCCTACTTGTACTTGTAGCCTAAACTACTAAACTAGGCCTATGTTAACTATGTAGACCTACTGGTACTAATGCCATTTCTGATGATATGGATTTTGATGATATGAATTTTGAAGATATCAATATGATGATGAAACAAAATGAAATGAAATGCTGAAATGGGGTTTAACATCCTACTTCTCTGCTCTTTCTGGGCAAATGAAGAAGGCATACACTATCGTCTATCAATATGTTATGATGAGGCAAATTTTGCACAGAGTGACACAAATGTAGCCTACGTAAGCTTACTCTTTTTTGGAATTTTGTCTGTAGGGTTCTTTTAGTTTTATGTGCAGGACGCATTTTTCTTTCCATCCAAGCAACTAGGCACTGTTCCATGCAAAATTTCAACCAGAAACATTATAGCCTGTTTCTGTGGTTTAACAAATTCCAATGGCACAGCATATACTGATCTATAAAAGCATTTATAATGCGACTCTAGGCTGGGCCTTTCTGTTCAGGCTAATTAGCGAACTGAACAGCAAGTCATATGTATGTGTGCAGCCTATGCAGGGCGTACTTATTCTTTTTAGAACATCTGATAGCACTTCTTGTTCACATTACCTGGTACCGTACGGTAATATATAATTAATGTTTTTCTTTTGTATTGTCAAAGAATAATCTGAATCGACCTATAGAATTAAAAGTGTACTCATAATAATAAAGTTTCAGTCGATACCTAAACAGTCCTTTGCTTGCTTCGGGTGTCAAGAAACATTATTATCATTTCATTTCATTTTACAGAGGATGTAGGTCAGAGTTCAGAATAGATCCCACTTTCTCTCAACAGCATCTAAAAACGACTAACAACTTTCTACTACTAGCAGGCTAATAATAGGCGGATCGGGTGGAAATATGAAGACCTCCTTCGAGTCCACAAAGACCTGAACCCAAGATGCCATTTTATAAATGATAATGTTCCTTCTCTAGTGCCTTGTATATGTTTGTTCAATTATCGGTGTTTTTATGAGCTCAATTGATGCATCCCATTTAATTTCATTTGGACCCTAGTATCTCGACCATATAGAACCACGTTGTATTAGTCCTTCTTAACTATAGATTTCCATGTTGCTTATACCCATTTTATATTACCAAACTAAATTGTTCATAAACCGTTATAACCCCGAATAACCGCACAAGCGAATCGCATCTGGAACTTTGGGATATTTCTGTAGAAACCCCCACCCCCACCCCCTCGCTTCACTTTCTATCTTATAATCGTTTTATTGTGTATCGCCTCACATTTTGTCGTAACTTCGACTTTTCGACTTTCGCGTTCTGAAGGGGTGAAAAGTAGAAATTACGATTGGCAGTTATAGGCTTCCATAATTTATAGATTTATACTCATCTAAATTATAGATGACGTAATAGCTATTGGTTGGATCAATTTATACAAGACGTTGCTCGTGTCAGTGTCTGGTTAATTCAACACTCATCTTACAGGAGAAGTAATTAGGTAAATAAAATAGATTTAATATACATTTATGTTGGCATAGATATGTTTACCTAGCTAAATGGCAGATGTAACATAGGTTTTTAAAATATGTATGACACATATCGTTTATAGTATTATTATGGTCTTACATCAAATCCCGTCTTCATAAGCCCAGTATAGGAGCAGAACAGTAGGACGTTAAACCCCATTTCATTTCATTTCTTACACCAAATATTAATAATATGACTGACACATCAAATGCTATTCTTGATTGTTAGTAGAATAGAGAGTAATATAATCATGTTTTACACACCTGTATATTATTATAAAACCTGACATACACTGTAACTTGTAATACAACATTTACATAAAATATACACAGTAAATCGGTATTCCAGATCGAGCGCTAAATCTCACCCAAATTCTTAAACCTAACCTATAGGTCAAAATACTACATGTATTTACAGTGACCAAATTAGAATACAATTTGAACATTCTTTTAAAATTCATTATCCAATATGTCATAGATTCATTATTCTTTCTGTTCCCAAGTCAAAAATAGACGAAAACAACATTTTAAAGCTTCGTTATTTAAAATTTGGTAGAAGGAGTGGCGTGGGGCGAGTCAGTTAATAAAACATCGCTTTAAACTTATCAAGCCCACCAGCACCCATAAAACTAACGTCATATAAAACATTCCAACCGATATGTAAAAAAACATGCATCAAGTTTATGAGCCTATACCTATACCTTACATGCATTATTACTATAATTTAATATACTTTTAGAAACCTCTGTAAACGTTATTCTATGTTTTTGATGTTAATTATTGTATTGTATGCTTTACCATACTCGTGTATATACCATGTAGTTGTGTAATAAAGTATTATTATTATTATTAATGTTGATGTTATAAAAACAGGATTATGTATGTTTTATTGGGTGATAAAATATATTAATTGTATACTGAATATAAATTAGGGAACAGCCAACGCGAATGTAAAATACAACTCATATACAGTGTACCCTAGGTTAGCCTATTATCATGTGTATAGTATATACTTAGAGCTAGCGAGAGAAAATGGCGATTTTACATCTACATATCATTTAATGGGTATGCGCTGGGTATACCCGTTAAACTCCCTATTAATGGAAAATACAACTATTTTACACAAGTACGGAAGACGTTTGCGGCCATATAATAATCTCGGCTGCTCTGAACCAGACAGGTGGCCAGACGCGCTCCACCCAATAATATTTCAGGTATTCGCTTTGATCGCATCTATTTTTAGACTGCAAGAAAAAAAAACTCAAGTGACGGCAAACGTAATTATATCATTTTAGGGAGGTGTGTGTGTGTGTGTGGGAGGGTCAAATGGTTTAACGCCAGATCATAAAGTCTGTCTTTGAATCCCTGCTTTTACTTCCTCCCAAATTTTCTTAGTTTAGTCAAACAGCTTCCCATCATTAAATATAAAAGCTACTCCATTTTTACCAAGTATAAAATTTCAGATTAACATCCCGGTTTCCTCCCACTTCTAAAGACACCTACGCGCAAGCGAAATATTGAAATAAAATTGAATCATGTGTTAGCCCCGAAATGACCTAGTTTGTGTCGAGTGGACGTTAAACCCCATTTCTCTCTCTCTCTCTCTCAGATTAAAATCAAAATCAGGTCCTTTTTCTTTATAGTTTTATAATTCAAGTTAAATAACCCACTGTTGTCACTAATATTTAAACCCAGATCTGACATTTACGTCCGGAAACTATCTAACTGGTTTATAACTTTTCTAGGTACCGAGACTCTGATTTATAATGTAAACACGAACAGCGGTTATTTAAACACCATTGATTAGTTATGTAGTAGTTATCGCACCCTTTCCGAGGTGTATCGGTGAATATCAGGACAGTTTTGGTCGAGGGGCCCAGCCGAGGCGAAGCCGAGGCGGCCCCCGACCAAAACTGTCCTGATATTCACCGATACACCTCGGAAAGGTGCTAATAAGTTACTTACATCACATTTCTATCGAGTATTGTGAACCAACATGTGAAAAATAGTATTTATCATCGAGTCGTTTCAACCGAAAAGTGACAAATACTTTCTGCTCTTTCATTATTTATCCCTTTCTGAGCCTCACGTTACATTTCATGGTAGAATGATTTCGCTGTGGAGAGACGACCTGAGTAGTATTTACACGTGCGTCTTGCTATGATACTCTGAGCGTAAAACAATCACGTGTTTGTTTAGACCACACCGTCAAAACATCTTATCTATGGCGTAGAGGACTGCGATATTATTAAATGTAGTGTAAAGGAAATGCGAAACGTGGGTCATTCCTGGTGAAAGTATGCATCGGCGGATGGTTCTTCCGTTGAAATTTATTTGTAATAAAGTTTATGACTTTCTAGGCGTTTTTTTCATCCTGCTTATTATCAATGCCTGTGAAGTGTCCAGCAAGAGAACTGCGCCTTCTATCATCACAATTAATTAAAATAATTATTCAATATTCTAATATATATATTTTGCATATTAATATAAATCAAACCAAATTATAAAATAGATGCCAATTGATATGTATAATAATTGATTTTTGTAATATGTTGTTATGTTTATTTAATGTCATTGTATATGTTTTTGAACTGCCATGTAGTTCCCCCCATTTTGTTTTGTTCCTATGATTTTGACTAGTTGTTTCATGTACATTGGTTAGAGCCATCGTCTTCATTTGCCATCTGGATCGGACTAAACGTCCGCTACTGATTGCTTGATAGGTATCTAAAACCGTTAAAAAGTATCCGTGTATCAGAAATGAACAGTACTCTCTCGGTACATTACTCATACACGGATACTTTTAAGCATGTATTGCGATTAAACAGGACAGTTTTATCAAAGGTTACCAGTGGCAACGAGTAGAAGTGGGATGTAACATCTCCCACTGATGCGTTTCTTGTGTTTTTCGTGGATAGTCTCCCTTATTGTAAGTGTGTTGTGAAGACAGTTTTAAAACGGGCCCTGGGTTATACATCACAGTTGACACTCGCGGCATCCCTCTTTTCCATTTAGTTGATTTGATATACCGGTATATATTGCTTGTTGGTTATTGCTTGAAGTGTGTTGTGCGTATCTTTGACCTTTTGAAGCCGATGAAAAAAAACCCCAAAACATACTTATTCTATAATCAGCCGTAATTACTTAAATTATAAGAGTACATTTTAATTATAAGAAACTGGAATAATTATATTTCATATTTCAGATATTACAAGATGAAAGATATATCAAAACCTGCTTCAACAGCAAAAAATCAGTTGTCGTGCACAAGAGTAAAAGTGTGTTTCATCAAACTGGATTAATTCCTTAGATTAAAACAGACGTTTCTTTTTTAAAAAGGGCTTTTTACAGCGCTGAAACGCGTATCGACTAACTGCCACTAATAAGGCGTTAAAAAAATACTGGTGGAACTATATAGCAATTGACTACATAGTTGCACAATAATGAATTATTAACTATGGCATATTCATATATATGCCAGTTGTATTACACTGATAGAATTGTGGTTATATTCGAATTCTCACATGAACATAAAATACGACTGGTATTCCAAACCGGAAATAGAATAGTGGTAGACAAACCTATTAACATCACTCCCAAGAAAACAGTTCACGTAACCCCATTAGATAAAATTAATTACTCCAGCGAACCATACCTGGATGAAACCCCTTTTCTTCTTTTACTTATCATTGGTGCTGGTCTGATCCGGAGACCGATAGCTATTTTCTAAATTTGATGTTTACATGCTTGAAGGATTTTAATCGTATATATCAAGTATTAAATTTTAATCTATCTGTCAATTATAGTTTTCAATTCATTTAATAAAATATTTTGTTTGTTTTAATAATTTAGATATTTTCCAGTACTTATACAACAGTTCTATTCATCAAAATAAATCATAGCTTAGCTTTCAGTATTTAATATTATATTCAACATATATTATATTTAATTTTAATTAAGCTTTCCAATGTTTAAGGATATTTCATGTAAATAATCTTTTACTTTCACTTTGAAATCTACCGTAGTCTGTATATTTATATTAATAATACAGTAATCTGTATATTTATATTGAAAATACAACTGCAAATTAACATAAATATGACGAGTAGTTACCAATCACACCCCCTAGACGTCTTAAAACAAAGCATCAATCAAGATTTACAGCCTTCATCAGATTGTATGAAATATGAATGGATGAGACTAGGATCGTTTAAATCATTTCCTAGACAATCTGAAGGAAGACCAATAAAATTAGCTAAAGCTGGATTTGTTTTTACTGGTACCAGAGAAGGAGATGATACTGTCACGTGTTTTACTTGTGGTGTTACTAAAAATAACTGGTTGAAATATGAAGACCCACTCCAAGTTCACAAAGATCTGAATCCAAGATGTCATTTTATAAATAATACATCTGAAAATGTTCCCATATTAGTACCTGAATCAATGGTATATGATAAAATATGGACGACACTACATGAAACATATTGTGATGGAAACCAGGAAACACGAAGTTCATCACCATTCTGTACAGGTATCAACTCTAGAATAACAGATCCAACAATAAGACAAACATACGATATTCCACCTATTCTGTTAGAAAGATCAGATATTAACCAGTCCGTACAAGTAACTGACGATAGAACGGGACCAGATTTTAGTAGTAGAATGGTACCCAATCAACCTATGAGGTCGTATATTCAGTCTTTTATTTAATTATGATTTTAAATAAACACAACATGGAAGGGTTTCCTTAATTTATATACCATTCGGAGAAGTCTCTGAACAGCTAATTAGAAGTAATTTATATGTTGTTGATGTTGGTATTGTTCTTTTAAAAGATGTGGAAGGCTGGTACCATACAGTGACTTTGGTATTTTTCTTTTAAATATTGCGGAAGACTGGTACCATACGGTGACTATTTATCATCTATTGTATATCATCTTTACTCTGTTTACTTTCAGTTCAGCAAGTGTTGTATTAACAGGTGATTCTACCCGGCAAACTATGGTTGTAGAAGAAGCAAGACTTAGAACATTTGGAAACTGGCCAAGATATTTAGCTGTTATACCTACTGAACTAGCACGGGCGGGGTTTTACTATCTTGGTTCCGCTGATCGAGTACAATGTGCCTTCTGTAGAGGTATTTTAAGAGATTGGGAAGAAGCAGAAAGTCCAGTAGCTGAACACTGGAGATATTTTTCTAGTTGTGAATTCTTGAGAGGAACGGACCGATCTAATGTTCCTATTATACCAAATGATAGTTATATACATGATTATGTATCAACCCATCCTCTGAGTTCTACTGATGAAGACGTTAGAGCATATCTTAATCCACTGTCAACTATCTTAAAGAATGGAAATTTAAATCTAGTTCAAACGGAAGCCCCAGCAACTGCTGAAGATTTAGGTATCATTACCCAAACAGCTGCCCAGCCGGATAAAGCGATACTCGCTACTCGCGTGGCAACATTTGCCAACTGGCCAAGAAGATCACCATTACCAACTATAGAAGAGATCGCTGAGGCAGGATTTTATTACCTTGGTAAGCTTCTATTTTACCCAATATTTCAATGTGTGCTTTAAAGTATACTCATCAAAAAAAAATTAGGGGATATTCAGAAACAATACAAAACTGCGGAAATGAACTGCTGTTTTTATTAGAGGTAACCAGTGGTATATGTTAATAACAGGCCAATTGCCTACACATAAACATAAACAGTTCATATGGGTGGCTTATCTGACGGCCCCATTTCACTCGCGAAGAGATACACTGTTAAAAGTGAAAATGGACGTTTTTGTTTTTTGTCCTAATCATGAGTACTTGCTCCACCAATCCTCAGAGATTCAGCGATTCGTCGTGGCATGCTCCTAATTAACCGTCCAATCACGATTTGGGGCAATCTGACCCACTCCTCTTGCAGTGCCACGGCCAATCCTTGCAGTTTTGTCGGTTGACATTGGCGTCGACGAACACGTCTCCCGATCAAATTAAACGTAATACACTAAAGCAAAGATAAACTAAACAGTAAATCTTATGCAAGAACCGATAGGAATGCAAACATGGATAGGATAAACCAGCAAGCGGTAGTTTTCACCAGCCCTTCCTTGAAGTGTCAAATTTGACAATGAACCCCTCCCACATATATGGCGCTATTGCGTGTCACACATGCAGCTCAGTGGTTATGTTGGGGCGATAAGTTCTTCATCTGTGAACATACTCTCAAAGCATGTCAAGTGTCCATGACTATTTATCATATCACAACCTGCATAGGTATTTGCATTTCAATATCCCCTAATTTTTTGGAAGAGTATATTTTATACTCGAATAATATATTGACAACACAGAAACATTTACAAGGCCGTGTCTCAAATGCATCTGGTATCCATATTAATGATGACATGCGAAATTCAGAAGGCACTTGGATAACCCCTTTCCCCCTTTACTAAAATCAATTTGTAGATGGGCGCAGTGTCGTATTTAATGTCTGCACCACTTACAAGGGTTAACCAAGCTGGGGAACTTTGTATGCTAACCTCCTGGTTAGTCTCATGAATTATATAATAATAAGTTATGTATAATAAAATGTAAATCTCACTTGGATATGAATAATCAACAGACAGGGAAGATGTTGTAAAATGTTTTTTCTGTGGCGGTGTTTTAAAATCCTGGAAAGATGACGATATTCCATGGAATGAACATGCAAAATGGTTACCTAAATGTCCATATTTACTGAGAATCAAAGGTGAAGACTTTGTGAACTCTATACATCATCCAGGTACCGGTACCGCAAAGGTAAGATCTTTGTATTACTATTTCTTTATAAATTGAAACAACTACAAATAAAGACCTATTTTCTATTATCTATCTTTTCACCTGGAAATTAATTGACTATATGGTTTATAATCCAGGTTGTAACAAACAGCGGATCGGGAGGTAAGTAGACATTATGTTATTGGTTTAATGGTGAAATCCTCCAGTTATTCATCCACCTTTCCCCAATTCTTTCACCTGGTAAATAAGTAAATATTATCCGCCTTATACCATATAGCATGCACAACCTAAACACTTATCATAAAGTTGGAAGCCGTTATTTAAAGAGAGAATTTGTTGGTTTGTTCGCGAAAGAAACCAAAACGATTTAACTTAAATCTTAAAGAAACCCATCTTAATAACCAGTTCTTTACAAGAAATGTAATGCTACAAATTATTTTGTATTTGGTTAAATTGACAATAATTATTGCGGCATTATGGGTGTTAGACTCAGAAATTGTGATAAGGTTCTATTAAAGCTCGACCAAATGTAACAATTACATTTTATATCAATGCAATGGGGGAAAAAAATAATTTCACAGAGCAATTTGGTGTTAAAGAAGCAATGATGGGCGTTGACTTGGATCGCTGAGTTTGCTCCATATCATAGGAGATGGATCATTGTAATAAATAAGGTTTTCCGTTGATGGCGCTGTGTGACAGTATTAGTTCTTTTATCAGGTTCGGATGACAAGACTAGTTTCAGCTTCTATTAATACTTTTATTCTGCTTCTAACATATTATGTACAAACATCGTAATGTTAAAGACACCCAGGACTAAATTACATTAGTTGGCCGTTGTCCGGTCTTAACTCCATGACCTGCGTGGCCTGGAGTTAACTACCAGACGTCGCCTAGCCTCCGCCTGCTCTCCTGTCCTGCCTGGACCTCTCCGTCTATTTGTTTCTTAATCTGGGTTTATAAACCTTTCCACACACAAAGGAATCTCATTAGGCATCTGCTATAATGTATCATGTTTCATATCAGTTAACGTTCAGTATAGTTTATCAGACAAAGAAGTAAGATAAGACATGCCATCAACAAGTTAAAGTTACATAAGTTACATAATGCTACCAAAATCTACAGGGGTCGGCAGGTGGATTTGATATTCAAATTACTTTCACATGTCAAGATGGCAGGGGGCATAACATGTCATTTTGTAACAGCTGTGGGCTGGTTTACACCGAAGAGATTGGGGGACTTGGTAATCAATTTCCTCGATGTGGAATCCTGGTCACGGTACCAGGAATGATCCCATGCAACCTTGCCGATTGTATAGATTATAAAATATATATGATAAGATTAAGAATATATAAAATGTTGCTGATATTTAATTAGATATTAAAACAAGAACAAGATTAGATAATGCCACGTTTTTAAGTCAAATAATTCACGTGCATGACTATAGTTATATCACATCCAATCGAACATTATTTTTCACAAATCGGCCAAGATTTCCATAGCCTCAAAGCTTTTTAATCAATTTAAGATATTTTTCAAAATATCAAATAATATTATATTCATAATCTGCTATCTCGATACACAATTCCACCAATAATACCACAGCAGATTGAAATAAAATACTAGTAAATATACGAGGGGTGATTGATAAGTAGTGAGTCTAATACAGAAAGAAACAAGAAATTCAAATCAAATGCATTTATTTTTCAACATAGTCTCCCTTCAATGTAATAAACTTCTGCCATCGGTGTTGCAGAGCCTTTATTCCAGTTCTGTAGAAGTCTTTGATATGGGTATGTAGAAAATCATCCACAGCGGCAATGGCGTCATCGTCAGACGGGAAATGCCTACCGGAAAGACATTTCTTCAGAGCAGGAAACAGATAGAAGTCTGAGGGAGCTAAATCAGGAGAGTAGGGTGGATGCTGAAGAGGTTGAAACCCACGGTCATGAATTGCTGACATGGCAACAGCTGATTTGTGCACTGGCGCATTGTCCTGGTGGAAAATCACACCTTTGGTCAGCTCTCCTCGTCTTTTGGTCTTAATTTCTTGCCTCAACTGCCTTATAAGTGCTGCATAGTATCTACCGTTAATTGTTTGACCCTTTTGGAGGTAATCCACCATGAGAACACCCTCAGAATTCTACAATACTGAGGCCATCACCATTCCTGCCGATGAAACCGTCTTTGCTTTTTTGGGGGTCGGCGACGTCACGTTTCCACTGACTGCTCTTTTGTTTCTGGCTGAAAGTGGTGGACCCAAGTTTCATCCATAGGAAGCGGTCAGGATCGGTTTCAAATAAGGCTAGATTCTCTTCTGACATGATGTATCTTGAACGCTTTTGATCAGGCGTCAAAAGCCTTGGCACCCATCATGCTGAAACCTTTGTCATTTCCAAAGTTTCAGTGATAATAGAATGAACTCTCTCCTGGCTAATACCAACTACCCCAGCTATGAATCGTTCAGTAACTCGCCGGTCATTCATTATCAGATCTTGGATTTTTTTGTACCACCTTTTAATTGTGGCATATGATTTTTTTGTACCACCTTTTAATTGAGGCATATGAAGGAGCATCATCTCCTAATATAATGTCTCAACCATATCATCATGTATGGCTTTTGGTGTTAGACCCTTTTTATGCAGATACTTAATCACATCTCTCGCCTCGATATGGTCCATTTTCTGATAACAACAGATCCAACTTGATTGTCAGACCTGTCACAACAAAACAGTTTAACCGAATGTGATAAAAGTTTGTGAAAGAGCCCGAGGAACATAATAGTGCACGTGCACAACGTGGTATCATTGTGTTGCACGGTTTTCCAATCGATGCTCACTACTTATCAATCACCCTTCGTATCCATTCCATTTTATAACATTTTATATTTGTTACTCAATTCAGGTTTTCTCAAAATTCTATCACTCAAAGTAAAACTAGGAACTAAAAATGTTCACTTAACGTTCCATGTATCTATTAGCGCTGTTGTTTTAAAGTGTAATTTTTCGTACAAACTGGATTAACTCTTTAAGTTGGATACAATTTTTTTTATATCCCGACCTGGCCTGTTAACGTCTCATTTATTTTTTTTTGTGGGCAATGGAGCCAGGTTGATGGACATACAATAGTTGTTACAGCTTCCAATGTGGTACACACTATAGAAAATAATAGACGAGACCATGATACATCTTCTTATTAGCAGATAGACATCCCCCATACAATCAGAATCTAATAAAACACAACCTTTCATAACAAATCCCACATAGACATCCTCAATACAAGCAGAATCTAACAAAACATAACCTTTCATGAAATCATAATTTTTGAAATTAAACGTGAATATTATCATACAGGACCACCTTTCTTTTTATTGTAGCTCCATTTTTCAAATCTGTTGAAGGGTTGATAACTGCTACTCTAGATCTCACAACAGCTCCCAGAGAAAGCAAACAAAATGCTATAGCTAATCCTAAACAACCAAACACTGAAATTGCCTCACCAGAAGCTGCGGAAGCGGGACAAGTCTACCAAAATGGACAACATTACAAACCCGAAGAAGGAGAAACACAAGCAGTAGAACCCCCAGCAGAACAAGCAGAAGGTGATGTTTACAATGCATGTTTGATTTGAGAATATATACAGTTGAAATCAGTTGAAAGGGGAGTATTAGAACCACTGGTTTTGATTATCTGCGGTTAAGGTGACGTGTAACATTCACTGATGTATTATTTAATGGAGATCCTAATGAATGACCAACCCCGTTGAATTTTTATGAATTGTCGGGGATATGCGCGAAAGATTTGGCATTCTTGGGCAAATGAACAAAGGCGCCACACTGCAAATGAAACGATTCTATTTGATTAATTAGATATGTCGAGATACTCGTTAAACATGGTAGACGTTTATCGACTTAGAAAAAAAGAAAGATTGGACCTGAAATAACATAATCACTACATCAAAATAAGAAAACAATCACTACATCGTAATTAAAAAAAAACATCACCACATTATAAATATAAGATACTACCATCATAGTAGAAATCTCCAAATAAATCACTACGTCATAATATAGAACTTACTACGTCATAATATAGAACTCACTACGTCATAATATAGAACTCACTACGTCATAATAGAGCTATGTCAACGTTATAAAAGAGAATTCATTACGTCATAATAGAGAAATCTCTAATTATCATCATAGACAAATCACTACGTCATAATAGATAATGCAATACGTCATAGTTAAGAAATAGTTACGTCATAATAGAGAAATCGCGTTATCATAGTAAAGAAATTATTACGTTATACTAGAAAAATCACTATAGCAATTATTATTGTGATTTCAGAATCCTCGAAGTTGGTGAGGGAGAATGAAGAATTAAAAGAGCGGCGAATATGTAAAATCTGTATGGATGCTCAATCTAATATTGTCCTCCTTCCATGTGGCCATCTTGTTGCGTGTGAGTTGTGTGCCCCTGCTTTAACAAAATGTCCGCTGTGTCGTAAAGCTGTTCGCGGAAGCTTGAAAACATATTTGTCATAAAGTATAAATAAATGGTAAAATAATAAAGGTATTTTTTTTGTTATTTTCACTTACAAGAAGAAAGGTTTTACATCTACATCTATTGTCAATGCCAATTAAAATTTATCAAAGAAAGGTCGCCCGCAGAACTTTAGCCTAATAAACCACATCTAGTAATGTAATCATTTAATTTTTTATTATAGATTCTCTTCCAAAGCTAAGTCATAATTATTTGCAAAATGAACAACGACAATGAACTAAGGGATAACAGAATACTAAAGTCTATTAAAGATGCATTATGTGATATTTAGTTAAATCCATATAAATCTCGACCATCCGATGATCTAGGGAGGGTAAGCACATGCTTATCTTGCTAATAAATGTCTAAAAAATAGTTATATAACATTTGAGGCAAGAAAAGACCTGCAATAGGCAGATTCAGCACTTAATAAAATAATGCATCACTAAAGAAGCCATCTGGGATATAATATCCGTGAATAAAAATATTAATGGTGCCTCGTGTTCGAAAAATGATGCTTCTAGTACGTAACGCTACAAGAAAAATCAATTCTACCCTTATACCTTATCAAGTAGCGTGTATACTATCTGTCACTAAAAACAAAGAGTACAATTCTCCTGGTCATGAACATCCAAAACAGATATGTAGGACAGCCATGTGTTACACTATTCTGTAAAACGAAACTGAATATGAACTTCAGTATGGCCTCACGTTGTATTTTACAGCAGCTACGATATTACATATACAAGCAGTCTAAAAAATCAACAATGACGCTAAATAATGTCTCACAACACTCTCACCTGAGCCGACTTGTCTTTCGGAACAACTCTGATATGGTATCTGAACTTCTAAACGCACAGTCCTCCTTTTAAGGTTAACTCTCCGGGAAAAACGAAGTACTTTTAGTTTGAAGGGTGAATCGGTCAGACTTTGTCTTTAATATGGCACTACATAAACAACAATATATGACGTCATTGACTGCGAAATGCTCATAATAACAGGCCTTCATGGCATCCAGTTTGTAACATCTTTCTAATATATAATTTCTCTATTAAATTTATTATTTATATCCCATGCATTCATTTGTTGACAAAAACATGAAAATCTGGCATTGTCTCGAGTTAGGAATATCTACCAAATCAACGTTAGCATGCGGACCCCATCAATATTCAAAATTGCCATTCTTACTGGAGAAGAACTTCATTTAATAGTATTACATGTCGACAGTAAACGGTTTTAATACATAACCTAGTTACCAAAAATATGTGCCCTAGTTTAAAATATTTGAAGAGTGTAGTAAACGGCCACAAAATATAAAGCAGCAAATTGGCACAGTGTAGGGGTAATTTAAAGTCACCCTTTTGATATAAATGACACACAAGATGGGTAATAAATACTGCTACTAACTTTCAGATTCCATTAAAATGTTATGGGTCCCTTTTATGCTATGATGATTATTGAGACTTTTATGCTATGATGATTATTGAGACTTTTATGCTATGATGATTATTGAGACTTTTAAGAATATCCTTTTGAGCATCCAGGAAATCGCAAGAATCCTTTGAGTAGAACATTTGGCATTTACTCACATATAATTTGAATAAAAACTGTTAATAATCGAGATGTTGATTGGTGAACAGAATCGTAGCCTAATTTCACTAGCCATATCAACATCACTTCACTCTGAACAATCGTACCGTATCTGTTGGAATTACCAGAAGTCCGTGAATATAGTACCACTGTTTAGAGAATGGGGAACATAATTTGTTATCTGATGGTAATCTAGTAAAATACTCTTTGCAGTGTTAATGCTGAGTTCGACGGTACAGCTTCGAAAGTTATTCCTAGGATATCGTTCAGATTCCAGTGTACAACAAGATAAGGATATGCACCACTTGTAAAAATATTCGGGTTTATGAACCTACAGCTATCCAATTTGAATTGTAATTTTTGTACCATATTTTCAGAGTTTAAACATCTACATGTCTTATCAAAGATAATTTATATCTAGTAATATATACACAGAGATAAAGTATTACAACATCCCTATTGGAATATAGTGCTAGTAGTTGATCAGATATCATAGCTGTTTGTCGTTCTGAAAGGTTGATAGACCTCTCGAACCGCTACATTATGTCCAATGGTCATTTGTAAGCACTGTTCAGCCACATTGTACAGAATTGCACCATTAACCAGAAAGGAATATTTTCCACGTAGCTTATTATATTTCGTACAAATAGTAATGTGTTATCGTTCGAGGATCTGAGGTTGCGGCATATCTGTACATCACTATACGATGTACTCTGGGAGCAGATATGGAGACTTTTATATAAGTTGTAAGAATTTTATATTCATTTCGCGGAAATGGGTGATACCAAGTCAAAACAACTATAGCTGGTACAAGGCAATAGGAAGTTCAGCTCATTTCATTTCACGTTCAAGAGCCGTCAAAACAGTGAACAAAATCAATATCTGGTGTCACCCCCGCCAGCTTGGACCACCTGTTGAACTGAACGTCACATTCGATCTGATTCTGTGTTAATCTGTTCCATATTTAATTGTATTATCAAAATATGCAGTATGTTTCGGTGATTTCAAATATGTATAACATCTATATATTTGACTTTTGTTATTATTATTACTATTCGTTATTTGTCTGAAATGTTTCATTCTGTTATGAGGTCGGGTGTTCGAACCATCCAGATTTTCCGGCCTGGTGCCCCCTTGTCAGTGATGCAGGACGGAGGGCCTGACAAGGACAGCTGTGTAGTCGTTCGGATGGGACGGGAAACCGAGGTCCCGTGTACACATTGGCGTGCACGTAAAAGATCCCTTGGCAGTTGGAATTCGATATAAGAGTAGGCCGTAATGCCACTGTCCGGGCAAAATTTCTCTCATAGCACACTATATGGCGTATGCCCGTCTTCGTTAACCCAGTTCGGAGCAGAACAGTAGGACGTTAAACCTCATTTCATTTCATTTCATTTCTTTATTTGCCAATTTGATTCATAATAACTTGTCTACGATATCACGTGGACGTAAAACTCCAGAAAGAAGGATCCAACGATTCTCAATAAAACTCTTGAACTTACATATATATAAACATCTGGGCCCGATTCCTAGAAAATCCTTAAGCACGTTCTTGTGCTTAGATTTAAGTAGACTTTGCATTTAAGTAAACTTACCTTATTTTGTGTTCCCAGAAAATTCTTAAGAACGTTCTTGTGCTTAGATTTTAAGTAGACTTTATTGTAAGCACAAGAACGTTATTATGCGTTCCAAGAAAAAACTTAAGCACAACTTCGTTCTTAAACATAGTCAATCTAAGCACAAGTCCCAAGCAAGGTATACGGTTTGCTTACCAACCTTAAGTCTGTTTCTGCTTCAAAAGTGGTTCTCCCTTGTCAGTGATGCAGGACGGAGGGGCTGACAAGGAAAGCTGTCTAGTCGTTCGGATGGGACGAAAAACCGAGGTCCCGTGTACACATTGGCGTGCACGTAAAAGATCCCTTGGCAGTTGGAATTCGATATAAGAGTAGGCCGTAGTGCCGCTGTCCGGGCAAAATTTCCCTTATAGCACACTGTATGGCGTATGCCCGTCTTCATTAGCCCAGGTTAGGAGCAGAACAGTAGGACGTTAAACTGCATTTCATTTCATTTCATTTCTGCTTCAAAAAGATGGCTGACCGTAGAGTTATTCGACGGCATTTCCGACACCTTTTGATACCAAAGAGACAATTACAAGACAGAGAAAATCCTTCTCCAGAAGAAATTTCAAATTAAGAATGCTATAGAAAATTTCGCTTCTAGGCCTCCCCTCAAACCATTTTATTTATTTGCCAATTAGTAAACAATAGGCTACAAACACACAGGCTACTTTAAGATCAGACACTCTCACAATTATTCAGTTAGTTTGTGTCTGCGTTTTTTTTATCTTGTGGCACCTTTTGTATGTGTATAGCCTATAGGGGACATGTCAAATGCATCTAAATCGACCATATATATAACGTCAATGAAGCAGACGACAAATTTATGACGTTTCGCATACCAAAGTTGTTTTATGACGTTAAAGAGCATCATAGTCTCAGTTTATGGTAAACTTTACCAGTCACAATGTGCTTAGACTTATACTTGACTTGTGCTTACGTAAGAATGGTCTTGAGAATTTTCTAGGGACGGTATTTTTATAAGTTTCTTACGTAAGAAAAAGTGAAGCATGACTTTGTGCTTACTTTAAGAATTTTCTAGGAACCGGGCCCTGGTCTTCATGTATATAATATTACTAGCAGGATACCCGGCTTCGCTCGGGGGTCATAACTCCGAAACCGGAAGTGGTAGACTAACGCCACCTGGCCTATGTTACTCCCCGGTCCGAGCTACCCCTATACCCCAAATTTCAGACTCGGGGCAGACCTAGTGTAGCCGCCAACCCCGAACAGACAGACAGACAGACAGACAAACGACAGTCACAAATATATATATAGATAGAAGATATAATTTGTTGTTAATATATACGCATTTAGAATAATTTGGATGCCTCTCATTTAGGCTAACTCCTAACCATGTTTGAGTCACTTCCCTTTGCCAACTTCCTTTTCAATTAACGATTTATGGGATTGGTCGATAAAAATAGCACAACCATCAAGGGCGGATAAGTTGAAAACGTGTCTCTCCCCACCCCCGCCCCGACACACACATTGATTAATGGGGTAGACCAGAATGAAATCGCTGGGGATATCGAGGATGTTAAGATCCGTACATTACCAATAAATCGAATTAAATAGACTGTATTAACTAGGCTTAATGTAAGTAACAGCTGGACATCTATAGAATAACCAGTACACATGAAAGAAAACGCGCCAAACAGACTCTTATAACCAGGCACTCAAACAATGCACTGACCATACGTTCAAACTTGATACGACAATAACTCTTTCATAGGCATTACCAATTTATAATGTTATATAAGATACGACAATAACTGTCTTATAGCCATTACCAATTTATAATGTTATATAAGATACGATTTAATGAGTTTTATTATCGTGGTTGTGCTTCTATCCACTGCATAAAACTGACACAGCATGCATATTCTTCTGCGTAATCTGGTATACATCAAATACAACTATCTTAATTAAAAATTATACTCATCATTTAATTTAAAATTTAATTAATCCTTTTTGTCTATGTACTCAATAATTTTTTCACATGACATGTATAACCTTGATTTAATGGGATTAAAGCACATGGACATTAATCGGCTAGCAGCAGTGTAACAGGTGACCTTGTGCAAATCTTTAACATCACCTGAAAATACATGCATTTACCAGATAAAGTACTCAAGCACTCAAAAAAACAATGTTTGCAATTGTTTACCTTCAAATTACTGCTATCTAATTAAAATACAGATCTTTATTTCGTTTCGTTTTTTATACTTTCGATGGCCTACACTACATGAAGGTCTGACCGGTTGTAGTGAAAGGTCGCGTCAGAGGTCATACGAGCGGCTATTGACCCTATGACGCCAGGCATTAGCATTGATTCTAGTGGGTTACCTACAGTTCAGTGCACCTGACGCCAAAATCTCAACGTAAAGGACCGTTTCATTGGCTAATACCTCATATCACCCAGAACGCGGGTTATATAGCAACTCTTCCAGATCCTAGTGTATTAAAGACAAGGAAAACGAAATTTTGAACTATAAAAAACGAAACGAAATAGGATCTGTGTTTTAATCAGATTGAAATTACTGCATGAGCATCATTTATCTATTTTAACACGTCGTTGAAAAGACAAGATCACCCAGTTGCCATCTATCAAATTGCTCAAATTTAGACTTCAAATTTTTGAACGCTGCAAATGTGAAGTTAACCCCCGTTATGTTGAACTTTAAGAGCCTACATATTTTATTTGAGAATTAAATAGCAAGCTTCACGTAACACATACAGTCACAATATAGCTCCGTTTTTTAATTGACAATGATGATTTATGGTCATGTTTGTCTGTTGGAATATACGTCAACAAACTGGAAGTTATCTTGAGTGTACTGCATTAGATAAACTCTACCTAAAAACCAATTCATCGGAATGAAGGTGATTAACGACGGCAATAGGGGAAATAACTCGGCATACAATTGAGATTTGTGATTATGTAGGTTGACCACGCGCTCTATTTCTGCAGGTTTGGAAATAATTACTAGTAATTGAATTTTCTCTTTCAGACAGAGAAAGATTTGCGCTATCAAACAGAATTTCAAGATTTAAAGACGACGAAATGCAGCCCGAACAGTTTCAGTCAAATGAACATGTTTTCAAGTTTAAACTAGCCACAGTCATATACAAACAAAGCTGAATGTGAAAGTAAAATTATTGATATTAAATACCCCGTATTACAATGGCCATATCGTTTATTGTCATTTCGGCCTCCTAAAGTTGTGCCTTGATTTACAGGCATCGTCTGAACCAAGTGACCGGCAGTTCATGTGGTTAAAGCTCCAACATGTGTCCTGACGAAAGCAACTGTTTTTGTGAATAATATAAACAAGTGCACCAATAGGAATCCAAGGATATGATCACTTTAGTCTTATCACAGTTTCTGAGATAAAGCCAGTCTGGTTATTTACTGCGGTTTAAACTCCACCTCTCGGGTCCAACCACATGGACCAGGATTTTATGTATCAGATTGTTGTGGGAACATTGTCAATCAAATTTTACCTGTGTTTTCACCCGTGGCATTGGAAGAAATTCTTTTCCGAGGCACCATAGGACGACCTGCGATTTAAAAGAATATAAATGTATGGCAACAAAATAAAATCAGAAAAAAATATGTAACTGATTAAAATACAAAATACTATAATACATTTCGGTACTCAAATCTATGCTCATAACATATTCTCTTGTAACATAGAAGCTGTTGAAACATATCTAGCATTGAGGTATTCAGGCAATGCTCTCAAGTACAAAATATGCTGGATCATGAAACACAGCAGACAATACCTGCAGTAACATCGATCACATTATCATTACTCTTGCTCTTGGATGATACAGAAGCACCTTCGTTTCGACGAGTACTTCTTGACTGCTCATTAAAGAAAGCACCAACAATGGCTCGTTCATCACCATCTACTGATGATTTCTCTTGAAAAGGATTTTCATTATTATTGTCGTCTCTCGACATTAATTTGATTAGGCTGTGTTGTGAAGAATTGACTAACTCTTTAGACTCGAAATAGGGATCTGAAAAAGAAAATGTATCTGCAATTTGACCCATACATAAGCTCATCCTGAGGAAAACTGAGAATGCCCAAGATGGAGAAAAGTTGGCCCCATTTAGAGCATTCTCGGTAAATTTATGTTGACTGAATTAGTGAAGGAATGTAGTTAGCTTTTCTAACAACAACATTTTGATTTATGACACGGGGTTACATTGAAGCGTAATCATTGGAAATACAAAATGACAAAACGTAACATTTATACAATATGTATGTAAATGCTCAAGGAGGGTCAGATGTACACTGTTTCACACAAATGAAAATAATTTTGCACACAAAAACTAATATTGGAGAACGAAATCAATGCGTATACATACGTGATGTGGATACGAGACTACTGATGGCTTGGGAACATGAAGTTAGTCAAATTGTTATATTTCGACTATGGTTAGTCGTATATACTCAGTGGTTCGGTATTAACTTTAGGTGGCATAGTTTGATAGTTTTCTAAGACAGTCTGACTTGTTTTGTACAAGCCGGACGAAATATTGATACAAAGGAAAAATAACGTAGTTCCGTTAATTTGAAATAAACAATTTACTGGATGTATTGATCCATTTTCTAACTGCAGTGAAAATACATTACCCCTCCTATTCCTTATTTAAGACACAATGAACATTTTAAAATCAGTTCTCTATGGTACCGAGCGCCATTTGTAACGAAAAGACTTTATCAAAGCAAAACATATCCCACAAGTAATTATAAATGGCTGATCCACAAACGAAATATAGAGGAAAAGAGATAGACCAGGCCAATTCAATTTCACCGAGCATAACGGATTGAAAATGAAATGAAATGGAGTTTAACGTCCTACTGTTCTGCTCCTAAGCTGGGCTAATGAAGACGGGCATACGCCATACAGTGTGCTATGAGGGAAATTTTGCCCGGACAGCGGCACTACGGCCTACTCTTATTTCGAATTCCAACTGCCAAGGGATCTTTTACGTGCACGCCAATGTGTACACGGGACCTCGGTTTTTCGTCCCATCCGAACGACTAGACAGCTTTCCTTGTCAGCCCCTCCGTCCTGCATCACTGACAAGGGAGAACCACGCCGGAAAATCTGGATGAACTTTCTCGGCCAATGCAGGGATCGAACACCCGACCTCCAGGCTAGCGAGCTAGCGTCTTACCCACTTAGCCACGTGATCCCCCATAACGGATTAGATTAGATTAGAAATAACTAATGTAAATGAGTTTATATACATCCAGATACCTTATGAACCTGGGCCTTATAGTAAAGACAATTCTTGGCATTAAATCATATAAGTCATTTATTATATTATTCTAAACTAATGTTTCGTGGTTAGAAATGATACAGTTGTCATTATTGAGCACTAATGTTTTGTTTGTATGAAAAGTGGTTAAACATTATACAGTTTTCATTAATAAGCAGGTGTGTAACTAACTGTAAAATATGTCACTACCGTTGTTAATCTAATAGATTGGGGTTTAACTTAACATCTACTGTTCTGCTCCGACTGGGCTAATGAAGACGGGAATACACCGTACAGTGTGTTATGAGGGAAATTTTGCCTGTTGAGCAGCGCTACGGCATACTCTTATATCGAATTCTACGTGCACTCCAATGTCTACACGGGGCCTCGGTTTTTCGACCCGTCCGAACGACTAGACAGATGTCCTTATCACGCCCCCGTCCAGCAATCACTGACAAGGGTGAATTTTCTCAACCAACACCGGGATTGAACCAGCGTCTTACCCACTTAGCCACCGTGGCTCCCTCACTATCGGTGTAAAAGCGTGACTTCGATTCCCCGGATGTACGTGACTAGGAGTAGGGTCACCTGTCCAATATCGTGGGGTTCCTCCGGGTCCTTCGGTTTCCTCCTACTGTTAAAGACCCCTACCCCTATTGATTGAAATACCAGCGGCTGCCATGCAGGATACGCACACATTTTGCAAGAGATGGATAGAAAAAAAAGCTAAAAACAAAAAAAACATTTTTTGTACAATCAGGGGCCATAATCCAGAAAGCTATGGTCTGAAATACGCAAATATCAAAAGGGCCTGAGCTTTTTGGAATATAAAGATATGTTTTAAGTTTCATCAAAATTGGATACAAATTCTGACCTCTAGAGGGTCCATAACCTTTGTATTACATACTTATACAGAATTTGCGTACAAAGAGCAGCCATTTTGTCGGACAGTTTCATTTCGATTTTCCCGAAATTCCAATTCAACCTTCATTATGGTGGAATGGTGATATATCTAAACGGTTCTTAAAATCAGAAAAAAAATAAAGAATCCACAAGCTAAAAATGCGATTTTTTGACCAATCAGGCGCCATAATCCAGTAAGTTAGTTCGGAAGTGTGATTATCACAAGGAACCAAGATCTTTATAATAAAAACATATATTAAAAGTTTCATCCAAATCGGATAAAAACTGTGGGCTCTAGAGGGTCCACAACCTTGATATACCATATTTTTACACTATTTGCGTACGGACCATTATGTCCGTCAGTTGTGTCCGATTTTCACGAAATTCGAACTCAACCATCATTAGTGTATAACGTTTTATTTTTTAAATCGGATAATCTATAGGGACCACAAGCTAAAAACGCGATTTTTCGTACACCCAGGGGCCATAATTCAGGAAGTTAAGATATGCGGGAATATCGCGAGAAACCAAGATATTTGGGTTATAAACATACATTTCAAATTTCATCACATTCAAAATTGTGACCTCTAGAGTGTCCACAAGCTAAAAACGTGATTTTTCGTACAATCAGGGGCCATAATCCATGAAGTTATGGTTCGATACATGCCGATATCGAAAGGAACCGAGATCTTTAGGAGATAGACCTATATTTCAAGTTTCGTCAAAATCAGATAAAAATTGTGACTTGTAGAGTGTCGACAAACAAGTTGTGGACGGACGGCGGACGTAAGGATGGACGGACAGGGGGTACGACAATATACGTCCACATGAAAATGTGGGGGTATACAAATTGAACCATATGTTAGTCCCGAAATTACCTAGTGTGTGTCGAATGGACGTTAAATTTGTCTGATATTGATTTTAAGTTGCAAATGTTGATTTTAAGATACAAATGTCGAAATACAACAACAAATGATGAACTAAGAATTAAGAGCTGTTTATATACTGGAATGCAATCTTGTCCGTCTGGTTAGCATATTACCACAGCTGTGCCGAAATACACGGTTCACTGGACGGTAACAGAAAATATGTTAGGACTTGTTAGCAATGGACACATTCTGCATGGCCTAGAGTAAAAGTGGGTGTGGGCCTTTATTAGTAAACAATGCCTACCTTCTGCACCTACAGTTGTTCTGACCTAAAATAAACAACCATTGCATCAGTAAAAGTATACAACCCTTGCGATCAGTAGAATTTATCAGCACGTCACACAGATGTCAATACATTATGGGAGATTAAATAACGGGTTGGCAGTTCCCACTATAATAGTAGGGTGACCCACCATAAATAAATATCTCCATATATCTCGACAATTACGCCACAATATCTATATATATGCCAAGCCTCAAATCAGTTTCACACAATTATAGTCACTAAATAAACGATCATGTTGTACTTAATAAGCTATGACCATTAATCATGTATAAATAATAGACTGAAAACTGGTTCCAAGAGTCGTCCATAACATCCAGACACTTTTGAGTAAAAGATAGGTTACGTGCCCTTGTTTTGAAATTAGTCTCGCTTAACCAGTCTATCGACCATTCTACGTCTGATTGACAGGTCGGGATAATCAAGACTACTTTTTTACGAAACGTAACAGAAAGCTAGAACAAGAAATTGAATTTAGAAATAAACACGTTAGGTAGCTCAACAATCGTTTTAAGAAGCTTGTAAAAGTAAAATGAAACTACTGCTAGTATCATGTTCCTGCCTAACCCGAGTGATTCAGAGATATTATTTGTACTAAACCAAAAGATGACGCTCTTAACGGTACAGTTAATGATAGAGCGATTTAAAAATGAAACGAATGTAATTTCTAAATCTGCTGTAATAACCAAGAAGCTTAATTTAATTGGTATTAAAAATCGTCAACAATAAATTTTTTACGGCTGTAATAGTTGATAGATTTGTAGAGAATTGCACGTGCCATGGCTATTTATAGTATCATACTGTCAGAAAGTTGGTCTCGGCACGGCGAATGTGCACGCTTCAGTGGTAGTCTCGAACTATCAGCGGTGGACTGTATTTCTGTGAGTACATGGGTCACCCTAATAATAGTTAAAAACTAGATAATGTAAAGGCAATTTGCTGAAAATTTCGGTCAAATTGATCCACTATGAACCGAGAAATAAGCGATCGAAAGTTCCACATAGCCTCTGTCATCATTACTAAAGTCGGTACGACAAAAATCATAGTCTCGATTATGCATTTAATCCTTAAATCGAGAAGGAAAGTTATGCATCAAATCGAATGATAATCCAACAATTATCGCAGGCTAGCGTTGACATTGAGAGTTGATTATGGTGACATTTCAGGCCTAAAGAAGACCTACAATTGATTTAGCTCTTGCATAATGTACGTTTAAGGAATAAGCGTGTGTTCAAAGTCGTGGTATATGCATCTTAAAGGGCAGGGGCCGATTTCCTAGAACTAGCCTAGCAATGGTTCTGTTCGTACCCGAAAAGGATAGACACACACAAACACACGCGCAACAGAAATAACAAACTATCTCGATGACTTCAGTGTTCATTGTAGTAATATATTTTGTACGAATCATGAATTATACATGTTTCATGTTCTACTGGTGGTTTACCTCCTAACCAGTCTATCATGTTAACCTCTCAGCATAGGTGTAGGAGCCGGGGGGAGGGGAACGGACCCCTCTGGAACCGTTCATTTTTCGGGGCAATGTATTTCAGTTTTCTGGGGGCACAAACATTGGAGAATGAGACCATATTATAGAAATATAAATGCTGAAATCGCTCGCGGTTAAAGTTCTGAATACTATAACATTATTTGTGGAAAACTCGTTTTAGTTAATCATTGGTTCATTCTGAAAATTCGCGTGACAAAGAAAATTTTAGGGCAAATGGCCTTAACCCCAAATGAGATTGGCCCCGTACGACTATGCCTCTCCGACAGATAAAATCACATCTTCCGTGTCAAAGATTTCTTGGTTATAATAATCTTCCACCGCTGAAACATTCAACAGATCTGACAAACAGGTTTTAAAATATAAGACAATCAAATCCAATAAACGCTTTTCTTACCTTTGTCGTACCGGCACCAGGATGATGTATAGAGTTCACAAAGTCTTCACCTTTGATTCTCAGTAAATATGGACATTTAGGAAACCATTTTGCATGTTCATTCCATGGGATATCGTCATCTGTCCAGGATTTTAAAACACCACCACAGAAAAAACATTTTACAGCATCTTCTCTGTCTGCAAATGTATAAACAACAATTACTACCCATGTCATAATATAAAATGTTTTACAGGTTTTGAAGACCTCGTGAATCGATTACCAACCTGAACATATTTCAAAATAAAACATATAACATGTGATATGTTGTATTGTATAACATCTGAAGACGTAATGTGATATGTTGTATTGTATAACATCTGAAGACGTCAATTGTTTTATTTAAATGAAGGTTATTTCATTCTTTATGTAATTATCTACTGTAGTTCTTTTAATTCGTCTACTTTAAACCATATGAGGCCTATAAACTATACTTAACATGCTTACCAAAATAATAAAATCCTGCTTCAGCAATTTGTTCTTTGCTTGGCAATGGCGATCTTCTCGGCCAGTTGGCAAATGTTGCCACGCGAGTAGCGAGTATAGCTTTATCTGGCTGGGCAGCTGTTTGGGTAATGATACCTAAATCTTTAGCAGTTGCTGGGTCATCTCTTTGAACTAGATTTAAATTCCCATTATTTAAGATAGTTGACCGTGGATTGAGATCTCCTCTAAGATCTTCTTCATCAGTAGGACTCAGAGGATGGGTTGATACATAATCATGTATACAACTATCATTTGGTATAATAGGAACATTAGATCGGCCCGTTCCTCTCAAGAATTCACAACTAGAAAAATATCTCCAGTGTTCAGCTACTGGACTTTCTGCTTCTTCCCAATCTCTTAAAATACCTCTACAGAAGGCACATTGTACTCGATCAGCGGAACCAAGATAGTAAAAACCTGCTCGTGCTAGTTCAGCAGGTCTAACAGCTAAATATCTTGGCCAGTTTCCAAATGTTCTAAGTCTTGCTTCTTCTGCTGTCATAGTCTGTCTGGCTATGTTATCTACTAGGACATCACTGGCAGATCTAGAATGAAAAGAAGGATATATTTGGCAGACTGGTTAACATGTGGAGAAATAATGATCATCTTGGTATCTGTACTTCAGAATGAACCATTGACGAAGTATACTATAATGTGCTGTTCAGTCAAGATAATATGTAAATGATTTTGAGTAGGCGATAAGCGTTCAGTTGTAAACATAATGGCCTCCAAAGGGTTATACAAACAGTAGCACATGTATAGTCGATAAAACAACGGGGTCGGGCTGTTTTATTTACCATATACCAATGACGATTCGTCAGTGACGGACGTAAAATTGTCGAAAAGAAATAATTGAAAGTTAAGGTGCTTTCTTTACATAAAGCTGGAAGAAACAAATAGAACTGCTTATGTTTAGCTGTTGTAACAGTTAAATTATTTAGTTGTATTACATATCTAAAATATACAAATACAATACAGAAATTTACACATGTGCATAATGAGTGTATGAGGTATGTCACAAACATACATTATTTTATTACCTAGTGACTAAAGATCTACTTTCAGGATCCTGACTACGGGTATATCCATTTATTCCTTGTTTCTTTATTGTTTTCTTGAGTGTTGTATTAGACGTATCGCCGTAATTGGTCAAACTACCGGAATCCAACTTTAGCGAATCAAAGCTAGATGTATCATTTGTTGCGCTATATCCACCTGTAGAACAGAACAGTACAGAACTATATTTACAACTCAGATCAAATACATGACATATGAGTGATAGGCTATTTACATATTTACAAGATGGGGGCTTTTAATTCCTTGGTCAATGGACATAAATTGGTTTTAGTATTATCTTTAAGAACATATATAATTTTATAATTATTGATTGTTTGCTTGTATTAGGTGTTATATAATAAAATCTGGATAAGTAATAATATTCATCGTCAACTCTATTTAATTCTCGACAAAATCTACATTTATTCACCTCCCCGACATCGATCGCCAGTTTATGGTCACATGCTCTATATCTTATATATTTATAATTATTCGGCAATGAGATAAGATACGGTTCTAATTTAAATTCCGTCTTATAAATTCTTTAATTAACAGATTTATTCAATTTTTGAATATTAGACGACCAGGTTTGAATATACTGATCTTTTAATCGTTGTAAAAATTCATATTTTGCGTCTGTTGTGAATTCTATACATTCATCAAGATTATTGTTGATAGTAATTGGCCATTTATTAGAATGTTTACATCAATTTTTAACAGAAACTTTTATAACAACAAAGATTATTTGCCAGTTTTACCACTTATCATTTTAATCCAAAAGTTAACCATTCTATGTTTTATATAAATACTTAAAGGATATCTCAAAGTTTCACCGTATAACATAATATACAGAGGAGTACCTTTGTCATAACTTTCAATATATTCTTTGTACACAGTGAAGAACAGTCAATATGCTGATTACACTATTTTGCCTGATTACACTATTTTGCCTATACCGTTTTTTGAGGACTTCGAATTTTGTCTAATGGTTTGGATTGTTCGTACTTGGTTTTATTTTATTAAAAACTAGTAAAGTAACCCGATCATTCTTACCTGTTACTCCCATTTCAATATCTTCCTTGCTACGGTAAATTTCATGCAATGTCCTCAATATTTTATCATATACGATTGGTTCAGGTATTAAAATCGGAAAGTTTTCAGATTTATTATTTATAAAATGACATCTTGGATTTAGATCTTTGTGAACTTGGAGTGGGTCTTCATATTTCAACCAGTTATTTTTAGTAACACCACAAGTAAAACACGTGACAGTATCATCTCCTTCTCTGGTACCAGTAAAAACAAATCCAGCTTTAGCTAATTTTATTGGTCTTCCTTCAGATTGTCTAGGACATGATTTGAACGATCCTAGTCTCATCCATTCATATTTCATACAATCTGATGTTGGTTGAACATCTCTGTGTAAGGCTTGGTTTAAAGTTTCCACGGAAAGGGATTGGCGAATCATATCTTTTGTTTTTTATATAAATAAATTCACCAGCAAGTGATGGTCTGAAAGAAAAAATACAAACAAAATAAATAAATAAACAACAGTGATATTGAGGTGCATATTGAATAATGAATAATGTAAGGTGCAAAGGAACAATATTTAAATCAGTTAGAACCTTACCTTATGGTTATAACTTAAAGATGATAAATAATTGATATAGAAGACACCTGCAATGCCCTTACCAAGAGAAAGTAAAATTTGCCTTAAATTGCCCATTTTAAAAGAAGGAATGTTTTGGTGACATAAATGAACGAGCATGCTAGTTAGTTAGTTCTTGGTGTTTAACGTCTGCTTCCACATAAGTGATATCGCAGACAAGACATAGGAGAGCCGAAGCTGATTCCTGTTTTTTAGAATATGATTTTGCAATCTTTCCATTTGGCCTTAGGACATGGATTTGGTTTAGTGGAAAGTTCTTCCCTTTATTTAATATAAAACCTATCGTTTGGTAGATGATCTCGTCTGCTTCTGGATTGGTAGATGTCATCGTTTGGGGTTAGTGTTTAGGTGCCTGGCCCGTCTTATCGTGGCCTCCCCTTACTCCACTATCCCACTCTCTGGGTATGGTATCAGTTTTATTTGCGGAATAGTGTTTTGGTGCCGAGTTCGTCTGACCGTAACTCCCCCTTACTCCACTATCCTGCTAGTTTGGTAGATGTCATCTTTGTGGGGTTTGTGTTTAGGTGCCAGTCCCGTCTTATCGTGACCTCCCCTTACTCCACTATCCCACTCTGTAGGTTTGGTGTCTGCTTTTGGTGGAATAGTGTTTAGATGCTGAGTCCGTCTGATCGTGACTCCCCCTTACTCCACTATCCTGCCAGTTTGGTATAAATCCCTTTTGTAGTTTAGTGTTTAGATGCCGGGCCAGTCTAACCGTGACCCCCTCTTACTTCACTATTCTACTTAGTCCAACTGTATCCATTAGGGCGTGGATTTGTTTGAAGCTTTGCAGTTTCAGATCTGGTCTCGGGAAGAGTAGGTTCTTAGTGTTGAATGGTATGTTGTTGGTCTCCATTGTTCTCACTAGTTCCCTTCTCTCCTCCTCGTATACCTCGCAGTCTACCAGGACATGGTTGGTGGTACATTCTTCTCCGCACTCACAGATGATGACTTGGTGTTTGTAGTCTCGCAGCCGCTCTTTTACCCTTAGCTTCGATATAAGTCTACAAATATCTCTTCTAGGGTGATTGAGTGTTGTCTTTGTGTAGATCTTGTCATCCAGCCAGAATCTGTATGTGTCAAGTTCAACGAGATTTAATTCCCAGATTGAATTAACCTGTCTTTTGACCATACTGTAGATTTCCGTGGTGCTGTAGTCTATGGCGCGGAGTGGTGTTGTGTTCTTGAGACCTTCATTGGCGAGTCGATCTGCCTCCTCGCTTCCTCTAATATTGACATGTGATGAAATCCACACGAGTTCTACTTTGCTTCCCTTCTCTAAAACCCTCTGGTACAGCTGCCTGATTTCCAGAATGACTTCTGGTCTTGAGTCCGAGTTGTCAGTTTGGATTGAAATCAGACTGCTCAGAGAGTCACTTGGAATGACGAACTTTCTAGTCTTTTGATGGGAAATCCATGATATAGCGTCACGAATGGCCACAAGCTCTGCAGTGTACACCGAACAGTTATTGGACAGTTTCCTGCTTATTCCCTGTTCCCCGTTTGGCAGGTATATTCCAAACGAACTGGTGCCCCTTTCAGGATTGCGTGAGCCATCCGTGTACACATGGTCCCAGTCATCAGACGGCCAGTTGTCTTCCAGGTGTTCTAGAGAGAAAGCACGTGCAGCAGTGGGGTTTTTTTTCTTGTCGGTTTTCTGTAGTAGATCTAGATTAACCGGCGGTATAGGGAGCGTCCAAGGGGCGATCGCTGGGGGGTCGTGTTCATTTATCACGAGCTCCCCCAGTCGCAGTTCCTTGATTGTTTCCCTGATACCCTGACCGAAGCTTTTCTTTCTAGGATCTCTCACATATCTTGTATTTTGTAGACTGACAAAGGTCGGGGATCTTTCGCCCAGTTGCGAGATCTTAGCCCAGTACCTTGTCGCTAGTTCTTTTCTTCTTAGGGATAGGGGCAACTCCCCGACTTCCTGCAGTAGTGCCTCTCTCCCAGTCCCTTGCCCCTACGCCAGTCGCAATACACAGAGCTTTGTATTGGATGGTGTCAAGCTTCCTTAAGAGTAATGGCGCGCAGTTCATGAAGGCCAGAGAGCCGTAGTCTAATACAGATCGTATTAGAGTACGATACACCGTCATTAGTTTGACTCTGTTTGCCCCCCCCCCCCAGGTGCCCGTTATTTTCCTCATTAAGTTTAGGATTTTGGTGCATCTATCTACAGTCTCGTCGATGTGCGGTTTCCAGGTCAGCCTTCGGTCAAAGATTACGCCAAGGAACTTGGTTTTGGCTTTAAACTCGATGGTTTTCCCGTTCATACACAGAGTCATTCTGCTTATCCCTCTATCCCTGCTTACAAGCATACCGGCTGTTTTCTTCTCCGAGACATTGAATCCCCAATCGTTTGCCCATGCCATGAATTTGTCTAAGGTTTCCAGGTCAGCCTTCGGTCAAAGATTACGCCAAGGAACTTGGTTTTGGCTTTAAACTCGATGGGTTTCCCGTTCATACACAGAGTCATTCTGCTTATCCCTCTATCCCTGCTTACAAGCATGCCGACTGTTTTCTTCTCCGAGACATTGAATCCCCAATCGTTTGCCCATGCCATGAATTTGTCTAAGGCCTTCTGCATGTTCTTTTGTAGTTCACAGAAGTTCCTCCCTTTCCTCCATATGGTACTGTCATCAGCAAATTTAGCTAACTCAGTTTTGGCGTCGAGGTAGGAAGATTTCTGTATGTCGTTGATCATGATATTGAAGAGAGTGGGACTGATAACCGACCCCTGAGGCGTGTCATTTTCTAATGTTTGCTCGGCACTCAGGAATCTGCCAACATTCACCTGTGTCCTTCTATCGCTCAGGAAGCTTTTAATCCACCGAAACATTATGCCCGTTATACCAATACGTCCTAACTTGAAGAGCAGCCCGTCTAGCCAGACTAAATCGAAAGCCTTAGTTAAATCTACGAACACGACACATAACAGGTTCCCAGAGAGGAGTGCCTGCGACATGACTTGCTGTAGTCTCACCAAGTGGTCCGTTGTTGAACGCCCTTTCCTGAACCCGCTTTGATTTTCGTCGATCAGCCCTTATACCTTGTGAAGGTATAAAAATAAAAACAAAGACAACCTTAAATCTATTTTGGACTAGATGATCTTTGTAGTATCTAGTGGTCTTTCTGGGTTTGAGAAGTCTTTTTGGAGTCTTAGCTAGGCTACTTTATCTGAGATAAATTTAGTCGATAGCTTTGGAGCTCTGGTGCATTAGGTGTTATCAGTACGAGTACCTGTCCAAAGGTGTATTGTGTCCCCTACGAGTGTGTGAGTTAGTTTTATTTAACGTCCGCTTCCACCGAGGTGATATCGCAGACAATTACGTGTTATATGTGCATGGTGATAGTATTTACAACGTGATTAGTGGATTAGTGTGGATTAATTAGGTTTTTTTTTTTTTTAATAGATATATATGTGCCACGAATATACAGAGACGAGACGTGATTTAACAGGTGTAACAAGTGCAAACTGGGACGGTTACAGACATATGGTAGGACAGACATGGACATGGACGAACATTTACACAGACAGAGACATTTGTATACACACATTTTACAGACATGAAGGTGGACGAACATATATATATATCTATTTTGTTATCTTGGTTGGTCAGGTCGTTCTGTCCGGTCGAATGGCAGGGCGGTGCAACTCTTCCTTGGGGCTTGTTGGTGAGTTTTAGGGCCTGGTCCATTCTTCCTTCCATTTGGATATGTTGTCCGGTATGGTGGTATTGTTTGTATTTTGTTTCTATGGTTCATTCCTTTGTTGTTGGTTCTCAGAAGGAAGAATCCAGCTCCTGAAAAGAGAGAAGGAAAAAGATAGTATCTGGTCTTACAGTGATATGTGTGACGGTTTCGTCTGGTTAGGCTTCTGGGTGGTGGGGGGGAGGGGGCTAAAAATAATAATAATAGTAAAGAAGATAATAAGAGTAAAACAAAATGAAAGTAAGAGTAATTAGATAAGAATAATAATAGTAGTAATTTACTGTAGAGTAAGATGAATCTGGAAGGTAATAATATTGAATGATGTTAGGGGTATTTAGGTTTTTAATACAATAGTAGTAAAAGAGTTTTAAAAGATACTTATTGAGTCATGGAAGAGACTGAGGCAGTTGTCGATCTTCCATGACTTTCCTATGTACTGTGGTGGTTTTTCTATCCCATAGTAATATTGGGCTGTTTCATATATTAATATTCGTATCATGTCCATTAGATTTTGGTGTTCCGTGTCGTTTAGGTGGATTCCGTCTGTCTGGAGCATCTTTTCCGTAGCCTTTTTCCATTTGTTCGTCTTGTAGGAGTAGGTGCCCCCGTAGTGCAGCATGGGGTGTTCGGCCAGTTTCCTGAGCATGTGCTGATTTAACCTCTCTTGTATACGAATATACTTGAGGGGATCAGCGAAGTATCTGGGTAATAGCCTTGGGTATGAATTTATCCAGATGACAGGTATCATCCCCACTCTACCCTGGATGGCAAGCATGACCTCGATGATGTGGTCAGCGAGTGTTTCAGGGTCAGTGCGGGGTCGAATGTCGTTGCCCCCGATATAGACAAGTGCTATATCTGTGGCTCTGGTTATTTGGCTTACCCTACTTCTGCATTTGGCAACTGTGGCCCCACCTACTCCGTAGTTCTGAATGTTGTGGTGATGGTGGATTGGTTGGTTGGTTTTCCTGGCGTACCTCTGGAGATGCGTCATATACGAAGATCCTGTTAGTGCGACGTTCAATTTACTGGCCATGACGATGAATGATTTGCATTTTTTCGTGAGTTAATTTATACCATCTGTTTGACACCCTGGGCGTGATTGATTTGTGTAAGCTGGGTCTCGGCTGTT